TTAAGGACCAGGCCGAGCGTGCCCATAATGATATTTTTGACCTGATCGGAGGGCACTGGTTGATCCTGCGAGCGTTCGATGTTGAGGAGGATGTCTCGCAGGTGCTTGCTGAGATGAGTTGCGTGCTCGCGGAGCGCGGTGGGCCACACCATCACTTGAGGCCACGCGGCTGCCATGGTGTCCGGGTCGCACTGGGCGATGCGCCTGGCTCACAGCAAGTCAAGTAGCCTAATGAGAAGGTATATGCGTACGTTTGATCGACTGAATTCCAAAAATTTCGGTTCTCGCTGTTGTCGTGTTTTCGGCCGGGAAGCTTGATATGTAATGCTGTAGGGTCCGGGTGTATTAACTCATCATGCTTACTAATATAAGGTCTTCAGCTGTGCTTAGTAACGACCGCAGATAGACTAGTTAGATCCATGAACTTTATAACTTCTTTTTTACGAAAGTGCCCACCCCACATATGCGTCCCACACGCTCCTTTTCTGCCTAGAGCTCTTTATAGATACAGCGCTCTCAAGTATATAATTATCAATATATCTCCAAATAGATCTAGTAGACATATAGAAGTATAGGATTGTGTTGCTACGCGTTAATTGATCATATAGAGCTGCCTCAGACAAAGTATCGCTGACCACTTTACACGCATTCATACGTCTGCTGGCTTCTCTTCTACTTTTCATTCAATGTTCATTCCAGATGGTCGGCTCCTCCAAGGTTCTCGATCATGTCTCCATTTTTCGTCGCAACCTCGACTTGCTCCGTACTACATCCACTAGTTTCTGAATCCTCCAACGCCATTTGTTGCATCGTTTCATTCATTTCAGCCTGGTTGCGATCGATGATCGCTTTCATCTCGTCCCATTCTGCCTTATACGCCGCCAAGTCCTCCATTTTCTTCTTGACAAACTTTTCGAGCTCTGGCTCCGAGATAGGAGCAAGCTCATCGGTATTAGGGTAGATATCGCGAATGGCTTTCCAGGCTGTGTTTTCGGCGACTGTGAAACAGTCGTAGATCAATTCGTGGAACCAGAACCTGCCGTCGGTCATGGACTTTCGCATAAGGCCAGATAGTCGATTCAGAGGCTCAAGCTGCGGCGTGACCTTGTATCTATCGCTCTCCTCTTGTTCAAGCTCTTCAAGAAAGATTTCTAGGCATGCGTTGTATCGTTCGTATTCAGAACCGTTGGGCGCTGTCCAGAACATTGGGGGTTTTATTAGAAACCAGCGTGGGGCTGAGCAAAACATCTGGTACGGCGCTGCGTATGTCCATTCCCAGTCTATCACTGCAATTATCTTAAGATCTTTTGCGTTGTTGACAATCATGTTCCCGTAGCGAAAATCATCGCACATTAGTCGGAAGCCGGTCTGGTTATACTCATCGGCCACAAAGCGTGGAATAATGGCGTTGAAATGATGGCGGAACCTGAATTTGGCCCTGGCATCATCATCGTTGTCGACTGAGCTGGGCTGCTCGCACAAATGTTCCATATCTTGCTCAGCGACGTAGTCGAAGTAATCTCTCGCGGATGGGAATGTTGTCGAGCGGTTGCCTTATCAGGTTTAGGATAGCATTTAAATCAGTAAGAAACTCAACTCTACATACCTCCAACTTTGACTCCTCCATGTGCCTCTATTTCTTGCATCTTAAGCGTTAGCGGCCCCAAGTCCGCCTGAATGCTTTCATCGTCCTTCATAGATAGAGACCCAACATTTGGAAACTCTAATTTCGAAAGCTCGAGATAGAAGCCCGCTATCTGGCGATACACGGTGCGCAGGTCCCGTTCGCTGATATCGGATCTTAATATCCGCTTCTCATTTGATTCTCGCCAAAGATGACCGAGGGATTCGCCGCCCGGAATGTACTCCATTATGATGAAGGGCCCTAACCCTAGAGCATTGTCTTTTGACAGACCCCAAGCATGAACCTTAGGCACCGGGATCTTTGTTTTTTCTCTAAGCAAGTGCATCACTGAGACTTCACGACGTAGCTTCTCGTCTCCGTCCATAACTCTTCCAGGCACGGCGAAACGAACTAGCCACTCTACGCTGTCTTCGAAGCGTACGCGACAGCTCCAATTGAAGGAACCACAAAGATCTTCAACAACCTCACTTGGATGGTCGCTGCGGAAAGAAGAGACCCAATTGGCAATAGGCGGGCCTCGTCGTATCCGGAATTTGGTGAACCACTCATCGGATGCCATGACATTGGCATGCTCTGCTCGTTCGTCCCATTCCATACTGAGAGAAATTTCCAAACATATATATCAACGTCGATGAGCGCTAACGTTCGGCACGGACAGAAATTGGGGTTTTCAAGCAATCTGTGGCCTATTTCAGGCGTTCTCTCCATCGATGGATGCCTCAGGCCCCCGCAAGCTACTGCCCGCTCTATTAGTAGCACTCTAGAGTTATATAAACATAACGAAAGTACCGACTGGATCATCTTCTCTAAGTATTAATCTACATATGCTTTTTCTTTTTTACCACTATTAGATAATTCAAACTAAATACCTAAGAACTACTCACTAATCAATTATACACCCCGTAAAGTCCCAAATTAATCACATGGGTCACTAGTGGAGTGGGTCACGTGGAGTGGGTCATTAGTGGAGCACACTACACGTAGGAATGTTCCAGCCGTAAACATTCATTCTTTGCACAATCTGTCCGGCACTTTATACACCTACAACCAAGAGGTCACACGTAGCAATCATATCAGACTCTGACATGGCTGTCCATGAGGTTGAGTTTAACTTATCAACACATCCAGAGATTCGCTCCGTGAGAGATTTGACGACTCGCGGCGAAATCGAGGACTATGAAACCGGGAAATTCCTCCGCTCGTTCTTTTCCTATATCGAAAAAGATGGTACCGTCTGGTATGGTGAGTTACCGGGAGTTCGAAAATACTACTTGACGGTGGAAATTCTGCAACGCGAGCTGCGAAAGATTCCCGATGAGAAGATCTATCCGCTTTATGACGAAAGGATATCTATCGTCGCGTCGGATGAACTTGAGCGGCAAAACTATTATATCAAACGACCCAAAGTCTCGTGTGCAGGGAATGAGTACACGCTGAAGCTCATCCCTCGCATGCTTCTCGAAGAAGCCGAGATACTTGAGTTCCTTGGGAAAGACCAACATCGTCACCCGAACATTATTAAATACCATGGCTGTACCGTCAAGCGTGGGCGTATTACTGGACTTGCTCTCGAAAAATACGATGTTATGTTGCAGTATCGATTTCAAGATGACCCGCGTGATCTGGATATTGCAGTTTGTATGGACGGCCTACGCGCTGGGATTGAGCACCTCCATTCCCTAGGACTCGCGCACAACGACCTTAATCCTACCAACATTGCCCTGGATACTGAAGATAATCCCATCATACTTGACTTTGGGTCATGTAAAAGGTTTGGCGAAAATCTTATTTCAGCAGGCACGCCTGGCTGGATTGATGAAGATTATACTACGTCTGCGCAGCAGCATGACCTTATTGCTATAGGCAAGATCGAAGCATGGATTCGAGAAGAGAATAAAAAGAGACATTCGGACTAATCGCCCAACCGTGTGCAAATTACATTGGTCTTAGTCCAATCCTGATACGATCTCGTCATCCTCCTGGCGTCCCCGCTGTGTGGTTTCGAACAGCTGCGTCATTGCATCCGCGCAATAATGCTGTGTATGCATTTGTAGTACCGTCCTATTATTCGGATTGGTGTCGGACATGGGACAAGTGCTCACCCCGCAGTCGTTTCTCGTTATCTCCGTTCGCGTTCGTCTATGGCCCTCGTCATCGTACCAAGCAACGATGGTGGTAATCATGGTGCACCTTGCTTTGTTATCTCAAATGAGGTATGCAGTTTGGTCTCAAAGCTTACATTTGGGCCTTGAAGCTTGTTAAGATAGCTCTGGGTGGTTTCTTTTGTGTTGGTTGGGGAAAGAATAAAGCAATATTCACTGGGCTGAGGATCATTTTATATTGCATTTGACACAAGATGTCTTACATTTTGTTTGCATTTGCCCTGCTTTGAGGAACTTGATATTGGAGAACTGTGGCGCTTCGCCACATTCCCCAGAATCACTATGACAGATGGCCATAATTGCAGCCTGCCAGGCGCTGACGCAGAAATTACCCCCTAAAGTGCGAGCCTACTACTCTGCTCGAGTCGATGCTATATCACTGTGTGATAGCGTAGAAATCCATGGCCGGGCCCGGACAAAGGCGCAACGCCAGCAGTACCCGACCCCATAAGTAGGGAAAAGATCGTTTAGCAAGTATTATGATCGGCTGTATGTTGAATAATCTAGAGGAATGGAGGATATCCTGTTTCTGGTCTTTGGGATCGCCCACCCATAATCCCTAACGAGAGACATGAAGCTGCCGAATAAGACATGGCGTTTGGCGTTTGCGAAGCGCGCTAGGGAACACTCCCTCATGGTATAAAAATAATCAATATATATATTACATAGCTAACTCTATGTTACTATGTCAGGTATCCGACGTGATACCTCTTAATTAGGTAAGATCCTAGCCTTTTACTTAGTCCCAACTTATAGGGTAAGATTCTTCTTTAGGTACCTAAGATCTAAGGCTAGGTAAGGATTAAAGTATGGGCTGAGTGTAGGGGCAGTTATTTTCAAACTATTAAAATATATATAATATAACTTTCGTGCGGTGGTTCGTACATAATATTAGTTATGGCCGATAAGCCTACTTATAATAAATCTCTTATAATAATTTACCATAGAAAAGTTATCGGATACGTTTTCGCCGTTCCTAATTACTAATTAACTCTTATATATCCAATTACTTAGTTATATAGAAGAAGCGCTAGATATACCTCGGAGTAGCTCCTAGCGGTTCACGCGAGTATTTATGCTAGATTATAGACATATATAGTTTTTGGCTCAATTCTCACTCCTAAAACGTAAATAATGATACTTGCATGCGGATACAGCGACCCTTCTTTAGAGATAAAGATAGACTTCTTGGAAGTAGGTGTTAAGTAGGCTGAGTAAGCTATTAGAGGGAGCCCCCGTGCTAGGTTTGCATATCCATATATCCATTGCGCCAGATACCGTAGTACTTCCTTAGTAAGAAAGCTAAGGCTAGATAAAATACCGTATTCATCCACACCAAAATACACAAGAAGCCCTTCCCTGAATGAGTCTGACGACTTTGCATAGTCATCTACGAGACATTCAGGACGCTTGGGTGGAGGGAGGTGAAACCGTCCACCCACGTGGCCGCAGACGGTATCGACGGTCGCAGGTTGTTTGCCATGAGCGGTGTGTAAAGGCTCGTCCCTGGCAAGCTGGAGGTAACATGCGATATGCAGCGTGATGGGATTTTAAGGTTGTTATCGCGGAGAGATGGGCAGGGGTGTTGGCAGCTAAATTGATTGATGGTTTCCCCCTGAAACGCAGCCCACGAGGCGCGCACGACCCCGCTTAGTTCGGCCAGATCATCATTTAGTCATGGAGCCGGTGCAGAATTAGTTGCATTTTCCGGCACAGCTGCATGCAGGTTGCAGAACGCCCGCATCCAAATGAGCCTCATTCTTAGGTAGCTTTCACTCATCAGACATCAGCCTCCACCCACGCATGCATCACCACATCACCACAACACCATTCCCTTGCTCACCATTCAAACGTCGCTCATCGCTCACAACATTCTCAATCGCCTACTCCATACGCTTACCCTCCGACGACATTCTAGTTCGTCACCTCCGTTCGACACCTGTAAGCACTATTGTCAGCGCTGTGCCTTTCGCCGTTTCGCCACGACTATCCCGGCGCGCATGAGGATGTCTTCATGGAGAGCGTGATATATCAAGATTCGCCACTCGCAGAACTTCTCGAAGGTACGATGCTCTATCTAAGCGACGTCTCGCGCCCGCATAGGACGATACCTGTCCTTTGTTACACACCACACGATTAGTGGAACTTCACGCTAACCTACAACACCAGGCGAGGGCAGCGCTGAACCAGACTGGGTGGATGCGCAAAGGGATCCCCCGTCAGGAAATGCTTCACCAATCTCTATAGCCTTTGCGCCTCGAGGTCCATCCACCCTACACGCTCGCTTACGCAACAAACTCCCACAACCACTCACGATACCCAGCACAACCAAAAGTCCTGTGGCAAAGATACATAGTGCATGCTCGGTATGTTAGCTGCATCACCTTGTTGCGGCTGACGATTGCTAATCCGTCTCATGTAATCAGCGTGCAGTCAATTCTAGGCTGGGACGTGCAGACAACGAGCGCTTCTTGGAACATTTCCGCTATATCCTCGTAGCCTCTCATTTGTTGAGCGAACATACCACAAATGGAGCGCTGAAACCCCGATTCGCCGATGATGCTTTGGCATCCCGCTCCAACTACAAGACCGTATCGATATCCTTGAGAGGAGCAGTGGCTTCTGGGGTGGCGGCCTTCGTCCTGGTATGGATAATCCACTGGGCAAAAGGCACAAGGCCTGGCGCATTTGCCAATAAGGGGCGCCTCGTAGTCGCATTGGCAGCATTTTCCCTAGCGATAGCAGTAGCCTACGTCTACATCAGGCGACAGTGGCTGCGGAACCTCCGACACCAAGCAGTAGATGCGGTCACTGCACTCATTACCAACTTACATGCCCTGGATGGATCTACATCGACTACCCTGACCTTTATCCAAGAAGTGGAGCTGATCTCTAGAGGCTACCGCATGTGCGTCGCTTGTAGCCCACTAGTGAGAGCGAATCGCTGACTTGGAACAGAAGCAGCCCTTTGCCTCCTATAACCAGGCTCGAAGAAAAGGGACAAAGCCGACGATGTCATAGACTGCGTCGGAGCGCCCGAAATGCTTTCGTCGCCGTCATACCGCTTTTCATCGAACAGTGTCAAGTAGTTCGCAGTCTCGTTGCCCCAGATGATCTCGAGAAGTACTTGGACATGTATGAGTTGTCGCTCACAGACGTCAAAGAAGCTTCTGTGGGATCCTCAGAGTTTGAATTTGAGGACGCAGATAGCTTACGTGCACTGCGAGTATGTCAGTATCGTCTAGATATCCTACGAAGACTCTTCCTCTGTTCACTTCTGGCTCTTGAAGCTGATGGAGGGAAGTCTGACTTTCCTCGATGGCGTCTCGCCATTCAAGCGATGGAAAGTCTAGCAATCATCTCAGGAGATTGGAGCCGAAAAATTAATGTTATACTGAGCGAGGAAGAACGTATGTTCATTTCGCCACGCAAATTTAATCACTTAGCTAAACAAGCACAGAATTTACAGTTGCCTCACCAAAGCCGAACATTCAAGCCCCAGGTAAAGAGCGTGTCCGAGGTCAACTTCGCAAGCTTGGAGCACTATCCCAGGGTATCCGTGGATTGCAAGCTAAAATGCAAATTCTTCGAGAAGAATCCAACAGAACGTTGGAAGAATCTGATGACGTTACTGAGCTAGGAGCCAGTTTAATGTCTCAGTACGACTCTATTGGCTCAGACCTCAAAGCTCTAATACAAGCCTGGGAGACAGGTAAAGCAGCTCTGGCTGCAAACATCGACCGACAAGAGAGGCGTATCTCACAAGCTTCTGTAGACATTCGCTCTCCTGCTACCAGTCTCAGTGGTCTTACTGCTGTCGAAGAAGGTGACGCGAGTGATGCTCTGAGAGCTCTGAATGGTGACAGATCTTCTACATCTGGACGCTCCAGTTTGAACGGGAGCAATTCAGATGAGGAGGTCTTCGAGGCCATAGCGATACCGCGACAGCGCCCACGAATGACCATGGAAGAACGGAAGGCGAAGCTCCAAGATGATCGTACACGTCAACAAAGTCTGCGTGAGCAGAGAGAAGCAAACACCAACATGCTCAAAGAACTAGAATCCGTCATTACCCTGCGTGGGAAACCAACACCATCTCAACACGGTAGGATTACGTCTATATGATCGCACAACCCCATCATCGCATCTGTAACGAATCTCTTTGACCATCTGCATAATCATAGAGCGTGGAGTCAGGCGCCGTAGAACGCGTATTGCGCTCAAATCTTGGGTCGGTTCTGGGTCGATTCATATCGCGCGCATAAGTCATCGCTCTTTGGCAATTTCGCTTTTTCCTTTGTTTCTAGCATTCATAATATCGCTGTCGCGAGAATCTGTCTGTTCACTGACGGTCAGACGGACTTGATAGTGTGCTCTGATATGCTGGTTGAGCATTCGGCATGCAACTCTTCTACGGAATCCATGCCATTCCTTGTACACTAGACGCATCGTTACATGCAAGGATCTCCCTGCGAAGCTTAGCAAATGATTACAGCATAAACAACCTATAGTCTTCTCACTCACGGCCACTGGTAGTAACACCTCTGACGAAATATGCCATCTGAAAACGAAGAGACTGTCTACTTCTTCGGAGTATTGAGGGTATAGAATAATCAGCCCCCACGCTTGTGTTGTTTAGGATCGTCGCTAGCTAGGCATTACCTCCTTAGCGTGGTCTCGGAGTGGTCACGACCTAAGCACGCGAGTCGCACGTTTGTAACAATGAAAGTGGAACGTCGTACCGCATCTAAGTTGAAGAGACAAAGTATGCTAGATCACATGAAAGTAGACTCGCTATAATCTATCCTACCTACTTGGTCGCCGATTTGAATTTGTTCAGAGTCGAGTTCTAGTCACCTGAAACCCATAAAACACGCTTGAAGAAGAATGGTGATGCTGACAGCTGAGCTCTCTTCAGCTCAGCTTCCGTAATTAACGCGTCACGTTCGCAACAACAAAATCACCTGCCACAGCACATCCGGGAAACGATTGTGAAAGAGTCAAATAAGAGGTTACTTATTATGCCACCTTTTCACATGGCACGATCTCGGGCTGCCGACGATGCAAACGATTCATACCCCAATCGTCGACATATAGGCATTGGTGATCGAAATCAGGCTCGCTACGTACCTCCGCCACCCCCGCCACCCATGGTCCGCCAGTCTGGCTATGGATATGACGAGTATGGCGTGGATGGTCGGCGTGGGAACCGCTCTGCGGCCAATATGTGGGTCAACACACAAGGCGACGAAACGAAGATTACAATCGAGACATGTCGACCGCAGCACCGGTCAGGAGGGAATCATAAGTATGAATATGATGTTTCACTCACCCGAGAGAGGCCCACTATACAAAGAGTGCTACGTCCAGGGACATGGGACGAGGGAGATTCTCCACTTCGCAGATATGACGACGACCTATCTATTCGAGAAAGTCCCATTACGCGGAGGGTTAGACCTGCCTGGGATGAACCGGATCAGGTATATCGTCAACGAAGTAGGCCTGATCGTAGAAGGACGGACGATGATGGACCAGCAAGTCGCCCTACTCCAGGGCAAGGGTCAGAGGATCTGGAACGACCACACAGTGCGCCCGCATCAGATAGCCCATACGCGGGCGCAGAACCAGGAAAAACGCAGCCTTACTCCGAGCGTATCGATCTTCCCGCTGGTGCAAGCGTCAATGGATCTGATGTAGACGCCCCAGTCCGTGTCGAAGAACCAGAAACCATCGAAGTGCAGCGCCGTCGTGACAGCCGACGTCGACAAGTGTACTTCTCAGACTCGGATGAAGACGCTTCGAGCTTCAATGACTTCAGGCTCCAAGGTCAGCTGGGTCAAAGGGATCAAGAGAAAGAAGTAGACGGGTTTGATGCGACTTCTAGACCTGGCGTCGATAGGCCTGTTGCAGACCCCTTGGATCGAATGAATATCACAAACAAAGAAGTCATATATTCCTCATTCACAGACTCCAGTGAGGACAGTGGAGAACTCACTGTGGCTTTGACCACGAGGCCGGAGACTGCAAGAAGACCCTCACTACAAAATGAGCCTCTCTACCGTTGGATGTAAGTTTTGTCTCGCATCTAAGCATGTTTGTCATGGCCCTAGGTGGCGGTTCTTCAATGCTTATAGTACTGTCATCCTATCCCTATTGGTTCTGAGGCACGACGCTAGATCTCGTCTCACTCGCTTGTTTCTCCTTCAGATACACCAGACTTGATTTCCCACCCCTTGACGAAGATTTTGCTGACATAACATAGCCACCTCGAAGGCACATACATGGACTTTGACGCGTTCATGGTAAGTACGCAATGAAAACAGTCGGAATTTTGCCACTGATTTCTCCTAGGATGCTGCATGCGGTGCTCCTGAGATGTCCTCCAGGGACAAACATACCATGGCAAAAGTTCTCAAACGTATACGCAGACAAGCAGAGAAGCCCCTTCGCACAACTCAAGGAAATCGAGGTCGCTATATGGTACCAACCCTTCTCCGGGAGTGCAATCTCAGTAACGTGAAATCCGATGGGCGGTTAGATCCTGACCAGATCGTAACCTGTATTGCTCTGCCTTATTTCCTATTGAAACCCTACACAGCCATCGAACTCCCGGAGAGATCGCCATTGCATCCACCACGGACTTTGATGCAGTTCCTGCACGGCTCTGCGAGGAGAGAGCGAGACTTGCAGCAAGCAGTTTGTCAGATTCCGAGCACTCCAAAGGGCCAATGCTTTCATGTTGCAGAGTTTTGGATCCTTGTGTTGAACAATTGTGAGTTGATCTCACAGTTGACGCATGCAGACGACTGACAATGGCCTGAAGCTTTGGTTGTTACAGCTGCAAATATTCCACAAAGAACGGTTGATAAGCAGAATATTCTGCTCACGAATAAACCTTCAGATCAGATGTCGCACATTGTTGTCGCTGACTCCGCTGGATCACGTTGGCAGATACCAAAGGACAGGAGTCAGACGTGGCTGGTTAGTGCACAGCAAGTTTCCAGTGATATCCTGCTCACAAAATCAGGCTTTTACTTCTCACTTCCTGTCAGAAATGATATCGACAGATCCTATGACCCGTGAAACTGCGGATAGTCTCTTCAAGATCTCCTTTCGCAACGAGCAGGTAACAGCCAAGACGTGGCCTCAAACTTTGGCTGCAGTGGAACATAGTAATGCGAGCCTTGAAATATCCTTCGAGTAAGTTTATGATGGCATTCACCGCTTTGGATTTTTCTAAGGACATAGGGGAACGGGATATGTTTGGAGAGCACAACTCGAGACCTCGGAGCTCCATTTACCAGATCTCGATATTTTGAACAAGGCCACTACAGACAGTCAGACACCATCACAGGACACAGCTGTCTCTATCTCTCGTGGTGACGAGCCTGAAGGTAATACGTATCCGGACGCGGGCGTCGTTCCACGCGGTTCCAACCAAGACCTAAAGGACACCACCTCGAAGGAGGACAAGACAGCTCATGCTGCACAGCAGTTCCAGGTCTTTTCATGGGCAGTTGGCGACCGAGGGGTGAGCGTTGTCTCAGATAACAACAGAGGAGATATAACTACTTCGACTCTCGGACAGCCACTTAAGGAGACGACCAAGAAATTCATCAGCAAAATCGAAACCGCTATGCTCGAAGTCCATGCGTACCTCCTCAGTGCAACGAGCGCTTATGAGAAAAATGTCTATCAAAAAGCTACTGAACTTTCCTGGGATAGCATTTCTGAAACATACTACAGCGCACTGAAACTCAGAGATGAAGATAACGGTATAGCATGGTACATGCACTCTGCGAAGGTGATTTACGACTTCTTCCTACCGCAAAAAGTAGATTCCATCCTCTCGAGGAAGTACTGGGGTGGTGTATGGTACTCTATAAATGTAGGCCAATATTCCTAGATGGTATCTCTTTGCGTTACTGACGGACATAGCATCGTCGCAACCAGATCTCAGGCTCCGACACGGAGCTTCGTGCAATCGTCCAACTCATGCAGTACATCAATGCCCAGCTGATTGATGGGATTTCCACCTCTATCAATATGCCAGAGGAGTTCGAACGAGCCTTCCTTCATATAATCATGTACTTGAGTGTGGTACAAGCGGACGGGACAAGAAGTACCATACGCAGAGCCAAGTCACACCTAGACAAAAGCCAGTCTATGCTGAAGCGCGGCTGGGTCAAACTCCTGAAGTCGCTCGCTGGCGCATCCCTCTCATCCAAAGCCATAGCCGGACCTGATACCATCATGTCCATGCTCGTCCGCAATCTCACCATGGACATAACCCGTGAACACCCCGACCTTTCCGCCACCTACGAGGAGTATTTCCAGCAGATTGTAAACCACTACTTTTCCAGTCTATCACAATGCACGTACTAACACATCACAGGAATTTGACCTCCAGGCCCGCCCCTTAAAGCGCTCACACCAAGGCAAGCTGACCGCGCTAAAACAAGAAATCGAAGCAATCACAAAAACCCTCGACCAGCAGCGCCAAGTCCTCTCCGACCTGCTGCAAGCATTTACAAGCACAACCCGTATGCTCGGCGCCCGCCCCGAGCGCGTCGGCGGCGGCAGCGGACGTCGTGGCTACGCCGGCGCATTTCCCAACACCCACGGCCTACACTACAACTCCACCCCAGGCTCCCGCGACGCACAGATCATCAGTGACGCACTCGCCTGGGTCGAGTACCGCAAGGACCAATTCGCCGAGATGGACGCGCGCGCCAGCGAGCTCGAGGCCTGGAACCTGCGGCAGATCGACAGCAACAAGGACCGGCAGGAAGCGGCCATCTACGCCTTCACCATCGTGACCATCATCTTCCTGCCCTTGTCGTTTGTGGCGGGCTTTCTGGGCATGAATACGACGGACGTGCGCGACATGGAGCTGAGTCAATGGGTGTTTTGGGCGGCGGGCGTGCCGTTGACGGTGGTGATTATCCTGATTTCGCTGCTTTGGGCGGGCGAGATTACGAATACGTGGGATGGGCTCAAGGGGATGTGGGCTGGGGTCCGGGGCGTGAGAGGGGAGAGCAGTGGTGGGGTTGGGGGTGGAGCGGTTGAGGGGTTTGGGTTGGATGCGGATCTGATTTCGTCCGGGGCAGATGAGAGGAAGGATAGCGGTATTCGGAGGAGACGGGGTTTGTTTGGGTCTGGAAGGCCGGCAGATGGAGGCTCTAGCTGGAGAGATGGATGGCAGAAGAGGAGACGTCGCGGATATAGCTCTGAAAGCTCGGACAGGAGGTCGCAACGACGGGTAGTCAGCCGCTCCAGATCCAGGCCCAGGCCGAGGGCAAGGGATAGGGATAACTCCAGGGAAAGAGAAAGAGAAGGGCCCAGGAACGGCGACAGCGATAGTGACTAGTTGGTGTCGAATCACAATGCCGCCGCTGGTGTAAATGCGCGTAGGTAGTAGAGTGCAAAAGGAGGGGAGGCAGACATCTCAGATTTGGAACTTACAGCAGAGTAGAGGGTGGTAGATTTTCTCAGCGGTGTCTTTATACTTGTTGTACAAGATAAGATATGTTTGTGTCCGTCTATTATACACTATCTAGAGTCTGGGAAGACATGTCAAGGAGGTATAAGAAAGATATGACAGCGGGAAGCTCTTTTCTTCTCATGTTCCAGACTTACTTTTTAAGCCGTGACACCTGACAGTCTATGTTATGTGGACTGTTATAGTGGCACTTATTGTATCGGCTCGGTTAACATCCTGTTAAGTCCGACTATATGCAGACCGTTACGCCTCGGGAGCATTTCGTCGTAGGTTCGTGATCTACCTGTGCTGTGCCTCGGAGGAGTCATTGGTAAGGAGGATTCCGTTTGTCAAGCTAATTAAGGACACGAATCACGGGAGCTCTATATTCGTGTGAAGATCATACCCAATCTACCATAAGGGCATTATTGGAGAGAAGCACAGACACCTTCTTTGCTTGCCTGGGCAACGACCTTCACCCCCGCATATGGTTAGTCAGCAGACATCACGGTTCAAACATGGCCGTTACGACGTCACCTGTCTCACTGGTATATCATTGAAGTCCAAAGACTTCAGAGAACTGTGGCACAACGATTGAGACGACCATTGTGGTCTTTGACAGAAATTATACGTAGTAAACCCTCCGCCAAGGACTCAAGGACGGCTATACAGCATTACAGTGCCTTGCGACCAACACCTCTCTACTATCCCAGTCAAGCTTGCAAGGTTCACCCAATCACCATCCGAAGATCTAGCATAGCTTGTTGTTCGACATCTACAATCGGCAACATGACAATCCGAGCAAAGAAGTTCACACCAGAGGTGATGCTGCGCGCGCCTCGTCGCTCAGCGGGAGTCCCGAATGGAGATGCGTCATTGATTCTATATACAGTCTCGACTTACTCGTTTGAGGAGCATTCCAAAACCTCCCAGGTGCGGATCCTCAAGGCAAAGGACAATTCGTCTCACTTGGTGACAATGGCGGAGGGCGCTAGTCAGCCGCAATGGATCGATGACAAGGTTATCTTGCTTCTCCCTGGAGAGCACGGAGCGACCAAGATTGCAGTCGGAGACCCGTTTGACTTTGACAGGTAAATTTGGTTGTCGTAATACAAATCATGTGTTGATTAGAGACAGCCACTACGTAGCGGGAACAGTCGATGCTCCCATAAGCGATCTGAAGCTCGTCAAGCTTGACAAAGGCAAGTATGCCATTGCTCTGACTGCAGCTGCCACTCCAGATGGCGAATTGTACAATCCCGAGCACGCAAAGAAGCCCAACACGACCGGGCGACTTTACAAGTCGACGTTTGTTCGCCACTGGGACAAATGGATCAGCAAGGAGAGAAACTCGATCTGGTATGGAACTCTGGTTGAGATGGCAGGCGATACCCCAAAGCAATACCTGCTGTCTCCGCTCACGAATGCATTGAAAGACACTGGTCTTGAAAGCCCGATACCCCCGTTTGGCGGGGCAGATCACTTTGATTTGAGCATCAATGGCATCATATTCACCGCAAAGGATCCCCAGCTCAGCGCCGCGACAAACACGAAGACGAATATATACTACATTCCGATACCCTTTTCGAAAGAACTCACCCCGCCAGGACCTCCGCCGCCGATTGAGGCTTTAACCTATGGTTTCGAGGGCGCATCAACGTCACTTGTGTTCTCTCCCGATGGCAAACAGGCGGCCTTTCTTAGAATGCGAGAGAATGGCTACGAGGCGGACAAGAACCAGCTCTTTCTCATACCAGACCTTGAAAAACCCTCCTGGGTCATCACGGCCTTTCCTGAATCTACAGGCAGGGGCGCATGGGCTTCGTCGCCTGGTAGCATCACGTGGAGCAAGGACTCAAAGACCATTTTCTTGACTGCAGAGTTCCGGGGCCAAACGTGTCTGTACAGTGTCGATCGTGAACAGATACCTACTTCGGACACATCTGTGATTAAAAAGTACCACACGACTGGTAATGTATCGGGTATGTCGAATGCCAAGAACTCATAACTACTCCCAGTGACTGACATGGTGTCGTAGCTATTCGATACCTCGAGAACGACCACATCTTGATCTCGGGCTCCAGTATGGTCGACAACAGTATCTACTCTATTGTCGATGCAAAGAAGCCAAACTCCATGGCCGTCATCTCATCATTATCGAAGAACGGCGCAGCTTTTGGACTGTCGCCCGACCAAATTACTGAATTCTGGACCACAGGAGCCGACAAGACAACGTCTGTACATTCGTTGGTAATTCGACCGTCCAATTTTGATGAAAAAAAGAAGTACCCGTTAGCTTTCCTCATCCATGGTGGACCACAAGGAGCCTGGCAGAATGCATGGAACACCAGATGGAACCCAGCCGTCTTCGCAGAGCAAGGCTACGTTGTCGTCATGCCCAACCCGACCGGGAGCACGGGTTATGGACAGGACTTCTGCGACGCCATACAGGACCAGTGGGGTGGCTTGCCCTACCAGGATCTAGTCAACTGCATGTGGTGGATCGAGAACAACGTTGACTACATCGACAGCAAGAACGCCGTCGCCCTCGGCGCTTCATACGGTAAGTCCAGATCAACTCCCATGACCAGCCGTCCACGACACTAACACTCAATCCACAAGGCGGCTTCATGATCAACTGGATCCAAGGCAACCCACTCGGCCGCAAATTCAAAGCCCTAGTCTGCCACGACGGGGTCTTCAGCATGACAGGCCAACTCGCCTCTGAAGAAACCTGGTTCCCCTTCCACGACATGAAGGGCCCGCTCTGGAAAAACCCCCAGTCATGGTCCCAATGGGACCCCTCCCGCCTCTGCGCCAACTGGGCCACCCCGCAGCTCGTCATCCACTCGGAGCTCGACTACCGTCTCACCGTCTCCGAGGGTCTGTCCGCCTTCACCGTGCTGCAGGCCAAGGGGATCGAGAGCGAGTTTCTGACGTTTCCGGACGAGAATCACTGGGTGTTGAAGCCGGAGAATGGCTTGCTTTGGCATACTGTTGTGCTGGATTTTGTTAATCCGAAGGTGGGCTTGCCGAAGTATTCGGATGTTAGTCGGGCGGGGAGGGAGAGGAGGGAGGAGGCGGCTATGGATGGGTTTGGTGGTGATGATGATGGGGCTCAGGTTGGGGTAGAGGGGTTGAGTTTGTGATGAGGGAGGAGCGTGTTGGTAGGTCTGGATTGGTATGTATCGTGTTGTGATAAGTGGTGTGCAGATTGTTTATTACCTGCTCTAGTATCGTTGTTCCTTCGCGTCGTTTGAGAAATTGAAAGATAAAAGACAGTAGTATTGCTTGTGAAGGAGAAATCATCACACACCAGTATAATGATGCATTCTTTTTCTTACACAAAACAAAGAAGTCAAGCCGTGAGCAAATCACAATCGTCTCCCTCTGTTCTTTATAGATGGGATGTATACGTTTAAAAGGGGGTTCTGCCAAGTCATTTTGCCAACACAGTCATTTCAGTTCAGTTCAGTGAAGCGACAGGATAAGGACAACCATGAAAGGCGCAAACCGCTCAGAATCGTCTATAAAATGCATGAAAACACGACTGTCTAACCCAATTCTGTTTTTGAGCGGCAGAGCGTCCCCTGCTTCATGCTTCCGCGCCGCCATCAACGCCCTCCTCCCCGGCCAACAGCCCCCTAAGCACCCCCTCAAGCTGCACAAGCGCATCCTCACAAATCTGATAATGCACAACAAGCCGGCCCCCCATAACAACCAACCCCCGCCGTCCCGCAGCCTCGACAAACCGCTCCACCGCAATCCCATGCGCCTCCAGATCCAGCCAAACCATATTCGTCTCAACCGGATACACCAGCTTGCCCCCCAACCCGCGCCACACCTCCGCCACCCGCCGCGCATTCCGATGACTCCCCTCCAACCGCCCGCCAAGAAACGTGTCCTCGATCGCGCTCCGCGCCGCCGCCGTCAACACCCCCGACATCCTCGTGCCCCCGCCGAAACACTTCCGGATCCAGCGCGCGCGCTTGATGAACGCCTTGTTGCCGACTAGCATGCTGCCGATCGGCGCCCCAAGGCCCTTGCTAAAGCACAGACTCACGCTGTCGACGGCAGACGCGTACTCGGCGAGTGTGCCTGCGCCGCTGGCGACGGCCTCCCAGAGCCGGGCGCCGTCGAGATGGACGAGGATGCCGTGGGCGTGGGCCCAGGCGGTGATGCGCTGGACTTCGGCGAGGGGCATGACGGTGCCGTGGAGGGTGTTTTCGAGACAGATGATCCGTGTGGGGCAGGAGTGGATGTCGTCGGTGAGGACGGCGTGGCGGGTGATGTCGGGGAGGGTGAGGTGGTGGGAGTTTGCGGGGAGGACGGTCTGGGCGAGGGCGCCGCTGAGGCTGGCGAGACCGCCGGCTTCGTGGACCATGATGTGGGAGCGGGCGTCGAGGAGGACGGCGTGGGGCGGGGCGCCGAGGTGGGTGCGGAGGGCGACTTGGTTGCCCATTGTGCCGCTGAGGACGAAGAGGGCGGATTCATGGGCTGTGAGGCGGGCGCAGAGGGCCTCGAGCTCGTTGGTGGTTGGGTCTTCGACGTAGCAGTCGTCGAGGAGGGTGGTGTGTGTGATGGCGGAGAGCATGGAGGCTGTTGGGGTGGTGATTGTGTCGCTGCGGAAATCGCGGGCGGCGCGGCCGGGGGTGGACCATGCGGTTTGGCCGGGGCTGGAGGGAGTGGTGTCGTTGGGGGGCTTAGGGGTGTTTGTGTTTGTGTTTGAGTTTGAGTGTGCGTTTGCGTGGGCGTACATTGAGGCCATTGTGCGGGATGTGGTGTTTGTGAGGGTTCTTCGTTGCGGGAAAAGGGGTGGTCGGAGAGGGGTGAGGAGGTGGGGGAGATGGGATGATGCTGTCGTTGGGAGGCCTTTGGGGGGGGGGAGAGATGTCAGATGATAATCATGATATGTCGGAAGAGTAGACTTGTGTGGATTGATTGATTGATTGACGTACGCAGATATGTTTGCAGTGAGGCGATCCTTACTGACATGGTACCGTGAAGGCGTTGTTTGCGTTGATGTGTGCTGTCGACGACGACATTGCTGGACACGAAAATTGTTGCGGTTACACCCGTCGTTCTCCGTCTTTCATATTAGTAATGTTGTGGGGCTAGCTGGCACTCGTACAGTAGCAGCGGAGTGGAGACGATGCTCAGCATATTGTGTGTTGATTGAATACGGACTGAAAGCATGTTGATGTTGTCTTAGCACGAAGGGAGGTGTAAGATGTTGCAAAAGGCTGTGGATGTCTGGATAGGGGACCTCGGAGGAAATGTAACCTTCGGCGTGATTATTTGTGCCTCAGGCATCACTTTGATAGAGTTTGTATCTGATAACTCTGTGAATCCATATCCATACCCAGCCGACTAAACATCCCACATAAAACCCAAACCGATCCTTCTCCAACACCTCCGGCATCAGCACATACCCAATCACATTCCGCGCCCGCCACTTCCGGCGTCGTGCCAAACCGCCCGATAACCCGGGATCCCCCATAAGTTACAACCTTTGTCCTCGTACCCAGCATCGCCATCGCAACAATGCGCCACCCGCTTCCTGCACGTACATAAACCCCAGATCATGCTCGCTCATCAGTGCATTCCAGAATCCGAACCGTGTGTGCTCGTGGTGGAGATTGTCGAGGCTGTGCTGCATGAACCCTGGCGGTTCGGTATAGGGTCCATGCTGCTCATGATAGAACAATACTAGTATCAAACGTAGCACCTTATCAAAGTAATAGAACTCTATAAAATAACATTTTAGTCTTTGACGTTTAATAGTAGTAGATTAAATATTAATTATCATACTTAATAGGTACTTGATATACTATACTATAGCTTATAGATAGTAGATAGATACAGGTGCATCTCGGGCATGAAAAGCGGCAATGACTTTAGGTAGTCTCACGAACCGGTTCTCGGCCCGCGACAGGCACAATGCCTCCGCCGTTGCCGCCGTCGCTGCCGTCGCCCCTAGCCAGCCAGGGCATCCAAAGCGTCCAGGAGCAGCGGGGATGGGCCTCCATGCATGCTTGGGCGTGTTGTGCAGCGGCGAGGGCGCCTGCGATGGTGGGTGGTGACTCATGAGGTCGGCCTGGATGAAGGTTGCGGCTGTTGCGCCGGTGGAGAGGCTGAGGGTTTATACGACCCAGTTGCCCGGTTCGGTGCTGCGGCCTATGACGGTGAAGTCTGCGAGGTCGATCCCGGAGGTTACGCCGAAGGATGCGCAGTTTTTGTGTTGGAGGGTAGGGTGCTGGCTGGTGGTTGCTGATGCTATGGTAAAGATGAATATTACGATAGAAGACGTTCCTTTAGGGGGTGTTTGAAATCTTCGGTAAAGGTCACTCTTAACATTTTTTTAAACCCCCGATCACCCCATATTCTGCCTTTGAATCTCATCCCACCCCCACCCTCAGCTTGGAATTCGAGCTAATAACTGGGATTATGAGATGGTGTGGAGCTAAAGGAATAAGGCTCCGATTTGGGGTCGCTAAACCCACCCATTTTAGGCGTGATTATAAGTTAAAATCGATATCTTTATAGGGGTTTAGTATTTTTTATCTGTCGACGATTTAAGTTCGCCTAAAATTCATCAAATCCAATAAATTTCTTTGACTGGGTGGCGTCCGGACGGCGTCTATACACTTGTGAATACGGTTATTTTCGAAGTCAAAAGTCGACCTGAGATTTCAAACATCCCTTAAGACTACTAGTTAAGCAATGAACTTCCTTCCGCCCCCATTCATCCGCATGTTGTCGATGCTAGGTGGCGTAGACTTGGAGTCGGGCATCGGTCTCGGCGTCACATCGATATATTTAGTGCTGGATGCAAACGAGGACAGCAGCAGGATGTGTTCAAAATTTACGTTCTCTTGGACGGAATAAACCGGCAGTGGTCCTTGTAGAAGCAACCACCGTAGTTAGTCGACTGTAGGATAAGGCTACGTAACGAATATACTGTGAGAGGAAGAGGTCTAGACATTTCGGTCAATGAGTTGAGGACCTTGAGTTCCAAATATCAGCGAATGATCGGGTCCGACGGGTGTTCCGGAAGGGATCCCGGAAGGTGGAAGGTGTACGGAGGAGCCATGGATATCCCGGCATAGCCCTACAACCCCGCAGGTTGATCCATGATCGCGTGGTAACTCATCTGTCCATGAATGCATCAGCCCAGTAATTACAGTTTTACATGCATATCCCAATGCGTACACAGTATAAGCCTCGTATAGACAGCTCTGGGGCTTGCTGAAATTTCCCAACAACGGTGAAATTTCGGTCAAGTTTTCAGACCACCAGAAGTTGTGATATACTAAATTCAACATGGCCCGCCGTGCAACTCAGACCTCTCTTCTTCTTCTTCACCATATGCAACAGTGCCCAGGCCCAAGGACGACTTGAGAATGGATTCTCATCTAAAAACTGTGAGCACTTTCGTGCAGGCCGCCCAGCCCCTGTTGGTGCACGTCATCTGCGTGCTCGGCCTTGCGATCCGACCGCGAAGTCTTGCCATCAGTATCACGCTCCCGCTAATGACATGGGTTCTGTCCAAGTCGCTACTTCGCGATCCACGTGCGTACGGCGAGGAGTACTCACTCAACAGCTACCTTATGATGTTTCCTTGGATCTGGCTCGACTGGGTTGTGATGGGCAATTCCGACCGCGAGCAATGGCGGCGCATCGACGCAAAGAGCACGGAGAAAAGTGGCACGAAGGGTGTGAGAGGAGATGTTCCGAGGAATTTCATGGCGAGATTGAAATGGGCTGGCCGGCTTACCGCCAATCCGCGCTTGTTGGGGTATTCCAGTCAGATTGCAAAGATGCCAAAGGGATATGCGCCAGATCTTCCGCGTAGGTAAGAAGGGCAAGATACACGTCTTTTACGTATCACGACTTACAATGATAGCTGGGCTATACTGCGGAAAGTCCTCCGAATGCTGTACTTTGTCGGTGTGATTGTGGCTATCAAGTTCGTTTTCGCCCAGACGTCGTACACCACCTACTACGACAATCACGGGCACCCGAGATCTGATGTGCTCACGCGTCCGGGCTGGCTAGAAGGCATGTTGTTTGCATGGCTATTCATCCTCAGCGGCTATGCCGGCATCGAAGCATGCTTTGCCCTCACCGCCGTCGTTGCTCTCGCACTTGGCTCCCCAGTCCACACCGTCCCGCCCGCCGGCGGCGACGCCACGCAAATGTACACGGTCCGCAAGTGCTGGGGCGAGGTATGGCATGGTCTTCTCCGCAGGGTAAGCTCCAGAACGACAAATACATATAAGGCTTCTCTGACACCACATGCAGCTCTGTACGGCACCAGGCAATTACCTTGCCCATGACGTTTTCCACCTTGCGCGCGGCACTTTTGGCTCCAGGTACCTCAAGCTGTTCGTCGCATTCTTTGTCAGCGCCTGTGTACATAGCTTCGGCGCCATGCTCACGATGCGTACCTTTCAGGATAACGGCGATTTCGCGTGGTTCTTCGCGCAAGCCATCGCCATCTTTGTCGAGGACCATGTCATCTTGTTCGGCAAGAAGATCTTTGGCACGCAGCATGCCACCTTTTGGCGAACGGTGGGCTATGCGTGGGTCATAGTGTGGTATGGCTTGTCGATACAGCACTACCTGTTCTCCATGTATTCGCGAGGGATGTCAATGGTTTCCTGATGGGTGGGCATGTTGGTAAGGAAGAAGTCCTACCCTTGTGATGGCAATAGAGAGCGTAATAAGATAGACGAGATATATAGATAATAAATAATTATATAGTTTTGTCACGCAGCATATAAATTGCAGACTGCTGCATGGGCGACGCGTACCTGGCACGCGTTCCCTGCTCTCGGCGCGTCCTCCAGCCACTCACAGAAATCACCAGCCACACGCGCACGCCCCACACAGCAACCGCTCTATCGCATATCCATCTTGACCACGACAGCCTCACAACATCGCAATCAACCCCCAAATACACCGCACCATGACGAACCTCGACGTACTTCTCCTCAAGGGCCCACCGTCCGACGACCTCCAACGCGGCCTCGACGACCTGCGCTACACGATCCTCACACAGGGCATACCCGGAAACAGCGATGGCATGGTGCGTAACAGACAAATCCCCTCCAAAACCACAACCAAACCAACCCCCCAACACTAACTTATACCACCCTGAGCAGTCCGAGCTGCGAGTCTACATCTGGCTGATCCTCCTCTCCGTCCCTCCGCTCCAAACCTCCGCCTACCTCGACCTCGTGCGCCAGGGCGCATCCCCAGCCTACGCCAAAATCCGCAACGACACCTTCCGCACCCTGGCCACGGACCCGCTGTTCCGGCGGCGCGTGACAGAGAACAGCCTGACGCGGGTCCTCAACGCCGTAGCATGGCGGCTGCACGACGCGCACGAGGCGCGCATAAACGGGTGGCAGAGCCCGCCGACGCTGTCCGAGGGCGGCGCAGGCAGTCCGGAGAGCAGGCCGTCGAACGTGTTCTCGGCGCGGCAGACGGACGCCTCAAGTAGTCGGACCGACGGCAGCGGGCAGGTCGGGTATGTGCAGGGGATGAATGTGCTCGCGGCGCCGTTTCTGTATGCGGCGCGCAGCGAGACGGAGGCGTTTGCGGCGTTTGAGCGGCTGATTACGTATGAGTGTCCGGGCTATGTGAGGGGCTCGATGGATGGGGTGCATCGTGGGTTGAGGCTGGTGGATTCCGTGCTGGAGATTGTGGATCCGCGGCTGGCGGAGCATCTGGCGAGTAAGGGGATGCATGCGGAGATCTATGCGTTTGCGTCGGTGCTGACGATGTGTGCGTGTACGCCGCCGTTGCCGGAGGTGTTGCAGTTGTGGGACTTTCTGTTTGCGTATGGGCCGCATCTGAATATTCTGTGTATTGTTGCGCAGTTGGTGCTCATTCGGGACCAGCTGCTGGACAATCCCAGGTGAGTGCTCTACCAGGTTGTGGGAGGGTTAACCTGACGTGCTTCCGAGCAGTCCGAACCAGATCCTCCGCGCTCTTCCTCCACTTCAAGCGAGTCGCATCATACAGATAGCGACGTCCTTTGCGCCGAAGATACCCGATGACATATACCATCAGATCGTCAACCATGCCAAATGAACGTCCTGCATGTCCAGCACCGACAAGCAGTCGTTCAAAAAAAAAAATAGAAACGCTTGACGAATCACGAATAACGAACTTGCAGCATTCCCGGGAGTTACATAGGATCAGTCGACGCACAAAAGGACATGACATAGTCACGGCATCCGTCCTAACATACCGTCCCAGGAATCTGTCCCGCATATATGGCTGTCTTGGAAATGTCGACACATAGTCCATCTGGCGTGGAAAACCTCTCACCCACAAGACTAACGTCTGCTTCGATCTCTGTTAGGCTCAGGCCAACTGTCACAACTCGCCAACAACCGAGCGAAAAGCCTCTCCGGCGCCGTCAAGCGGAATTGAACACAGGGGTAACGAACCGCTACAGCCCGCACCGCTTCCAACACAACGCCGTCCCTCTTTGGAGATTTGCCTACCCAATTCTTCAGCAGCCTGGACGCTAACTGTTTCCGAGACATGATGGACGGGTGACATGAGCTCTTGGCTAGACTCCGATGTAAATATCTCGGTCCAACGACCTTCAGAAGAAGAAGAAAATGTTAAATAAGATGGTGAATCGAACCAGAACCAAACCAACTACCACACTCTTACTATACTACACTAAACACACAAGACCGAATCAGTGCCATATCTATGAATCTGGAAAGTTACCTGGAACTAACTCATATCTCCCGTTGTGCTACTTATAACTCCCTTTCCCTTGCTGAACTATGTATCGCTCTCGTTCTTAACGACTTATATCTGATTCTGGGGCTTGAGGTATGGGTGTGTTATTTCTTTGTGGATTCTAAGAGAGCTTTATGGGAGGAGAGGACGAGCTGTGCGTTGGACTGAATTATTGGTACGCAGATCCTCGCGATTAATCGGTCTTTTATTCTCCATCCACGTTACTCATACTTCTACCAGAGCGTTAAAGAGAGACTACAGTGAGCGCACACAGCATATCCCATCCATCCACCCAACAACCCCCATCGCACACATCCCCCCCTTAACCAGCAACACGACCTAGCTGAAGCCTCCTGAACCCACCCCTACACGCAACATCCTTCTGCAACTCCACCATCCGCCGCTGATCACCCATCGGATCCGCACTCTCCTCCTCCACCACCCAGCCGAGATACTCGTTGGTGTAGTTGGGCACAAACGCGGCGTCCAAGACCCCGAGCCGCTTGCCGTACCGCGTCACCTTGTCCCAGTCGCGCTGCACGTTCTTGAGGTCGGCGGACAGGTACGCGTACGAGCGCTCAAAGATCTTGTGGTTGACGGGCGTGTCCATGGTTGGTTTGATGGCGATGTATTGCGCGAATGCCTCGGCGGGGGATGCGAGGGTGTAGTCTGTCGCACGCTTGACGGCGCGCAGGAAGGACTTGATTTTGGTTGGGTTGGCGGCGATGAAGGCGTCGTTGGCTGGAGGGGGGGGTGGATTGCTTAGTTTGTGTGGTTCATGTACTGGGGGGGGGGCTTGTAAGGGATGGGATACTCACCGATGTAGAGGATCGAGCAGAAGCAGCAGCAGCCCAGCTCGGCCAGCTCGTCGATACGAAGCATCTGCACGTCGTCTGCCGGTCTTCCTTGGCCCTTCAACCATTCCTCTAGCTCAACCATCTGCACATTTTCGAGACCAATCCCGGCGTCGATCTCGCCCTGGATGATGGCCTTGCTGACATTCATGCCGCACCGCACGGCCGTGTAGTCGTCCGGCTTCATGCCGTAGTACTTGGTCAACTCGTCGATCTGGATCTTGCCGAACTCGCCGACGTAGCCGATCCGCTTGCCCTTCAGCGAGCGAAAGTCGGTCGTGACGCCCGAGTCCTTGAGATAGACGACGCCGGTGAAGGGCTCGTCGAGCAGGGAGCCGATGGACGTGACGGGGAAATCGCGTGCTTTGGCCGCGAGCGTGTGGATCATGGCTTTGAAGCCCATGTCGACCTTGCCGGAGCCGATGATCTCGGTGACATCTATAGCAACATCAGCAACTGCCCCTGCCGTCATCACGCCAAATATCACTTCAGCACACATACGTACCGCTCGGATCGTTGGGTTCCAGGATGGCAACCTTGATGCCCTCGTCGGCGAAATACCCGAGCTTCTGCGCGAGGTACAGCGGGGCGTGGTACGGCGTCGCATGCCTAGCCTACATATCAGCATACACCTCCCACAGCCCGCACATTGCACCACAGTTCCACAGTACCAGTTTGTCAAGAAGGTGATCTTGTCCGTGGCCATGATAGTCTTCTCTCTCCTACAAGCCAGCCGTAAGCCAAGCGCACACTACCTCGGGAGAAAAGGGGAAAAGAGCATGTTCTTGCGCAAGCATTATCTTGACTCAAGTTCGAGCGGTATATTCTCAGAACCCGCGCCCACGACCTGACCACCCAGCCATCAACAGCCCATCTCACAAGCAGTGTGGATTGTGAAAGGGGGGGGGGCTGCGGATGGTGTGTGGTAGTGCGGACGGGGACACCCGCCATGCTCTCTTCTATCGAGTCGATAGCTGTCTTGAGGTCCAGATAGTCGCGGCGCCGAACTGTGGTCTTTGAGCCATTGCGTACAAATTGTGTTTGTTGACGAAGGAGAATGAGCAAACAAGTATAACAAAGACTGTCTGGATAGTTAGAAAGAAGTTCAATTTCGTTGGGGGAGAAATGCGCAGGGGCAAAGAGCGAGCTTTATATACACTCAACTTGAGGCGAGGAGGGGTAAGTGGGGCAAGACTCAACGAACAGGAGGGGCGCGTGAAATGATCTCGTTGGAATCACAACACCAAAACCCCCACAATTGACCGGTTGGATCCCTGCTAGGCAGCTATTAGGAAGACTTCGTTCGACACTTGGAGGCTCCAGTAGCTTTAGTCCATGCTACCATAGGACCAAAAATACCGCTTCCTCGCCATTTAATGTCATCCGAGCATTTTCCACAGACATGACGTTTTCCGTCGTTGCTACTAATACTAATTGGTCTATCTAGGCATATGTTAATCGATGTATATACTAGAAACGGATAGATGTATACTAAGAACGAAACAGTGCCTACATTTATATTACTACTCTATCTATATACACTCCATCATACTTCAAAACTCTTGCTTTTTAGCTATATGGCTTAGCAAGATTCGAGATCATAGTATGTCTACTAGAAGATGGAAGCAATGGAGGGTGGACATGTAGGGGTCAGTAGCTCAGTGACTTATTATAGATCTTTCTATCAGATCATATATACTTTATAAGGAGGAGCCGTGTACTACAGTTGGGAATTCAAAGGTACCCAAAGAAGCATACAATACCTTCCTCCCCTGATATTATTATTAGTAAGAGGGATAGCCTCGTGAAGAAGGGAGCCAGGAACTACGAGATACTCTACACTCGGAATAATTCAACTCAGTAGCAGGTTGTGTGAAGTGGAAATGATATGCTATGCTAAATAACAGAAGAATATAGAGTCGTACACGCATCGACGGCATCGTCAAGCAAACGCCAAAGATATACAAGTATGTGAGCCAAAGGACATAAATGATGAACAAAAGAGAGTATCCGCGTCGCAGGTCGTGAGGCGAAAAGCAAAAGCAAAAGAGCCATCAACTACAAGTCGAAACAGAAGCCACAGGTAGACAGACATTATACAACTTTTTGGAAGGAAAACCCAACATACACCCAAGCTCTTATTACCCAAAGTGAATTATTCCTCACTTTCCACCACCACCAAGCAGCCCACCCACAATCGGGATATTACTCACACCACCACCACTCTTCTTCTTGTCCTTACCACCCCCAAGCGCGTCCGTCACGCTCCCGAGCCCAAGACCGCTCAGAAGCTTGCCGATACCTAAACCCCCCAACAGCCCATTCACCAGCCCGCCCAAGCCCAGCCCATTCAGCAGTCTGCCCACCAACCCCAACACACCCGTCAGCAACAGTCCCACAGCAGCAATGATCTGGAACAGCGGCTCGGACAGCAGACCCCACAGCGGATTCAGCTTCTTCTTCGCATGCGGCATGTCCTGGATCTTCTTCTTGGCGTTGTCGATGGTGGTGACGACGTTGGACGTGAGTTCCTTGAGGAGGTCTGCGAGCCGGTATTCCTCGGGGGTGGCTTCGCGGGTGCCGGAGCGGCCTTTGGCTTGCGCGGCGATGCGGCCGTCCGGGTCGAGGCCGCGTAGCGAGCCGTTGCATTCTTGCAGGATGCGCGAGCCTTCTTCGATGAGGGGCTTGACGTTGTTGACGAGTTCTTCTTCGTCGAGTTCTTCGCGTGGGGTGCGGTCGGCTTTTTCGATGTGCTGTGGGGGGGGAATGGGTTAGTGGATGATTCATGAGTAGGATAGGAGGTTCGACTTACATCGGTGATTTGTTTGAGGACGGGCTGGATGCGCTCGAGGGTTTGCTGGCAGATGTTGCCCATTTTGTTGGCGAGCTCGGCGTCCTCACGCTTCTTTTTGTCTTCTTCTGTCTCGTCCGCCTCGGGTTCCTCTTCGACGATGTTTTCCAGCAAAGTGACCTCGCCGACCTTGTTGCCGTCGTTGTCAACAACGTATCCGTTATCGTCGATCTCGAAGCCGGTACAGTGTCCGAGATCGCCGGCAGTGAGGCGGCCCAGGATGTTTCCGTCCTCGTCCCGGACTTCGCCCTCTTTGTTGACGCGGCGGCCGGACATGGGGTTGACCTTCCGCTGCTTCTCTTCCGGTTCCCAGCGCTCGGCTTTGCCGATCGAGTTACCCTTTTTATCGAGGATCTCGCCGTCCTCGTCGACCTTGTATCCGACGAGCTTTTTGGCGTCACCTTCGACAAGGCGTCCGACGATCGAGCCGTCGGCTGTTACGATGGTTCCATCCTTGGCGACAGAGAGACTCTCAAAGCCTGCAAATGGGCCTTCAGGGCCTTGATTCACACCCTCAGCGAGCTCAGCATGTCCGATGACGTTGCCAGAATTGTCCCAGATCTGGCCCTTTCCATCGACCTTCTTGCCAATCATGTTCTTGACATCACCTTCAGAGATCTTTCCAACAATATTCCCGTTGGCGTCGACCACGTTTCCGGCCTTGTTAACGATAGCACCGGCTAGGGCAGAGAGGTCTACGGGAGCCTCCTCTTCTGGTTCCTCTTCCTCCCATGGCTCGGCATGTCCCTTGACATTGCCGTGCTTGTCGATGATATCTCCATCCTCATCCACCTTGTGGCCAACAAGCTTCTTGGCGTTGCCTTCGGTGATTTCACCAACAACGTTGCCGTTTTCGTCTTCGACCTTGCCTTCTTTGTTGACGACAAGACCCTCGAGACCGGCAAAGGGGCCTTCGGGACGGGAGACGCGTTCGTTCTCGGGGATGAGCTCGCAGCGTCCGACAACCTTCCCAGTATCACCGTGGATCTGACCCTCGCCATCACACTTGCGACCAGCGAGCTCCTTGACATTGCCCTCGACGAGACGGCCAAATGGAATGCCATTCTCATCAACGACAAAGCCTTGCTTGTTCAGGGTCTTGTTATCCAAGATGGAGAGATCGACTGGAGCTTCGTCCTCTTCCTCAGGGAGAGGTTCGGCATGGCCCTTGACGTTGCCGTATTTGTCGACAATATCACCATCTTCATCGACGGAGAGACCAATCAGGCGTTTGGCGTTCCCTTCGACGATCTCGCCTACCACGTTACCATCTTCATCGGCAATCTTCCCGCCCTCGACGACACGGAGGCCTTCGAGGCCGGAGAACGGTCCTTCGGGCTTGGCTTCACGCTCCGTCTCCGGGATCAATTCTACGCGACCAATCACCTTTCCTGAGTCGTTCCAGATTTGACCCTGCTCGTCAATCTTCCTGCCAGCAAGTTCTTTCGGGTTCCCTTCGACCAGACGTCCGATTGGTACACCTTCGTCGCCAATGACATTGCCCTGCTTATTAACTGTCTTGCCTACGAGTGAAGATAGATCGGCGGGAGCTTCCTCTTCGGGTTGTTCTTGCACTTCCTCCGGCTCCTCGTAGCGCTCTGCATGGCCGATAACAGAGCCCTTCTTGTCGATGATGTCACCATCTTCGTCCACAGCACGGCCAACAAGCTTCTTCGCATCTCCCTCAGTCACCTGTCCGACAGTATTACCATTCTCGTCTTCGACCAGCCCTCCCTTGACGACAATCAAGCCCTCGAGACCAGCAAACGGGGCATCCTCGTCGGGGTCTTCGACAGGGACAGTCTTGGCCCGACCAATAACGTGGCCTTTGGTGTCCCAGAACTGACCTTCTGCGTCACATGTGGTGCCGGCCTTGAACAGCTTTTTGGCATCGCCTTCTGTCAGTTCGCCGATGACTGTGCCTTTGCTGTCGATGAGCTTGCCGGCCTTGTTGACGGTTAGGCCTTCGAGTGCGGAGAGAGGGGGCAGGTTGTCTTCGACGTCTTCTGCAACGTCTTCCGCTGCGCCTTCAGCGTCTTCGGCAGCGCCTTCGGCATCTTCAGCTGCACCTTCGGCTCCCTCAGCAGTCGCCTGAGCGTCCTCGGCAGCGCCCTCAGCTTCCTCTCCGGTGCCTTCAACGGCGCCTTCAGCAGTCTCCGTGGCGTCTTCGGGAGATACCTCAACCTCCTGCGGGAGTGTCTTGACTTTGCCGAGAACATTCCCATCCTTATCGACGACCTCTCCCTTCTCATTGATTTTCTTACCAGCACATTTCGCAAGCTCTCCTTCAATCAACTCGCCAATCGGCTCTCCATCCTCATTCAGGACCTGGCCCTTCTTATTGACCTTCAGCCCCTCAAGAATATCAAGCTCAGGTGTGATTTCTTTAAGCTCAGGCTCAGGCTCCGCCGTCTCACCGAGACGCTCCTTGAGAGCAGTCATGGCTTCGATCGCGGCATCGCCAGAGGTAATCTCGACTTTGCCAACGACTTTTCCTTCCTTGTCGAGGATCTCGCCCTTGTCGTTGATGGTTTTGCCGGCGACGTCCTTGGTCTCGCCTTCGGTTAGGTGGCCAATCTCCTCTCCTTCTTCGTCGAGCACTTTGCCCTTCTTGTTAACCTTCAGGCCTTCGAGGATGCGCACGTCGATGAGGCTGGAGGCATCCTTGAGTTTCTCGGCTGCGCCTTCAGCGAGTTCGACTTTGCCGAGCACGTTGCCTTCGGCGTCGACGACCTCGCCCTTCTCGTTCACGGTAAGGCCCTTGACGTCTGCGATGTCGCCCTCGGCAAGCTTCCCGATCACCTCGCCTGACTCGTCGAGGATCTCGCCCTCGGAATTGATCTCTTTGCCCTCGAGAGCTTCGACACCAGGGAGGTCTTCTTCAATACCCTCGGCAGCTTCCTCGGCGTCTTCGGATGTGTCCTTGGCGCCGTCAACGGCATCTTTAGCCTTCTCTTCTGCGCCATCAACAGCCTTGTCTTTCACGCCGTCAGCAGCATTATCCGCAGCATCAGTAGCGTCTTCCGCGCCATCTTCGACGTCATCAACGAGGTTGGCAGCTTCTTCATGGACACGGGCACGACCGATGACATTCCCATCGTCATCGAGAATCTCGCCCTTCTCATTGAACTCACGTCCCATCAATTCCCTAGGATTGCCCTCAGTAAGCTGGCCAATGGTATCCCCATCCTCATTAAGAACAAGCCCGGTCGCATCAACAGTGAAGCCTTTCAGAATCTCCAAACCGGGCAGCTTTGGCGCCGCGCCACTCGTAGCCTCGTCCTTGAGTGCTTGGACCTTTTCAGGCAGTAATTCACAGCGGCCGACGAGGTCGCCGTCGTCGTCGAGGATCTCGCCGTCGTCTCCGATTTCGTAGCCGACGAGGTCTTCTGCGTCTCCTTCGGCGAGCTTGCCGATGTAGTCGCCGTTTGCGTCCTTGATTAGGCCGTCCTCGTCTGGGGAGAGGCCTTTGAGGAGCTCGAGACCGGGGATGTCGGGTAGGTCTTGGCCGGTGGTGTCCTCGGCGGTGTCTTTGACGCCGTTGACGGTATCGCTTGCAGTGTCGCCGGCTCCGTCTTTGGTTTCTTCCGCAGTGTCCTTGGCGTCTTCTGCAGTTTCTTCTGCAGTGTCCTTGGCGTCTTCTACAGTTTCTTCTGCAGTGTCCTTGGTGTCTTCTACAGTGTCCTCCGCAGTGTCTTTAGCGTCTTCGGTGGTATCTTTAGTAGTGGCTTTGGCGTCTTCGGTGGTATCCTCAGCCGCGTCTTTAGCATCTTCGGCAGTATCCTCAGCAGTATCTTTAGCATCTTCAGCAGTATCCTGGGTATCTTTCGCGACCTCTCCTGTCGTGTCTTTGGCACCCTCAGCAGTCTCTCCGGCAGCATCTTGTGCGTCTTCTGGTAGATCTTCCGCCGCTTGTTTCGGATCCTTGGCCGACTTTCCAGCAAGATTTGAAGCCTGCCCAGCTAGGCCTTTGGCACCACTCAGGACTCCCGAGCCGGTCTTTTGTGCACCGCCATCTTTGGTGCCGGCTTCCTCCTGCGTGTCGTCGGTCTCGTCGGCTGTGTCACCAGCTTTCACGGTTGCATCGTCAGCGGTGTCGTCGGCAGTCTCTTCTACATTCTCTGTGGTTTCCTTTTCTTCGTCTTCATCGATTGGCTTCGGCTCGACTTCTTCTAGGGCGCCCTTGGCGTCATCTCCGGCTTGGGAGACTTTGCCCGTTGTTTCGTCGGCGGTGTCACTGGTGGCTTTACTTGCCTCGTCTGGGACTTCTTGTGCTTTGTCTGGGATGTCTTGTGCTTTCTCTGAGACGTCCTGTGCTTTCTCCGGAACTTCTTGTGCCTTGCTCGAAACGTCTTCGGCCTTCTCCGTTACATCGCCAGCCTCAGGCTTCGATGGCAACTTGGGCGGATCCGATCCGCCCTTGGCAGCCGTAGATTTCGCTTGCTCGCCAGCCTTGCCAAGCTTCGACGTGGCCTGTGACTGGGGCTTACGACCGAGCTTTGTAGGGGTGCGAGGTGCGTCACTGCCCTTTCCAGCAGCAGGGGATGGCATAGCTTTGGAACTTCGACTACTAGCAGGCTTTGGGGTGGGAGTATTAGAAGTAGAGCCCGGGGAGGATCTGGTGGGTGTCGGGGGAAACGAGTAGTAGGTGTAAGAGCTACTGGAGGATATGGAGGAATGGGTACTCATAAAAATTCCGTCAGAGACGTGTGAGGAAAAGAAGGCTGTAGTGTAAAGAGGGGCAGTTGGGGAGTTTTATGAGGATGGGGTTCGAGATGGGATAACACTTGGACTGGGGGGAAGCATAGATTGGTTATGATGGCAGCATGAGCTCCTCTCACCATGACGTAGCTTGTATAGCAATGATGAGGAGCTGATTACCGGATCGAGGAGGGGGCCCCAAGCGTTCATGTGTCGTGTTTTGCTAGAGTCATGGCCTCCAACAGAGGCGTGATCGGGTTTGACTGGTCGGCAAAGGGTAGGATAGCATGGGGAAACCTGTTTTTGTGGCTGCAACTCGACGACTTCTGGGTGAAGTCGATGTTACGCGGAAGCCACAGCATGTCGGGGAAGCAGGTGGATGGTATTGCGTCACTTTGCTCCAGCATCACGGGTGAACAAACGGGGTTGAGTGGAGGTATGGCCGGGGTAGGTGTAGACGAGTAGGGCAGCATGGTTGCAGCAGCAGTCACTGTATCACAGGCCTTGCCTCAGGGGGGAGGGGGCTCTTGGAGCGGCATGTACTTTTGAGGATAGACGTCAAGCCTCAGATGGAGCAAGTGTGGCTGGAATATATGTTTGACTGGTCGATTTCGTGATCCTCATCGAAGATGGAGACGACTCGATATGGAGATAGCGGTTGGAAGTGGCTTGACGTCTCCGGAAGCGAACTTGGCAGACAGCAGCAGGGATCCACAATGTTATGAGGCGTCTTTGAAGATCTACTAGTCCTGGCGGGAGTCTGTGGCAGATGGCGGTTGTCGCGTGGAGATGCCCTGAGCCGCTGTTAGCAATATATGGTTACTGTATGCGTATATAAAGTGCGAAGTGAATGTCGAAGTGTCAACCGGGGATATAGCATGCGAAACGTTTCGCTTGCAAGACAAGCACAGCAGAAGCCATGACTCTCCTTCAACAATCCCATGCCAACTTTGCCTTTCTCTCTCTTCGCCGTGCTGCTTCTGATTTTCCGAGGGCCCAACTGTGAGACGCGTCCTTTGCGTTGCGGATCCCCCAAGCAAAGGAACGAGCGTATCACGATCCACGACCCGAGTCGCTACAAGGGATGAGAAGCACAAGCAGGCATTCTGCATATCTGTCTGACTTCACCAGCCCCACCATAGAGTTGCAATTTTTGCAAGTGACAAGGGAAGAAAGCGAGGATGCGGCCGGGCGAGGAGCAAAAGTTGGCAAAGATGACATTGTGTGGCGTTGCTGTGGCGCGAACCCTTGTGTGGAGAGCTGTAATAGGGAAAAGAGCCGGGTAACAATACGCAGCAATAAACCAACCCCTGCGACCACCATCACCTCCACTGCTGCTGTAGCAAATGCCCACTCAAAACACCCCTGAGACTCATGTCGTATTCTCGCGCACTGTAAACCAAGTTTTGCGCAGGCCGTAATATACATCCCTACCCTTCGAGCCGCCCTGTACTCCCTTCTCTACGCCGTCCCGCCTCTCCATCCGACGTTACTGGCACAGATGCATGGATTCAAATCGGATACCGTCACTCTGCGGTGGTATATCGATTACTGCACCAGGTGTCCCGGGTATTTGCATGTGCTGCCGGACCTTAGAAGCCCCCCTGGCAGAACATTGCCATGGTCTGTGCGAATCGGAAAGCGAATGTTCCTGCATCTTACTTCATAGATGCATAGGCGCCAGCGACAGCTCATCTGGAGTGCATTCACCTTGGATGGTGCCATGGCGGCTGGTTAGTGTATGAAACGCTTCCTTGATGTGCCTCGCAAAGGATCCAGCACTTTCTGCACGCGGACCAACCCAAGTGCCGTCCATCATCATAGACATTATATATGCTGGTCCTGGAGTCGAATGAGACCCCGATCTTCAGCTACGAATCTTGCCGTCAGGAGGTATCCCATCCTCTGCGTCCTGGCCTGGTTGATGGACCGGTCGCTTCTGCGCAGGCGTCTTGCCGCGATCCTTTTCACTGACCGACAGCCGCTTCAATTTGCGCCAGATCTTCGAGTGGAAGAAGCTGTTTTCTTTCCGTTTCTGCTCCTCGCGTTGAGCTTCAATCGCTAACACCTCGCGCTCTCTCTTGGCCGCTTCAGATTTGTCCATCTGAGCTTCTTCGCGTCGTTTGACCTCCTCTGGGTGCAGAATCTTGTCTTTATGCTCCTTGCTGTGCTGGAACCCGTGCTTGATCTTTCTTCGAGTCTTGACGTATGCCTCGAGTCCAGCTAGCACAGCGTAGGAGCGCGATATGGAGACTCGCGACATGTCCACGCCCGTGTCTCGCAGGGAATGAACAAACGCGCGAAAGTTAGCTGCTGGAGGCCTATAATGTCCGCTTAGTGGTGACAAACGTCGGAGTTGTCCGTCTTTGATTTTAATCAGACCTGCAGCTGATATGCGTGCCCCATTCAAGAACGAACTGTGTTGGAAGGCGCCCGATTGCTTGATGCCAACGTATAGACGAAAAGATGTGTCTGCAACAAAGATCCAAGAATTCGGCTTCACGGTTCCTTGAAGCAGTCTATTGAACACAACCGCTGCAGAGACGTGCTTGACTTTCCTCAGACCCTTCGCCTTGTCCAAATCATGATTGACATAATGTTCGGCCTCTTCGCTGATGACGCTGCCAGACGAAGCACTGTCGCTGGACGAAGAGGATCCTCTTCGTGGCAATTTACCGCCAGCGTCGCGGAACGATGGTGTCGGATCATCTGCTGGGACCACTCCACGCACGCTGTCTTTGTAGTCCATCGTAGTCGAGATCCGCTTCCCATTCTTCGCCCAACACAAGCGCCCTTCAGCATCCACCGTGACAAGATAATCCATGCGCTCCTCCCTCGTGAGATATCTTACTTGCTCCCGATCCAACCTCTCCCTCGGCACCGTCGGCACCTCAATATTCCTCCCCTCGCCCTCGTCCAACCACGCGAAGAAATTCTCATTCGTGCCCGAGTTCTTCCACTCCTCGTGATATGCCCTCAGGTTACTGCCGTACCGGTGTTTCGGATCGACCATCTCCAGCCAATACTGCAGGTCCATCATCTTGGCCGTCTTCTCGCGCTCACGCTTCTCCCGCGCTCTGCGGTTCTTGTACTCCATGCGCTCCTCTTCAGGGATATCGGAGAGGTCTGTGGAGGTGTCTGAGTCGTCGCCGCCGGCGTGCATTGCGATTGCGCCGACACGCTTCCATGTCTTCAATGCTTCCGATTGCGAACGCGGCCGTGTGCCAATTTCGGGGGCTTGAAGGGTTTGAGACTCGGAGCGCTTTGAGCGCGACATTGGGCGAGCGGCCTTGCGCCATTGTGCTGTGGTGTGTCAGTGACTTCCCCTCGTTATGGCTCTCAGATCAGTCGTGCTCGAGGGGCCGGTATATCTGACCTTCTTTGACAGCCTAGACAGCAGAAGACATATATTAGCACGAGTTGCAACGTTCCAATTGCGCATGCTGACCTCAATCCAGCGATCCGACGGGTGAAGCGTCAACCCCTTCAGCTGTTGTCTCGTGCGATAGCCGCGATAGTTCTTCTGGATAAGAATGGCCGCCGAGTCGCGCTTGCGCCGAGTGAGGGCATCGAATGATCCCTCATGCTTCTTTTCCAGCTCCTTTTCCCTGTCCGCCTGGGATGCCTGCCCGGGAGACTGGAGACTCTGTCGTGGAGATTCGGTCATAACTAGAGGGGAGGTCGACAAATCGCAGGGCAGCGTCGGAGTCGATCCGGGCGACCTTTAACGGCGTTTTACTTGGCAAATGGGTCCCGGAAGTGGGGCCGGACTAGCTTGGTGAACGCGTAAGCCACTAGCATCAGCCACAATGGTGAAGTCATCGTTCACGGCTATTCGGCGTGCTTAAACCGTTCTATCTTGCTCTAGCTGAGGTTTATCATTGATGGAGCCGCTCCAACCCTATTCACTTCGTGGCTCTCTAGCAATCGAACTAAAACCACACTTTCTTACTCCGATTGGATTCACCATACAGACGCAGATGGCTCCTTGATTAAGCATCGCTCAATCAAAGAACTATCAAACTACACATATCAGCCGTGTCCCATATTTATAAGAATGTCTGGAACATGTACAGTGGTTATATCACATCCCTTTCCTATCAAAGACAGCCCATTGAAGTTCCCGTTGCAAAAGTCACATCTTGTTTGATGTCTGTGCAATAGATACGGCCAAGTTCAATCCCTCTACGCTTGAACGAGTCACTGCGGAATTGTTTCACTTGTTTAGCCTCATGGGAGTATGACACGTATCTTGTTCGTGCTGGAAGCGTGACTTGCGACGTAGCTATTCGCATATCACGCATAGCATTTGCGTGAGGCTTGACACGAGCACTCGTCAGTATAACGTTCTGAAGGTGGAGTATGGACATATCTTAGCACTCGTTGGTGATCCCTCGCATCATTTGCCCTATTGTGACAGTACATTGACACTCACTCAGGAGTAAGAGAAAGTACTCAAAATGCCCCGTCAACCTCATCCACAATCTGAACCTTGATGCTCCCTTGACTAACATCCGAGCACAAGCGCATGGCATCCATCGCCCGCTCCAAGGGAAACACATGCGTGACCAACTTATCCAGATCCAGTATGCCCCCGCTCAGACATGCCATGCCCGCAGGCCAGGTATCCCGGTAGCGGTTGATGAACTTCAGATCAATCTGGAGAAAATCAGTATCAGCCTACATTTCTACGAAGTCAGACATGTACTCGCCTCAGCCAAAGACAGGTGCATAAACGGCACATTATTGATAATCGGCCTCCCAACCCCAATCACCATGACCGTCCCGCCTCTCCTCACAGTGTATATCCCCGTACAGATACTACTCTCCACACCCGTGCATTCCAGCACCGTATGTGGCGCGAAATAGTCCTCGTCGCCGTCACCACTCCCGCCGCTTCGTCCAAATAACTTCCGGATCTCGTTTGCGTTTGCTTGTGCGTCGAGATCTCTACTGATCTGGTACGGTATTACGGTCGGCACGAAGTCCTTTGCGAACGCAAGGCGTCGCGGTTCGAGGTCTGTGATTACGATGGGATGCGAACCAGATGCGCGGGCTGCTGCGAGGGCGATGAGTCCGATTGGACCGGCGCCGCATACAACTGTGCCACGGCCGAGCGAGACGCCGGCAGATTTTATGCCGTGCATGACGACGGATAGGGGCTCGAGGAGAGCGCCTTGGGAGTATGTCAGATTAGCAGGGAGTCTGGGATGTTTGTCAGTGTATGAATTCGGTACTGGGACATGAAGTGGAAGTATGCATGCTGAGAAGCGTACTTATGACACCACTTTGCGGGATGTACTTTGTATCGCTGCAGCGTGCCGTGGTCGGGGTATACACCCGAGAACTTGACGGCTTCGCAGAGATTATAGCGGCCCTCCTGGCAGAGAAAGCAGTTCTCACACGGCGCACCAGGTTCCAGAGCCACACGGTCGCCTTCAGGAGAGTCAGCGAAGCTTCTCGCGAATCACACACATCTCATCGAACCTGGCCGCAGTGTAGTCACACCGTCACCACACCTCAAAACCACGCCAGCAGCCTCATGGCCCAAGATGCAGTCTCCCTCAACAATCAAACTGCCAATACGGCCCATCTTCCAGAAATGAATGTCTGACCTGTCGCGCACGCATCAGTGACCCAATTGCACGTGAATTTCCGAACGTCGGCGCGCCTCACCCACATATCCCAGTCGTCTTGATCTGCAGCAACACCTCCCCTCGTCTAGGCGCATACACCGGCGCTTCCACGGCCTTCAAGCCATGATCCGCGGTGACCTGGAGCGACGGATTCGGCAAGGGTGCAGTAAGTACATCATGCGTAATCGTTGACGGCCGTGTTTGTGCCGCCGCGCCAGATCCGCCGGTCCCGTTGATTCGATCCGGAGCAACCATTGCGAGTCAAAACAGATTGCCTATTTGGGAAATGGAACGTGCGATAAAAGGATTCCCGACACGACATTGCATTTCTGAGCAGTTACTGCTTTATTAATACACTGTTCCATGGTCCATTGGACTGTACAGGCTCGGGTCACCTTCCCCCTTTGCGGATGGCATCCCCGCACCATGTATAGTGGGGTTTTGCCACCAATCTAGGTGTCGATTTCCTCTCCGCTGCATCGCAACTCCGAGTTACTGAAAGATGAAATCACTGACCCTTATCGCGGCACGTTTTGTCGTTGAGGCATACACATATGCAATCTTGCACAAACATGAGAGCATGAGCTATGTGTGAAGTTCTCATAAACTTCCGAACGATCAATTCAACTTCTATCTGACCCCTTGAAGGGTACATTAGTAGTTGTCCAAATCGAACCTCTTGCCAATGGAAATACAGCTAACCTAGTTCACTCTCGGTGTAGATATAGTCTACTATCGGATTAAGAAAATGCTTTGAAAGATTCCTATTGATTTACATTTAGCTATAAGACAACTATCAGATCAGCAGTTTAGTATTGAGTGCAGATATATAACTGATAGCTTCGTTATGATCAATGCTTATTCTGAGACTACGTATAGACCTAGTATATCAGCTATAAAGACTTTAAGTACCTCAAAGGGATCGCTTTCACTCGACAGAGTCACGTGTGCTAATCACGTGTATAGTATATACATAAGCTTTTAGGAGAGTCCACTTCTTGAAACTTACTACTAGAGTCGAATTCTCAGTCTATGTCTATGGTTGGCTATAAGATTTCTAGCACTTCAGCTTCAGTCAGTTCAATTGGAACTTTGAACTCGACTAGACTAATTCATTGTGACACAACAGTTTCGGATCGGTCCTTCTTGTTTCCATCCGTTAGCTACAAAGCACCTTTCCAGTTTCCACATACACAACAAAACAAACAACCACAATCACACACACAGACACACAGACACACCACACAGACACACGAAAAACAGCAGAACAAACCCATCACCAACACACCACCAACCAACAATCAACCCTCCACACCAGACCAAAACCTCACAATCCATACAACCCCACACAAACCACCAAACTCACACGCCTCCACAACCACAACCCCAATGTCCACAATCCAAATCCGCGCCCGCGAACCCACCGACATCCCCGCCCTCCACGCCCTCATCCCCCTCATCCACGCCACAACAGGCTACCCAGTCGAAGGCTCCGCCGTCCCAGCCTCCTTCCTCACCCCAACCTCCACCCTAGCCGCCTACGTCGCCGTCCTCACCACCCCCCAAACAACCACCCCCCTAGGCCAAGCAGCCCTCCACCCCATCAACCCGGCCAGCACGCTCTTCGCCGCCCTGCAATCCCACCACCCGGCCGCCCGCGCAGAAGACTACGTCGTGCTGGGCCGGCTGTTCATCGCGCCGTTTGCGCAGGGGCAGGGCGTGGGGCGCAGGCTTGTGTGTGAGGCGGTGGAGCGGGCGAGGGCGTGGGGGAGGGGGGTCGTGCTGGATGTGTTGGAGAAGGATGGGGCTGCGGTGAGGTTTTATGAGAGGTTGGGGTGGAGGCGGTTGGGGGTTGAGGGGGTGTATTTTCCGTGGGCGAGGGAGGGGCGGGAGGGCGAGGTCGGGTTTAGGGAGTTTTATTATCTTGCTGCTGAGAGGCCGGGGTGAGGGGGGTTAGAGGGGAAGGGGTTGATTGAGGGGGGAGGAGAGGGAAAGGGAGAGAAAAGGGGGGATTGAGTGTTGCATTTGAGCGGGCGTAGCATGCGGTTGGATGGGGATGGATGGATTGTTGTACTTCAACAGTACTTACTACATACGTACTCTCGCTATCATGTTCGATCTCACACGCATATATACTCCAGCATAGCATCATCACCAATAGAAAGTTAGATGACATAGAACAACATGGCTCGAATTGAATCTTGTGAAACGCTTCACACCACCAGCCCAAGCCTGTATAACCAGACCAAAAGTCTGATGTGCATGCAGCGGCATTCACAATCCAATCCATCGAGACAGCAATTGGAAATCAAAAGTGCGAGCACTCCAGCAGCTAAGCTCCTTTCCTCGATGCATACGAATCAGCCCCCGGCCATCAAGTCAGCTTTCAGCCATCAAGCCAGTCTCATCACGCGCAGTCAAAACGTCAACGTTTAATTTAATCTTAAATTTTCTCTTTTCTCGCTTCTACAACTGTCACGACACCGCGCCCAGCCTCGCCCGCGGCCCCTTGGGTATCTCACCCACCATCACCTTCGCCCCGCCAGCGTCCTCGCCCCTCTTCAGCAACTGAATCTTCGTGCCCAGCTCGCCCCTTTTCCCGTCGTCCGCGCCCTCCTCCACAAACTCTTTGGCCGTGCGCTCGCCCAAGCTGCGGTCCCAGCTGCTTGGATCCACCCCGAGGATGCCGCCAACGTTATTGCGGTCGCCCGGCACCGAGAACTCGCGGAAGACGTAGCGCCATTCGTTGAGGAAGCCACGTATGGCCTTGCCGACTTTGTCTTTGCCGTTTTTGGAGTGGTGGCCGGTGCCGGTGATGGCGTAGATGGGCCGGGAGGTGGCTTGGTGTTTGAGGAGGATGTTTTCGAGATAGGTGACGGCTTCTTCCGGGTGTAGACCTGTAGTTGTCTTTAGTATCATAGTCACTGCTAACTAAAAGGGAGGACTCACCATGTAGATCAACGTAAAGCTCACGTGCGTTGGGACCAAGATCTTTGTTCCGTTCCTCATAAAGATGCTGTGCCGCCTCGCGATGTGCTTTCCGCATCAGGTCATTTTCACTCTGGCCTCGTAGACTCAGCGCTTTGGCAGCGCGTGAGTCGTTGCGATTCCACGCCTGAGCTGCGCTCTGTAAGAATTTGTTTCGTAGTCCACCATGCTTGAATGCTTCCTGGCGAGCTTTAAGGTAAGCTTTATTGGCAGAGTCACCCGTATCTAGCCACGGGACGCGTTCTGGAGCAGGAATAGCCTGTGCTGCAGCGCTGTTCTCGCGACTGTTCTGAAAGCTCTTCGCGGACCTTACGCCCTTTCGGAGCTGAGCCGGACTTGGCGATGGTGACATCTTTACCAGATCAGCCATAGACTGAGGCACAACATTCTCCTTGCTAGCTCCGTGAGCACCACGCTTTCCATGATGTCTCTTGCCACCCCTGGTAGCCGCGGACCCCAGTGTAGGGAAAGCTTCGTCATCGTTGACAGAAGGCGCAGAAGGTGTTACAGCTCGCGATTGTTGACGACTGCCTGGTCTGGATTGTGACCGGCTCTGGGAGCTCGGGACGAAGTTTGCGAATGGGTTCAAGCCTGGCGGGGGTGTGGCCACGGAGCCGCCTGAGTTGTAGATAGCTTCGACGGTAGATGGATCAAGGTAAGAGTTGGACGGAGTCTGCTGTAGAGCTGGAAACGCTTCGTAGTCTTGTACGTGAAAGTTCGGTGCAGTATTTGCCTGGGTTCCTGCTCCTCCTTCCAACATCAAGCGGGCCATCAGAGCGGAGGGGTCGTGCGAAAACATGCAAGTCTCGCCAGCTAGGCAGTTGCCTTGAATGAAGTACCTGCGACGATTATGTTAGCTGAATACATAATCTGTAAATCACGACTACTTACTTGCACAGTGTTTTGCTAGGGTCGTGGCTGAACCTGCAATCCGCACGTGCGCAATGACCACTGGAGAGCCAGTATTTGCACAGTATGTTTGACTTGGCTTGACCCGCAGGAGTCGCAGGTCTGAAAGCAGGACTCATCGACTTCCCAACTGTGAATGTCTTCTCAGCTTCAGCTAGTGAGGGCTGAGTTAAACCTTGTTCCCCCATCAAGGCGAGGATTGTGGCACTGAGGTCGTACTCATTTTCCTGTAGCGCCTTCTCGAGCTCCTCGTTCGACTTGTCATCCCGTAAGACGGACCTGAGCATATCATACGGTTCCATATCCATAGTGTACGGCTGAACCCATTCAGCCGCAGCACCGTTCAGTCCAGTCTCGCCCTGCAGAGAAGAAGCCTCGCTCACAGCGTCATCGTTGACTAGCCAGTCCACAGAGTCACTGTTGAGATCTCCATATGGATCTGGAGTATAGCTAGACTCGCTAAATTGATATGCGCTGAGGCTTGGACTGTGTGGTATATGCGGCGAGGAGAATGCCAGTCGTGGAGACGGACGCGGGGAGGTGAAGGGTGAGGCGGTCGACGACTTTGCACGAGCAAAGCCGGGTGGAGCTATTCCAAAGCCTGGAGGTGGCGCGATCCTGGGAGAAGAGCCGAGTGGTGTAGAAGCTCGAGCGAGCTGCCAAGCAGCTGGGGATGGTCGACGGACGACAGTATGGCGGCTAGGTGGAGGAGATGTTGAGTTGCCCACGGTGCTATCGCGGTATCGCCACAGTGCATCGAGAACAGCACCTTCTAAGGACTTTCCCGTCAAAGATGTCTCTTTACGCAAAAGCTCTTCCACCTTCTCCGTCTTGTCATCATCGTCGAGCGAGTCGTCTTGGAGGATCGGGAGACACAGGTCGTAAGCGGCGTCGGGTATCATATTGGAGGGTTGTTTGTTGAAGGTAGGTTGGTGACGGAAAGCTCCAGGCGCATAGCAGACGCCAGCAGAAGTAGAGTCCGCAGATGTGTGAGTGAAGGTAGATTACGATTAGGGCGGTGTCACGGAACGTGAAAGTAGGCTTATATTCAGTGATGCTGACGCGGTGAAACGCGGGCAAGTAGCTGACCGGGCAGCGTAGGATCAAAACGGAAGAATTGCAGAGACGAAAGAACAAAGACCACAGCAGCAGTATGTGAGAATATTGATCGAAGAGAAGAGTGAGGGGAGGAGTGAATTAGGAGTGAGTGGTGGTGTTGTGGCTGGCGGTCGAGGGGTCAAGGTGAGGGTGAGAGCCTGATGTTGGCCTGATATTGGCCTGAGGTTAGAACGGGCTAATGAATTCCCCAGAGCCAAGACTCCTTTAGTCTACCAAAGTCCGTGCATACAATTGAAACGAAACAGCTGCATGAATCCTTAATCACTTCATGGAATATACTTGTCATATATATGTCCAGAATTATGGGCTTCATCCTTGGCTGCTCTGACGGTTGAAGAAGCCTGAGCTCACAATGTACGACGTGATGTTGTCCACTTGCTCAGACCATAGCTAAACAACGCCTCGAATGCGGCGCGTACGGCGTCGTGCCCAAAGAAAGAGTTATTATTAGTAAGTCACAGTCTCTACCGAGTAGCCTCCCATCAGACGTCTGCAGTACAATGCTCTGCATGGTCCAACGTAACATATATTCATTATCATTGCATGACTATAAACATGTAAATACACCGCGCACGGATATAGCACGCACCGAGACGGGAGTCTTACTAGCGGCCGCCCGCATGGATCGCAGGGTTCTTTCTTTCACTTTGGGATCCATTCTTGGTGCCTGAAGGCAGCAATCCTGGCAGCCCTGTACGCTCATTACGCCATTACGTGAGCAGCGGCTGGCTTCCAACATTCACTCCAACTGCTTCGTCCAACCGTTTACTTGTGTCATCTTAAGCTCCTCTTCTCTTCTCTTCGCTTCGTACTCAGTATTCTCGGATGTTTCTGCATCGGTAGTCCCGTCATCATCTCCGCCGTCTGCAGCCGCCGAATCGTCGTCATCACCTCCCCCTGTCAGTGCTTCCGACATCTCCGAACTCGATCTCGATCTTGAATCGTCACCATGCCAGTCGCTGACGAAGATGCGCGCGCCTTCATGCTTCCTGCAGACACCGATCCAGAATCACAGAGACGCTCGGATAGCCCGGCGTGGGCGAGGAGGTCGAGCTCGTATGCTCGTCGCTCCGGCTCATACAACCGGTCGGGACAGTCTACCTTCGGCGACCGTCCGCGCAGTTGGAGTGCGCAGGTGCTACAGAATGCCGAGAAGATTCAAAGGAGAGGCCTGAAGCAATGGAATAAGCTCACGCCGTTGCAGAAAGTTCTGGCGAGCGTAGCAGGCGTCATAGCTGTGGTGCTGGGAATACTGTTTTTGGTCTATAATGAGAGCATATTCCGGTGGATGAAACCGTATGCGAAGAAGTGGAATGATATCACCGCGGGATGGCTCATACTCTGGTTTCTCATCATCATTGTGTCCTTCCCGCCGATGATAGGATACTCTACGCTGCTGACCATCTCTGGCTTTGTATATGGCTTTCCGAATGGGTGTGTACACTTTGCCCCCTGGTGCTGGAATTTGCCTGCTGACTTACCTCCAGCTGGTACATTGCTGCCTCTGCTACTGTGGTTGGGAGTACGATAGCGTTCATCGCCTCGCGCTCGGTACTGAAGAAGTATGTCGACCGCTTCGTAGCCCACGACAAGCGCTTCAACGCCTTAGCCCTGACTCTGAAACACGACGGCCTCAAGCTCCTAGTCATGATCCGACTCTGTCCACTCCCATATTCAATCTCAAACGGCGCCATCGCCACCTTCCCCACCGTCCACTGGGCCTTTTTCGCCCTCGCCACCGCGTGCGTGACACCAAAGCTCCTCATCCACGTCTACGTCGGCTCTCAGCTCAGCCGTATCGCCGACGAGGGCGAAGAGATGGACGGCAAGACAAAAGCAATCTCATACCTAAGCATCCTGATCGGCCTCGTAGCCGGCATCGCAACAGGATACTTCATGTACAAAAAGACACAGGCCAGAGCCAAAGAGCTAGAGGCCGAAGAGCGCGAGCATGTGCGCAACGAGAGTGTCGGGGATCTGGAGCGCGAATATGCGGATGATCCGGATGCGCTCGAGGCCGCTGTACATTTACGTGAAGAGGAGGATGACATCAGTCTACATCCGGCGTGGACTGAGGACGCGCAGGAATTTAGGGATGTCGACGACGTTGCTAATGTCTTCAACGTCGGAGACGGTGTGTCTGAGGAGGATCTGTTGAGTCCGAGCCCGAAACCAAGGGAATGATTGATGATGTTGTATGTATACATTGTTAGATGACTGCATTTAAGGGGCGTTCAATGGGTCACGTTATGGCGAAATCTACTAGAGACTGCCGAGATATAGATACATCAGGTTAAGAACATATTCATGGCATTATTACTCTCTACTGGGCTGGCAGTGCATCGTCATCGTCCTCACTATCATCCCCCGTCGTCCCAAACCCAAACGAGAACCCTCCTTGCGCCCCATCATCCTCATCCGCACTCTCATCCCCTTCCCCACCCCCAAACCCAAAACTAAACCCACTCTCCTTCTTCTCCCCATCATCCCCCCCAAGCAGACCCTTCGTCAACACCTCCCACCTCGTCCTCCTCCCCTTCTTCCCCGTCCCCCTCCTCTCCAAAACCCCCATACCCTCCTCCAAAACATCCGGATACTCCGCCCCCAACCTCTCAACAAACAACCCAAACGGATCCCCCACATCATCCCGAAACCCCGTAACCTGCTCGGGCACATCCCTCAGAAACGCCAAAACATCCGGCACCTTGGCCCTAGGCACAAAATTCTGCGTCACCGCCACGCCCTCCTGCAGATTAAGCACGAGATGGAACCAGCCGCTGGGGACATGCAGGACCTCGCCCGCGTGGCAGACGGCCTCGACGCAGCCCGGCGAGCGACGCGCGAGGGCGTGGAAGGTGAGGAGGTACTCTGCGATGCTGAGCGGGGCGGTGATTTCGGCGTTGTCGGGGGAGAGGATGATGCCTGGGGGTGGGGAGGGGAAGAGGAGCCAGTATTTTGCGCCGGTGAGCACGGCGTTCCAGGCGGATGTGGCGTTGGGGTCTTTGTGGAAGGTGCTGCCGCTGCGGGCGGGGCCGAGGATGAGCCAGCGGCGGTCGGGCCGTTGGGCGTGGAGGACGGAGAAGAAGTCTGTGCCGAAGGCGGGGGGTGGCCAGTATGCTGCTTCTGTTGCGTCGGTGGAGGTGGTGGAGGTGGAGGAGGAGCAGTTGGAGGGTGGGGAGGAGCTGACGGTGAGGGACATTTTCTCGACAAAGGAGCGGTCGAAGAGGTAGAGGGGGGATTCGTCGGATGAGTTGTGCATGTAGGAGGTGTAGGTGCTGAGTGGCCAGTCGACGGCCTCAGCGCGGAAGGTGACGGAGGCGTATTTCTCGAGGAGCGAGGCGGTGTTCCAGGTCTTGTAAATGGGCCACTGCTTGATAGGGTCGGTGAGGATGAAGGGTTTGTTTGTCCAGGAAGATTGAAAGTCTGCTTCGCTGAGATCGGAGAAGCGGTCGATGGCGTTTTGGCGCGGAATGTTGCGGGCGTAGTGGTCGAGGGGTGTGTGAGCGCAGAAAAAGGGGCGGTGGAGGACGTCGGAGAAGACGGCTGAGCAGTCGAGACGGGAAAATGCAGAGGATGGCTTGCCCAGATACGTTGCCCGCCATGTGCCGTGCCAGGAGAAGTCTTTTGGTTTTGATCTAGCTCGTCGTTAGCAGGGTGAATGAAGTAAGACCAACTAGCTTTTGACCGGTCAGAGGTAGGAGCATGTCGATGATGTGCATACACAGTATTTGATACATGATTGGATGGGAGACATGGGGTCGATGAGGATATCATCAGTGAAACGCTTGCATACGATCATGTCGCTCCCATTGCATGTTATTCCCCATCCTTAATAGGGGTTATAGGGTATGGGTGTATACTGTCCTCTTACGGGGCGCATCCTATCCCAAGGAACGATTTCGAAGACTTGGAGACATAAAACGAGACTTAGAGAGCAAAGGAACGTGGCATGCCACTTACCGTACAAAGAGGTCCCGCCATAACTCATCTGACCTCGTGAAGGCATACAAGTACTTACATGTGCCCCCCAGCTGAGTCAACTTGTCTGAGTCAAAGGACTCAAGTAAAACCATAAGCAGCTCGTCCGGTAGCCTGGCGAAGAAACCACTGCAGTCCTTCGAGTTACTGGACGCAGTGTAGGCATTTCCAGATGGTTTCACTCGTAGAGGATGTTGTTGTATTGCTACCGGAACGTCATCCCCTGACTCATCAGAGTCAGAGCATGTGCTCTGCGGGGGACCATCTATCTTCATCCTCTTAGCTGGATGAATAGTGCTTCCCTCGTCAGTGGTGGGATTAAGTACTGCGGACGGAGTCATTTGAAGTCAACAAGCATAGGGGCAAGGCCGTTGTTGATTGGTCAGTCAGTGAGGCTGATGCGCTCGGACGATGCGGAATGCGAGAGAGATGCTAGATCGCACGTCAAAGTCAGTATTGTGACTGTGAACGGTTGACCAGAAGTCACAGTATCAAGCTCACATTGATCAGCAAAGGCAAAGAGGTTCTGTCATAGTATATGCGAATCCAAATGCGATAATTTTGCCTCCCGCGACACAATTTTCTGGCGGACTGTGGATGCCAAGGCTACTAGCGCGATCCCCCCCGAATCTACGAAATCTTTCAAAATTCAGCAGGCGGGGACGAACTTTTTTCTCTCACTTCCAACTCTCCACAACAAATACTTCAACTCAACCACCACCACTTCGAGGCCTCACGTCTCGTATAGAACTGATTCTATTTGTACAGAGGGTCTTTCTTCGCATTTTTAGTACTCTTCAACCTTTGTCGCAGAGCCTCCTTTCAAGGACTTCTCTGCACAGCCCGGCCACAAGCACAAACGTTCATTTGATCGCAGCGCAACGCCTGTGATCACCATCTCCTCTCGTCGCAATCATGGCTGAAAAAGGCCTCGAAGATATCCCAGAGGGTACGTGAAGGTTCTCGCAGGGCGCACTCGTTGCGTTCTGGGCGAAGCTATTATTTTGCCGCAAATTTGCATCCACTAACGCTCTCGGTACCAGGTCAGATCGAGTCCAACTACGATGAAGTTACCGACTCCTTCGACAGCATGAACCTGAAGGCTGAGCTCCTTCGTGGAGTTTATGCCTACGGTTTCGAGCGTCCCTCTGCGATTCAGCAGCGCGCTATCATGCCCGTCATCAAGGGTGGGTCTACATATTCCGCATACATCCACGTTCGGACATGGTTACTGATTCTCCATAGGCTCCGACGTTATCGCGCAGGCTCAGTCAGGTACTGGAAAGACTGCCACCTTCTCCATCTCTGTCCTCCAGAAGATTGACCCCAATGTCAAGGCTTGCCAGGCCTTGATCCTTGCCCCCACTCGCGAACTTGCCCAGCAGATTCAGAAGGTCGTTATCGCCATCGGTGATTTCATGAACATTGAATGCCATGCCTGTATCGGCGGTACCAGCGTCCGTGATGACATGAAGGCTCTTGGAGATGGCCCTCACGTCGTCGTTGGAACTCCTGGCCGTGTTCAGGACATGATTCAGCGCCGCGTCCTGAAGACTGATTCCATGAAAATGTTCGTCCTCGACGAGGCTGACGAGATGTTGTCCCGCGGTTTCACTGAGCAGATCTACGACATCTTCCAGCTGCTCCCCCAGTCTACCCAGGTTGTCCTTCTGTCCGCCACCATGCCCCAGGACGTCCTTGAGGTCACCACCAAGTTCATGCGCGATCCCGTTCGTATCCTCGTCAAGAAGGACGAGCTTACTCTCGAAGGTATCAAGCAGTTCTACATCGCTGTTGAGAAGGAGGATTGGAAGCTAGACACCCTTTCCGATCTTTACGAGACCGTCACCATCACACAGGCCGTCATCTTCTGCAACACCCGGAGAAAGGTCGATTGGCTTACCGACAAGCTCACTGCCCGTGACTTCACCGTCTCCGCCATGCACGGAGACATGGACCAGGCCCAGCGTGATCTCATTATGAAGGAGTTCCGCTCCGGTTCATCCCGTGTGCTCATCGCTACTGATCTGTTGGCCCGTGGTATCGATGTCCAACAAGTCTCTCTGGTCATTAACTATGACTTGCCTGCCAACCGCGAGAACTACATCCATCGCATTGGTCGTGGTGGCCGTTTCGGTCGTAAGGGTGTTGCCATCAACTTCGTCACTGCTGATGACGTACGAATGATGCGCGAAATTGAACAATTCTACAGCACACAAATTGAGGAGATGCCCATGAATGTGGCCGGTAAGTCTCAGAGGACGCATCTTTACTGGCAACAATTAGCTGACAATGTGATCAGATCTGATTTAAGTGGTGTCGAAAATCGTCTTAAGCTGCCGACTCGCTTGTATCCAATTTGAGTTTTATCTACGGAATAAAAGTTGGAACGAAACCTTGCCAAGTAAGGTATCTCGATAATATGGGGGTCGCCGGCGTTTGTCAACACTTGAGAAGCATGCTTTCCTCATACTCTGCATGTCTCTCACATATTGCATTACATTCTCCTAGAAACAGTGGAACGGAGTGCACATATGCAATAATCTTTGAAGTGTTTTTGTGCTTTGTCACGTGGTGCTTTCTCATTTCCTTTGCTGTCGACTGTTTGGAACATATTGTTGGTTCATGCTTGTTCTACGTTGATCATGCCGAGACGTGCACACGATTCATGTGTCAATCTAGTAGCAGTAGATCCCCAAATAGACCGATCGTTTTCAGATGGCCTCGAAGAACGATTTGTGACCAATACTACTACTACTACTAACTCTATATCTATCTGGTCCAACTTCATCATGAAAACGACAACTCTAGGTTCACCTTGCCTTCTTCGCCTCCATCTCTGCCTTTGCACGTCTCCTCTTAATCCCAACCGTCGTTTCCCACCCATACAGCGCCCCTGATCCGAACACCAACACCGCACCAACAGCCATCTGCAACCCCATTCTATTCCCAAACAACCAGATACTAAATATAAAACTGACCAGCTTCCGGATATTCAACACAATCGTCACCGTCACCGCCGACGTCTTCGCACTCAACAGATTCACCCCGCTGATGCACAACAGCTGCGTCACCGAATTCACACCGAGCATAAACACCGCCCTCGGCGTCTGCGCGAGCAGCTTGACGACCGGCAGCGGCAGCGACGCGGGTAAATATACTGACGTGGGCGTGACGAGCGGTGGCGAGCGCATCAGCGCACGGAATTGCGCCCCTAGCGTAGCGCGCAGCGGGACAAACATGGGCAGACTGAGCAGATGCGAGTAGAACAGATTCTGCTCCCAGGCGGCGCCATGCACGGCATACAAATCCTGGACGTAGACGCCCATCCACGCGCTCAGCAGCTGCGCGAGCAACAAGACGGCCAGACCGGCGCCGAAGCTACTCTGGCCAGGGTCAGTCATGCTCTTCCCCTTGCCGCTCGCATCGGCCCAGGCGCTGACGAGCACGCCGGCGGTGAGGAGGGCGACGCTGAGGATCTGGAGGCGCGAGTAGCGCTTGCCGGTGAGGTGGCCGGCGGCCATGGTGGTGGCGGAGCCGAAGGAGCGGAGGATGATGTGGACGGGGACGGAGATGTTAAAGGCGAAGGCCCAGTTGTTGAGCATGTTGACGGCGAAGAACATGCCGGCGGAGACGAGCCATTTGTGGAAGGGGACGGCGGAGCGTTTGAGGGCGTAGGGGCTGGAGGGGTCGAGTTGGGAGGGGAGGACGGCGAGGCAGACGAGGATGAATTGGCCGAGGGTGATGAGGAGGCCTGGGGGGTGGTGGTTGTGGTTAGATTGATGGTTGGGTAGAAGGGGGACTACGGGATTGTATATACATACCACTGTTAGGTTCTTCTCTGGGTTGCTATTAGCTGTTGCAATTGTGGAAGGTTAGGGAGGAGTACATACTTGACGATTGCTTCTAATGCAAAGACCTAAAACGTCGTGAATTGATGCACGCATGATATGCCCGATTGCATGGTACGTACATTGGAACAACACCCGCCGAAGATCAGCGTCACAATCCCCAGAGGGACGAGGCTTTCTATCATAATAGACGTGGGAAATAGACGTGGGCAATATTCGATGCCGTATACGTACAGACAAGGTTACAATCCAAGTATGAACGAAGAATAGAATACTGAGGGGTGAAGTTTGACGTAGGTTTCAAAGAAGATCCTGCGTACGCATTAGCCTTAGAAGCGGGAGCATTGATCCGAAAATCTGTATCAGTCGTGTACACGTATGCACACGTCTGTTCGTCGTAACAGTCCAGCGCTCGCGGGCAGAGGTGATTGATATACCTTCGAGGCACTTTGAACCAGAACTGAATGAAATGCTACGATGACGTGGACGATATGAACCGGGCAATCTTATGGGAATCAAATCATACATACAGAAATCGGGTTATGGTCGAATGGCATCCGACATGGTGGTAACTCTGGCTAAACAGTCTCAGATCTCAAATTCATATAAGGTCATGAGTCGATGTGTGGTTGATAGATCCATCCGAATTGAGTTGAGGCTCGGCCGCTCGTCGGCTGTGGCTTGTCTAACAGAACACAGGGACAGGGCTTGTCGCAGGGCTGAGGCGGCTCTACGACTCGGACCTTTATTCCTAATTCTCCACAAGGATAAAAAAGGCTTGATAATGCTTTATTTGCATGACACCTTTGTAGTAATTTTACGTTCCATTCGACGCAGAGGTCCGATCTAAGTGAGCTTGCAAATCATGCAAGCCTAACAGTCTATCTATTCTGCCACATGATACATCCCCCCGATCTCAGTCAGACCTCCAACTTTTGTCGCTTTCGTTTACTCGTTATGTCCGGCAACCCAATGACGGTAGACCTGGGCACACATGAAGAGGCGCGGCTTTCTTCATTGGCCTGTGGTTCTGGTACTAAACGATCTCGCCTGGGATTGTGTCCATCGTTCATAGCGCCGAAAAGACGAAGAGCTGGCCGACGATTTTAGTATGCGTGGGCGTGCGTGCTGGTGAGTATACTTACGTTGTTGGTCGCGGCGATGGCTATGCTGTCTTCGAACGGGTGCCAGCTCATGTGCAGAATCTTCTTGTTGAAATCGATCTGATCAGCGTCGGTTTCTTTTCGCATCCTCTGTCCCTGGCCAACGGCACCAGCGGCCGGACTGTTTGCCCGAGAGCTATTCTTCTTGTTGCCTGTCGTTGGGCTTGTTGATGAATTCATAGGTGTTGGAATACCGACTTTCTTCGCCTTGAATGCAGACTTGTCGGCTTGTAGAACAACCTCTGTGTCCTTGTCAGGGTCCGAAGGGTAAATCATGAAGTTGTTGTTGTAGCTGCCAGTCATAACGTTTTTGGCATCACCTGAGAAAACAACTTCAAATTTGTCGAAAATGCTATCGTTCTCATACGTGTCGCAGAGACGTGGCCTCAAGTGTTCGTGAATTGGGATCGTCTTGACAGGGGTGCGTTCCATGTTCACGTCCCAGATCTTAACAGTAAGGTAGTCCCTGGAGAGGATGTATCGACCATCATGTGAAAATCGAACGTCGGAAATTGAGGATATAATCTCCGAGAAGAAAGATCGCGATGATGGATCCTCTTCTTGCTCGAACTCTGGTATCAACGATTAGCTTTCATGCTCTTCCTAGTTCTATACAGAGAACATACGCTTGGCATGTTGGTCACATAATGCGCTCTCTCGCATGTCAGCGAGCTTGATGGTTCCTTTCGAACTCGCATACATGAACCAATTGCAGCTTTGAGGGTGGAACTCCGCAGCAGTAATGACTTCTGTCAGCTCCTCCATATTCGCTGGTTTGATATCAACAATGTTAAAACTCTGGTCTTGAATGTTCAGGTTCCATAAGTTGATACGCAGATCGTCGCTGCTAATGAAAGTCTCTCCATCGCTGTTCACCGAAATGCTGTTAATGTGATATGCGTGAGCATTCGCATACGTCTTCCGCGGTACCGCCGCAACAACGGTGTCATGATGTGTTAATCTTGGGAGCTTGAGATCTGACGCATTGCGAAAGTATGTTCCTGGGTTTTTTACGGGACCCCCAGCTCCTGGAACCCCTCCCGGAGTTAACTCATGAGAGAGATTGTTCTCAGCCACAACCTTTAGAGACTTCTCAAATACTTTCCACAACTTTATAGTCTTGTCATTTGTTGATAGGAGGTAGTGAGATGCGTTCTGCCTGCGACACCACTTAATCTTGTTGATCTTCTCTTCTATCTCGAGCGATTTCAGGTAATCGAATTCTGGTTCGTGTGATTGAAACTCTGTGTGAAATTTGTATTCGCAAGTTTTTTTCTGGGCAAAGTCAGTAATAGTAGCGAGTGTGAGGTCTGACCCTCGTGAATCGGTACTGACTGATTCATTGCGCTCAAACAGCACAACACGGCCACCCTTGTCACCAGTGGCCAAATAGTTGCCCGTTTGGTCAAATTCGACTGTTGATATGATGTCGGCTAATTTAACGCCGCGTTAATAGTGTTTAGGTATGGGACTGATAAGGAAGACTGTACCCTCTGTGATATCCTCTACGTCACCTTTATCACCAAAGCATCTAGACAAGGAAGTCAGTGGACAATAAAGCATTTTATAACAAAAGACCAACGATACGGCCGTTTCGGGTCCAGCAGCTGGCGGAGCGCACGAAATGGTACGTACTGCGTGAATTTCCACGTTGTCTGGTTATCGCTTTCCACCATCTTGTCTGTGTGCGAGCAAGAATTCTGATTTCACGAGCAGGAAGCTGTTCGACAGTCTACTGTGTAATGCGTCTTATTGTACGGAGTCTCGCGTATGACGTATGACGAATTCGAATGTAAGACTGGGAGCGCAAACACGGACGCTACTTCGGTCTTCGGAAGTATTTGAAGAAAGTTGCGAATGGCGACGGCGAAAAAGATGATGTGCGAGTGTGTGAAAGAAGATAGAGACAAGGTATGAGGCTCTCTATTCGAAGGGGATGCTGCGCTGGGAGATGGTATACTGATAGAGAAGTGCTTGTCGCGGTCAGTGCGTGGTTTACGGAGAGTAGAGCTCGATCTTCAACAAGTAGTGGTTAGTCAACGGGACGGCGAAGGTAGACAGTGAAAAGTAAGTCAAAGGGTACAACACGGCCCCGAGGAGGGATAGGTGTATTGGCGCGGGCGGTGTTGCCCTTTATGAGACAAGGAAGCTTGAAAGCGGGAAGGGGAGCAGACTGACATCAGTGAGAACTGGGCAGGCAGGGTAAGGGCAGAGTAGGATCGTGTGAGGAGACCACCTGCATTCATCCATGTATTCCAAAGACGTACCTGATAAGGCCAAAGGTCGCGATCTGGATCCCAGAGCCCACAAGATGTAACAATAGCTGATACGACCGGCTTGAATGAGGAGAAACACTGGAGAGAGATGTCGATATAATGTCGAGACGTCGAGTTTGGTGGGGGCTTCGTTCCCTTACACTTGGAGTGTAAGAGAGTCGCGCCAAGGCCAGGCTAGAGCTCATGCGGCTTTAGCGCCATCTGTAAGCGAGAATCGAAAATCCACCACACTTTCACCAGTATCGAACTTCGGTTCGAACTTCCAGCGCCCAGCGACAACACCAAACGACTATCCGAATACCTTGAACGGCTGCCCATTATGTCGCACCGAAAGTTCGAGGCTCCTCGCCACGGTTCGTTGGCTTTCTTGCCCCGCAAGCGGGCTGCCCGTCACCGAGGAAAGGTCAAGAGGTGCGTACCCAAGTCGACACTCAATTCTTAGTACAGGTCGAGATAAACTGACTGCAATTGCGTGCAACAGCTTTCCCAAGGATGACAAGAAGAAGCCTGTCCATCTTACCGCTACCATGGGCTACAAGGCTGGTATGACGACCGTCGTCCGTGACCTTGACCGTCCTGGTGCCAAGCTCCACAAGAAGGAAATCGTTGAGGCCGCGACCGTCATTGAGACTCCTCCGGTATGTGTAACGCTAAACTTGATACTGGGCCCATTTACTTACACGCATTGCAGATGATCGTAGTTGGTGTCGTTGGTTACATCGAGACTCCCCGCGGTCTACGTTCCCTCACAACCGTCTGGGCCGAGCATCTAAGCGAGGAGATCAAGCGCCGATTCTACAAGAACTGGTACAAGAGCAAGAGAAAGGCCTTCACCAAGTACGCCAAGAAGCACTCTGAGAACAACGGCCAATCCGTCACCCGCGAACTCGAGAGAATCAAGAAATACTGCACAGTCGTCCGCGTTCTTGCCCACACCCAGATTAGCAAAACTCCTCTCAAGCAAAAGAAGGCTCACCTCATGGAGATTCAAGTCAACGGTGGTGAGATTGCTGCCAAGGTCGATTTTGCTCAGGGCCTGTTCGAGAAGCCCGTCGATGTCAGCTCAGTGTTCGAACAGGATGAAATGATCGACGTCATTGGTGTTACCAAGGGTCACGGTTTCAACGGTGTTACTTCTCGTTGGGGAACTAAGAAGCTTCCTCGCAAGACCCACAAAGGTCTACGCAAGGTCGCTTGTATCGGTGCCTGGCATCCTTCCCACGTGCAATGGACTGTTGCACGTGCTGGTCAAATGGGTTACCATCATCGTACTTCCGTCAACCACAAGATCTACCGCATTGGTAAGGGTGATGATGAGGGCAACGCTTCCACCGAGTTCGACGTTTCCAAGAAGACCATCACTCCGTAAGTTTTATTCTGGAATCGCTGCGAACTTATAGGAGCTAACTACGTCACAGCATGGGAGGCTTCGTACGCTACGGTGAAGTGAAGAACGACTACGTTCTCATCAAGGGATCCTGCCCGGGTGTAAAGAAACGTGTATTAACTCTACGCAAATCGATGTTCACCCACACCAGCCGAAGAGCGCTCGAGAAGATCGATCTCAAGTGGATCGATACCTCCTCTAAGTTCGGTCACGGCGCATACCAGACACCAGCGGAGAAGCGCGCTTTCTTGGGTACACTCAAGAAGGACTTGGTGGCTCCTGCGTAGGTTGTTCTCGGCGATGTTTGCATTTAACGGTTCTTCGAAGGGAGATGTGTGGCGTTCACCTGTGGCATCGAATAGTGCGAACAGGAAATAAAATAAATGACCAATACCCAAACTCTAGCCGACCTTCTTCTTGTGCACTATTTCCACTGTATGTCAAATTTCGCGATGAATTTGCAGGACTGCCGTAAAGCCCAAACAACCACAACACTAACACCGAGTGATGGATACGAAGTGGTTTTCCACTCGCATACTTTCCAATAAACTAAATATACATTGGCATCTCGTGCCAGGAGCATTTTTTGTTAATTTAATTCGAATATGACTGAAGCTTCAATGACCTATGGCTATGTTCTGCAGAATTGTGTGGACCGGCAGTAGAAGCTAAGCTTTCACATGCACTGCACGTTACCGGACGGCACTGCCAATCAATGTCAATTAATTATCGCAAAGGTCCCTCAGCCCAAACGATACATTTTGATGAATCGACTTGAAAGAATAAGATCGTCATTTAGTTGGCTATTGTTGCGACTGTAATCACGGTCGAAATTCTGGACTCTATGCAACGCACGATTATTGTAGGACGGATAGACGCCTCGGCTGTGGCGGCCGGCGAATGGCGAGGCAGGCGAAGGTAAGCTAATTGCGACGTCGATGATCCGTCCACAGGCCTACAACCTCTTCACTCCAGCCTCCCAAACAGACGACTTTCCCTCCAACATTGCCGTCCGGTCGTACCCAAGATGAATTCCATAAGGCACCGGGGACTTGCCAGAGGCTCCCAGGTAGGACTCCTCCCATGCACGATCTTGGTGGCGTCCACCGAGACCCCCGCAAGCCCTCCGCATTCACAGACGCAACTTCAAAGCTCTTCGCACGACTGTCAGCCATTGGACGCGTGAGCGCTCTACAAATATACAAATTACGCTTTACATATGCACATATCAGCTAATACATTGTTCTGTCCAGATATGCAAGAGCCTTCAACAGCAGAACAGATCCTTTTCATCTACGAAAGCCGTACAGCGCATTATTACGAGTCAACCGCTTCGCGCAAAGGAAGCGTCCGGGGCGATCAGCCATAAATACCCCGTCATAGACCACGAATATGATGCTGTAGTTGTTGGCGCTGGAGGTGCTGGTCTGCGGGCTGCATTTGGTCTGGCCGAGGCGGGCTTTAATACAGCATGTGTTTCGAAGCTGTTTCCTACACGGTCACACACTGTGGCGGCGCAGGGAGGGATCAACGCGGCTCTTGGAAAGTGAGTATCGATCACGCGAAACCGTCTCCAAATCTAACAAGTATACAGCATGCATGAGGACGATTGGCGATGGCATATGTACGACACTGTGAAAGGCTCGGATTGGCTTGGAGATCAAGACGCTATCCATTACATGACAAGAGAGGCTCCTCAAAGTGTTATCGAACTCGAGAACTATGGATGTCCTTTCTCGAGAACGGACGATGGTCGCATGTAAGAGCTTGTCGACCGTAGCCGAAAATGTCGTTTGCTGACTATAGTAGTTATCAACGAGCTTTTGGTGGTCAATCCCAGAAGTATGGAAAGGGTGGTCAGGCCTACAGATGCTGTGCTGCGGCTGATCGCACTGGACACGCCCTGCTTCACACTCTCTATGGACAATCTCTCCGCCACAACACCAAATACTTCATCGAATTCTTCGCCACCGATCTTATTATGGAGGATGGTGTTTGCAAGGGTATCCTAGCTTATAACCAGGAAGACGGGACTTTGCACAGATTCCTGGCTAAACACACAGTCCTTGCCACTGGTGGGTACGGACGTGCGTACTTCAGCTGTACATCTGCCCACACTTGTACCGGAGATGGCATGGCCATGGTCGCCCGCGCAGGTCTCCCCAATCAGGACCTCGAATTCGTACAGTTCCACCCCACCGGTATCTACGGCGCTGGATGTTTGATCACCGAGGGCTCAAGAGGAGAAGGAGGTTATCTTCTGAACTCAGAAGGAGAGCGCTTCATGGAACGTTATGCGCCAACTGCTAAGGATCTTGCCAGTCGCGATGTCGTATCCCGCTCCATGACTATGGAGATCCGCGAAGGTCGCGGTGTCGGCCCAGACAAGGACCACATTTACTTGCAACTAAGTCATTTGCCACCAGAGATTCTTCATGAACGTCTGCCAGGTATCTCGGAAACTGCTTCGATTTTCGCTGGTGTTGATGTTCGCAAGCAACCGATTCCCGTCCTACCCACCGTCCATTATAACATGGGTGGTATCCCAACCAAGTACACCGGAGAAGTTCTAACTGTAGACGAGTCCGGTAAGGATCAGGTCGTTCCAGGTCTGTTTGCTTGCGGTGAAGCTGCCTGTGTCTCTGTCCACGGAGCGAATCGTCTCGGAGCCAACTCACTTCTTGATCTGATCGTTTTCGGCCGTGCTGTATCTCACACCATTCGCGACAACTTCAGTCCTGGCGAGTCCGTCGGACCTGTGTCCGCGGACGCTGGTGCCGATGGTATCAGCGTAATTGACCAGATCCGTACTGCCGATGGTCATCTACCAACTGCTGATATTCGCTCTGAGATGCAAAAGGTCATGCAAACTGATGTCAGCGTGTTCAGAACTCAAGAATCTCTCGACGAAGGTGTCCGCAGAATCCACGACGTTGACGCCAAGTTCAAGGACGTCGGCACCAAGGACCGCAGTATGATCTGGAACAGCGACCTTGTTGAGACGCTTGAACTAAGGAATCTACTCACCTGTGCGGTGCAAACTGCTGAGAGTGCCGCCAACCGCAAGGAGAGCCGTGGCGCTCATGCCCGCGAGGACTATCCCGACCGTGATGACGAGAACTGGATGAAGCACACTCTTAGTTGGCAAAAGAAGCCGCACTCAAAGGTTGACTTGAGTTACAGAAGCGTGGTGGCGAACACCCTAGACGAGGCGGAGTGCAAGGCAGTTCCTCCGTTCAAGCGTACGTATTAGAAAAACTGTTTTTAAGTCTACTTTTCAGGGTAGAGGTGCATGTATTAGGCAGCGGGTAACTTTGTACCTATATCGAGTTGAACATATTACATTTCGAATGCACGATTCTCACTACATGCAACCGTGGACATTCTGGAGAGATCAATGATCGTATTATACATGGGGCTCAGTTGTTCTAGGCGCCATCCTATGCTGAGTCTAAAGCTACTAATACGGTCTTTGCACTATTACGAAGATTCCCCAACTCCCTGAATACAAGCTTAGTTGTACTGCATGTATGTCGCCGTCGAGTTGAACTTCAGGTTGCCCTTGATGACCTTGTCCACGGCGGCCAGGAAGTCCTTCTCTGTAGCGACCTTCCTCCTTGCGCGAATAGCAAACATTCCGGCTTCAGTCGCCACACTCCTGAGCTCTGCACCTGTGCTGTTGGGACACAGTCTCGAGATCAGTTCCCATCTTATGTCACGCTCCACACTCATACTCTTGGCGTGAATCCGGAGAATGTTGGCTCGGCCCTCCATGTCTGGTAGGGAGAACTCAATCTTTCGGTCGATACGGCCAGGTCTCATCAGAGCGGGATCGAGTGTAGACGGCCTATTCGTGGCGAACATGACTTTGATGTTTCCGCGAGAATCGAAACCATCGAGCTGGGTAATCAGTTCCAACATGGTACGTTGGACCTCGTTGTCACCGCCCGCACCGTCGTCGAAACGGGCTCCACCGATGGCGTCGATTTCGTCGAAGAAGATGATGCAGGCTTTCTTGGTGCGCGCCATTTCAAATAGTTCACGAACCATGCGTGCTCCTTCACCGACGTATTTCTGGACTAGTTCGGAACCGATGACACGGATGAAGGTTGCGTCTGTCCTGTTGGCTACGGCACGCGCGCAGAGGGTTTTTCCGGTTCCTGGGGGGCCGTATAGAAGAGCACCCTTTGGAGGGTCGATTCCCAGATTGACGAAGCGCTCTGGGGAGAGTAAAGGCATTTCTACAACTTCTCGTAACTTCTCGATTTGCTCTTTGCAGCCACCGACATCGCCATATGTTACATCTGGCTTATCCTCAACAGTCATCATTGTGACGGAAGGGTCGATCTTTGGCGGTAGAGGTAGGAGGATTTGGTACTTGTTGCGGTCGACGCTGGGGTCGTATCAGTACTTTGAATGAAGTTGTCCTCGAATGACATCTGAACTTACCCTACACGCATTCCTTCTTCGATATCTGTCGGTGATACTCTCTCGCCCAGATTCACTACGAACTTGGCAATCTGCTTGACATTGATAACATATTTATGCTTTTCCGTGTCCTTCTCATCCTGAATGATCTTCGTACACCGGGCCACCTGCAGCGGCTGCTCTTCCTGCATCCGTTGCCGGTCGGCAGCAATGTCCCATAGATGTGGCGGTGCAAGACCAGTATCTGACTCCTTCACTCCGATCTTCTCGTTGACTGATGACTGCTTGTCCTTGATCTCTTTCTCGAGCTTCTTTAGCTCTGCGGCGTACGGTGCGGCTCCATAAGTCTTCAGCACTTGAATGTCCTCATCTGACAGCGGTGTGATCTTCTTCTCTTCTACCTCGTCGTCAGCGAAGTTCTTCTGGTACTTCTCCCAGCTCTGCCCCGTGGCGCTAGGCATGATTGTGACGATATGGACGAAGGTGACAAGCTGAGGCGATTCGAGGATATGTCTACAGAGTATGGCACGGGCGAAGAGAGTGAGAAGCCAGGCAGTGGTGTTGGAAGGGCGAAAGAAGTTATGATGATATGTGACGCGGTTTAGATAGCTAATTACACAGACATCGTAATCACGTCGTCCGGGAAGCTCGAAGTCGGCGCCGCCGGACTAACCTCGGGGCGTCGCGACAACGCGAGTTTATTCTATCAGAATTTCTACCTAGAAGCGCGGGACGATTAGAGCCTGCACAAACGACTCACAGGCCTTTCATATCGCAAATTCCAGTTCCTAGGCTCTATTTGTAACTATGGCAGCTACTCAAGCCGCCAGCGGTTTCAACAATGCGTTCAAAGTGAGACACCGAGGAGCTCTCCACTCATATACACAGCTCACATACGAAACAGGACAAGGAGAAGCCCACAGCCGTGAGGACCGGTAACATTGTAGCCGCGCGAGGTGTGTGTTTATGCTGTTGGGCCTTTGACCTTGTGCTAACATGAATCCACAGCGGTTGCGGACGCCATAAGAACTGTAGGCCTTACTAGTCTGATATGCGAAGCTTTACATTAACATTGCGCAGTCTCTAGGCCCAAGGGGAATGGACAAAATGGTACGTCTGTTTGTCTAATGATTCTGTTGATGTGCTAACGAAGATTGAAGATTCAAACTGGAAAAGGAGAGACCATAATCGTAAGCCTACCGCAAGTTCTCACACGACCGTAATTAATACTCCCCAAGACGAACGATGGCAACACAATGTTGAGTCAGATGAGCGTTCTGCACCCAGCAGCCAAGATGCTCGTAGATTTGGCGAATGCTCAAGATATAGAGGCCGGTGACGGAACCACATCAGTTGTCGTAATCGCAGGAAGTCTTTTGGGAGCTGCCGAACGCCTGCTCGGAAAGGGTATTCACCCGACAGTCATATCAGAAAGCTTCCAAAGAGCTGCTGCCGCTGCAGTAAAGGTCCTACATGATATGTCTGTACCTATTTCTCTCACTGACCGCCCCACTCTCCTCAAAGCCGCCTCCACATCACTCTCCTCCAAGATCGTAGCACAAGAGCCCAAGCTTGCGCCTATGGCTGTAGATAGTGTCCTGAAGATCATCGATGCCAAGACCGCAGACAACGTAGACCTGAAGAACATTAGGATCCTTAAGAAGTCCGGCGGCACGATTGAGGACAGTGAGATGGTGGATGGTGTGGTACTTAACCAGCAAGTCCTAAAAAGCGGAGGAGGTCCAACAAGAATGGAAAAGGCAAGGATAGGACTGATCCAGTTCCAGCTCAGTCCTCCCAAGCCCGACGTAAGCATAGCCTTCCCATGTACCCACTTCAAATCTAATGAACCTCTAGATGGAGAACCAAATTGTCGTGAACGACTACCGCCAAATGGACAAGATCCTGAAGGAAGAGCGCACCTACCTCCTCAACATGGTCAAGAAGATCAAGAAATCAAAATGCAACGTTCTCTTTATCCAGAAATCTATTCTTCGCGACGCTGTCAACGACCTTTCCCTACATTTCCTCGCTAAGCTCAACATCCTAGCCATCAAGGATATTGAGCGCGATGAAATCGAGTTCCTCTGCAAGTCTACCGGCTGTAAACCAATTGCCGACATTGACTCCTTCACCGAAGACAAGCTTGGTAGTGCAGACCTGATCGAGGAAGTCCAGTCTTCGGGTGCACGTATTGTAAAGGTTACCGGTGTTCGTGCACAGGCGAATACCGTCAGCATCGTATGTCGAGGCGCTAATTCTCTCATTCTTGACGAGGCTGAGCGCAGTCTGCATGACGCGCACTGTGTTATACGCTGCTTGGTCAAGAAGAAGGCTCTGCTCGCCGGTGGTGGTGCGCCCGAGATCGAGATTGCGCAACAGCTCGCAGCACAAGCACGTGCACTCACAGGCACCGAGAGTATCTGCTGGAAGGCGTTCGCAGATGCAATGGAAGTTATTCCAACCACGCTAGCAGAAAACGCGGGACTGAATAGCATTCGTGTGGTCACGGAGTTACGGCACAGACATGCAAAGGGCGAGAGGAATGCTGGTGTCAGCATTAAGAGTGGAGGCGTGAAGACAGACATGAAGGAGGAGAGCGTGCTACAGCCCTTACTCGTGAGCACGAGTGCGCTGGAGTTGGCGGCAGAGACGGTGAAGTTGATACTGCGGATTGATGATATTGCCTTGAGCCGTTGAGCGTATGTCAGGAGCGATGAAACACGATGGCTGGAGACGTATGGGCTGTATACTAAGTCCGTAGGAAGGCTCCAATCAAGAGTATGCTCACACAGGACCAATGACTCGAGTGTCGCATATAGTATGTGAGGGAAACGCATATTGTCCATTTAGGCATGGTTTCACAATTGAGGCGCGGCTCCCATTAAGCGACCTCACAATAGAGCTTCATCACAAGGACAATAGTTCTACTTACGTCTTCTCCTATCCTTCCATACCTAGGTTCCTCGTCGGGGCTATCCTTGATACTCGGCCGCTTGATCTATTTCAGTGCCCCCTAATCCATCTCATAAGCTTCTCGCATCTAATCTGCGGACTAAAGAGGAAGAATCTGAGATCAACTTGTCAATCTTACGCATGTATATATATATATATATATATATAGACACTCCCAAGTCGATCGAGTGTCGGTGGACTGGCTGCGTTATATAAGGAGGAGTGAATAATAGGCATCCAGCTTCAAATATACGAAAGGGGTAAGGTCAAGAGACCGACGAAAACATTTGAAACTACTGTATGTGTTAACACGAAACGATGCACTGCACTCGACGCAGCCTCCCTCTATCCCCTGTCCCTATAACTCTTTCCAAAACCCTTTCTAAACTTAACTTTCTTTTTCCTTACCCAAGAAAACAGCACCAGCGAAACAAGGGGGGACGATGAGTAAACGATCATCACCCAAAACCGATTGCAGTCGCGATGCCTGTGCCCGCGCCCGTTTCTGCTGATTGTGATGATTATCATCACCACAATCTTCATCACCATTCCTCACCTGCTGCTACTCTTCACCACCGAAAGAACCCCAACACACCCACCCAGACATCATGTTGTCTCACAACTCTACTAGCGTGTATGAGACACCATCAAGCTAAATAAACGCACACGCATTTTTCGTACCGATGCAGCAACCGGAGACATTCCTATTTTCGTCCCGCACTTTGGCGAGAGCATGTAACCTCCTTTGGCATTCTGCGTTTCGTGTTTGTGGTGTGTGTGTGTGTTCTCTGTGGGAGAGAAGAAGGAAAGGATGGAAGGGGGCAAGGAAGGGGGGAATATATATAGGGTTGGAGGGTCGAAAAAGGGGCGACGTGGATGTGCCGGGTAGGGTAGAATGGGGTAAGGGGTTGTGAATGATGGATGGATATGGTGGGGAAGGAGAGGGATAGGTAAAGCAAGGTAATGCAAGATCTGGTATCATAATCTGCGCAAAATGGCTATATGCTCAACTCGACCGGCCCAGCTCGGTGAGAAACGCCATAACGCCTCGCTATGTAGCCGACATTGCACGAACATCAGAAGCAAGGCCAACAGTAACACCCCCCTTTCCTCCCCCCCCCCTAATAACTGACCAGCAAACTCCCAACCTTATTCCCACTCTTCACCCCGCCCTCATACGCCGCCCAATTCCCCAAAACATCCTTCACAACCGGCCGCGCAGCGATCCCGATGTTCTCCAACGCAACACTGAATCCCCCTTGCTGATTAACCAGCAAATGATCCGTTTCCTCGACCCCCTTGGGCGCCTGCACAAAGTCACTTGCGGCACGCAGAATCGACACCCGGGCGAAATCAATCTTGCCCGCCGCGTGGCCGCGCAGTAGACCCTCTAGACTGGCGTTGTCCTCCTGTTGGCTCATGCAGAGCGCGCCAGAGCCGTTGGTTAGCAGCTGAGTGTAGGCGGAAAAGGCGGCGGTCAGCTTGCTGCCGGACCAGTACACGTTGCTAGTCTGGGAGTCGCACGCGAGGACGGAAGGCGGGGCGCGGGCGGCTTTCTGGTCGTATTTTGCGCGGTACGAGGCGGCGGCAGTGGTGTCGTTGAGGGGGGCTTTGCTGGCGAGGGTGCGGAACTTGTCGCGCAGGTTGCCGTTGAGGGTGTATACTTCCGTGCCGTAGATGTTGCGTGGGTAGGCGGAGCGGGTGTCTTGAGGGGGGATGCTGGGGTCGTAGGAGACGGGCTTGGTGTTGCCCTGGGGGACGAGGCCGGAGGAGAAGTTTTGGGGGATTTGGCGGGCGTCGAATTCGTAGGTGAGGTCGAGCTGGACGGCGTATTTGGCGAAGCCGACGGTGCCAGTAGTGCCGAGGGAAGGGTTGACGCCGGCGATCCCGGTGAGGATGATGTAGGTGTGTGTGAGGTCGAAGTGGGAGGCGTAGAGGAGGGCGGTGATGCTGGCTGCGGCGTTGGCTTCTGAGGTGTGTGTTAGAGGAAATTCTTAGTGTAGAGATAAGGTGGTCTCTGAGATGATAAATTAGGGGTGTTGGGAATCTTACCTCCTTCGCCGTTGGTCATGGAGCACAATGTGCCGGCGTTATTGCAATTTACGTCGGGGTATAGAGGAGAGAATCCAGGGACCTCATATGATTGTTGTAGGAGCTCTGGGAAGTACTTGAATATGGCTTCTTGCTCGTAGTTGAACTGGTACTGTCAGTCTTTGCGTGAGTGTGTTCGACGAGGAGTGATTACCTGTGAGATGATCAAGACTTTTGGGAATATCGGACCATAGCTCCTCGTCCGAAGTCGTCTTCCCGTGAGTTGTGGAGGAACATTCCGTCTCGATGAAGGCTTGAGCATGACATGCGCTGGGTCTACTCCTCTTGGACCAAAGCGACCTCGTCCATAGCCTCGACTTTGAGCTGATACAAGAGCCAGCAGAGTCAGCCAGACAAAATGGAAAAGAGCAACCATTTCGAGATTTCAAGTAGAGACAGCAGCAATGAAATTATTGACCGGAGCAAGCTTGACAGACCCCAATATGAAAAAAAAAACCCACGCCGGAACGGCACTCTTATGCTGTTTTCACAAACTCGCCGTCAACACTCCCTACAGGCATTAACAGCACATTCACATACAACAATGCACTGACACGCGTGACACCTCGTCTGAAATGAGGTAATTCCAGGAACCATCCCAGGAATGGACAAGGTAACGAGTGAGGGAATATGTACTGCAGACGAGTCAGACACGAACGCCGCGGCCATGTGTCCAGAGAGGCCTGGGTCACTGAATAACCGTGCAGAACTAGACAAGTAGCTACACAGTGAGACGCCATATGGAGTTTGGAGCGCGGTGGATAGGTGTCATCGTGCCCACAATGGATATCGCAGCGCCACAGAGGGTCCCTCAGACGAAGCCATTGCGCACCCGACTCGGCCAGTTCGGTGGCACCGGAGCAAATCAAGAAGGGAACGGGAGGCGCGGGTGGAGGGTTTGTGCGCCGTTTACGCGATACTCGTGCTATACAGCGCATTATGATGGCTTGAGTACTTGCGTGTGACTACTACTGCTACTACTGCTACTGCTACCGCTACTGCATGCCTGGGTGGGCTTGGGGGACCGGAAGAGGTGCTATTCTGGGTAGATCGGGATCCTCTGGGCTGGTGTGTCTGCTAGGCACCATGGAAAGCGGAATGATGTTGATGCTCCGTGTGTCTGGTCTGGCAATGGGGATTTTCTCATGGGTGTCGTAGAGACCTTGCGGTGGCAGAGCAAATAGGCAAATAGGGAGGAAGAAAGATGATTGAAGCGGAGAATGACACCCTCTGCTCGCGAGCCATGGGTCAGTCAGTCAGAGAGTATCATGATTATGAGAAATGGACGGATCCGGATAATGCCCGATGACTGCCGGCAAGCCTGCACAGCTGAAGTCGAAAATTCCCCACTGTTGGGAAGATCCAGTAGCCCGTCGCTGCTGCTATCGTCATTGTTGATGTCGTCGAGGTTTGTCGTCCATTGTCCGGCGTCGGTTCGAGGACAATGGCGCCAGTCTAGGGCTGTGGGAAAAGGGCCGATTCCCCACTCCAACACGATTCAAGGATCCATTCTCGAATTTCGATTATCGCGATAAGACAAGGCTGAAGTGTGTGTTGGAAGTAGAGATTCCTCGGGCCAAGGTAATTACCTGTACAAAAAAGAACGCCTTTTGTAATTACAACCCTTGACGTAGCACGCCACATGAGCCAGTTCACGAGCGTGCAGTGTACCCATCCATATCTTGACACGAGCAAATATGCGACAAGCTGCACGGTCGGCTCTAGCACGCCCCAAGCACAATTGTTCTCGATTCAGGTCGGCATGTATTTTGTGTTTACGGTACTGTACAGGCGTACCAGAACATCCCTTACTTCCCCTCGAGTATCTTCTGTGGTACAAATTGGTCACGAGTGACAAGGGTAATAGGTCTTTTGTGGCCTCTCGCTACTCGTTCGAACATCTGCCAGACGTTGGTTTATTCAGTGTAGCTACAATGGTATACTCTGAACTATATATAAGACTTGTGTAGTGTTCCTCAGCACACAAGAGTGAGTGCTCCGCTTGAAGCTCACGGTGCGCTGTAGTCCCACGCTGAGTCGCAATTCTCGAGAGCCCCGTGGTATATATGTTTCGACGGGAATACGGGAGTGGAGGCTGTGCATATCCGACGCATGGCGTGGGCAAGTCGGTAATACTCCAGATTCTCGGAAGTTTCGTGATGAATGAGGCGCTGCTATCCATTGAATAGTTTCCCTGAACCATAATCATATGTGATGAATATCTTCCTCGAACCAACTGACAACCATGTACTCGTCACTGTGCCACTTCTGCGTAGGCAACGAATGCAGCGACGAGGCATGCCTCGCTGATTTCGGTATCATGTGTAATACTGCAATGGAGGCTCGTATAGACGCCGCGCTTGCAAACAACACACCGCTTCTCCTCCGCCTCCTCCTCCTATCGAAGACTTGGCGGTTCAAGAAAGCAGCGACGTCAGCTGGGATACGACCATGCCACCCACGAAGAAGAAAAAGAAGGACAAGATTGCGCTCTATGGGGCGGAGGTGCACCTTAGTCTGTTCCTCCATCTGCTGATGATGATGATTGGGGCATTTGGGGGCCAACGAAAGCAAAGAAGAAGAAGAAGAGAACGTTGCAATCTACGAAGAGCAAGTAAAGCCTGAGCCTGCTCCTAGGGAGTATGGGGAAAGGGCTGCTTTCAACAAGTCTTAATGTTGTTCAGGTTCAGTGTTCAGTAAATAAGTTATTTATTGGCAGACTGGTCGTAAGCAACGCTAGATTTACAGTGTGCAGAGTGTGATACATGTTAGTTATGCTCTACCACATCACCAAGCATACAGGTTCTCTCAAACTATGTCCTCCTACCATTCCTCAAGGCCCTGCTCCCCAGATCTTTAGGTCGATTTCAGAACTATTTAACGTGGTAATTTGCAACATCTTCTACTACCGTTAGAATGAATCAATTTGATATTCTTGTCATAGGATGGTATATGAGTCCTCCACACATTCCGCTAACCAAGCGTTGCAAATAATTCTTCCTCTCCCTATCCTCTGGTAAACTCCATTGTGACCCTCAACAGATCGCAAGCCCAAGACCTCGATGCATTTTTCGCGCGCAACGTGATTCTCACCGCTGCATCCACTTGCTTTTGCACATTCTCTTGCTATATAATTATCCCAGGACTTTATTGCCACACAGAACAACCAACGCTCCGAGTCTTGTTCCCGCGCCGAATCGGGAATATAGAACCCAATGATGCAACCGCATTGATCGAGCACAGTTTCGGTATGCTCTGGAACCGGAAGTGGTCGTGGGAAGAATAGTCTGTTCATACATTCATCATATCGCGGTATAAAAAAGCTAGGACCGACACCGTCAAAGTTTGCTGTACCGAGCAAGTGTGAAAGAATTTCGTCGTTGTAAAGAGCCTCGGAGCCCACCTCTCCCTCTGGTGTTTCCAACTTCAATTCCCTTAATCTTGCGCCCCTTTTCACCATCCTTCCTGCGGACACGAAATGTGTCTCCCCAGAGATACAAGTTCCACTGCAAAGACCTAGCTCACCACCGTTTTTACACCCGTCTTTGGTAGTGTATGATACGTTCCGAGCCAATATATCGCAAGACTTTGGGGTACCGAAAAGCTCGGTGACAACAGGCGCATTGACTGACGCCCAGCTCCATGAAGGAGCGTGGAAGTCTTGAAATGGCTGAACCTGCGGGCTCTTGGTGAACCAGAGGAGGCCCTGGTAGGTCTTATCTTCGAGAATGCCAGCGTGAATTATGACATCAAAAGAATGATGTAGCCGATTTGAGAGTCCGCTGATAGCCTTGAGTCGGTCTTTGTTGTACGTCATCTTAGCCCTTGAGTAATCTGTCACAATTCTGCCCCATAAGGTCAACGTAGAAGGTTGGTCTTCACGTCGCAGGAGCAACGATTCACGATAAGATAATTGAGGATCTGTCCCCTCTTCCTCGCCCTTTTCTTGGAAACAATCCCAATACAACTTACCGGTTGTATAATATAACACCCTTCTAGAAAGGATCCTCTCCTGGAAGATCCATGCTCTCCAATGCCATTCGGTAAGTATCAACCTCTTTGGGATCGATAATCTGCGAGGGCAGACAGTAACCATGTTCTCGGAGGGGAGGCTGGATTTGAGGTAGCGAAATTTCCATACGAAAGCCTCTTTGGAGCTCTTGAAGACTGTTTCGGATAGTTTGAATAGAGGATCGATTCGAAGGGGAAGCGCCACAGAAACAGCCAAAGGATCTAAATCCCGACAGTCAAATAACCCCTGGTCGCATCCCGACTGTTCTTTCGCGCCCACAGCAGCGATTGTAAAATACGATGAACTAAAATAATAGCCCATGAGATCAGACTCTCGCGCCCAATCGTCTTTATCGTCTTGTATGATGCAAAGAGAATCAACCCAGAGGTATCGGCATCCAAGCTGTTTTGTGACCTCTATGGCGTCTTGGAAAGTACGAGAGAGGTTTTGCATCGGGAGTTTCGCCTGGAACTCATCGATATTTTGTTCTACGGTTTGTATCTCGTTCCTTCCCCACCGATGGCTGAGCGCTACGAAACGATTTTTCTCTCCTGATGTTATCAAAAGTCGTGGTTTCCACGATCCGTCCGCTGGAGGACCCAAATCGATAACGCGAGTCGGTAGATAAGCCGCCTCTCTATCGGAAGGGTCAGCTAACTCTTGGATACGACATTCTTTATGGCTGGCAACACATTCGCCTAGCCACTTCCGAATTTTGTCGTATATTGGCTGACTTGAAGCGGAGTCGACACTTCGCGAAGGTACCAGGCCGTCTCGAGCATAGTTTGAGGCTAGAAAAGCTTAAATAACATCATCAAATTTCGCAAACTCCTTACTTGGAGGGGCTGTTATCGAAATGGTCTCCCCTTGGTTGAAATTTCCTCTGCAGACCTGAGCTCCTGCTGGAGCTACATAGTTGGCTCTGCTCCACGTGACCTTCTTTACAACAGTAAAAGTCTCGTAAGGAAGCCCGACAGGATTCTGATGGCGCGAGATCGCTGGCAGTGTTCGGAGTTGGTGTAATGCGGACTCGTATTTGCTGTCCAGTTTGTAGCTGTCTACTTCGGGAATTTGGAGCCTACCCATGGAGCACACGATCAATCGGCAAAGTCGGCAGGCCTGGCCCGATCGAGCGATTCTCTCATGATCCCATGGGTGCTCGTATCCGTTCTGTAACCCCTCAAAGCTTAGCATTCGACATGCAGAGCAAAGCCTGGTGGTTTTCGGAAGCTCTACGATGGACTCGAGAGACGAATAAACACTTTGCAATACTGCGGCGTTCATTTTGTCTATACCTAAAGTCTGTGAATAACAATAATGTAGGATGCAATTCCAGAGAAGTGGCAATGGGTGAGAGTCCGATTCAAGTCTATTAGTAAGGGACTACGAATTCGCTGGCGAATTCGTGGCGCTAAACCTAATTAGGTCAGAAATGAACCCAGGGTTAGCTAAACCCTAGAGGTAAATTCTATAAAGTAGTAAAGATAGATTTATAGGGTTCTCTCTACTAGATAATATTAATAGAATAGATATATCTTATTAATACCCTACTATAAGAATCTATTTACTTTTACTTTAAGAGTCTTAGATACCTTATGTATTTATAATCTTTATACCTTATATATTAAGATAAAGTCTAGAGTAATAAGCCCTTATTTAGACCACTAAGTAGAGGTTTATTACAATAACTTAAATGCTAAGAGAAATATAAAGCGGCTAGAACCTTCTCGTTAGATAGAAGACCACGTATGAAACCAGCGATAAGTTCGAGAAACCTCCTAAAGCCACGAAACTTACGGCAACCGGAGGATCATTTACTTAATTCCAACTCGGGTTCATCCAATGGCACTACATTCGTTTTTAGTTTTAAGAGAGATCTTCCCGATAAAGCGACGGTCTGGACTTCCAGAGAGCTGATATACCGGCGACTCCTACTGGCTGTCCGATTTCTACGTCTTAGCGAGCGTGAAGAAAGCGTAGAAGGAAAGTCCCCTACATGCTCATCCTTGCCATTTCCAGCCTGATGGCCTTCACCACTTCGTCAGCTGAGCTGTATGTATGATCCCAACACCCCTTGATAACCTTCCCACCGGGAACATTAGATATGTCTGGAAATTGCCCTGCTGCAAAGAATTTATTTGCTTCCTCCATGAAGGCGTCCTTTTCAGCACCACGTGGCGCTGGCCCGGTCCTGAAGGGCCAATGTCCGGTCATGATGGTATATAAGATGGACCCCAAGCTAAAAATATCAGTAGCAGGAGTCGACTCCCATGGTAATCGAGGGTCGTAGAACGGGTCGTCAGGTAGGTGGCCACCATCTAATCCCAGTTTCTCACACATTGATCCCCCAAAGTCGCACAGCCAGAGATCGCATTCCGCCGAATGTACCAAATAGTTTTCGGGGCGTAGGTCGGAATGGATGACACCCTGGCTGTGCAGATAGGCGATAGGTTCGGCGGCCTGTAGGACCCACTTCCAGCGTAGAGTAGTAGCTAGATGTTGGTTGTTGTTATCGATGTATGCTTGCAAGTTGCCGTGGTCTGCTTTGGCCAGTTTGATACCTGTTTGTTTGTATGGCCCGAGATATCTGTCACCAAGACTTAGCCCATTGCGATTGCAGTTAGAGGGAAAGCGTGACAAACGGAACAATCCTTGGGTGGTTTCCTAGACTTTCAATGATTTGCCGCTCAACTTTCAGCGCGGTCACGTTTTCTTCGTTCCTAAGTTCATGATTAGGGTTCCCACCCCAAACCTTCTTAGGCATCTTAACGACTGCATCCGGGCCGAGATTTAGGAAGTCTGAAGTAGACCCGAGGTACTGCAATGAACTCATGATGTGTTGCAGAGGTGGAAGGCCTGTAGGTGAAGAGGTTGCTTAACCTCTACTCTGGAAAAGGTGAATAGCGAGCCTTCAAGTACTTGTGATTAGCAAGGTGGGTGGTCGACCTCGTGCACTAGGATGTATTGTTTATGGGATTTCTATTAGGTAATCCCCATTACTTAGATCTTATTCAGCACTAGGCTGGTGTATATAGTAGATAGATAGGTTAGATAGATACGTTAATTAATTTTACTATATTAAATTTACTAAAGTTCCTATATCTAGTAGCTAAAATCAAGTTTTTATTCTTCTAAGAAGGCTTTTAGATAAGTATCTAAGGACTCTATCTCTCTCTATATAGTAATAGAATCTAGCTAATATATCTTATAGCTCTTAAGATATATATTATAGGGTAGAGGTACTCTAATCTAATAGTAAGCTATTAAATAAGACTTAAGATCTACTATTCTTATTAGTATAGTCTATAGAATAGCTAATAGCTAATATTAGATAATTAGAGATATATATAGCTAAGCTTAAGACTTAAAATAATAGTCTAGTCTAAAAGAGAAAGTAGAAGAAGATTAAAATAGACCTTAATAAGTAATTTATAAATATTATATATATAAAGAAGACTATAAATAATAAGAAGAAGGAGATAGTAGTAGAGATAGTTTAAGCTATTAAATATACGAAAAAGCTTAGAAATTAGAGACTTAATTTATATAGACTAGATAGATAGTCTCTAAGGAGGTAGATAAGGCTTATTTATATAAATTTATACTATTTTAAGTATATAGTTATTAATATAGGCGTTTGGAGTTGTACTCAAATCACATGGTTCATTAGTAGGTTGGCTCATTAGTAGGTACGTCAACCTACCTGTACATAATTATGTACAGGTATGTACAGGCTAATTTAGGTATATACAGCTCTCATCTCACGTGCAGAGCATCGACATCTCCTGTGCTCATGTCGGGCACCCCAATATCCGCCTTTGCCTGCTCAATCATCTTCTCCACGTCTGACCGATCGTACATGCGCACCATGATGAAGCGAATTAGCTCCGACAACGTGTCGAGCGTCGATTCAGCGTGGTTGAATACCCTCAGCGACGAGCCACCGGCTTCCAGTGGCGGATTGAACTCGAGGTCGATAACGGAAGTTCTTGGCGCGAATTCGGTCGATTGCACGCGTTGCAGCAAGAGATTATGGTACAAACGTAGCATTTTGACCATAGTATATCCCCATCGTCCACCACGTCGGCTGTTCTCACGACGATCCTCGGCCGTAGCGGTAGGAAGAGCGAGTGCGACGAGCTGATTGAACAGAGCCTTTAGCATCCGTGGGGTGGGCGCCAGGCCAAAATGTTTGTGGAGGACATGCATGGCGACGAGGGCGCCAGACAGATCAGAGCCTTGACGAAAGCAGGTGGCGACCAGATATGGGAGATCAGTATACCTCGTGGCGAGTGTTATGAAACGCTTGGAAATCCTGACTCTCTCGGACGGATGTGTTGTCTGATGCCATTCGATCATGTGTGCCAACAACGCTCGAGGATCTGGTCGGCTCGTGTCATGTTCTTGGATGTGACGAGCGTTTCGAAGATCTGACCACAGTCTATAGTAAACAGAAGCATTGTATCTTGCCATCCCCATTCCCGGCGACATGTTCATGATGTCATGCCATACTTCCTCATCTCGACCAACGGTGATATAGTAGTAGACCTTCGCGTCTAAAAGGGATGATTCAGCGAGGAAGGCTGGTCCGTCTTCCGCTTCTCGCTCAACATCGTCCAGGTACTCCATCAGTTGTTGGGCGTCGAAAAGGCGACTTGCTTTAGTATAGTACTGCAGAAGCTGTGCGAGAGTCTTGGGGTCAGCTGGTGGTACTTGTCGCTTCTCAAAGAAAGGCTCAATTTTCTTTGACATTGCCTTTCTGATTGCTGAGGTATCAGCGTCGATGGGTCCTGTGTTCTCGTTTTGGGTGCTAGGAGTCTGGTCACTGCCAGTGTAGCTTGAAGCTTTTGCCGGCATATCCTCCTCTCGCTCCTCCCTGCTTGACCTCTGACGTCCGGTGCGTTTCCCGTGCTTCAGAGTCCTCCTTCTTGCGCCCAACATCTGCAAGGCGATTGCTTCCGCTTGAGAATGCATCGTACCGTTGTTACTTCGCCATAAACACATCAATAGCAGGTTCAAATGATAAGTACGGGGAATCAAGCCTCGTTCATACATGAGTTCTACAATTTTGGTAGAGGCTCGCGTCTGACCTCGAACAACAATTTCGTGAAGCCATCTTTTGAAAAGAACGAGGCTGTATTCAAGAGGAAGAAAGGATAGAGCAGTCAAGGATACCTCATTGACTTGATCAGTGTCTGTGCAGGCAGCATATAGAATACTGATCCTGTCCAACATTAGACGTGCCGTCTCAGCTGTCCAATCACCGAATTGCTCGTGACGTATCATATCTTCTAGAACGGTCACCGCGTGGACGGGAAAGCCGCGAGCGTGAAATATGCCGAACAGACTCTCACGTTGTGCCAAAGACATGCGATCATTGAGGACCGACTTAACCCAGGTATACAGCTCCCAGATCTCTTCATGACCGACCAAGCGACCACTGTGAACGGCAATGAACTCATCCATTACTTTCAAATCATACTCTGAGTTGTTCTTATAGAGCTCTTCAAGTAATGCCTTTGTCCTGTCCCAGTCGCCTATCTTCTGGTACAGACGAATTCCTAGGCTCAAATGTTCGGCTCTGAAGCCATCACCTTCCTCGGTCGGTTCATTATGTTCATCCGACCATTGCTGTAGAGCTTCTTCTCTGTGACCCTTATTGAAGAGGGCTTCAACCTTGGCAATTCTTTCTGCAAATGTGGTTGTGAAGCCCGCTTTCTCGCGATCAGCCGCCAATAATCTAAGGCGGGTTGCACGAAGCCCTGGATTCGAGGGTATGCTATCTTGCGATCTCCATAGCAGAGCCCATGCTTTTTCTGATAGCAAAGAGGGTAGTTCGCTGCCTAGACGGTATCTTGCATTTGTGTAGGCATCCCATAGCTCTGACCTGACGAGCTTCCCCTTCTTTTGAACCTCCGCCAACTCGAACGCCCGTACCAACTTTTTATAAGGTGCTGATGCGCGATATTTTCTGTGCGCTTTCACGTATGGTTCCGCAGCTGCTCTGCGTTTGCGGAGCGCTGCGCCAACGACATCTTGCACCCTGCGCACATCGGCATCACTGAGACCTGCATGGGCTGTGGTTCGATCAAGGGTCTCTTCGTCAAAGGGGCGTTCCTGATCTGATTTATCTGCAATATTGCGGGTGTGACGGAGAAGATACGTGCATCTAGAAGCTAGGGAAGAGGCTTGGAGCTGGCGGAAGTTTGCGAGGACATGTAGCATCTGGGACCTTGAGAGCAGCGTGTGCCTCTAAGGAATGCACGATACGACAGCAGTCTTCGCTGTGGCCATCTGATGGAAATGTATTTATCCGAACGTGCGAATACTCAAGTGAGCACAATAATCGAAGAATAGTGTTGTCTTTCGAAAATCGGGACCCAAGGTCAAGCCAAGCCACCTCTAGCTCAGTTGCACTAGGTCATTAGCGGCTAGAGCCTGGCTTGACCTTGGTTCTACCTGAGTCTGTTCTTTTATTGTTGCTCCATACATTTCCATCCACCCAGTACATGTGTTGTCTCAACGATTGTATGTCGAACATGGCACTGAAGACCACGGAAATGTGCCTGGTCATGACAGTCAGGATATCACTGGAGCGCCACTGCATATACCTAACGAGACACAAGGATCGAGGGAACGGAGTTCACCATTCGACGTGCTCATACTTGCATCACTGACTTATGAGATGAATACATATACGTATGAACGCGTGGGAAAAGTAGGTGAACTTGTCCTGTCTACGCTTATGTGCCGAACCGGCATATTAACACACCGGGCGGCTTCATAAATCGGACTTCAAAGAATTGAATACTTCGAATCAATCATGAAGCCTATCCATTTATCGACTCTTGATCCGTGGACGTGCTTTATACAGAACATATGGTAGCTTCGTTACATGAACAACAGGGGCAGGAGCGTACGATAGATTACATGTAGGTAGTAGCCTGCACTCAAATTCCTCACTCTTTCGCTGCGATGTAGTATGGCAATGCTACAGATACCTTACAGTCCTTACTCGCTCCAAAACACTCTTCCTCGAAGCATATCCTGCCCTAACTAGGTTATTTCTACCCGCTCGTCATTGATGGAGTTATCCTTGTTCGGATTTTCTGCATTTAGTGTCGAACTCGCGCCTTATACCAAATTCAAAGCAAACCTGGGAAGCAAATGGTCGCAGACTCGACATCTATAGGAATCACGGATCACGTTTTGGAACAAGACGCGCTACCTTCTCTGCACGACTTCCTTGACGCAGACCCTAGACCAACTTTCTTCGTGCCAATTGACCTTACTGCAATAGTCCCTTTCAGGATCGTATCTGGCAATACCGCATTCCGACAGGACAAGATAGCAGATACAATAAACAAGGATGAAGAGGCGAGTCACAGATTTCGTGCCTGGTGTCAAACAGTCGCGCTCTGGAGAAAAGAGTATGATTTCGCAGACGCGACTTGGGGCGCTTTCAATATCCGCGGGCGTTGGAGATGCATACGTGCTCTGAGACAGGTGCCCCAATCTCACAAAAAGATAGAATTTGGGCTGGCAGTTGGCGTAGGGCCCGATAGTCTTTCGGTCGAAGATGCTAAGCACAGATTGCAAGACATAAAACGTTATGACCAACGACTAGCCAGCCTTTACACGATGATGGAGATGAGTGATGTTGGGACTTTTGAATACTCCCCTGAGGGTACTCTGATTCGTGCGAACGTGAGCTGAACCAGCGTCTCAGCTAATCCCAGTCTGACATACTTCTAGGACTCCTGGTATCGTCTTAGCCTACATCCAAAGCTTGAAGACCTCCACACTGATTACTCGTTTATGGATCTCGTCTATCCCCCAGACAGAGATTTGGTTATTGCACAATGGAACAAATTGGTTCAAGGCCATAGCATTACGTTCGAGATGAGATGGAAGGGTATCAACTATCGCCCTCCGAGTGAGGATGATCCAGGAGTCGATGATGTGACTTGGGTGCTGTCCGCCTGTGTCCCTATCATGGATGAGATGGGAAATCTGGTAAGTGTGGCTGGAAATACCGTTGACATTAATGCACAGAAGCGTGTGCAGGACGAGGCTGTCAAAAGGGCTGAAGCTCTCGAGCGCCTGCGGAAAAGTGAACACCGATTCACGCGCTTCGCAAGTCTGGCACCAATGGGTATTTATATTCTGGACTCTACAAGACAATTGATGTATTGCAACAACTTTGCCTACGAGTTTACTGGGCACCAGCACCTTCTTGGGGATGACGTACAGAACATCAATTGGCGAGCAGCAGTATTTGAGGAAGACCTGCCCCTGTTCAGAAAGCAGTGGGAGACACTTGAAAGTGAGAAGGTCATGACCCGTGTGCAAGTACGATTTAATCGAACATGGGATCTTGGCGACAGTGTTCCGCGCCAAGTTTGGGGAGAAAGTCAAGCTTTTCCAGAGCTGGACAATGACGGCAACATCATGTCAATCTTCGGCACTATGACCGATATCTCTCGGTTCAAGTGGGCTGAAGATATACTGAAAAGCCGAGTCGAAGAAGCACTGGAGGAGAAGCGAAAACACGAAGCTTTTATTGACATGACCTCACGTACGTTTTCAAGCGTCGCATAGGCACTGAAAAGACTGACTTGAGCATCAGACGAGATGCGGAACCCACTTTCGGCCGTCCTTCAGTGTGCAGACTCTACTATCGATACTTTGAAGAGCATGCTTTCACTGGTGTCTCGATCGATGACAGGTACCGAGCGCGAACAAATTGATAGCGAGATAAAGCTATGCCTGGATTCACTCAACACCATCACAGCGTGCTCGCTCCATCAGAAACGCGTGATTGATGACGTCTTAACCTTGTCCAAGATGGACTCGAATCTTCTTGCGATTACTCCAGTTCGTTCAAAACCAGCAACCATTGTGAGAGATGCCATGAACATGTTTGAAGTTGAATGCAAGAACAACGGTATCGAATTGACAACCGACAAGGATCCATCCATTCACGAGCTGGAAGCCGACTGGGTGATGATAGATCCGTCTCGGGTTCTGCAGATTCTTATTAACCTTCTAACGAATGCAATCAAATTTACACGCAACAGGCCTACACGAAAGATCCATGTCAGATTGAGCGCTTCCGCGAGTAAATTTTCATCTCCAGCTGGCGATGGCTTTCCGTATGTTCCCATAACTCACACGGTAGGCGATTTCCTCACCGGAGAGGACTGGGGCTCCGGGAGGAGAGTGTTTGTTCGGATGGAATGCTCTGACACTGGTTGCGGGCTATCACTAGCAGAGCAAAGCATACTGTTTAACAAATTCGCACAAGCTACGCCAAAAACGCATATTACTTACGGTGGTAGTGGCTTGGGTCTTTTCATCTCCAAGAAGCTCGCCGAACTACAAGGCGGAGCCATAGGGATCCGATCCGAGCCAGGCGTTGGTACGACATTTGCATTCTTTATCGCAACTCGGACAGCGCCTCCGCCCGAGAGACCCGCTATACTGAGAACTAGGAGTCGTACACTTAGTCAATCACGTCTTCCGCCCAATATCACAGACATCAAAGTGGAGCCTGTCAAGGATAGTTACGCGGTATTACTTGTTGAAGACAATATAGTCAATGTAAGTCTGCATAGCATAATCCACACACGCTGACAGTTCTGAACAGCAAAAAGTACTCTCGCAACAGCTGCGCAAGGCAGGCTGTAAAGTCCACATCAGCAATCATGGTGCCGAAGCCTTGGAATATATTCGTCGTACCGAAATCTGGGATTCGGCAGCGCAATCGGAGCCACCCCTCAGTCTCACAGTAATCCTGATGGACGTAGAGATGCCGGTGATGGATGGCTTAACCTGTACACGCAAGATTCGCGAGTATCAGCGAACAGGCGAGATCAAAAGACATGTGCCAATCATCGTAGTCAGCGCCAATGCGAGAGGCGAACAAGTTGCACGCGCGAGGGAGGCTGGGGCAGATGATACGATAGCAAAGCCATTTAGGATACTAGAGCTCTTACCAAAGATCAAAACTTTGGTCGTCGGCGAAAATCCCAAGCTTGTCTTTACCAGTCTCTAGTATATGTCGGACTTGTCCGTGCTAAAGCGGTCCTGAAGTTCCTTTACATGCTTCCGCCATACTTGCAAGACTTCCATCAATGTTCTGCTGTGAACGAACGAATTTCCAGTCAGGCTGGCTCAGTTCAAGATATGTCCCTTCTGCTGAACTTCTGATTCCCTAGTCTCGTATTCCTGAGGATGTCTTTACTAGGGATAGCCTTTTAAGCGAAGGTTTTGCTGTCAGTGGCTGAACAGATAGATTGTAGTCAGATGTAATGTAATGACAGTGGCTAGAGTAGTTAGAGAGCGAAGATGTATGTAGAGCTTCACTTTTAGGTATTACTCTAATCGTAGACATCTTTTGATCCCGGATCCCCGTCCCCGTCCCCGTCCTCGATTACGATCTGACGGTTCGTGCATGTCATCGCCAAGTAAAGCCAAGTCAGCCGCAAAGGCTTGTTTTGCGGTCTGTGGTTCCCGCTTCGCGGTACTGACTCTCCAAGCGCCCAAAAGTCAGTGTGCTAGCCTACTAGTAGGTCCCACGAAGCGTATATTGGTAAGCGCAACTATCGGTTCCAAATGACGGGCGTCTCCAGCGCGATCCTAGGATCCAGTACCAGTACGAGTGTGTATCGACTCTGGCGCTTGGTCGGCCGAACGCATGCACTGATTGGGCGGTTTTCAGCCTCAGGCCCACTATCAAAGCTTGTATTGGCCCCAAGCCCGCCATCTTGATGAAGGCGATTGAGCGAGTCTAGCCATAGACAGGCAAGTCATAATGAAACACACTCCTTTTCCCACGGCTTCGACATAGGAGTGGATGTCCTTTAAAGGGACGCTATACCGTCCACTCTCTTTGCCCTGTCGTTTCCTCGTTGTTGTACTACCACACTTCGATTCCCTTCCAAAGGCTTCATTCAGTGCTTCAATCACTCACTCACTCACTCCCTCATTTTTGTCTCTTTGTAGTTAGATACACCATCTTTCAAAATGCATGCCTCTTCCATCATCTTTGCCTTCGCGGCCGTAGCCGCTGCTGCCTCTTCTCCGGCGAAGCAGTTCTCCTTCAACAAGCGTCAGGTCTCCCAGGACATTGACCCATCCATTCTCTGTGGTGATGACTACGTCGACTGCAACAACGGCTGGTGCTGTGGATCTGGCGAGACTTGCGGAACCATCGCTGACCTCCCTACATGCGACAACGGTATGGCTACCTGAACAAAAGAATGACAGAGAACACATTATATTAACATCTTGCTGCAGGCGGCGACATCGCATACCCTTACAACACCGCTGCCGCTGAGTCCGCCCTTGCCATCGCCTCCAGCCTGCTGCCCTCTGGTATTCTCCCAAGCGATCTCCCCGGCCAGGTTACCGACCTTGTTCCCTCGCATCTCGCCACTCTGATTCCCACTGGGCTGGCTTCCTTGACTTCGCTTCTTCCGGGTACTACCAATGGTGCTGACCACAGCGCGAGCCACAGTGCGTCTAGCAGCAGTCCTACCAACTCTGAGGGTGCTGCTGCTGGGCTGAGGGCGCCTGGTGTTTCGGGTGCCTGGGGCGTTGCTGGTATTTGGGCTACTGCTGTTGTTGGTGGTATGGCTTGGGTTTTGGTTAGATAGGTTATGTTTGGGATTGGGATTGAAATGCTTGGTGCCCTGGTATAGGGTGTGATGGCAGGTACCAAGGATCGGGCTGAGTCGTAGTCGCGTATGTCGAATTTGGTCTGTCCACGTAGATAAGCGTAACTGTTAATTTAGCGCTATTTTCTACTTGTAAATCTGTGCTGTGCAGATATTGCTATAAGTGTGGGTGTTCTGCCGTGAATAGTCGAATTGGATAGGAGTCTAAAGACGAGGGAGGCATTGTTGCCTTAACAATAAGGCACCAGCCCCGCAACCCCACTGTGCCTCGCCTCTGCGTGAGTACCTCTCCCTCGAGCAGCTTCAAGCATTCAAACTTACAGAGAACCTCTGCTGGCAGGTATAAAATGGCTGCCACATTGTCATCTTCGACTGGCACATCTGCCGTGCGCGATAAGTCGCCATGGGCAAACAAGTTCCGGGGCGTAAGTCACAAAACTCACGCATAGTGTCGCAACCAACTCACCGACCGCAGGCCACTGTTGAAGACCTCGACCCTCCTCCTGCGCTCTCCGTCAAGCCATCGCAACCAATCTCACACGCTATGATGAGTGCCTTCGAACGCGACTACACACACCTCACTGTCACTTCTCAGGAGAACCGCGCCTTACTCGGGTACCTGAGCATTCCACGATTGAAAGAGCTGCTGAAGGATGGCAAAGTCCGCGAGAATGACCCAGTGGAAAGCGCAATGTTGAAGTTCCGACGGAAGGGCCGGGTGTATAAAGTCATCACGATGGACACGCCGCTGGAAGATCTCGAGGCTTTCTTCGCTGGCCGTGGTTCGGGGCTCGAGGGCGAGACGCAGGATTTTGCGGTTGTCACGGATGGTAGCAGGAGATTTGTCCTTGGGGTTGCTACGAAGTGGGACCTAGAAGAGTTTGTGAAGAGGAGACCGGTGTATGATAACTGAGTGAAGAAGGTGGATCTGTTTTCATGCCGTCATCGTTCTTCGCATGCATCTATGGCGCCGGGGATTTTGTAAATTGGCCGTACATAATAATGTACGGTCGGATGCTTGTATCAGCACGCTTCAACGCGTACAATACCGAAAGAGACGCTTGCGTTCTGGCATCAATAAATCGCTGATTACGGGATTGGACGGGACCAGCAGAAATATACTTATTATGCACACTTCTGGTTAGCTGCCGTCACAATGCCGCTCACGTGACGTCTTAGATTCCGGCCAGAGCCTCAATACTCGTGAATGCTCTCAACAATCTTCACCTTTGGTCCTCTGCTGCTTGGATTTTCTTGATAAATGCGCCCAGATGGGTCGCGCTTCTGTCTTGTAGCTCTTTTCTTGCGCAGTTTTCGCGACAGGCAAGCCTGTCATCAACACTATCGACACTTATCGCCTCGATGTACATATTTCGATCAACAGCACCTTCGCAGCCCGGCGCTTTCTTGCAGACTTCAAACGTGACGCGCCGTTGCCTATCGACCTTGTCCTCCCGCATCAGACTACCTGCAAGGCTATCTGCGCGATGTTATAGCAGCGAGAAGCAGTCCAACTCGGACCGGAGGCTTACAGGTGGCACCACTACTCCGGCACCTTCTGAGGAAGCTCTGAAGTCAAAGGCTCCCTTCTACTTCGAAGCCGGGTACGCACTCTTTGCAAAGCGCCCGTCTCGACCTTTTCCTCCGCCCTTTCTATCCTACCCCAGCGGCAGCTTTTCGGACCCGCTCAGCACGCACCACCGCAGCCGAGACCGGCGCTCATACTACGATGGCGAGATGATACGCGGTATCACAAACGGAGACGACGCAGTGCTAGTGTCTGATAATTTCATCTGTGCAAACGATGGCGTCGGGGCTTGGGCGCACCGAGAAAAGGGGCATGCAGCGTGAGTGAGGCACAGCGGCTGGCGAAGCCCCAAAAAGGTCGTACGTTGCACGGGATTACCAACTAACAAGTTTTGCTCTTCCAGACTATGGGCCCGCCTGATACTTCACTTCTGGGCGCTGGAGGCAGAGAAAGATCAGTATGGGAGAGACGCAGAGCCGAACCCGGTGCGATACCTGCAGGAGGCGTATGAGAATACAAAGAAGGCTACGAATGAATGGCAAGGCACGACTACCGCTTGTAGTGCGTTACTGGGCGCGGACAAGGACGATCCTTCAAAGCCTATATTATATGTGACGCAGCTTGGGGACTCGCAGGTTCTGGTAATCAGGCCAAAGGATGGAAACACGTTGTTCAAGACGAAAGAGCAGTGGCACTGGTTCGATTGCCCGCGTCAACTCGGCACGAATAGCCCAGACACACCCACTGAGATTGCGGTCATGAATCGCATGGAGCTTGAAGAAGATGATGTTGTCATTGCCATGTCCGACGGCGTAGTGGACAACCTCTGGGAACATGAGATTGTCGACTTCGTGCTGGAAAGCCTGCGCAAGTGGAACAATGGCGAGGTCGCGAAAGAGAGAGGAAAGGACCCTGGCGAAGAGAGCCACGCGCAAGGCATGCATTACGTTGCAGAAGAATTGGTCAAAGAGGCCAGGAAGATTGCCGAAGATCCATTTGCTGAGAGTCCGTACATGGAGAAGGCTGTTGAGGAAGGTCTGTCTATTGAAGGAGGTGAGTTTCATCATTTGTCGCAGAGATCAAGACTTGGGACTGATCGAGCTGGTCAGGCAAACTTGACGATATCAGTGTAGTCGCTGCGCAATGCAAACGCAGGAATGGATGATCCACGCCCCTGGCTAATATGCATCGCCCGGCATCGACGCTTCGAATCGTCTTAAGCAGCGACGAAGGCATCTAATTGGCCTTCTAAGATTGGTCGGCTTGCCAGAAAAAATATTGAATCGCTAGACGAGTGGGACCAATGGCGAAGTCCGGTGGAATAATTCACCATGCACGACGACGACCACCACCACCACAGCCGAGATCTGTGGGTGGGATGGCACAGATCGGTTTGCCCCATTGAGGATCGCGTGGGGAGCAAGGAATGCCCTGCAGTGTACGCAATGCAAAGAATGCGCTGGTCAGGGCTCAACGCGGCAATGCAGCCTCACTGATGATCGTACCTTGCATGAACCTCTCAGCTGAGCCCTGGCCATTCATCATGGTCATGCCAATGTTGAAGGCTAAGACGGACCTTCTTCTCAAGCCGATTGCTGATATCGCGCGGATAGATGAGCACCAAACAGCCTTTCATATTGCTTGTCAAGGCCATGTCCGCAAATTCTATCCTGGAACTTCGTATCGATACTCAATAATCGATAGACACAACAGATCGCTACCTTACCTGACACCAATGGGATCTACCGCGCTACCGGACTCTCATGTCGACTCGACTAGATATCTTGGCAAGCACGGCTTGATCCGCAGGACCGGGAATCGCTTCCCCGGAACGCTAGTAAACCTCAACCAATCGCGCTATCACAATCCATTCTCCGTAGATGCAGGCCAATGCATGTAAAATGCGGGTTGAGGTATCATTGTGGTCGCACATTTGCCACGAGCTCAAGTGATAGTGTAAGTGTACTGTTGTAACTCGAATGGACTGCGCGCGCCGCGGGAAGAGCGGTTCGTGGTGTAAAAATAAACATTTATCTTATTCTAATCATCGCCACTTCAAGTCTTTTGTTTTCTTCTCGATACATGTTGATATGCCTTTGCCTGCCTCTGTCCCGCTGTTAGTTTACCTTTTCTGTGACTGTCAGGTTGTACTTTGGGTCGTGGATTTGGGTTGACTCGCGCCATAAATTCTTCATTATGATCATGATATGCAGTGATTACTCACTGATGGAGTGGACTATGCTTATGTTATTCCATTGGGTGCTCGACCTACCTTTATACAGACTCTACTGCATACTAACAACCTCGCCGACCACCCAGACATGCCTGCTCCGGACTCCGTGCTTGCAGTGTGCAGTATCAGCCCCACTGTTCTTTTTCCTGTAAACGCTGCGGACTCTACATGAATTGCCCTGATTTTTGCAGTTGTCAAAACAATGCTCCGATGGCTCGTCCATATATCAGGGCGACGAATGGTCATTGCTCAGTGTCCAAGTCTCATCTACCGTCCCCAGGTTTTCGTCGAATGCCATATATCCCCAATCCGCAGTCATATAGGACTGGGCTTCGTTGTGCCCTTGTGCCATTGTCGTTATAGACTTCTTGTATCTTGACATCCACAATACACCAGAGCCATGTTGCCCAGGCAGAATGCTGTCATTGGCGTTAGTGTCGCCATGTCTGTCCTGTCATTTGGCGCTGTGACGGTCAGGTTACTCCAACGGAAAATCTTGAGTGGGACTTATAAGCAACATGATTGTATGATAATAGACCAGCTTCGATAGTCCACTTCGCTGACTGCTTCAGGGTTTATTCTCGCGGCAACTGTATGGGCGACAACTACGTGATCTGTTGCAATAGCTAATAAACTGTTGAAGGTCTTTGGAATTGCAATGTCTCTTGGCCTCATAATCAGTAAGATCACTTTTGTCATCTTCTAATTCACCACTGATATCGACGTCTCAGGCACATCATTCGGACTCGGTACCCACGAAAGCGATCTAGAATTCCTAAATGGTATCCGCATGCGCCAGGTCAGTACTCCTCCACCCTCTCCCCGCGCATACCATATTTCCACTAACATACCCAAACAGGCCGTCCTCGTCACAAACATCTTCTATCTCTCCTGCAACATGCTCGTCAAGCTCTCCCTCCTGCAATTCTACCGCGACCTCACCATGAGCACACCCGCACACTACTTCATCCACTTCATGACCTTTGTCTCCGTCGGCTTCGGCGCCTCCTCCATCATCGTCGTACTCGCCCAGTGCGTGCCCATGGCCCGCATCTTCGACCCCACCGTGCCTGGCACATGTTCGAATATCAGATTTATGGACTTTTCGATCTCGAATGGGTTCCTGATGATGGGCATTGATACAGTGCTGTATGCGATGCCGGTGGTGTTTACATGGAATCTCCAGGTTTCTAGGGCGAGTAAGGTTGGGTTGTACTTCGTGTTTGGGCTGGGGCTTGTGTGAGTTGCCCTATTCTTCCCTGGATGCTTGCATAGTAGTCCCATACTAACTTAGATTTCCTACAATAGCGTCCTCATCGCCTCCGCGCTGCGCGTCTGGATCATGTACGAAATAAAATCCACTGGCGACATGGCCTGTATGTCTCCCCGTACCTCTTTTACCCCCATACTAACTCTCCCACCCCAACAGTCCAATACGGCCAGTTAATGCTCTGCTCCACCATCGAAAACCACCTCGCCATCGCCGTCGCCTGCGCCCCCTACATCAAAACCTTCCTGCGCAACTCCCTCCTCACGCGCGCCTACGCCTCCTTCAGATCCCGCATCATCACCATCGTCGCCGCTGCCACCGCGCCCTCGGCCGACAAATCAAACAACAACCACTACAACCACCACCATAACAACAACAATGACGATGATGACGATAATGATCGCATCACATCCCTCGGCCCCGCTTCCGGCCCACCCATGATCCCGCCCGTGCGCGTCCACGGCGGCTTCCGAAACGCGTTCCGCACATGTGAGTTCTTCTCGCAACTTACGGGGCGGTGGACGGTGAGGGTGGGGGATGGGACCGGGGCCGGGACCGGACTCGGGTATGCGGAGCGCGAAGGGGATGTGGAGATGAATGCCGGTCTTGGTAGACACGCGGGCGATGACATGCGTTCGCATCCGGCGCTGAGGAGTGAGCAGGAGCAGGAGGAGCAGGATCAAGGGTGGGATGTAGTAGGGCCAGAAGGGGATGACGGGAGTGAGAAGGAAGGGGTGGTGGTCGTGCGGTTGGACGGGGTGCGGTTGTCGGAGGGGAGTTCGCGGTATTCGACGCCTGTGGGGACGTCGCCTGGGCCGGTGGTGTTGGAGAAGGGGTATTTTGGGGACAGGGTGTAAGATGGGAAATGTTGGTGGTGGGTGTATGATTGGGTTGGGAGAGTGGTGTGCGTCATGATCATGAATTATGAGAGGTTTGTATCGTTGATTGGTGTATTATATTATACGTTGTACGCTGGCTTTGGGCGCTGATGTTTGGTGTTTTTGGATGGATTTCGATTGGTTTGACTTGGGGCAAAAGGGGAAGGGGCGGCATATACCTTTCTTTCCTGACGACGGCATCGTGTGCCATTCGGTTTTCGTTTCTTTTGTCTTTTTGTATACCACACTCAGGCTACGGTCTGCTTGGCTACGTCCATGTTCTATTTTTGTCTTATATAGATACGATACGACGTTTTCACACAAAAGCCATGGTTTTTCCTATGTGTGTTTTCTTCCTTAGTCTGGATACGTACTCTGTGACACACAGCTCCCACAAGTATATATCCAATAGTACACATTCCAAACTTCCTCCTAGGAGAGAGAGAGAGAGAGAGAGAAAGAGAGAAGAAGAAAAAGAGAAGAAGAAGAAGAAAAAGAAAAAAGAAGAAGTAGAAGACTTTCATAAAAGATGCTGTAGTCCAAGCAAGCTCCGGGTCTTATGATGGTGATGAGTTTGACTGGAAGATCTCAGCAAGCTTTAAGCTTGCTCAAATTCCTGGACATTAACAGCTAATCAGTCTTTCAACTTCATTCTCTCTACTACATCGAAACTCTTCATGTGTGACCCTACGCTGCATCTTACGAACCTGGCATACAGTGTCGCGGAGCATAAATGATGTCATATGCAGATATCTCCTTACCACAGGCACACTATGACACACATAGGTACATTCTTTCATTCACTGATCTACACATTAAATACTATTATTATATCACAGAAAACCACTACAACTGCGTAGAAAGACAATACATACACACAGCAATATGACCACCTCAACTACACCCCACTTTCGAGACTAAAGTCACTCAGGCCAACATTTTTTCACGCATCGAAAGCAAGATCCACAATCAGATCCGAACTCCTTAGTGCAGTCTTTCTAGTATGCAGACATGCGGGTATCAACCAGGATCCATATTCTAATAAAACGCTACGCCAAAATGTGTTTGCCTATGGGTGGTGAGACTTCACCTCGTTTCAGCACTTTTACCCTTCCTATTTCCGAAAAAGGAAGATCGCTTGCTGGGCTGTGTCGGAGAGGAGAGGGAATTCATTGAAGGGGTGTTACTGTCCACTCTCGAAAGTCCGGGAGGCGAAAGTCCGGCATCGGGTTTCTGAACATCTTTCGATTCAAGGAAGCTACCGGTGATCATTTTATCGACATCTCCGGTCCAGGGTTCGTGGTCGACGATATCGCTGAACATTTGTCAGTCGGGCGGCTGGCTACATGATGACTAGGATGGAAGACTTACGGGAGTTCGTGTTTTGTCTTGATCTCATCGTCCAGGGCCCGCAGGCGATCTATCGCTTTTTGGTCGTGTCCAAAGTATATGAACTCTATACTGAAGCGGCGCTTCATTTGACGATCCATCTTGTAATCCTTTGTGCGTGTGATAAACTTCACCAAGGCTTTCTCGACGGCATCATCTTCGGCACCTCCGGTCCACAAGCCGTCAGTGAACACAAGAAGCGTCATACCCTTTTCTTGGGGTGTTCTGATATACTCGTCAAAGATAGTGCCGAGCGATGCGGCCATGTCCGTGTTCATAGAGCGATCATTTGGGGTGGCTTCGCGAATATTCTTTAGGAATTTGCTTGGTGCGTCTGCCTTCTTGCCCTTGAGTCTAAATTTGTCCGTTCCAGTGAAAAGAAGATCCAAGCCATCTTTATCCAGGCCAGTGAGATTCATCGCCATAGTCTCCACTACAAAAGATACGAGAGCCCACCATGGTCGCATGGTCGGCGCGTTGTCAACCACAAATACCTGCGACATAGGAGTCAGAATCCTTGGCGAGTCACGCGACAGATCTTCTACTTACAATGTCCCTATTCGACACAAAGTAGCTTAGCCTCTTGTTCCGCGGAGAATTTATCAACCAGGATCGAATAAGTCCTGGATTCTTACGTTCAAGCTCGCGGCGAACGATGAAGATGTCCAGTTCTGGGTGTTTGTTTCTAACGTCGGTAACGGTGGCATATTCATCTATTTGAATGCTGACGTTAGACGGTTCCTCTTCTATTGGCACCGGGGACTGTAATAGTATTTTTTCCTCGTTCAACAATATTGCAGTATCTGACGGGCCTTCTTGCGGCTCACTCCTGGATGAGATCAGTGAATCCATCGGGTCAAATCCCTTCTGCTCGTATTTCTTGATCTTGGTCTCTGGTGAGTTGGGCGGGGTGGCTGGGTGAATTTGCCCCCCCGGGTCCCTTGTATCCTCAGGCCTAGATGCGGAAGTATTTAGTATATTGATAAGCACCTGAGGAGTGGCAAAGTTCGGATGTGGGTTAGAACGTATCTCATGTGTATTGTGTAACCCAGGATAGTCTGGGTGTGTCACCATGGAAGGAACACTTGACATATGAGGATGCGGAGAGAGCTCCAAAGTCTGGGGACTCGTAAGGCCACGACCGTATGTACCTCCATTCTCCTTGTGCGCATAGGTTTCCTTAGTCCTGATTTTTAGTGGTGCCGGTAGTGGCACATTACGACTTTCCCATCGATCTGATGGACCAGGCTCATCTATGTCCACATCATAGGTGTTGGGACTTTCAGTCAAATGGGCCAAAGGTATTGTATTCATCATCGTTTCAGGATTCCTGTGCGCAGTCCTAGACAGTGGGTTCTTCTCTATCCATTCTGTCTTGCCCGCACGCTGCGATTTTCGATAGTTCCTGGTAGGAAGTGGCCCCAAAATGATACCTTTGTCTCTAGCGGTCTTTTCGCTTTCAAGAGGAGTGGTATCTTTAGACATGACGGTCAGGTTGCTATTGGAAGTACCTTGGCGGGCAGCTGCCGTCTGCTCAATAGTCACAAGCCGCTGCTGGAGCTCTGGTGCAATTTGACGCAACCTTTGGTCAGCGAAGTGAGCTTGAACATCCTGTCTGGCCTCCCACTCTGCAATCTTGAGTGCATCCGAAAGCTGGTTTGAGGAATAACGTGCGTGAGGATCCTCCAACAACAGGTGATCCTCTACTAATGTTAAGACACGGTCTGTGATGGTATCAGTACGCCTGGTGCTGTTGCGAACATAATCGTGCCAGAGACGGATCTGAGGTAAAACCCTATAGCCGTCATGGAACGAGCTGTCCGATCTGGGGATCTGAATACCCCGTTTACTCCTATCTTCTGGTGCGTGTCGGCGGCGAAGGTCACGTACAACGCCAATACGGAACTCTTGGTACTGTTCTAGTCCCTGGTAGCCAAGAGCAAGCCATGTCGCAGCTTCCGATAGGACACAGCCAAAAGACCACGTGTCAATGGTCTGAGTAACGTTGGTAGTGGTGCCACGATTTTGTCTCATGGCTTCGCATTCAGGTGCTCCTACAGTCCAATCAGAACATGTTCTTTTCTAGGCCAATAATCTGTACCGTATGCAAATGTGCCTCCATAAATATACTCCGAAGGAACTACCTCTTTCTTTTCGAATTTCCTAAACTTTGAGAATCCAAAGTCAGCCAACTTGAATTCACCATTAACTCTTAAGATGTTTTCTGGTTTGACATCAGAATGCCACCTGTAGATGGATGTCAATACCTTTCTCTATCACTATCGTAAGACATACCCAGATAAGTATGTGCTAGTATCAGCGTTTCGGTACTTTGTATGGTGAAACTGACTGAGAGCATCGGAGACCTTGAACAACTCATTCCAGAACGAAAATATCTCTTCCGGCAAGATAGGGGGAATTTGAGATGTATCTTCGAGGTAGTTCATGAGATCGCGTTCTCCGAACTCGAGGATGAGAGCAAAGTTGCGGAGGTCCTGGCCTCTGCGATATTCAGGGTTGATCTCATCGATCTCATATGAGCCGAAGCATTGGACCATTCCTGCTTGACCTCGCAGTACATTGAACGCTTCTCTTTCCCAATTAAACACTTCATAATCTTTCTCTGCGTAGCCCTTGATGGCGAGCCGGTAACACTGTTGGCGATGAGCGGAGAAATACCACTTACTTCGATTCCACTTACTATGCCATGCCCAGCACATTCGAATCGGAACTGAGTCATCCGATCTTTCATATCGCTTGACAGCATATCTTCTTTGATGGTCACTTGCCAGACATCTGCGGTACCGCCCTCATTAATTCTTTCGCGAGAGCAGTAGGGTATGATTTGATCGCGAGACCTCACTATTGTATGCGAATCAAGCTCAAAACGAGCCGGACAGAAGGCCCATCTGCTATTGTAAAAAGCGTCGATAATTTGCGGCGCTTCGCCACCAAGATTCCGCTGCAATTCAGCCATACTCAGATCTTCACTGAGGCGACTGTCCGTTATATTGGCATCGAGGAATTTGTCAATATGATGCCCATAGTCGTGCTCCATGAGAATAGCAAAGACTATGTAGGATTGCGATAGCTGGCGAGAATCCACCTTTTGATATATATCTGAGAAGGCAACACTTAGCAGTCTCCTGATATTGGTATGCTCCTGAGATTCTTCTCTCGTGTTAAGCCAGTCTTGGAGCCGATCAACGAGTATATATTGTCGACCACAGTATGCCTTCGTCCTCAAGCTTTCGAGCTTTCTCTTGAACGTATCGACAATGCTGGGAAATGTATGGGGCGTATGTGCCGTAGCGAACTGCATCTTGATCTTTGTCAAAGTGAAACCGCTGCAAATTGAGCGAGGCTCAGCCTCGTGGGGCCGATCGGACGGTTAAACCCGTAGACGGGCCTTCAAGAGTGAATATGGAGTTCATGAAAGAGATACGCTAGATAATCGCCGATTCAAACGGATGAAAAGTGAACGACAGAAGGATCTAAGAGGTATATGGAAATCCTGCTGCCTTTCCAGAGGTACGATGAGGGTACATCCACGCAGACAAGGCTGCGAGAAGCCCCGCTTAGTCTGCATCTGCATAGTAGCTTTGCAGGTGGTAGAAGACTGATAAGATTGTAAATTACCATAAATCAAGCATACCCTCGGATTTTGCATGGTAAGCGGTGAGCTCGCAAAGCACCCAGCTCTTTCCTCCTTCCTTTTATCACAGCACGCTGCCCGGCCCTAACACGTCTACGATTCTGACCGGGCGAGCTTCACATGCACGTCACCCCGACTTCCATCTCTTGCTTCGTACCCTTGGCATTCTTTTTTTACGAGAGGCTAGTAAGTCGAATCTACTACAACCTGGCCTGTGGACACACGCAGTCATTGGTGTGCGAGAGATGGCCTCTCCACAATGACACTTTGCTGGGAAGTGCTGCTGACAAGGTTTCATGTGTGATCTTGAGGCTATGCTAGTACGCCACATGCCGCAAGCCCCGATCGATGCAATGCTAGAATGAGGCATTACTGCCGACGAGCATCTTGATGTTCACTGCGACATCTTCTCGCGCTGAGACTCAAATCATCTTAGAACCATTTGCATGGCTCCAAATCGTAGACAAGCATGTGTATCTCAAAACAGTTGTATAGCGGCGGCAAGTGCTGGCGACTCATTTCTTTTAACACATTTAGACAACTCCTGATGTTTGGTGCGGTATCGTAAATATATATGTACATTTGTATATTAGTCTCCTACATCCCTTAAACCATCGTTGAGTCTGTCGAGGCACGTTTTCGAAGAGCAAATGAGCCAACCGAGCGTGCTATACCCCGAGCATTTGCGAGCATGAACTTGTTAAACATCGCTGACTTGTTCGCGAAAGAGTGTGACCAATAGACGAATATCAAAGTGAGCGCAGTCAAAGGAACTGTCAGCTGAAGCCATCTGTCCAGTGCTATTGATGAGAACACCACCTTCTCATTATCATTGGCGGAGTAATGAACAACGTCGGTGGAGAAGAAGGCCTGATTCACATTAGAACCATCAGAGAAAGCATAGTAATGGTGGTAACACTGACCGATACGAAACTGCCCGGTAGATATACTCCAAAGACAATTGTCAACATTCTGACTGCAATAGCTTCCCGTTCCATACGATTGCTGACAGCTTCTATTCTCTCAGAAGCCTGAGTCTGCAAGTGTTGCACTATCTTGGAGTGCGTTAGTATGTGTGACAAGTGTGGCTTCCAGATCGTCAATCATACCAATTCTTTTCGATCTTTAACGATTTCCACGAGTGATTTTGCCCTGAACAGTTCCATCTTGGAATTATGCACCATGACACCAAGTTTGGTATCGAAGCAATGCAAGTCGTCGCTGCAGGCATTTTTCAAGGCTGATGGATAATCATGTCTGCTGACCAGCTTACAATAGTATTCGCGAAGTAAGGTCAAGATCTCCACATTCGTCTCCAATGCAATGACGATTCCTGCGGCTTTGTCTAAATGCCGATGCAACCGCATAAGGTGCTCGGATCTGTAATTCTTCGATGGGCTATAGCCGGCGAGCTGAGTCTAACGTCACATTAACAGAGTGATAATGTCTGCGAGTACTTTGCCCTACCTCTTCCTCAACAGTCATTTCAAGCCACTTCAAGAACCATCGCCAACCCTCCGTAGCCCAACGACAGAACATTAGATGTGTTGAGAGGCTCGATCGCAGGCACTCTTCTGGTGATGTGAAAGCCAAGCCACTTGGCCGAACGCTTGATGCAGAGAAATCCTTATAACGGTGGTATAAATCGCGACCCCCTTTTGTGACTATCCAGAGGGTAGTGCCTTCGATTACATCAAACTGATGGTGGATTGCAGCTGGTTGGATGGACCATTCCTGATGATTACCCAAGCCGTTCTCCTCAGATTTCTTGGTCGCGGTCCGTAGATTGTAACATAGCTGGAACTGCCGTCCGCTTCGGCCTAGCTCTGTTGTGACAGGTCCACGTGGTGCTGATAAAGTAGTCTGCTCCATGAAGGCACTGAATTTGAGATCATCTGGTTCGTACTTCAATCCGAATGCTAAAATAAAGTCCAAGTACGCTGGCATGACCTCATGATACGAGAGAACGTTTGTGAGCATGCTTCTGGACACCTTTAGAGCCGCTCTGCTGTGAATACCGTATATGTAGCTGCTAAAGATTAGTGCTTTGCTGGTAATTCGCACGCATGTTTCTTGAGACGTACATAAAACGACATTTCGGATCCCTCCTCTGAGCATATATAAACGGAGGCTTGCGTGGGCACTCTTCATTCATTCTCGACTGTACGCCGAGCCATTCCAATTCTTTGCCCTCCAGATGAATGTTGGTCTTTTTGAGGCCTGAGGATTCGAGTCAGATTGTGTGCTTGTGACATAGTGGACATTGTTCTAAATACCTTCCTGAGGGTCTATATCGCGGAACGTCAGGTCTACCTCTTCTTCGCGTTTTACAAACAACGAAGGTGTCGCTTTGTCTAGTGAAGTGGTTGCGCTTGTTAATGTCCAGGCACATGCATCTAACGTTCTTGTAATGATGTTCTGTGGATACTTGTGGGCTCCTCGGATCGACTCCGCAAGCTGATGGTCAACCAAGAACATTTTGAACAAATAGTGAAGACCAATGGTTGTTGTGCTTGCATAGAATTTACTACTTAAGGAAAGTTATGCTAGAGGAGATATGAACGATCGCGATGTAGTTATTCTTTTGAACAAATTTACAGTGTCAGCCTTACGTTGTCTTGCTTCAACAATGCGTTGTGTGTGGCTGTACACATGTCCGACTTTTTGGTGCACCCATGATTTAGCCACCCTTCGCTCGGAGGAACGATTACGCAGCATCATCCTTGTGACATACTCCACTTGAGCTGCGCTTTCAGCCTATGGCGCACCACCTGCCCCACCCTCGGGGGCCGAAGATGGGTCATTTGCCATTCCCTCGACTGGAACTTTGATATGCATTCCGGGCTCGGGCGTAAGCGATGGTTCTCTAGCGCGATTATCATCTCTCAGCTGTAGTATCTCGTTTTTGCGATCCTGGAAACGTCAATCGAGATCTTTGTACGTTGGCAATGCAAGGGAAGTGCACTCACTGTTGTGGATGGTGCTGGAACTTTGACTATCCAATAGTCTCCCTTCTGTAGGATTGACCGTTAGCCACCATAGCCTCTCCTTCACCAGAGCGCGCTCGATTACCGTTCTCTCCTTGAACTCTGTGCCGGGGAACAAGGTTTCGAGGTGAGCCTTCAATTTTGGCCAGGTCACCCCATTGTAAATGCCGATTTTCCAGGGGTATCTTTGTGGCGAGGGGGCACGCTGTTTGGAGGCGATGCTCTGCAAAGGCTGAGTGAGTCTCTCTCGAAGCGATCTTCCCGCATCTGATCGGCTGGTGGGTTGGCGTGAAGGAGGCATGGCATGCACGCCGAGAGTCTCAGCAACAGTTGCGTTTTGTTTGACCGGTGGACTCAGAAGAGTGCGGTCAACAAGATGGAAACTAAAGAGAGTCTCTGATGAGTGGTATTTGAAGTGTGAGCCTTGACGAAGGGCTCTCTTAAAGGCTGCAAGCTGAAAGCGCCCTCGATGGATCGGTGCGGCCGGTCAGTTATCAATCCTTGAGGTCTACCGCCCATCTCTATTCTAGGCAACAATCAACAAGGAAGAACAGCTGCATGACTAATTATCATGCTAATAGGACCACCTTCTACTCCGCACATTCGGTTCGATCAACGAAAGGAATTGCGATCCCTAGATCTCGGTATGCACGATTCGCTCGTTCCACCCTTCAAAAACGGCTTCATGCTCTGCCATGCTCAGATACCGTATAGCACAAACATAATGAGCGGCGTGGAGTAAGGGTGGGTTTGATCTACTATTGTCATATGCAGGGCGGAGGACGCTCGACGTCGAGAGAAAGTGCAATAAGTCAAGGGAATCGTCCCTTTCGGCCCGACGCGATCTGGCGTTCGCGCCCAAAAAGCGGGACACGCCTGACAGGAACGAGCCAAGCTTCAGCATCCGGATCCATCCACGTAGCGTGCCCTAGTGTATTGTAGAAATGATAGTCAATCGTCAATACGGGCTCGTCGCAAACGCTTCACGAGTGACGACTCTCTGTACTGGCCAGATCTCCTGTTTAGGTACGTTCGGGGCCCCAAGCGATCATTGCATGTGCGGCCAATTTCCCAAATATAGAGCCCCCGGCGTTGAACCGGTTTTCAAAGAAATTCCCGCAGCAGCAAACAACTGAAACCTACTCCCACATGGCATAACACACTTCCTCCTCCAGCAAACTGTTATCTCTGCGCCGTCCGTTGAGAATGCGCCTCTCTCTTGCATCGCGCCCTTTCGATCCTACGTCGCGATGGGTGACCTCGTGGTTACTGTCCCCTCTCGTTCTTTTCGCATTTCGAGCAGTGTTCGCCCTCTATGCTTGGTTCACAATCTTTTTCACTCTTGGCTGGGACGGCACGCACGGTGACCGCAAAGCAGGCAGGAATTTCTCATACTTTACAGTATTGACCTACTGGGGGATCGCGGGATACGGGCTCTTCGCAGCGATACATACCGGCACATACTGGCTCAAGGGAAGGGAAGCGCTGAAAGACTGGGGAGTCGTCTTACAGACACTCCACGAGGTACTGTACAGCACCATTACGGTGTACCCGTGGATCGTTACAAGTAAGTCTGCAGCATGGTGAGCGCATATGTGACTGTCTCCTAAAAAGTGGCCATAGTTGTCTTCTGGACCCTTTTATACAGCTCCTTCGAGACCCCTTTCGCAACGTGGTCAAATACCTCCCAACACGCCCTGAACGCCGTCTATGCGCTGCTTGAGATCATAATCCCGCGAACGTCCCCTCTTCCATGGTGGCACCTCATCCCAATCATCATCCTGCTCGCGCTCTATCTCGGTCTCGCATACTTGACCCACGCTACGCAAGGGTTCTATGTTTACGATTTCCTTGACATACAAGAGCATGGCAGCGGCATCACTGCAGGATACATCATTGGAATACTTGTGGGTGCATGCGTCATCTTCATAATTGTGAAGTACCTGATATGGCTCCGAGTGTGGGTCACTGAAAGTAAACTCTGTAGAACTGGCAAGTTTAGCGCCAGGGACAAAGAGACGGCCTTGGGCATGAGCTCTGAAAGATTGGATATGCATGCTGTAGAGCTGAAGGATGTAAGACAGGTGTAATTGTAAGAGGATGGTTCATGGATGTAGCATGTGTCGCGCAGTTTTTAAGAGTGTACGCAGATTTGAAGAGTGTACGATTTTAACAGATATCCCAAATTTTCTAGGCCTCACTGAGCCGCATAGCCAAGAGATCTCTATTTTTTTTTACATGAAAGTGGTGAAATAGCTCCTTATACATCTAGCTCTTCCATACCAAACTCTAAACTCACGACTCCTGCAAACCCACAATATCAGAACCACTATCATCACAGCGCTGCTACCAACCTACAATCTCCACCCAGTCCCCAACCACCGAAGAGTCCATCCAACCCATAAGAACTGCTTGTAAACGCCTTTCCAATGCCTCGTACCAGATCCAATGTAATCGTACAGTGTCTCATAGATCGCCAATTGACCGAACCCTCATTGAGCGAGGTTGCATCAAGCAAGCAAAAGTCTGTGCAGATGTTGTTTGCGCGTGTTCATGTCTGTGTTTGCGTAGGTAGTGAACTACTCTGTGACGATTCATATATGATCTGGTATGTATACATGGTCTTATGAAGTTTTCGTAGGATGGAGTTGGGACTAGAATGTGACATGAATGAATGGCACAGCCATCTATATAACTGTGGGGAATAGTCAGCGATGCTAGCTTATTGTATTAACACCGGTGCAATAAGAGGTTTCGCGAATGTGATCTCGAGATGATGGTAGATAGAACAGTGCACTAAGGGGGGGAAGACCATTTGACAATGTCAAGGCTAATTAGCTAGACATTGTGAATGATCAAACAGTACAGCAGTCATGCACCAAGCTGACACACACGCACACACACATAGTTTCATGGCACGAAAGACATTCGAGAAGCAGATTGCGCAGCGCTCAAAAAAGGAACTAAAACTACACTTTGAAAGGGAAGGCACCGAGCCTCCCCTCTCAGAAATTGGGTTCAACCTTGTGTTCTACCCATCCTATGCCTGTGCTTCCCAAAAAAAACCCAGATTCACCGACTACTAGACGTCCTCGTCACTGTCATCACCAAGCAGTTCACCTTCGTCCGGATCCACGATCGCATAGTCGCCGCGGCCAAACGAGGCTCTACTCGTGTACGTCCGGCTTCCGTAGCCACGGCCGCCACCGAATCTGCTGCTTGCACTTCGCCACAGACTGCCGACCAGTAATGGGATCGTAGCGAGAACGGCAATGAGGCCGGAGACGGCCGCGATGGGCCATGATATCCATGGACTGTTGCTGTCGAACGAACTATAGCCGTCGCCCAGTCGGATGCGGCCAAACTTGCCGTCCCAATTCTGGTATACCCAGTACCCGACACCAGCGGCTGCTGTAATTGGGAGAACTATCGCGAGGAAGATAACGAAGCCAGATGTGCCATGCTTCTCGTTGTACTCTTCTTCATGGCCTGGGCACGGTAGGGTCTCTGCCCGTAAATCCCGGCCACCTTCACAGGTCGAGATCGGCACTTTACGATAGCCGGTGACGGTATGATACTCAACCACATCCTTGTCTTGACACACGTCCTTGGGATCAGATGGCGACAAACCTTCCACAAGTAGGCATGAACCATCGTTCTGGCGTTCGTAGTTATAATCACTACTCAAATGTATCAGTTCTGTTGGGTGAGACATCTAAACTATGACTTACCATTCCCAGTCGCGACGAGTACATTCACACTTCTCTTGTTCGTGCACATCGTCGAATCGACGTTCACCATTGTAACACAGTTCACCACGCTTCTTTCGATGGTATTTGGCAATGTGCCCAAACAAGCATTCAGTGTCTTGAGACGGATGCTTTGGGGTCCAAAATTCGTAGTCGCCCGCCAGAGGATTGTCGTCATCAAGCTCACATTTACGATCGAAGAGGCCGGAAAAGTCAAGATTCACCGTACCAAGCTTACCACGGTTTTTACCCTTGACTTGTTTACCCCACAAGAGAAAATTCATCGACGTATCACTAGGTACCGTAGTGATGAGCTCGATATTCCAAGAATCGGAACTGGTGAAGGGGTATTCCGTCCAGGAGTCGCCCTCATCAGTACTGTATAGAACGTGATCTGTTGCTTCGTTCTTCTTCACGAGAACAATGATCGATCCCTGGTCTCCATATTCCCACATATAAGGACCCGACTTAACTTGATTCCATGTAACGCCTCCGTCTTGGGTCAGAAAGGTATTGGCGTCACTCGGACTGCTAAGCTCGGTACCCACATTACCCACACCCATCATGAGACCGACTGCGGATGCAGACGAAAATGTAGCTCGAGGATCAGAGCGCTCGGTGTATCCGTGGAGGTGAAGGGAACATCCGTTATCATTGCAAAGGTTCTTCTCCCCCTTAGCGTCCTTCACATTAGACAAAAGAGCCCAGTCAGCGCCATCGTTATGGGTAATAAGTGTGCGCTTCTTTTTCCCGGCACCGTTGTCGACTTGTTCTTTGTTCTGGACGACGTTGATGATAGCCACTCCTTCGAGGCCTTGCATTTTTTCAAAGTCTACGTAGCCCTCTTCGTTTCGATTGACCTCATTAACGCTCAGGACATAGGACGTGCCGTTACTGTTACTTTTGATTATGGTTCCATATTCAGAGTTACTGTGTGCATTGACGGTAACGTGAAGGAATACAGAGTGAGTAGAGCTGTCAAGTACAGTGTAGGCTTGTTGATGCTCGACGGTAAATTTGGGCGGGAACTGAGCATCAGCGAAGTTCTTGCCATCAATGCTGGCGTCCAATTTGAGGTTTTTGCGGTCTTCCGTTTTGGACGCAACGACTATGAACTCCGACATGGTTGCGAAGCTGACAACATCATCGAAAACGACGTCCTTGTTCGCAAACCAGTCTTTGCTCGAGACAAGCTGGAGCGGCGCACTCGGATCTTCGTTAGTGTGCTGCTCGCAGTATACAAGCTGTTCATCCACGTCATGTCCAACGTCACTGAACATGAATTGACATTTGCTCACGGCACGTGCTAGAGCATGCCATTCCAAGCCATCTCTCTGTGTTTTCCATGCTTGAGGCGTCCCCGTTTTGTCCTGACCAGTCCAGATGAGCCAGCCGTCTTTATTTGGATGGAATTGGAGAATCTGAAGGCCGGCCCTGTTGGGACCTGACGGAGCTTCGAAGTCATGAATTGTCTTGCAGCGATCCTTTGAGTAATAGACCTTTTTGCTCGCTGTAATGAAATACACAACGTCATTGAAGTATTGGTGAGGGTATATCGCGACGATTTCGTCGTCACCAATGGCCTTGGGCCGCCCCCAGGTCTTTCCATGGTCGCGAGTAATATAGACAGTGTTGTCCGTGGTTCGCATAACGACAGTCTCATCGTCGCCTTGTCGGCCGTTCCTCTCAAGATAATAGTACTCGGCAAGGTTGTCTTCGGGGAAAGATGTAATCTCAGTTGAAATCTTGCCGCTCCCGGGAGGATTTTTGGTCTCGCTGCATTCGTGCTCCATCTCTTTATCTTTTTTGGTACCACCTTTGCATTGGTTTCCGGGAATCTTGCGCCACCCAGAGCTTCCCATGAATGTTTCATCGTCGCCTTGGCAAGCATCATCAGGCGGATCCAGCCGTCCGGCAACGACGCATTTCTTTTCCTTCTTATCACCTTCACCACTCCATTCTGGTGTAAAACCAGCGTCGCACTCGTAATCAGCTTCAGTACACTCGCATATGTCCCATTCTAGTTCAGGCTTCTCAAACTCCTTTACGAAGCAATCGGCGTCCGCCTTGCGCCTGTGGAAGGATTGCTTTCGACCCATGATACACATGGCGTTCCCATCCTCGTCGACGCGAGCGTGCCAAGTTTCGAAATCTTTCTCGCCACAATCTCGCTCGTGCATGTCATCGAAATTGATGGTATAGCTGACCCACTGTTTCTTCTTACCAGATCCTTCTGTCCCAATAAGAATAAAGCGCAAGCTTGTCGAATCGGTATTGGTTGTGAGTTCCACAGCTCTCATTTCATTCTCAAGTTCAAGTGTACGCCACTCATCCTTGCCATGTTTCAAAGAGTATCGGATCTCTTTAGTCGGGCCCTCGTCGAAAACAGCCACCAGAACAGATCCTTGGTCACCGAATTCGTATTTATGGGCTTCTTCTAGAGCTTTGTTCCAGGTAAGACCACCGTCGTCAGACACGTAAAGGTCGCCGTCTTTGTAAGGTTTCAGGGAGTCGCCGGTATTACCAACCCCCATGATTAGACCAGGGGCCGGGCTGGAGAATACCCTGCCGCTGTTCGCGAGATCCGTGACGGAGTGAAGATGAAGCGCCTTGTCCTTGTATTTGAGATCATGGAATGTCCGGCCATCATCAAAACTAAGCTGTGTTATTAGCTGCTTTTCTTCACCAAAGAAGCCCCCAATTCCTTGTAAATCTTTGTAATTCTTGACAACGTTGACTATTATGACTCCTTGTATATTGGAAACTTTCTCGAAGTCAACGAAGCCTCGTTCATTACGGTTTGTGTGCTCGACATTGTTCGTGAAAAATCGTCCCTCGGAATTGCTAGAGAATAGCACACCCATAGGCGTGAAGTCTGCAGTCTGCACATCTACTTGGATGCTGTAATTCGTGGATTCCAGTACTGTGTATGCGCTCTCTTCGACATGGTGGTCCCCAAATTCTGCTTTATGCCAGGTTTCCGCATCCATTGAAGTATAAAGGGCAAGTTCGTGAGAGCCCGGGGTCGCGGCAGCGACAACGAGGAAGCCTTTGACAGCTGCGATACTGGCAAACCCCGTCATCGTTTGGCCATCAATTTTCATCTCGGTTTGGTCCTCGAAGTAGCTAGGACTGTCAGCGCCCGTTCATGCCGCCACATCTTCCTACTCACTTGTCGGAATATAATAGTCTGTACTTAGACGGCGAATGTGAGCCATATTTCCCTTCGACGATACATAGTATACGGTCTTCGTTGATGTCGCCACGCTCAGCGATCAGATCGGTCGCTACCGCCCATTCACATAGCTTGCGCTTCTGGATCAATATTTTTGTGCTCTCGAAACCGTCATCGGTATAATATGTCTATAGAGAGAATATTAGCTATAGGTACGAACTTTAAGGGACGGGACTAAGACCAACATTTCCAATGCACACAGTACCAAGGCATTTTTCTAGTGATGAGTAGAGAAGCTTTTTGTTATCCGCAGCATTAAACGCGATGGGTATCGTCACTTGACTTGGATGTTCATCTGTTGTGAATTGTCTCCAGGATTTTCCCTTATCATAGGTGATCCAGTGTATCTTGCGCTTGCCCAAGGCTACAGCCACATTGCTATCGTATTGGTTCTTAAGGAGTGCGTATGGCTTATCACTGCTCTTGATATCGTCGACCACGTTCCATTCGTCGCCCTCATTATCTGTTCTCCAAACCTTGCCCTCTTCCACTTCTATCATAAGCACAACCTGAGAATCCTCGAAGTAGAAAAGGTTCCCAGGTTCGGTCTTGAATTCGGTACGCGTAAGGGAGGGTTTGTCCTTCTTAGCGGACACGCCACCTACCATACTAGCTATGGCCGCGAGCAAGGCGGGCAGCAGTATGCCCTGTAGTAGCCGCATGATGCATGGATGTGTGGAGGAGAAGGTTCGAGGAATGAGTGCTGATGTAGGGAATGATAGGGAAAGTGATTATGGTGATACGTTTGGACACCTGGAGGCTTGGGAGCTAATTACCTATGGATCAATGCTCAGCGAGTCGGCCTAGCATCCCGGCCGGCGCGGAGGAGTGGCACGGGCACTAAGTTTGGACCATCTGGGTACGCACATCCACCTTTAACGGATTTATAGAAAGCTCATGCTCATTTTCACTTATCATTTGAACTCCCGAACGCATACATCGCTGGTGAATACTCCATTGTACGTGGTGAACATTCATCAACGCATTATCTGATATTGCAATTAGAGTAGAATCCTTCTACCTAATGGCACGCGTTGAAGCCACGCGGCCTTGCACAACTAGTTGCATTCACCCTCGTTCGAGCTAGTCTCCACCCACGCGACATGTCCGAGCAGAGAACAAAGTAATATCGGATCATGGCATACTGTGGAAGAGTGTATAACGTTGGATATCTTTGTACTGTACAAGAGACGTTGCTCAATCCTGAGGCCCATTCATTATGCCAATCCATTGAAAGAGATGGATCCAGCTACCGTCGATCTATCAAAAATTTGTAGAGGTGAGACGTTACTTGGCCAAAAGGTCCCATCCCATATGCATGTTAAACAGACGAAACGAGAAGGTAGAAAGAAAGCGTCAAGTAGTCGTACGACGTCGCTCACGTGGTATATCCAGGGACAAAGCACATGCCTTGAACACAATGGACAATCCGAAACGCCGCAAGAAATAGGCCATGAATGTACGCCGCGGTACACCGGTCATTAAAGAATATGAGTAGTGAGAAGTGAGTGACGAGCGAATCTCATATGCTTGAGCATAGCCTATCGTCCAAAAGCACTATTCCCAGCGGTTCCAACACTCAGCCCGCTGCTTCTTTGTCCCATAGGCGTCTTGTTGCGCGAGGATCCCCCAAGTGGATGTTCATGGCCGGCCGCCATGGCTGACGCAGCGGCATTGGCAAGGCCAAAAGTGCGCTGATTGTCCGTGCCTTTATTTGTCATAGGACTTGCATAGGAATATTCGACTGTGCTGTCCTTGTGACTGTTCTTCCAGTTGTTTGGGACTGGAGACGAATTGTTCGAATATGCACGTGAAGCCGAAGGTGTCATTCTGGGCGTCTCGTGATTACTTGGTCGCTTGAAAGGCAAGATTGGTGAGCTTGACTCGTTCTTGCGAGCTCTGACAGGTTCCGAGCCATTCTGCCCAGGTCCGGCTGCTGAAGACGGAGGGTTGGACGCCGCTTCAATGGTTGAAACCGAGCCATTTGGAGCGGTGATATCGACTGTACGTTTTTGACTGGCTGGCGTGACTAGAGGATTGAAGCGTGGATGTGAAGATGTTGCGATGTTGGCTTGTAATTGATGTGCAGGATGTTGTGGATTTGCCCAAGGGTTTCTCTGAAGGAATGACTCATCCGCCACTTGATTGCCCGCCCTCATAGTATTGGAAACAATCGCAGGATAGGCGTTCATAGCGGTCTGTGTAACTGGGTCTTTTTGTATCTGAATAGTATATTAGAAAAGCTTAGACCATGAACCATAAATCAATAAGCCGAGAACTTACATTCATAGCCTTGAGATCATCATCAACTTCAGAGTCTCTCGCGACCGTTACATCGGGCGCCGCGGGGAAGCCACGGTATTTCGCAACACCAGCCAAAATCGATACCTCGCGGTTAATGGCTGTTTGATGTCTAATCTGGTCGGATCGCTTGGGATTGAACAGTAAGGCATAGTCCACCTCTTCAGTTCCTACACGCCTCCTTTCTTTTTGCAACTGATTCAGCCGCTTTTGACAGGCCTCCATGGATCGATCCTTGATATCCCGCACGGACTGAAAATACTGACTTTGTATCTGGTGTCGTTCTGCGATTGTAGTTCTTTTTAGTGTTTTTACTTTATATGAGAGGAGTTTGTTTTCGTGGGCAATTTTTTCGTCCCGTCTCTCGTCAATACACTTTAACATGGCTAGGAAATCAGTATGTGTGGGTTCGGCGGCTTCAAGGGATTCGATTTCGAGATTGACGTTATTCAGTTGCTCTTCTAGGACCCTAAGTGATAATTAGCCTTAATTTTGCCCATGCGAACAATCGAGACGTACTTTTCGCGAAACACTATGAACTTCTCTCTGATAGAACTCAGTTTGTCCATTGCGTCTTTCTTCTTAGCGACTAGAGCTCCACGATCAGTATATAAAGAAAAATATGGGCATCACGAGCTCACGTTCTTCGTCCAAAGCGGCATCGTCCTCCTCTTCACCATTATCTGCATCTTCTACATCAGGGATATCGCCAGAGTCCAAGGGGGGTTCCTTTTCTGTAGTTTCGACAATTTTCTTGCCCTTCCGTTTGCCTTTGCGACTTCTTGGAAGTCTTGTTGCCGTCTCTGCGACTTCCTCTGCGGTCTCCGTGGTGTCCTCACCTAGTTCGACTTCTGGATCCTCTGTAGGCCGTGTAGTATGCTCATGCTCGCCTGTATCATCTGGTACTTCTACGTCTGCGAAGGTATTCATGATGTGTGACTTGTTTCCGTTCAGATCGGCCCTGAAAGATCCACTTCGCTTGGGCGCTGGCTCGTCAGAACCTGTGGCTGGGCGTTTTTGATCTTCTGGTGTTGATCTTTTTCGTTTGCGACTGGAATTGTCTACCATAGGAGCTGCTTCTGATATTGTTGCGAGGCTCTGCTGAACGCCCAGAGCGTGCTCATCGCCGCCCTTGTCGTCCAATGTCGGAACTTTGGTCTCTTCTACAGGCGTAATGGGCGATTCTGGAGGTGATCTTGTTTCCATAGGAGTGGGTGTGGAGAGTCTGCTCAGATTTGTTCCAACATTCGCGATATAGAGGCCTGTGGCGAGCGGCTTTCGAGGGGTGTTTTCAAGTCGCTCAGTCTCTGCTTCCGAATCATTCTCTTCGACGTTTGATGCGGTGCTCGAGAATGGAACTGGATCCTCATGATCCTCAGAGCCCTCAGCAAAATCGCTCAAACTGCTTGTGTCCGCATCGCTGCGAATGTCTAGGGATGTGGTGATATTCATAGTATGGTCTGGTGGGCTTTGTGTATCAGGGAGATCTGGAGATGTTGAGGCTTGTCTATCGGATCGGGGCATATTAGCAGAGACCGGTATTGGGACAGCCAGCTCCGACATTGCGGATTGCGCACGCTGAGGTGTGACGTGATCGATTGCTCTATATGAATAGTTACACGATTAGCATTGTTTCTATGAAGGATGGCGGTTGATTGTGCGGTGGGGGAAAACTGCCGCCGCTGAATGACGCGAGCGAGAGTGGGTGCACCAGTATGAAAATCAGTGACATACGGAGTACAGCGTCGAGATGATGATACACCTTGACTACCAATGTCGCGCATCTTCAAACCCATACATAATCAGAAACAACTTACAGCTAGACAACTTCTCTGCGCGCGCTGAGCGATCCCAGCGAGATCGGGGAAGGAAAAGAAGGATCGTGTTCCGAGGCCCAAATTCGGGGGAGCAGAGGGGTTCCTGGGAAGAGGAAATTGAGCTGTAGGAATCCAAGTATTTGTCGTATAGTTGAGAGCGTGGTTGCGACATAGACAGTGCGTGAAGAATGGCAGCTGAGGAGGATTGGGGGAGAGAAGACGGCGAACACACACACTTGAGAGGAGCTACTACTGTAGCATAAACCACCTGGGCAGCTCCACAACTCGTGACGGATGCGCGGGCAGCGTCCAGCTATTCCATCCATGGGAGGGTGCTTGCCAAGATCCTTTTCTGCCGGATCTAGCTTCACCGCCCGCGCATACAATGGATTTTTCATTGGCACGTAAATACATCCATTGTACAGTATCCAACAAAGACTTCCGACCTCCAATCATGGGCAAAAGCAAGTCGCTGAAAGGAGGCTCCAGAACTGACTCAAGTCCCGCTGCTAAGAGTTCAAAGGAACACAGAACCTCTGCTTTTGCCGTGGACCAGAAAGCTGTTGATCCCGCCCTCGCTTCTTTATTTTCGGCCAGTGTGAGCAGCCTCACAATCTGAAACTACACTGTGCCTTAACTGACTGGAACAGCTTGGACCTGTACAGCCTCTCCCGAAAAGTCGATATCACGCTGCAGAGAAAGTCTCAACAAAAGCTACCAAAGATGCTGAGAACGATGAAGAACTATCTGAGCTTAGCTCGGATACGGAAGCTCCAGATGCGACTGATTCTGAGGGTGGAGTAGCTGTAGACGGCGATGAAGTCCTAGAAGACTCTTCTGAGGAAACTTCAGACGAGGGCGAAAATACAAAGTCAACCCCCATGCAGTTACACGACATCGTTGATACAAAATCGGAGAAGTCAACGCGGAAACGAAAGCGGAAGGAGAACGAAGATGATCTCGAGGATGTTTATCTACAGAAGCTAGCCGAGGAGGAGCAGAAAGAAGAAGCCAAACTCCGTCAAGAGAAGCGCCCGAAACGCGATCAAAGAACTGGCGATCCCTCTATGGAAACCGACGGCAATGGAGACGATGATGCACCTGAAGACGACGCCGACACATTTGTGCCACCACAACATGAGTCTCTCGCGGCCGTTCCTAAAACACCAGACGAACTAGACAAAGCCTCGCGCACTGTCTTCCTCGGCAACGTATCTACCGCAGCCATCACCTCCAAGACCGCTAAAAAGACTCTCCTCGCCCACCTCTCCTCCTTTCTCTCAACGCTCCCGCCATCCACGCCCCCTCACAAAGTCGAATCACTTCGCTTCCGCTCCACCGCCTTCTCCACACCCCTCCCCAAAAAAGCTGCCTTCGCCAAGAAAGATCTCATGGCCGAAACCACGAAATCCACACATGCTTACGTCGTCTACTCCACCGTCAAAGCCGCCTCCGCCGCCGCACCAAAGCTCAACGGTACCGTCGTCCTCGACCGCCACATCCGCGTCGATCACGTCTCCCACCCCCAACAAATAGACCACCGCCGCTGCGTCTTCATCGGCAACCTCGGCTTCGTCGACGACGAAACCGCCCTCCGCGCAGCAGCCGCCGCATCCTCCGACGGCAAACCACGCAAACCCAAGCCTGCCGCCGATGTCGAGGAGGGCCTCTGGAAACATCTCGCCTCGGCCGGCACCATCGAAAGCGTGCGCGTCGTCCGCGACGCAAAAACCCGCGTCGGCAAGGGCTTCGCCTACGTCCAATTCGCGGACCAGAACGGCGTCGAAAAGGCCCTCCTCCTCGACGGCAAGGCCTTCCCGCCTATGCTGCCGCGCTCGCTGCGCGTCACGCGCGCGAAGAGCATGAAGCGCAATCCCAAGGACGCTTCCCATCCGGCCGTGAATCGACGCGCGCAGGCAGCACCAGGGACAGGGAAAGGCAAAGGCATGTACAACCCGAAGATGAGCCAGGCGGAAAAGTCGGCGCTCGGACGCACGGGGAAATTGCTTGGCCGTGCCGGCGCGGCAGCGGCAAGGAGTGGGAAGTTTGGTGGCGCGGAGGGTGTTGCGCGCACGCCGGAGAGTTTTGTATTTGAAGGGCACCGCGCAACGGCCAGTCAGGGCAAGACTGGCTTCAAGTTCAAGGGGAGTGGTAATAACAAGGGCGGCAAAAAGGCTGCCGGGGCGGGCGGGAAGACACGGAGGACTCATCGGGCCGCAGAATGGAAGAAGAATGGTGGCAAAAAAGACTGATTACAAGGGCATAACGACCCTTTTCTTTTCACGCCTCAACTACATTGAAATTCATACATGGTATCTATCGAAAGGAAGAATAAGAGAAAAAGAAAATGGGATTCGTTGAATGGCGAAAGCTGACAGATGGGTGAAAAATGGAAAGGAAAAATAGTGTTGATAACAGTATAGCACATCCAACCAACCAATTCATAGCACGTGAGAAATTCCCCAGGGAGATGCCGTCTCTCGAAAATACAATACAGGCCCAAAAAGCGGCGCCAATCCCATCTCTTGTTGCCGATGACCCTCAAGCCATTATGTCATAAAAAAACAGAATCCCTTGTAGCAATCATGCCATATCCAAAGGGGAAAAAAACACAATCCCCGAATGATCATTTGAATCCATACAAAAAAAGAAAGTAGTAATCGAAAAATTGTAGTACACCAAAAAAAAAATTGGTTTACATCCCAGCGCCTTCCCAGAAACAGCAGTAGTAACAGCAGCAAGCCTCTGCTAGGTCATCTCATACTCGTACGCACCGCCGTGGTCGATATACTCGCATTCGACACAAAACTCATGCTCGCAGTCCATGCAGTTCGAGTAGAGCCGACGCCGGAATGGGCCTCGCTTGCAGCGGCAGCAGAACGTGTCCACGTCTCTTGCGTCGTGGCTCTCGTCTCGTTGCGGGCGCTTCGGTCGTGGTGTTGCGTCTGTTTCTGTGTCTGTGTCATCCTCATCTAGAGAGCGACTGTGTTTGCGCTGGAGTGCGGGCGTGGGAGACGGTGGGGCGGAGAAGGCGGTGTCGTTGGTGGCGGGCGGCTCTATGCTATCTTCATTGGTGGCAGCGCTCACGTTATCGTTATTGTCGTTCTTATTGTCGTTAGTGTCCGCTGTTATCAAATTGTTGTTGTCGTCGTTTTTGATAGAAGGTGAGGGATTGGGATTGCTCTCGGGTTGGCCCTTGACTCGACGCTCCTCCACGCACCACCATTCCCCGATGCCCTTTCCTTCTTTTGTGAAATGCGCATCAATGTGGTTGAACCGCTCGTCCCAGGCATCTGCTCGTCGACCGTTCAGGGGCACAATGACACGGCAGAAGCCGCACCAGAAGCTTGATTGGTAGTTGCGACCGATGCGTGTTTTGATGAGGACGTTGCGTAGTGGAGACGGGAGACGACATGGCGGAGAGAATGAGGATAGGCCATGAATTAAGGCTGGATTGAAATGATCGGGGACAGGAATACGATGGATGCTAGAGAGGTGAGAGAGGTAAGATGATCTTTTGTCGAAGAGGAGGCCGCAGACGGCGGCGGGATCGTTTACGGGTTCATGTATTGTCGTCTGCATCGGGACCTCCTTTCTCCTAATAGGATCACCATGATTGTCGTTCCGAATCTCGCACCGCCATCCCTCATTCTGGAAGTGCTGGCTGTTCTCGTGGCGCTTCCAGTCGCTCTTGCTGCCGAACTTCTTGTGGCATTTGGGATGTGTGCATCCGTAAGGCCGCTGGTGACGGCGCTCGTGCTTGCGCAGTTCACATGCACGGGCGAAGTGGCTCTTGCAGCGGGAGCAATGCTTATTCTTGCGGGCAGAGTATGGTGTTGTTAACGATGATCTTCCCGTCGCGGTGGAGGTGGGAGGAATCGGCGGAGAACATTTGAGGATAGTCGTAAGGGCATCGCGAACAGAGTCGAAGTCGGTTGAAGGGGCAATCGGAGATGACGGTGAAGGATAAGGGGTGGAGACGGAGCGCTTCGAGGATGGCAATCCGGAAATTTTCGTAAGAGCTGCGGGGGGAGAAGACGAAGTGTTGTTGACAATGGCATTATCAGTCAAAACTGTAAGAATTCGTTGTGCAAGACTGTCATTGTCTTTACAGCTCATGAGGCCCTGGGCGATGGCCTTGGCGAGTGGGCTCAGTCCCACTGTCTGGGTCGCGGTCTCCGGGTCCTTGGGGTTGTGCCCATTGCTGATGCAGTTGTTGCTGACTTGACTGCTGGTGCTCGTAGGCTCTGGAAGATGCTCCCCAGTCCTGTTTCCCACGTCAGGGATCTCATTCTTATCTAAAGCCTCACTCCCAACGGTCGAGGCCACGGCCACGGCCGCGGCCAGCGTGTTGAGCCCAGAAGAAGCTACCACACTCGTGGCAGCGGGTTCCATGCTCAGAGGACTGACCTTGTAACTCATCACATCTGCGTAATCGTGACCAAACCCTTGGCCTCCTTCATATGATGGATAAGTACTGCCGGTGCGACGGCTTGTACTGGAGTATGTGCCTTCGAACGGATTCGGCGCGTTCGGATCCCAGTTCCTAGTGCCAAGCTCGGGCGAAAAGAGAGCAGAGGGACTACCGGTGGGAATGGAAGGATGCCTTGCAATGTCATCCATGCCTGCGACCAGGGAGCTTTTGTCCATGGAAGCAATGGACAGCTGTTGGGGTGTAAGTGACCGGGACTGGTCGCCAGTGCGGCGACATTCGGACCTGGAGGATTAGTACCCGTAAGAGTGTAAATTGGAAGGGAACGAACCTCCTAATTATATCATCTAGGTCGTCGTCTGGATGCATGCGGACCACATGCTGCTTAAAGTTGTCTAGGCGCGGCCATTCCTTGTCTCTGTTCTTACAATGTGAGGCTACACACTTATAAGACTTCGTCGTACCCCCAATCTTGTGCACACTTTTCTTGTGTCTGTTGAGATCGTTGATTGTAGTGAAACCATGGGTTCGTTTACAGTTACGGACGTCACAGTGGAAAGGCTTCTCATGTTTCAAACGATGCTTTCTAAGCACGATGTCAGTCTTTCGACAATATCAAGTGGATTTCATCAGACATACTTGGCATCTGAGGGACACTTTGAAATCTCATTACAGCCTGGCACGAGGCACTTTTCAGGCGCCGAGCGCCGTTGCGAGGTTCTTGACCTAGATCGATCACGTGAATTGATGGGACCATCACTCCTCCTGTCAGTCTCGAGCACGTGGGAGTGCCTTCGCGGTAATGAAACACTATCCATTTTGTAGGAAAGATCGGGCATCTCCGGTGTCCGATTCATTTGGTCCATGACTGGAGTAGGGTATGTATAAGCCGTGCCATATCCGGAGTCCGAGTGCGTAGGTACAGTATCGTTGCTCTCTACGGAGCTAGGGCCATGACGATAGTTGTTAGAATTCGGGAGGGAATTCTGGTAATGAGCCAGATTTGTACCCATGGGAGGAAAGTGGGTGTCTGTACGAAAGCGAATACTGCTCCACGGTTCTTCTTTGCTTTCGATCCAGTTGGTGACAGGATCTACCTGCGGTCCTGAATTTCTCGGAGATAGTGGAGAGAGACGAATACCTTCTAGTCCAGGGATAGAGCCAGCTCGATGAATGTTGACAGCCGGGACGGCGTGAGTCACAAGTGTAGGTCTGTTATCATGACAGAGACCTAAGCCAGCAGCGTGTCTGAATGACGCTGGACCGGGCAGCTCCCTATTCTTCCAAGGAGACTGTCGAAGTGGGGACGTGCCCGGTTGGTTGTGGTCGTAATACTGAATCAGGGTCAGTCCAATCGGAGAATTAGGATCAGGTGTTGGTGAATGCTTACGGCGTCATCCGGCGAGTAAGGATATGTGAAGGAACTGTGTTGGGCCATCGTCTAGACGCTTCGAACACCCGTTAGCATGAAAGTGTTTGGAAGGGTTCAGCTCAGCGTCCGATGTCTGACCAGATGGAAAGTAGCCGCAGTAGTTGAAGACAAGATTTGGGGCAGTGAATAGACAAGGCCAAAGGAGGACAGATCGGTGAGCCCAAGTAAGGAAAAGTGAAAGTGTGCCTCCCAGAAGTGTGTCTTTCAGCCTCGTGTGCGGCACTTGGTACGAGAGCTCAGGCTGACTGGTAAGAGAATGGGAGCTCGATCATGTCCTCTCGACCATGCGGAGGCTTTGCTTCGCATTAGTACTTGACTCCATACACCGCTCCAGCCTGATTGAGGACAGTAGATTGCTCAAGAGAATCAGGGTTGGTCGGACATGCATAGCAAGTACACGGCAAGAATAAGCTATGAAGAGCATACCGGTGTGGGAAAAGGCAGTAGGCGCAGACTCTTAGCGTGGAGAATACATTTATGCTGACGCTTTGCGTGGCCGTCCAGCATGGGTGGAACATGCGTAACGAGACGTGAACCCTCGGAAGACTAGAAGGACAGCAACGAATGAGGCTTCCTAGTCGCGCTGGCAGTGATGGACAAAGCGGAAGAACCATGTCGAAAAGCCGCAAAAGGCAAACAACAGACGATGATGTTGCTGCCTGGTGCAGAGTGAGTGAGTGAGATAGAGAGTTGAGCGAGGTCTGGATAGAGGTAGGTGGCTGCACCGGTCAGCCCAGATTCTCGACGCTGATTGGTTGTATAAGCAAGCTAGTGAACATGCTTCTCTGATTGGCTGGTCCGTATTCAGTACAGTATACAGTAGATTGAGGCAGTGCAAAGCAATGGATTGCTTCCTCCCTTCTCTCACTCGTGAAGAAAACAACACGAAGGACCATGACGGCGACTCTAACAGCGACTATGGCAGCAACAGCGATAGCGATGGTGTCAGTGACATACATGCTTATCCACTCCATGCAACGTCCATCACGAATGCAACAAAAATATCCCATCCTGCAGCCGATCGGCTGTGAATCTCCACCCGTACGCGCCCAGCGAACTGCGCATCCAACTTAGTGTCTATTCCCTTAAAAAAGACTGTTCTTGCCCCGACGTGTGCACTCACATAATGCGCTTCATGGATGTCTTCATTCAAGCCAGCCACTTCCAAGCATCGGCTCCTTGACGTCGTGACCTGTAAGCGAACCATGTCTAGCATCTTCAGTCTGCGCCCCGAACCCACAGCTGCAATTGCAGGCATGGATGCATGTCCGTCAGCATAGGTTGGAGCGGCCCGCCCCTGTTCCCCTTCCATCTGTGACACCTAAATGTACCTTCGTGCTCCTCCAACACTGTCCCTGGCGAGCTACGCCTCCCAAGATGTTTTGCTATGTTTGCGACGACCCGCTTATTCTACGTAGAGCACATGCATGCTTCATCACATAGAGTATAATGGCTACTAGCAAATGATGACTGGGTGGGTCCTGTATGTTTGATCGAGTCCATAATGCTTCGTTACGACCTCCCACATATTTTGGTCTTCGCCACGAATATCCAGAAAAGGATTGCATTCTTTATCCCAAATTACATCTATGCACGAGCAAGACCAACTTTCCCGCCTAGGCGATCGGCATACTGGGTACTAGGTAGATCGCTTAGTGGATAACAAAACAGGGTATCCGATTGCCGAACGCGCTCAAGCCAAGAATCTACAGCCAGCACCTTCGCATTCAAAAATAGTGTGGTGATCAACATTACAAAAAAAGCCAGATATGGGTATCCATCAGCCCCTTCACCGTTTAGAACAAATTCATAAATACAAACAAAAATATCCACATAAATAGACTAAACCATTGTTTGCCAAACATACTGCTATCATTATAGATAGATTCCATAGTCTCCACTGTGTATGTTTCAGTACGCGCTAAAATCGATCGCTTTAATGTTTCATATCTTTTAATGTTTCACGTCTTTAGTGTTTCATGTCATCATGTTCTTCGTGTCGACATGCCCGGCGTCTACAATGCATGTGCGCATCACCTTGCTAGTGAAAATCCTAGTTCTAGTACTGCCTGTATAGACCTGCTTGTTCCTGCTGAGACATGTAAGGATGCAGCTGGTAATCAGACTGTTGGAATGCGTTTGCGCTCTGGCCGTAGCCAACATGTGATGGGACTCGCATAGTAACGTCCCCTGCGCCTGACGTCGAATTTGACGCTGTTGTCGGAAAGCATTGCTGGGCATATGCAGGTCCCGGCAAGCTGTGCGTCTCGACTGTGGGGGATTCGTAGACAGGGTTGCTGCCAAATCCTGAGCCTGATACTGGCGTGATGGGTGGTGGTTGTGGAGCATAGTGTGGAGCATGATTGATTTGGCTTGACTCGGTCCAACTCGGTCCAGATACGGGCAAGACGTTGGTATATGCATTATGCTGTGTATTGGCGTCTCTCGCTCTGGAATACGACGGATAATCACCCTGCGACTGCGATACCATATGGTGAAGTTGCGGAGGAGGGTACGTGCTGATGTCATTAGGTGGCATAGCCGTGGCGGTGGATCTTTGGAGGAACTGTGGTGGATAGCTGTGATCTCTCGGACCAGCAGAGTGGGGGCCGTGGTGAGATGCTGGAGACCGACTAGGTGTGTGGATCTGATCGGAATGTTGCGGGATGTCGACGACGGGACTGACAATGGTGTCCGCGTTGACATGCTTCTGCTCGACAAGAGGCAGAATAGGCATACTAATTTGCTCCATGTGCTTTGCGAGATGCACAGTCAGCTTCTTCCAGCTGGTGCAGATATTGCCGCAGAACCTGCAAGGCTCGTCCTTGGGTTGCTTAGCGGTGTCCCGTCGGCAACGCTCGACAAGCGCCCATACATCATCGGAAGGATCATTGCTAGATATTCCCAAGCGATATGGTCCGCTTCCTTCGATATGCCCGTTGGCGCCGGTATTGCTGGCACGGCCCGTTCGGGCTCTAGGCTCTGGCAACTTATGTTCACGCACTAAGTGCTGTACAAAGTTGTCCTTGCGGTAGCAAGTGTGCGTGCAGTCGCCAATGTTGCAGGTCCAATTCTCCAACTGTCTGTGCCGCTCGTTCTCATGCCGAACCCAATCAGCTTTGCGCTTGAATGATTTGGGCTCCCCACAATTGGGAAATGTGCAGGTGAAAGGCTGAACATCTTCATGCACATGCTTTGTCCAATCTGACGGCTTGTTAAACTTTTTTACTTTAAAGCACAAAGGGCATTCGAATTCGGCAGGTAGGCGTTTCACAGGTGGCAGTGGGACGCCGGGTGGGAATTGGGCTGCCACGACTGTGCCCTCACTCGCAGCGATGAGGTCTTCATCTGAGGATCCAGGAGTGGTTATCTGAAACCCGACGAACGGTGCGTCACCATCCTTATTGCTAGCTCGCGGTGGCAGGATCTTAGATTCCCCACCGAGAGAGAGACAGAAGTTTTGTGCGGAACAATTCCTGTGCCTGACAGCATTGCAGTGCTTGACTTTGAAGTCAAGCAGCCGCTTGTATCGTCGCATCTGTTCCTGAGTCACCCTTTCCACCATGTATTCAACTAATCGAGGATTTAGCTGCCGAGCATGCGTCTTGAAACCCTCAGCTGTTGGTATGATCGGGTCGTTTCGAATCTTGAGATCCATAGTGTGCATTTCGTGTATGTCGTCGCCTGCGTTACTGTCCTCCTCGTCCTTGGCGGCAACGGCAGTTGTTAGAGCAGGTGGACCGAACTTGGTGTCATTGTCTGCTAATGGTGAAGCTAATGACAACATAGGAGGACCACCATGTTGTGTCATAAGTGTAGCTAGGCCCGGCGATTTCCCCAAGTCGCTCCGGCTGCGATGTCTTTGTATGACTTTTCCCAAAGTCTTCAGTGGCCCGGAAGTTGTGGGAAGATTAGGACCTGTGCTTAGACCTAGGTCTTTTTGGCTGGGCAGAGGGCTCGTATCTACCCTGGGACCCTTGGAGCTCCAGCTGTGCTTCCGCTTAGGGGGTGTGGCTATGCCCTGGGCGTTCTTCGTGTTAGCCTGACCTGACTCGGCCGGCTGTGACGGAGAAGGCTGGCTTCCCTTACGCTTTAGAGCATTAGTGTCTTTGCGTTTGATAATGCTTTCGAGTATGCTAGGCCTTCGTTCACGCTTTTCCTTCGGCTTACCGCGTGCTTCTGCTAAGTTGGTCGGTGCAACTGGTTTGGAAATCCCAACAGCACCGTATAGACTCCCTAGTTCCGACTCACTCCTGCGTCGAGATGAGCCAACGGTTGCAGCCAAAGAAGCATGATCGACTTCTTTTGCACGAGTTATGAATCTTGACATCGCTTGATTCGACGTCGGTGGCTGATAACGGTCGCTGGACTTTCCATTAGGCCATGATGAATCGGCCCAGGGCTTCGCCGGAACAGCTTCGATGAAGTCTTGCTCAGAAGCGGGGAAATAAGAGGAAGAGTTCACGCTCTCCGGATTGAATGGCATTTCGTCATCTTCCAACGATACATCCGTGACTCGTTCCCCTTCCTCATCGTCCTCGTCATATTCACTGCGCTCGTCAATGTACACTCCTGGACCGGGTATACTACGATCGTGGAGTATTGCAGTTTGGACGCCCAATCCAAGGTATGTGCCTGACTTCGCTTGACTCGCTATGTCGTTGAAACTTCTGGCTCTCCTTCGATTGGAGTCTTTGATTTTCCGCCTGACCGGGCCTTCAACATCGCTGCCTACATCACTATGAGAGAGCCATTCTTCTACCTCCTTATTTTTCCCAGCTAGAAGAATCTGTTCCTCCTGTTCTTTGAGTGAGACAATGGATTGCTCATTAAGTCTGCTGCGACCTATCGGACTGATACCAGCCTGAGAATTTGCTCCCTCTGTAGCCCAAGATCCGTCATCGTTTCGCTCGGGCACAGGTACGGAGATAGATCTACCCGCATAGCTATTATTGATGGATCCATGTGTGTTTTCGATCTCATCGTCGGATGACTCATTCGCATACGGCGATAAATGCTGGGCAGATCGCTTGCCAGAATCTAGCGTGAGATTCAACCCCATGTCATGTTGGTCGGAATGATCTCCATGGCTGTAGTCAATCCGAACAATTGGACTCGTCAAATGGTTCGGATTTTGGACTCCTCCCATTGTGTTTGCAGGACTATTGGTAAGCGCCGGGCCTTGTTGTTTCTGAAGTGCCGCATTCAGATGTAGGCCATGTGAGGTTAGTTCATTGGTGGCGAAAGTAGGGGCTGCTTGGTGATCATGCGAAGCGGGACTTGAACTTGTCGTCAAGCTTGGCGATATCAGCTGTATTCCAGACTTGTTTACAGAGGACAACGTGGCACGTGAAGAGTTGAGCGACGAGGGATCCTGAAATCTATTTTCCATCTGCGATGGGAAAGTTGGTTGCCCATAAAGATATGATCCTGACTGATTGTGATCCTTCAGGTGTAATAGTGATCCAAACTGATCACCAAAGAGAGCGTCGTCCATGTTGGGGCTTGCATATCGTGAGTAGTCCGTAAGGGATTCGCTAGTGTATGCGTCAGGACTGATATGTTCGGCTAGGTTTGGGGACAAGCTGTTGCCGACAGAATGACTAGTAAGAAAAGAGGAGTTCTGATCTGCGCGGAGGTCATTCTGCGAATCCTGGTACACATTCCTCATGGAGCTATATGAGCCACCGGTGGTAGATGCGTCGCCATCATAGCCCGACATATCGTTGTTGAAATCATAGACAGTGAGATTGCCAAAATCCAGTGATCCTGGCTCGTCAGTGAAAATGAAGTCTGGCTGTGTGACTGTCAGGAATTGATCGTTTGTATGGTTCGGCGCAAAGTGATTGCTCGACTGGGTATTATTATGGCTGTGGCCATGACTGGGGCTCTGACTGCCATTCCGAGTGCGCGGAGCTGCAGAGTCCACGGCAGACATGACGAGGAGGCAAGATATGAGGTCGCCGATTAGAGCAATGCGCTCTCGGGCGGAATCGCGACTTGCACTTTCAAGTGCAGCTATTCCTCGAAGTCCAAAGGCAGTTCCAATGTCCTCAATATGCTAACGCGACCCGGTCGAAGAATGGACCGGCTCCAAAGATCATGTAAGGCCGTATTTAGCTGGGCGAAGGGTGGAAAGAGTCCTCCTTTTGGCGGTTTGGAGCAGATGGACGTTTGCAGAATAGGTAGTAAGGTTCTCAACAGAGGCAACTTTGAAAATGAAGAGAGCGTGTCGAGCAGGTAGGGTTGGCAGGATGGGCTAGGTATCGGCGAACCGGGGGCTGCACGCGCCAAAGAAATGGGTGGGCGGTGATGATGAAACGGGATAGAGAACTAAGCCGCGGCGACCGGGGACGAGCAAAATGAGGCGCAGTGGGCAAGTGAGTTCGGTCGGCTTTGGTGGATTATGACGGAAATAGGGCGATGGTGAGTGTGCAGGGTGTGTAGAGTGTGCAAAGTGAAGGGTAGAGAGGGAGAGAGGTAGTGTCCACGGTATGGATGAATTTGATTACAGAATGACGGTGTTGTACTTAGTGAGTGTGTGGGTGGACTGAAGAAAGAGGCAGGCACGCGAGAAGGGAATGGAGCATAGACGGAAGGAGCAGAGAATGGATGCTGCCTAGGCTGCTCGCGGGGCTGACATCTCACAAGACACAAGGCTTATTATGGACATTCAGGTTCAAGTGGCCGTCAGTGCTCGTCGATGCATCTAGTGCTTAGCAGTGCACAGATTATCTATAATTAATTATAAGATGCCCGGGAGACTAGAGAAAGGGCTGTTGCGCGCCTACTTCCGGGGAGACTGAACGACAGGTCAAAGCATGGATCCATTCTGTAGCGGAGGTAGTCTTCCAGCGCAACTCTTGGCACTCCGCATACCTCGCCTCTTATTCTTAAATTCCTCTATCATATTAGTCTCTAGAGCTAAGCCTAATAAACTATTGACCTCTCGCTTATCTTAAAAGAAGGAATAGAAGAAGGTAGAAACTTAGTGTTCTAAGCAGAACCTCTAGTAGTAGATTATTTAGGGATTGTTAAAGAAAAAGTTTTCAAAATGATTTCAATATTCCTCATCTTTTCTGGAATTCAGATCTAGTCCATAGCATGATACTCAAAGTGCTCAAATAACTTGGGGTGTGCATAAGCCCGTTGATAAGCATCGTGCCAAGACTGGCGCTGATAACTTCATAGACAGCACACCACAAAAATCGCCCTTGACATTCAAGATCACTATAGCCACCTAGCTGTGTGCTGTTATCTATCGATGATAGCATGGATGTAATCTATCGACAGCCCTCGTCCTGCAATGCTCGTCTTGAAGCTCTGAAAGCGATACGATCCCCTCGAGCCACCACAAACCAACAGATCTTGGCCTGATTCATTTACTATCAGGCCCACCTCCTCTAGAGCTTTTGACAGAACCCCTCGGTAACTGTGTATGACAACATCGCCGAGACTGAGGGCTATGACGAGTGCAGAGCTTGATTGGTTCAGGTTCTCGGCGTAGAGGAAGAAATTGTAGCCTTCGTTTCGAGCTGCCTTCCAAATGTTCTATCCTAGGGAGATTGAACGGGTATCTGGAAGGATCTTTTGATTCATGCATCTCCGTTCACTTCAGCGGTGGAGGACCAAAGGCTATCACCCGGTTCCCGAAACCAGGCTACACACTTGACGCTAGACCAGAGAAGGTGAAGAGGGTGGTCTGGGTCTCAAAATTCTTGAGAGAATACAAACTTCTGTACCTTGTGTAAATAGCTGAGATTGAAGACACGAAAGTATCTATCATCATGAGTCGTATCGATGGTACGTCCCTCTCAAGGCAGCCTACCTTATCTAGTCATATGAGGATGACTTCATGCGAAATAATGATACAAATAATGCTAAACCTGATTACGGTTACGAGCAGCTGTTAGAATAAGGGAAAGCAAAGACGAAGGACTTGAATACATATGACAAGGAGTGCAAGGAGAGGGGCCTATGAGGAAAGCAAAAGGAACAGATAACCTCCCTCCCTGCCTATGTTGGCATTATGCGATGGTCTGTTTGGCGAAACCACCCTAGTCGACGGTTTTCGAGACGTCAGAATCAGGTTCTAAATCCTCTATATCTCCGCTGTCAGAGGCTACGACGACCAATATCGACGAAATTTTTGTAGTCTAACTGTCTAACGACAGGCCGATTTAGCGTGGAGCCAACGTGGTGGCGTTTTGAGTGCATGAACTGTTCAAGGATTTGATCAAACATCTCGTTGGGAAGACTTCGTAAGCTGGCCATGGGTGCTGCTGCTCCAAGGGACAATGCGATTACCGGGGGGGAAGGAAATGTACACAAGCAGCGTGTGACTGAATCTTTCTTCCCTACGCTTCAAGCGTCTCACAACTAACCCTAGACCTGAAAATTGAGAACTAGTCAGCTTCAAAATGAGACTTTCAACAAGGAACAAACATATCCCAGCTAAACTTTTGCAATCCACCCCAACGCCGCATGTCAATATCGGAAGTAGTAGTAAGAAGTCGGGTAGTAAGGTATCGGGCAAGTAAGTCCATAAAGCGTTCCGGCTTGGCGCTAACCCTGAAGTGGACGCTGAAATGTTCCTCAAATAAAAATCGCTTATCCATTCACTTTCTCCGTACTGTTATCGTGGTAGGCACGGATTAGTGCCTTGGCAAAGGTTACAGTAGGCTTCTTCTGTCACATAGCTTCCTCCTATAGACATCATCCCAATGAAAGAAGATACCATACCCAAACAGTACATAAGCCTCATATTATAGATTTACCTTCACCTACCAACGTCTCACTCAGCACACGAGCATATGCATTGCTTCTCGTCGCTTGCCATGCATGTATGTTGGCATGGACGAGCTTCTCGACTCTGAGTGCAAATGCAACGAGGGCACAACGAGGGCATAACGAGGGCACAACGAGGGCACAATCCGTGCATGGTCGTTGCAGACAGGCATTCGAGACAGCATGAAGTGCTCATGTATAGATATAGAAATGGCCGGGTATGTTCAACTGGTATCGTGTACCCGAGTAGCTATCTTATTCCCTCCACTCAAGCGCACAGTAGGTTTACCAAAGGGAGCATATTCACGGCCAGACCAATTGCTTCGACGTCCGTGGCTCACTATTACAAATGCTCAATAATGACATCGAGAGCCATAAGTAGGCTTCATCCGAATAGAACCTAAAGATCTATCGCTCTCCCACCATGTCCTGACAACCTTTGTGTGAATGCAGATAAGACCTCGTCATTTGCCCAAGGCTTCTTTAGGGTGAATATGTCTCTCAGGCTCAGGACCGCGCGACCTTAGCTTGACTTCGGTGCTAGGGTGCACGCGGCATAATTGTGTTAGTGTGTTGTGCTAACGTAGAGGACGGATGACGGCATCGGCAGAGAATCTCCAACAGTCCGATCTCAAGTCCCCGAGATCGACTTGACTGTCGTCCACAGCGATGTGATGGATCAAGTGTAAGAACTCACAAAAACACAATGTGTTCCTTCTAGGGCACTTATGCAAGCCGGTTCTAGCGCAGTTCTGCCCTGTTCATTACTGCCGGAAGAGGCAGCCGTGTGCTGTCGGTCTAACGGACGCTAGTGTGCCAGTCGCCGAGCATATGTCAGTCGTCCGCGTAAAAAGATTCAGATGACCATGAACATGAACTTGAACTTGAACTTGAACTTGACCGCATCCCATGGCCTAAGATCTTTTGTGACTTTCGCCTACCTACATGTCACTGTGTGCTATCTTCCTTTTCGTATATGAAAATTGAACATCTATACACACTCGTCTGCACTTGTCTTTCACGTCGCTCTGTGCTGGGCCCGCGCTCACCTATCTAACAATCCTGATTGCTGTGCAATTACAGCTACCTACAGAAACGTTCCAAGGGAAAGACTCGTCTCATCTTCTACATACCATACACTATGCAGCTCATTCCGCCACCACAACCTCGAGAGCTATTACCGCCTCTTCTCGCCTGCCTTCCAACCGCATTTGTTTCAGAACGACCTCCTCCTGCCTTACTACCTCTCCTATCACCTATCCTACGTCAACGTGTACAGTTTATGCCCTCGGGCACACACTCAGAAGGATCATGGTTGAAATTACTGAACTGGGATGCTCAAAGAGCCTCAAAGCTCCCATCCATAGTGGAGAGCATGAGTTTAGAGCCACACCCGGTGTCTGGTGAGATTGAGCTTGAAGATGTCGATGATGTCAAGTTCCGACGGCTGGACAGCGAGACTCTCCATGCCCGTTTAGACTTGTCAGAGTTCAGACTTGTCCCCATATTTCTATGGGTAACAGGCGATGAAGCAGGCGGTGGAGATGGCTGGCGACTCACAGAGTTACGCTCCCTAGAAGACAAAGAAGATGGATCAGCCTGGTTCGCCAGTGCCACGGAAGCAACAGTAAACGCTGACTCCTCTTCACTCTATCCTCCTCCAAACCACCACCCAGATACCTCTCTACAACCTACATCTCCAGCCCCAAAGGATGAGGACGACGAAGATGACTATTGGGCTTCATACGATCGTACACCTGGCCGTACACCTGCGAAACTCTCCCCTGCACCCAACGCTCGTGGCCCTTCTAATAATTCCACCCTACAAAGTTCTCGAACATCCGAACTCGAATACTTCGCAAGGTATGCAAATGAGGTCCAGCCCGCGATGGATCCACACGATCCAGATGAAGAGGTTCCTGACGCCCCACCATCGACACTGAACCACCACGCACCTTCTCACTCCGCATACCACCCGCCGCAGTACGAGCCGGTCGAGACTAGCAACATTGGACGCCATGGATATGATTCCAGCATGCCCCACGCCTATGATGGCCTTAGTGATGAGCATCAAATTCCGCAAGAGCCTACGCCCGTAGCGACGCCTTCGCTCTCTCAACCCCGCCCCATATCCCGCGGTAGTTCTGTGGGCAGCATCACTAAGCTTGAGGAGCAGGCAGCCAAGCAGGCGCAGGCTGAGGTGGCGGTCAAACAGCACATTGGAACGGATATCAAAAGCCTGTTCAGGTTGGCAAAGAGCGTTGGGATGGACAGAGGCGAGTTCGAGAGGATTGTCACAACAGAATTGGAGTTATTGGGGATGATGGAAATGGACGAGTGAGGGAGAATTAGGGGCCCAGAGGCGGGAGGGAAGGAGAAAATTTGATGCGTATATGTAAAGCTCAGGGGTAGTGAGCGCTGCAGGAAAGCGAAAGCTGAGTTCGATCAATTCCATTTGCAGCATTTTCTCCCGGCGTGGAAGGTTCTTTCTGGCGTTTAGCGGTCGGGCCGTGCAGGCACACCTACTTCTCTTGATGTATATATTGCCTTGATAGCGAATCTAGCATATAAGAACGTTTCTAGTCTGACCACAGAATTCCATCCTCATTCTTTCCGCCCCGTACGCCTGCAATTTATCTCCATCGAATAGCGCGGCTTTATGTAGCCTTATGCGTGAGTGAGTTCTGATACTAACGCAAAGCTGCAGTGCGGAAAATACGTAATTTGCACCTTTTCCACATTAGTAGAAGCCAATGCTATTATGACGCGACGCATAACATATGTTATTTGTGCTCTAGACAAGCCCTCAATTGAAGCTACACAGTGTCTCTTGCACAAATCGGCTGGCTCCCGCGAATTGACTTGGCCCTTCGCAAGAGAGCACGCACACATATTTTTCTATCACGCCTTTCTCCGCACTCTACCACCCGGAGTCTTCACGCCGCTCGCGCCCGCGTCCTCGATCACACTGCCTCGTCCAATGTCTTCCACTACGTTGTTCGGGTCCTGTGCGCCGACGAGCGGGATGGACGCGCATAGCCATTGCTGGAACGGCTTGGCGATAAAATAGCCATCTGCGGTGAACCACTGCGAGAAGGGCGCAGCTGGGGTCAAGCACGTCGGCTTGCCGGATTTGGGGGTTATTGTGACGGTGAGGTTGTAGATTGGGGTGTGTTTTTTCGTGGATGACGCTATGGAGATCTGGAGGCGGGGAAGTTAGTATCTAGGGAATTCAAGAGATGGAGGATGCGTCAACTGCTTCGACTATGTGTTAGTTTACCGGGGAGGCAAAGTGTACCTTTTCACCCGTCTTCGCGACGCCTTCGAAGATGAGTCCCTTCTCGACTGCCCATATCCAGTATGTGAATGCGGAGTTGAGGGTGAAGTATACGAGGACGGCCGGGAGGGTGTACGGTTTGGAAACTGTCCAACCTTGTTTCCAGTCGAGCCAGAAGAGAGCGCCGGCGATTAAAACGGCGACGTAGCCTAGGACTAGACGGACATCTGACTTTGTGTGTGTTTGAGTGAAGTGGATAGGGGAGTGTGTGAGATAGACCGGGAGAGCATCATCGGTGGTGTTCTTGAGGTCTATGGAGCAATGTCAGTGAGGTCTGTAAACATGTACATATGAGGCTATTTGGGCAGAAGCTTTGGTTGGAAGGTGGTATGCACAGAAATGGATGTGACATTATGCGAATGTTTGGCTTACCTGCTAGAGAATGGACGGCAATTTTTGTCGTTGCAGACATCTTCGAATATCAAAGACACGTTCAGGTAGAGCCGGGTATGCAAACGCTCTTTGATTTTTTGTAAGTCTTGCGGAAATGCAAAGCGCATGAGGATGATGAGATGTGGCCGAAAGCTGGGCGATAGCTTAGCCTCAGGCATCAAGAAAGGCTTCAAGTAGCCATGGTCCGAGCTCTCGTCCTTGAAGCTTCACGACCTCGACGTCAATCGCACTCTTTAGCAATTATTCAAGGCTTGACAGCAACTGCAGCTGTTCAATTCTTCTACCATGGGGCAACCAGTAGTCCAAACGATCCAAAGGGATCCGGCGCTCTTGTATGCAATCCTCTCAATTATCTTCTCCTGTAGAGACAATCGCCTAACAACATCTTTAGCTATTGGATCCTGTTACCTATCACTGTCGTCATGGTATGAGCTCGTATATTCCCATCTACAGGGCCTTTGTACTCATACTTCCCAGATACTTACCGGGATTCTCCGCCACTACGCCACCATACTCCTCCAGAGCACGCCTAAGAAACAACCTCTACCCAACGTACGACAACACCGATCGCTGATACGAGGAGTGAACCTACGGCAGAACGGTAACCAGCTGTCACCGTCTTCTTTTCAAAATCGACGCGCCCAAATGGTGTCAGACTTCAAAGAGGGAAAATTCCTAGCAGATCCCGAGGGCAGAGGGAAGCCACGCCCGAACCCTATGACAGACCCCGCGGCCATGGAAGGCATGATGGGAATGATGAAAGGCCAGATGACTATGATGATTCCACAGACTTTGATCATGGGGTGGATCAATGCCTTCTTTTCGGGCTTCGTTATAAGTAAGTCCTTCACAATGTCAAGCGTCAATCGATTGCACTTCGCGCGTCCAGTTCGATTACGGACGCATACACATGCGTCTACTTCACGGGAAATTAGCAGTGTTAGGACGCTTTGAGAGGCCTCAGTTTTTGTTCCTTGTGCTGGCACTTTGTTGGAACGTTCATGGCTAATGACGCCGTGTCTACTTTTGTTTCCATCACATTCGAAGACGCTAACACCATACCGAACAGTGAAACTCCCCTTCCCTCTCACGCCGCAATTCAAGTCAATGCTGCAATCGGGGGTGGGTACTCGCGACCTCGACGTCAGATGGGTCTCCAGTTTGTCATGGTATTTCCTAACATTATTTGGCCTTCAGCCTGTCTACAACTTCATCCTCGGCAGTAATAATTGTAAGTTCCCAGAATAGCTCTTTCTCATCACAGTGTGCCGATTGGTACTCGGAAGCGTCGAAACCGTTATTGAATGTCGCTGATCAACCTTTCTAGCTGCCAATCAAGTAACGCAGCAGATGGCACAAATGAATCCTAATCCTGGCGCTATGGGTCCGGACCAGGATCCGGACAAGCTATTCCTCAATGAAGCGGAAAACCTTGAAGTGATGGAGCATCGCTGGATTCTAGACGGGGTTGAGGATCGAATACTGGCACAACTCGCCTAACGGGCCTTTTCTCCGCGTTACGGCCGAAAGTCGTTGATAGACTAGAACAGTGGACCATTCCGGATACTGGCACGTTTATCTCGTGAAAACTTCCCCGCTGCACGGATCTCAATATAGCTACGGCGCTCTTGTCTGATCAGGAAACGTGGGGGTTTGTTTATCTTGTAATGGGCTCTGATCAGTACGAGCCGGGCTATCGGATACATGTCTACAAGACCTAACTCATGTTGGCCAAGCACCAAAGTACTTATTTGGAGTAGGATTGATTGATGAAGCTGCTGAATGGACTGAGGACGACGCTAAGCGAGGCGACCCGCGATGATGTTATGTGCACATGGGACACCACGAAATGTCAAACTATACTGCAGCAGTGGAATGGCCGGCTACAGAGAAAGGAATAGATCTCCACAATCCAACGATGCTAGGCTCTGAACCGTAGTGATCCTGAACTTAGAGCTGGTGCTAAGCGCCCGTACAACGCTTAATGGGTGACGGCAATGAAGGATGGGTCATAGTCGTTAGAATCACAAAATCTTGGCCTTTTTGAAAGTGCTTATTTATAGATCATCTTACTACCACGGTAGATCCTAAGCCTGGACAGGACTAAGTAACAGATGATGGCCTGACCGGATAAGAAGCACGATTTTGACCAGTATCCTCTTTCTATGACCGAACTAGGACTTCCTTGGACATGTAAATGACTATTATCCTGATTGCCGTAGCAGAGTTTGTCGCTCTCTTTGTGCCTATAGCCAATATCCATTCTGCATGGGTTGCCTTGCTCATATTGCGCCCGTTGCCAACGTTCCGCAGTCCGTGCATCATTCACAACTTGACCTTGCATTTTGAAAAATCCCGGTACATGGCTATCCCAGGATGTTCCGGAGTCGACATCAATTACCTAGAACCTGGTATCGGCACTTCAACACCTTGCCCAGCTGAACAGGGTTGGATCGAATCTGCATCATGGACGTGCACAGCCTCTTCTTTAATGCTCTCTGCGAAAGGAATCATGGACAAGTTGCCCTAGGGGAAGCGTTGGATATCGGTTGTGACTTGGTATGACGGCAGAGAATCGCCGCTTTGGGTCAGTCAGATATCGCGATGGCCTGATGGCACGCGATCACTGATAGAAGGTAGTGGTTATGGACGCATTGCATGCTCCTGAATACCACAGGTACTGGTCTGACGGTTCGTGTAAACATCTTCTCGATAAGCTTGTGGTCATCTATCTTTATGTTATCATCATTATAGTATTATATCATGTGTACATGAGTTGAATAAAATATTATAGATTGGTTCCTAGACACATATTACGAGCCAATATCAAAAGTGTTGTCTATACCTATCTTCTACTATCTATCGCAATTCATAATGAGTGCTAAGATCGTAAAAGGCCCGTCTATCATTACGAAAGATTAGATGTTCACAAGCCACACTAAGTTGCATCTTACGCAGCCTCCATGACCGAATGCCGCCCGCTGCCTTGTTGATATCGACAAGTACTCAAGGCGTTAGCAAAGCAAACTCGCAGAGGGCCTGTTCGCGAAAGCGCACGTATGAGCCTAGAATGCAGTGAAAACACCGAGCACCACCGAGCACCACCGATCTCCGTCGGCGAACAGGACTTTGTGCAGAGAGGCATGTAACTGATTCTGCCATCCTGTTACTGCGAGGTCAAGCTAACTTCTGTTGAGCAGAGTGAGTGCTCTGCCATCCAAGGACCGGGAGCAATCCTGTAGAGCAGAAACTCCGCTCAACGATGAACACCTAAACGTGTCTCTCAAAAATCAGCCACGGGTGTCTCCAGACTCCACCGTTGGTACGCTAGACCGTCGAGAAGCATAATCTTGCGACGGGATCACCCTATCTGAGCCCATCGTACTGAGGGAAAGAACGAACATGGCCAAAGAAATATCTTGAGCCCAACACAATAAGTTATCGGCCTGTAAGGAGGCAGTCAAACCCTTTCCCTCGGCATAAGCGATCGAAGTCGGCCTCCTTCACGGCGAGTTCCAGTACACCAAGCGACCAAATGCTGAGAGAGGAGAATGCGGCACCACATCAGGACTCAGATCATAAGCTCCTACTTAGAATCAAGGGCAATTCTATGCCCAATGGCTTAGGTACGGATAAAGAGAGAATTATAGTAGATAGCAAACATCTTTACCAGACCTTGCTATGGACGGGCAAATCTTCCTCCAGAGTCCGCTATTTGACAATGATATATATTGAGCAAAACTTGCGACATGATAGTTGCCGAAATGAAGCAAGAATGACTCAAGATATCGTTGATTAGTCTTTCAATCAGCCCAGACTCTGGCTACTGATAGCGCCAGACTCAAATATCTCATTGAAAGTGTGAATGAAAGCTGGAGTACCGCCATCTCCTGGATTGGCATTCGTCTGAGCCTGGCTACCGAGTGGAATTCAAAAGAGAGACATCTACAGAAGATCCACTTGACAATATTTCCCCTTTCATTGGCGACCGATCCTTCTTCATGGCCACGTAATATATGTATTTACAGTTTCTGTCGTGAGAATCCAGATGCGGCGATACAGCATTTGATGCCACAGACCGGCAGAAGACTCAAGGTACGACTCTTGCAGTAAGGGCTATGATCAAGCTTTTCATCTACGTCAAGTGTTCCACCGGAAAATCCAGGCCTTCCCGATCTCCCACGACAGCCGATCAGTGAGAATCTGCAGCCATTACCCATTGATCAAAGGAGTAGACACTACCCATTACCGCTACCCTATCCGCACCTTCGACTTCATACCATTCAAAGGAAAGAGAAATGGTTCGCATGTAAGTTCACCAAGAACGACTATGATGGATAAATGCCGAAGCACTTGGGCGCGATCTGCTCTGCCATCGACGGATTCCCGTATGATGTCAACGACGGAGTCCCGTTACTTTGAGAGGAATGAGATGGGAAAAGCAAGCGCTGAGTGCGTTGTGGGCTCAATCTGTCTACCATTTGACCCTCTACTGCGCACGTGTGGTAGACAGATGCAGATGATCTGTGCCTCACTAGAGATAGATTCTATAATCTATTTCTTCGATGAATACGTTCATCAGGCTAGGTATCTCTGACAAGCTGAACAACTCGGAGGCGGAAAGATCGAGAGCAAGAGGAATAAAGGGTCATGTTTGCGGCCATGGCTATTTCGGTGTACATAGCATCGAGCCTAGAAGCATCTGAGAGGCTGATAAGCTTCGTAGGTTACGAAATCGTGCACAAAGTGATGAATCGATGATCGATTTTGGAAGCACATGCGTTGACTCTCATGAGCATAGGTTCATTGGAGTACATACCCACCTCACGGGCGCTTATGTCGACAACGCTATCATGTCTTCATTCAAGACTTATGCTGCTGTTAAATCTAGCTGAATTGTGCGTGCGTACCTGTCAAGGCCATTCTCTGACCATTTAATTCATGCAAGATCAGAACATGACTAAATATATCTTCGAATAAAATATTGCCGTTTGACGCCCAAGGATACGAAGACCGAAAATGAGCACTCATCTAGTACGTTCCCCACGGTGTGCATCTCGCTCACACGCCAAAATAGATATCACACAAGGGATATGACGAGATCCGTGTACTGATGCTATCGCTAAAAGCTTTTCATGCAGTCACCCTGCTTTTGAAGTTTGAAGAAACCTTTTAATAGGTCAAACCTAGCCATAGTAAGATCAGATAGTTGACTATAAGCTAAGTAATTCACAAGTATGCAAAATGAATCAACGAGAACGCCACAGAGGTGATAGTTGCATATAAATAGCTGGCTTCACGGAGCCAGGCTGCGTACCATCTCTTTGGATGTGATACCACTAACTGAGTGTAGAGATAGCTCCGAGGACAAGGCGTGTACTGATGATGAATAAGGCTAGATTGTATGACGCTGTATTCACTACACTGTATTGAATAAGGTCCTTAGGTACCGAGAGACAGACACTGGCGCTCACCAATGCCGTCGTAGAAGCCCTGCTGCACTGCCTCGCCCAAAGCGGCACAGCAGAAGGAGAAGCAAGGAGTGTGGCGTGAGGAGTATTAGCAGTAGTAATTGTGACGAGGCTTGAATAGTGATGACTACTAATTACCAAGTCTTGTCCCGAGTCCCCACGAAATCCCCGCAGAGGGAGAGAGGGAGAGGACGCGCCGTTCCGACTCCGAGACGACCAACCTGGCAAAGCCAGACTCCTGAATCACTACTATGCTATGTATGTATGTATGTTCGGCAGCCAGGCGGGATCTGGATTAGCTAGCGCATGCGGCAGTCCCGCCCCCGTAGAATAAAAGCGTCGGCACTAATTCGGCCGAAGGTCTGTCGCTATTCTTGGAGACGTCAACACACCACATAGACCTCTTCCAAACCCTCTCCCCATTATTGACTCCAACCCCCCTCCCACACACCCACCACACACATACCCCCCCAAAGTACCCCCCCCCCCCCCCAAAAGTACCCACCCATACATCTCCGCTATTATGACAAGCAACTCTTACCTGGCGATCGGTTCCTAGTTCTGTATAGCTCGGACGGGGAGTGCCCTCACCCATTCTCCAGCTCTCATGCTTTATGGCCCCAAGCGAAATTCGTATGGCGCGAGATTGCAGACACTCTTTCACTGCCGCCCATTTGCTGACTGCACACGGCTGGTTGTCCTGACCGATCAGTCTCATAGACCATACCATTTCCAGCCTGACGGTGTATCCAATCACCTATCCAATCACTCCACACACTACCTCAACACCCACCGTCATGTTGATGCTTTTCCGCATTTACTCTCTCTCTCGCTCTCTCTTCGCGTCTGGTCCTCAATTTAGCACATGCTCGCTCGTCCGTGTGCCTATTCTGCTGTGCCGCACTTGACATGTTGGCTTCTCTTCAGCTCCTGAAACATGTCAAGCCACCTTCCAGATATGGCGTTTGAGATGTATTTTTCGGCTCATCACTATCACAGACGGACTTGTGGTGCGGCGCATCTTGGGGATGCGCATGTATCGCGCACAGATCACGAGGTTGCTATATTGCCGTCGAAACATGCAGATCCCAGAACCACACCCATACCCACACCCTAGTATCCACGACTGACTCGCGTGCCCATAGCAATCCATCCTCACTAGGTACCCTACTACCCGTTACATTGGGGTCGAACAGAGCCGTCATAGTCTTTGCCTTGCTGTGGGCTCATCCGACTTGGATGAAGCCACACACACACTGAAGGAAATTACTAGTGTGTGTCCTTTCCTATGATGGGATACCAAGACTCCAGCTCCATACTCTCGATTCAGCAAGGAAATCCTTTTGTTTCTGCTCTAAGCTACCTCTCAGTTGACCTTCGGAGTGCCATGATCGATTGGCGCCCGATCATCACGACAGCTCCCGCTCTGGTGGGCATACCTAGCACGCACAGAAGTCGTATGCAGGTGTTTGAGGTAGGCGCACAAGCCACTCCCTCTTGACCGGAGGCATCTAGAGCAGGGGTCTATGGCCTGGCTTGCTCGAGTCCCTAACGGATGCATTCATACCAAGCCTGCCCTGACTTGTGTGCTCTTGTGTGAGGCTCTGCGAGACTGGACGTCGTCCCTCGGGCCTGTTGTTGCTTAATGTTATATGGTAACCACCGGGCACCCACCAGGCTCCTACGACATCGATCTCCACCTCTACTGGCGCAGCATACACACTGCATATATTGCATCAGGTCTTGTATGCCCGCGATTCTGACCCCTTACTTCGCCTCGTTTTAGCTTTCTGCCTTCTTTCACTAAGCACACCTTACCCCCACGAAACCTTTGGGTAGCTCTCCTACCATTTAACAAGCATAGGTCGCCTGACCCGGTCAGTTGAGTTTCAGGCACCTATATACAGCACCATATATACCAAACCTCCTATTAGGCCTTCTCATTCCTAGCAGAACGACTGTCTTTGTCGACAGCCGTCTAACTATTCCGACGTCAATACGACGCCTTCAGGCATTCAGTTTAACAAAGAGCTTCCGACAGCTTGCACTTAAGCCATGGCCTATGTAAGCCCTCATGAAATCTCGATAACAAACGCACCATGGTCCAGTCGGGACACCGAAATCTACACCCAGGAGCAGTATGCATATTACAGATCAATCAATATCGACAATCATGACATTTTGCCACACTCCAGCTTCGAACAAGTGGCACCATTGATTGATTTCTATCAATCCTGCCCCAGCAGACAGCAATTAATGCCAGCTCCATACTGTGAAGAGCCTCACGAGACAGCAATTAATGCACCATGGCCAGGATCAGTTGACGAATTTCAACGCCAAGAGTCGCCCGATAGCTCGATATTTTCTAGCAGTTCCAGCCCACATGCTCCAGGGGAGATATCGCCGCGCATACATATTGTCTCATACTCATACGGAAGTTCAGCTACGCAGCTACCGCAAAATTTATCGCATCAGCACCTCTACAAGTACGAAGAGCATGTCTCAAAGTGGAGGTGTGGCGGTGGAGATTCTGTCATTGCTCTCAACCAAATCCAGCGCGTTGCGGACGAGCAAGACGTTCCTGTGAACGTTGAATGTCTGGACGACTTTAGTAATGGAACACACCCACTCACATACAAGGCTGAATCATACGAATACGATCTCGATCTTAGGTACGTGCCAGATCGCGAGGACTCTGGAGTGGGCGAGTCCATTCGTGACGCAGAGTCTGTCATTTACGCGTCGGAGAAGGAATCTAGTTCAGAGGATGACAAGGAATATACCCCTCGAAAGAGGCAAGCAACGTTTCGCAGGCGTGGCGGATCTCAAACAAGTAGTGGGAGCACACTTTCGAGACCTACAAACTCAACTACTCGCTCTCCTGCAGGCAGAAAAAGAGATGTCCAGACCAGTGCTGGGCACAAGCGGAAGCGGCGTACACCTACCCCGAGCGACCTAAAGCCCAAGCCATTCACTTGCTGCCTTTACAAGTATGGCTGTAAAGCAACCTTTCCGACCAAGAACGAGTGGAAGCGTCACGTCGCCACAAAGCACATACAGGCCAACAATTGGCGCTGCGACATTTGCATTGTCGGCATCGTTGATGGCATGGAACGTTACAACGACTTCAACAGGAAGGATCTATTCACGCAACATCTACGCCGAATGCACCGCGAAGGTACTAAGAACGGCGTCGTTCCAACTAAGGAAAGCGGAATTCCTCCAGTCACAGACGAGACTATGGGGCAGCACCAAGAGCGCTGCCATAGTACAGTGCGCAGGCAGCCAGAGTGTTCGGAATGCCTCTTCTGCTCTACCACATTCCAGGGTGAAGGCTCCTGGGAGAAACGCATGGAGCACGTGGGTAAACATCTCGAGGAAGACAGAACGCTCGGCAAAGACCCCACAGGATGGCGGCCTGACGCCAGACTTGAGAAGTACCTGGAAGAGGAGGGTTTGGTCGAGCGACGTGGCAATAGCTGGGTGCTTGGGGATGGAATTACCAGGAGAGAAGAGCTTGACGACGAAGAAAGTGAGTCTGACGCTGATGCCGATGGCGAAGAAGATCACGGAGACGCCTAGTGAAGGCTACGCGCCCATACTTTTTTTCTCTATCATATTTCGGTACCATTTCTCCTTGTTCTGCCTGTTTTGAGCATCGCATTTACGACGACACGACGGTTATAGATGACCGACTAGCACCTACAATGGCTGGTTTGAACGGGTACCTACGTCGGGCAACGACCTGGGTGGGACACCCAATGAGGCTTTCACTTTACCACTATATAACCCTTTTTTCCTATACCCCGATCGACATAGATCTCACTTTTTATTCTTTACGGCTGACAGCACATTTGCCACATTCTTATCCGCAACTTAACATACTTTTTTCGGTACTGTCATATAGCTGTCTCCAACGAGAAGCATCAACCACTCATTTAGTACTGTAAATGACGGAGCTATGTTTGGCTAGGAAAACTTCGTGGTTGTTGTCAATGTACAATGTAATATGACTTGCCTCCTGTAAAGGAGACAATGCTGTCACGGGGAGAGTTGCACAAATCAATATTCTATCCTCGTCATTATCCCTACCTAAACACTTTAAAAGACCTCTCTCCACACGTCTCATCTTCAGGTCCCGATGGCGTGACGCGAGATTCACGATAGTAGGCAATCTATCGGATCTTCCCAGGTCCGTCACACTCTGTATCGTCTGCTGATGGAGAGAGGACAGGCTCCCTGCCTGACGCCTGTATGGGCTGCTTTACTCTGACGTCCTGTAGTGCGGCGTACCGCTCAGTCGGCAACGTGCAGGAGCGAATAGCTGGATCCCCGGGACAGTGTGTGACCCTATAATAAAACCACTACCCTGTCGATTCACCTAGTCAAGAGGCCATGGGGAAGCGAGGCACTAAAGGAAACGGCTATCGTGCGCCGCAACGTCGTGCCCGCGCTCGCCATGCGGCCCGTGCTTGCACATTCATGTAGGTGCTGATTGGGTGACTAGTAATGAGAGCTGTGAAGAAGTCTGGTATTGCGATGTGTTAATTTTTAGTGCTTGGATGTTCGTTTTTGCGATGGCTAATACTCAAACCGCACTGATATTTGCCCATGAACATCACCGATCTGCTGTGGGACGAAAGGAAATTGATGGCATGATTGCCGTTCTCCATGTTGAGTAATTCCAGACTGGCAGAACCCACCCCAGATGTTGTGGATCACTTACAGAGGTTATCCTGGCCCTCTTTGCTTTCTCTAGCCATTGTGGCTGGTTTTCTCTCCATCTACGGCCGCCCGCATGTATCATCATGAGGTTCACGCATGCCAGTCAATCTATGCCAACGTCGAGCACCCCCCCTTCCCTAGGCTGCCAGACCCGACAGCACACAACACGGAGCGGGCCCATCCTAGATCCCTCCCTTTGCCGCCGAAGCATGGCTAGTGATTAATGTTCCTAGTTGTGAACTGCGCCGCACTCGTGCCTTAGTCTGTCTCTTCATCCTGCCAAGCAAACCTACCCCCCCCCCTCTCGGCCTCTCTCCCTTTTCCTTCAACCTTCTCATCAAGTTCGACAATAAACATCATCCACGCAGTACCATCTCCAGTATTCAGCCCTCGCCGTTCTGCTCTATAATAGCCAGCATACCCCCCCTCCCCAAAGAACCCGCGATCGGCAGTGAATTGATTAGTAGACGCTGTAGGATCACCATATTCCCCTATCACCCCCCTAGAATGCCGTAACCTTCCCGGAGCCGGTTCCTGCGTTTTGTGTGGCGCTCGTCCTAACAAGCCAATCATTAGTCAGAAAAGTCGTTGCGAAGAAGGTTTGCTATCCTGCGTGTGCGGGAAATGAGAGTCACCATGCTTGCTTGCTGGCTTCGCGTTTGTGCGCGCGCGCTTCATGCCGCAGTGACGAGCGCCAGTCGGAGGAGCTTGCCGGACGCCGTTGTTCTTGCGCACGTCTGTCTGTCTCAGTTGTTGGGTCGAGATGCAGTTTTGGAGGCTCTTCTGATTGCTATTGCGTAGGTTTCTCCATGCATCTCCGCAAGGTAGGTGATACCATCCATGTGTATGCTCAGTGTTCACCACGGATCGAGGCATCAAAATGCTCATCATCAGCATCAGCATCAGCTTCAGCAAGTCGTCCCGTCCCGTCGCTGGCGCTGATCTTGCGACGACGGCGACTGCACGACGACACCCACATGACACCGTCGAGTTCCAATTTTGGAGACGTGCATTGCCTTGCATGGCGTGTGGTATGGTGCAGATGGAGATGCAAATGCAGATTTCACATGCTTGTATGGGTGTTGGTTGGATTCGTCTATCTGTCTATCTGTCCGTCTAAGCCGCACACAGAGCCCAAGCTAGCATCAGCCAGGATACACATCGAGAGCATGCAGGAAGCAGTATCTCATCTAATCAGCGTCCATGTCCGCGTCCTTGGGGCCGGCCTCCGCTTCCGCTTCCGTTTTCCGCCATCCTCACCGGCTGCATTGGGTGTGACGGTGTGGGGCTGGGGCTGCAAGTAGCCGTGATGTGCTGTTGTTTTGTGTCGTGTCGTGTCGCGTCGTGTTGAGTGAGAGCATGATTCGGGTCTTTGGTGTTGTGGAGAAGTGAGAGTGGAGAGTGGAGAGAGGAGATGGATTCTTCATGCCTTACCTTAGGGCTCGTCTATCATCGACGTTTGACGTTGAGCACCATGAGCACAGCCACCGTTTACTAGGCCCCCGCATGCTTAGCATTGCGATGACTGATATTGATAGCAAATAGCTAGGTACTATGATTTAGATAAGTTGGCTGAAGTGCAGGGTAGAAGCTTGTAGTAGAGCAGGCGATAGTCGATGATTGAGACGCGCATTGGTGCTTCCGTCGACTCGTATACGCCGAAGTGAATGTCACTATTGACATCTTGTTGATACTGATAGCAGGGGCTTGGTGGATTAGTATGGGGTGTACCCATCTGCGGGGTAGTGCGTGCTCAGATCTGCCGGGCCCGTGCTTCGGACTATGGGCCTGTAGGTGGAAACTAGGGACTTGCTGGCATTGGAACGAGAACGAATGTTTGTTGTCATCAGTGTCACGTCAAGTCACCATCCATTCATCTCCGATCTTCAATCAACATCACCGTCTCTATTTCCGTCACTGTGTGTCTGTTTACACTTGCTCTGTCTGATGCCTTCCCATGTCTGCCATCGGCTTGCACTCACTAGATCCGACTGTGCCTCACAGCCTCCACCACCCTGTCCCGGCCGTGTATGAAACAATAGTCTGCGCGTCCACTTACTTGCTCACTGAATTCCTCTTCTTCCTTTCCTGTTGTCATCGATCATTATGATAGTGCATCGTCGGCTCCGGAAACGGCTCCTTCCTGCTATCTCGCCTCGTCTTTTTTGCGGTTGTACATGTATCGTCACTCCGCTGACCGATTATGCAGGCCTGCATGGATGATGTCCTAGAACACCGACAATATTTTCTACCGTCTTACACCTTGATCGTTCACGTAATGCCCTGCTGTCGAGCTCACTCAGACCGCTTCTTGCTTGATCACAACTGTCGATCGCCGTCGGCCACGTCCTCCCAAGCGCCGGCCTCTGTGGTCGCCCCCTTTACCCCAGCGCACAACGCATACCATGATCCTGCAAATCTGATGGAGCTGCTCAGCGACCAGGCTTCACCAGCTCCCTGACAAGATCATTCTGTACTGAGCCGAAACTTGTGTCTTGCTGACAGTATGTGTGTCTGTCCATCAAAGTGGCACGCACGCCTACTTGCCCCCCGGTGAATCATATTGAAAACAAAACACGTGCCTTCATCATGCCCCCACGCAGCACACAGCACGAAGCAGAGAAAGTGCCCTACACTGGCCATGTCTGCTGATGCCGATAGGACCTGGTAGCGTTTCTTTCAAACAACGGTTCACGCAGATCCCAGACCCGCCCTCCCGCATCTATAATTACCAGCATACCGCTCCTTGCTTCCCCCTTTCCTTTCCAGGTCATCCAGGCAGAATTCAGGCATCTCAATTACCCTAGAGATGACCACGCTGGTCATCATCGCTGGGATAGGACGTCGCCGACCTTACGCAACAGGAAGGTCGTCAGGCTTCCTTACGTCGAACATGTGCTGTGCTATGTTGTTGATCGGACCCTGGTAGCGGAAGACTCCCCCCAGTTCCGTTCCGCACCCTCGCGACCCTTGTCTGCACCGTGTAATGCTTTCGCTTCACCATGGCTTGGATGCGCCTGGAGATACTCTACCCGACCAATCAGGGCGCGTTATTTGGAATTGCTCTATGGCTGAGCTGGCAAGCGCGCCCTCTTACGCCCTCTTTCTTGATCCATGCTGTGCCACTGTTCTTTGGGCATGATTCGGGCCCTGCTGCCTGGGCCGAGTGTTCTGGGCTTGTGGAGAGTCATCCTCATGTCCTGCTGACTGGATTGGGCTTGAGTGGAGCTCGCATGTCCGTCTCGTTCGTGCTCGCTAGAGAGATGATGGCATTGACTTGGATTCGGAGGCAGCTTTTTGCGGGTCGATTGTGGTACTTTCGAGTCACGGATTGCACTGCTCGCATAGACTGACTGTTCTTTGTCTTGTCTGTCGCTCTTGTTTGTGTTTTTGACTTGGTTCATCTTTACGTGCGGAAAATCCGGTGCCATACCATGGACTGTCTAGGCCTTGTCAACGGCAAATGTTGCACCGAGGTCTCCTCGCGCCTTTGTATACGGTGCTTCGAGTTTTCTATCTACCATTGTACTCTATACCTATAAGATATTATCAACCCTTATTGTCTTCGTCATTGCTGTATTGCTCGTAGACTGAGTTGGTGATGATTGCTATAATCACCACGAAAGAGCATGCGAATAGTCTTATTTTCCATTCTCGTTGCTTATCGAACCATGTGCAAGCACTCATCCGTTTCCTGACCCATCCTGCGCATTTCCACGCTGGTTCGATGGCTTGATTTGCGACTTATACATCTCTCTCCTATAACTCATAATAATTATAAGTCTTCTCTGCTTCACTCATCTATTATAGGCTTAATGAGCCTATCTCGCGACTCGGAAGTAGCAGTGATTTCTACACTATTTTTCGAAGTTATGTACATATACTGTTATTTTTTTTTTCGATTTCTCGCTTCCTCTTTTCATTATATTAGTGACGCGCATGGCTCACAGCGTCGACCAAGTTGGAGCGTATACTGATCTATTCATGTATGCCGAACTCTTCAAGCAATAATCTCTACAAAGAACCCTAATCTCATCATAGAATTAAGAACTACTCTAGCCAATGTCATCTTACCGTCACTACTATACGACCAGCCCTCTCCGGACGACACATACACTTACCTATAGATTACTGAAAACAGATCAAGGAGACGAAGAGTACCAAAAGCTTGATTTTAAGATATTACTTATAGTAGATGGAAGTCCATGACGATATGTTCCTTCAGAGACTACCTGAGTCAATTCACATGGCACATAAGAGAAGTCTTTACATAGCATACAAAGCGGCGATACATCCCATTCAATGCATACAGCCGACGATAAGAGACCTGGACTACTACCACGCAATCTGGACCTCCCACACTCGTAACCGACGTCTTTTCTCCTATGCCATCTACGACAATCGCTGTGAGGTGTCGATATGCCCTCCTCCACAGCGGTGCTGTCGTTGAGTCTGACTAAAATGGACGTCCTCGACGGACTATGCCTCTCCCTTCCCCTATAGAACTGCACATCGACACAGAGTCATAGCTCTCTTACTACAAATCAACATCTCCGCAAAATAAGGGCGTTTCTAGGTAGTCTCATATCCGACTTTGACTACCCATGGCGCCATATCCTACGAAACCACTATAGCACAACAACATTCCGCGTCCTAATAAGGGCAATCATCAGACCATCCCTTGATCGACTTTGGGACCCACCAAAACACTGGTAGCCACCTTGCATATCTATATCACGCATTTACCTACCTAGGAGCCAATGAGTGCTCATAATCGTGTGCGTTGCTGGTAGTTGGGCTGTGGTTTGTCAGGACGTATGAGAAGAGGATATGTGAGAGAGACCGGAAACATGCATCTTGCCAGCCATGCTGTAGCGTTGGAGTGGAACCATGGACGGATGAAGTGTAGGTGGTAGTAGTAGTGGTTGTGAAGTCGTGAGGGTGGTGGACATGTACCTGTCTATGAAGGAAGTACATAATCTTAGCAAAAAGTGAATAGGCTCGTAATCATAATCTCCTTTGTATAGTCTTCTGCTAAAAAAACACAGAAATCTCTTTTCCTATCCTCTTCCTCTCTGCTTCCATAACTCAAATCACACTATCTCTCCCCCTCTATCTATCTCTCTAACTCCCTGTCCACATCCACATCTCACCTACTCTCTCAGTATCATCCCCTTAAGCGTCCCTTCAACTACAGGTACCGCCATTGTACCACTCTACCATGCAGGTACAACATCCTATGCTGCATAGGTGACCATATAGATAGCACAGATGCCTTTTTGCAAGATAAGGTAAAGCTGTAGATATCCAGGGTTTGACGTAAGAACAAAGGCTTGAAAACTTGCGGGGAAAAAAACGAATAACTTCAAACAGACGTATGAGCAGTGGGAAGATAAAGGCATGCAGACTTATGCATCACACTGCATCAGTCCTAAGAGCTCATATGTCACTCGCATACCGCATGGGCCGGGTACTTCCCGTGGAGACGCCTCATACGTGCATACCTGTACATATAGCTATCCGCGAACACGGAGGAGAGGACAGGCGATCGGAACAGGCAGTACACATAAACAGCTACTCTACTCAAATCGCGACACAGACCACATGTGCAAGAGCTTACTATTGGAGATAGCACTACTGGATGACGGATATCACGCTCTTATTCCTGCTCTATACTAGCCGACCTATCTTCACCTTGTAATATGTCTGGTTCATCCTTGAGAAGTTGAGAGTTGGGATCCTGAATTTTGGATGTTTGGTCTCTGCACGTACACTCTTCATGCCTTGCGTGGGACGGTATGTGTTTTTGTAATGTAACGAATAGATGGGATAACTCGAAGACACTACTACTGCTGCCCCTTCTGAAACCCCCTGAAGTTCTCTCCCGATGTACCTAGGAATCAGAATCTAGCGTGATACAGACCATGGCTCGCTAGCTAGTCAAGAATATCAATGTAGGCATACAGGGCTGGTGATGATGCTGATAGTGCTGTTAGTGCTGCTGATGCTGATATTGAAAATCGTTAGAGCTGAAGGCGAACACGGAAAGGGGAGCTATTGTATATCGAGCGGGAGTGTTTCAATGGCTGTGATGGCTGCAATGATAACGTTGTGCGGTATATTGGGCTGCGTTTCGTTGTGAGTTTGTTTCGTCTCATTTCTTCTCAATGAGGAGAGTATGACGAACAGTCCAACGACTGACATAATGCCTAACACGAACACAAACCCAACCCAAGCCCATATCAACATAATCTTGGATGAACAGCTATTCCACTACTCTATACGACTCCCTACATAGACTGAAATTCCATTGATACTACATCTCCCGCACACCACATCTATATCAAGCTAATACATATCAACCTAGTGTAAAAACCACACGTAGAAACGGAATGTACATACCGACTAATATGATTAATATGCACTATGTGAGATATTCAGTCTGTTCAGACTATCCAGATTAGCTGAATTGTCATTACCCGTGGTCTCTGCTGCCACTCGTTATATCCAAATCATATAATATTGTATACAGTACGATGCCACACACACACACACACACACCACCACCAACCAAATCAGTATATACCAAGGGGAGAGGGGAGGTATGATAGTAGCAAGACATAACTTGGGTGTGTCTGTGGTGTAGAGGTATTTCTTACTTGGCTTGGGAGACAAGAGCAACGACGGTCACTATGTGCGTCTTGTGCGGGGATGGATCCAACGTAGTCATGGGTATGGAAGAATGGAGTGGGTGTTTCTGGTTCATCAGACTGCGCCGCTCGAGAGGGGGGCCGTGGTTTATGTGAGAGTAATAGACGAGGAGCAATGAAGGAGGTAGATATGGTAGGTAGTAGCTGCAGGACTACGAGCGATGCATACAGAGGAGCTCCTACTATGACAGTGCCAGAACGCCGAGAATACATGGATCCCTTATAATTGTAGATTTTGCCTTCACTGAAAAACGCCGGACAATGCTCCATCTCACTCACGCACACACGCTTCAGTACTACGCTACCCTCTCCTTCTTACCCACCGGCACACCGCCGTCCTCCTCATCACCGTCAATGCCATCACCAGTATCACCAACCATGGTCGCCGCGTCCTCGCCCTCAAACTCCTCCCTGCCCCTCTTCAAGCCCTTCATCTTGCGCGTCTGCATCTTGCCCAGATCCTGCTTGCCCATATGAATCCTACCAACCTTATCACCCATCAAATCCGTCTCGACATTCTTCTTGGCGCGCGCCTCCAGGCCCTTTGGGGTCTTAAGCGCCTCCTTCATCATATCCGGCTCCGCCACCCGCGTCCTGCCCACACGGAAATCAATCCTCGGACCCATCTCCTCGACCTCCACACGCGGCACCTTGCCACCCGCACGCTTCGTGCTCAGCAAATACACGCGGAAATGAATCGGCGGCATCTCTCCTGCATCGCTCCCAGCTTCCGCCGTGCTGATGTGCACCAGGTACTGCAGCCCGGCTACGTCGACCTTGCCGGCAGCCTCCTCGCCGCGCAGCAGATCGATAAACAGGCTGCGCGCCAGGGTATACGGCGATGCAACGGGACTCTCAAACGCAGCCCCTGAAAAGGCAAGCAGGGGCCTGAGCCCGACGGCAGGCTTGCGGGTCTTGAACTGTGCCAGGGTGCGCAGCGTGTCGGGCACGACGAGCAGCTCGAGCATGTCGAGCAAGGCATGGTCGAACATGCGTGCGAGCGTGATGCTATGCGGGCGCTTCTTGGACGAGTTGCCGAAGAGGAGTAGGGCGGCGTCGTTTTTGGCGCTGAAAAACTCGAGCGAGGAGGCATCGTCGAAGGGGTGGATGGCGTTCTTTTTGGTGAACTTTATGGCTTGCGGCCGCTTGAGTGAGTGGAGGTCTGTGAGGACGAGCGAAGCGAGAGAGGAGCAGGAGGTGCCTTTGAGGAACAGCGTTGTCTTGGGGTTTTCGTGGATTTGCGGGTCGCGCTTTTCAAGGATGCGCTTGGTGCGCGCGTTGCGCGGTTTGCTGGGGTAGGGTTAGAAGGCAAACTGTATTGGTGCGAGAGAGAGGTGAAGTGTAATACGTACACTTTTTGTAGACTCATGGTGCTGGTTCGTCGACTGTGTATGATTATAAGGTGGAGGTGTGTTGCCGCGCTGAGATAACTTTTTTCCCTTGCAAAGTTGCTTATCGATATCTGGCGTGCCAAGATTTCGAAAAAAAGTGGGACTAGTGCAATATGTACTGCCTCAGGCACAAGGGAACCTGGAGTTCAAAAAGAACCATAAAACAGAAGCACCATACCGAAGGGCAGATCCGAACCCGGACGTTCGTACTCTCTCGATTCCCTACGACCGCCTGGTCGACATGTAAGTATCTAATGAATCCCGGCAACCGATTGACCGATGATTACCCAACTTTTACTTGAAATATAAATGGGTGGGTTGGTTAGTGAATCTTTGCGAACTTTCAGAGCTTTATTGAAATTCTAATAGCTGTTACCCAGATATTGGGTGTGTGCAGTCCAATTAGTACTTCAGCACGTCAATACGTCATTACGTCTGGTTCACCACTCTTACGAGGAAATCTCGAAATGTCAATTGCGCGCGTCTCACTTGAAGCCACTGATTACAGCCTGTCAATTGCTCGCAACATCATGCATGTCTACTATTATAGCTACCAAACCGGGCGCTACCATCATGCAAATATTCTATTCATAGGACATCACAATATGCTCTCATCTCATCCCCATGTTGATCAACAAGTTCTAAATGACGGTCTTTGACCCTGACAGAGACATTAAAGCTCGCGCTCAGCAGAGCTGGTGGATAACAAGCCAAGTTATGCACAAGAAAGTAATAGATACGGGATATCGCTTCCGGAACGCAAATAAGAGAAAGAGAATGCACAGATCTGGGCCACGCTCTAAACACGAAGCTGAACGCCATCTGGAAGAGCCTGCTTCAGAATGAACTCCACCTCTTCGGACCTCTTCATCATGCTCATTGCTCTGGCTGCCCAGTGTTTCACCGTCGACACCGGCCCCATGACCTCATCACGGATGCGCATTGTCGTTGAGCGCTTGGTTTTCGAGCTTCCGCCTCTCTGCTCGTTGTTGACGAGGATCTTTGCATCGCCACTCTGGGTCTTCCCAGTAGCGACATCGGGCAGGCCATGCTGAGCGAGGTAGGCTTTCATAGCCGCGGGGTCTCGCGCAAGGTCTTTGTGCTCACCCATGAGGTAAGCGATGACACCGGTGACGTGAGGACACGCCATGCTGGTGCCAGAGAGGAAGTTGATCATGTTGTTCGCAGTATTCCATGTGGACAGAATGTTCTCGCCAGGCGCGTAGACGTCATTACAAGCGCCCGAGTTTGAGAATTTGGAGATCTTGTTCGAGATGTCCATGCTGCCGACGGTGATTGCAGGACCTTTGGCGCCACCAGATGAGGATGGAGAGGCAGAGCAAGAGTCCACAGCATTGTTTCCTGCCGCTACGGACGCGTGGATCCCGTTCCCTACGGCCGTTTTGATAGCTGTGTCGACCGCTGTCGAGATGGACCCAAGACCCCACGACATGCTCATAACTGCACCTACATAACCCTCCTCTTTCTTGCGGGCCTCATTATGATTTATGACCCAGTTCATGCCCGCGAGAGTGGCAGACGAGCTTCCAGCCCCGTCGGCACCAAGCACTTTCACCGCCCAGATATTCGCACCAGAGGCCACACCAAAGTAGTCAGCCGCTGCCGTTCCAGCAACGTGAGTGCCGTGCCCATCGCCATCTGTATTGTCGCCGTCGAAGGTGAAACCGACCTTTGCACGACCTCCAAAGGCTTGGTGGTCGACATTGACGCCCGAGTCGACAATGTAGATGTCGACGCCCTTGCCCTGAGTGGAGTCCGCTCCGTTGAAGTTGTAGGTGAAGGTAGAGTCCTGGGGGTTGCCGCTAGGAGTAGTGGCGGAGGATACACGCTGGAGACCCCATGGCGACTTTGCACGACTACTGAGGGAGCTGATATGCACGGACTGTTCGACCATGGAGACATCGGGGTTCTGGTCGAGTAGGTCCAGACAATGGCTCTTCATGGAAGCTACGAAGCCACGGAACGCGCTATTCTCGAAGGTGTACTTGACATCGTCATGCGAGGAGGAGAGATTGAGTTGAGCCAGGACCTCTTCAACGCCGGGAGGGGTTGGTTTGTCAACATCGAAGATGACCACATACTCCTTGCCGCCAGTTGCATGGGCTGCAGGTTCGATTGTGCCAGTCGGAACGGTTTCGGTGGTGGAAGGCGTGTCTTCGGCGTGATTGCTGTGAATATCGGCGTCAAGGCCAGGTTCGTTGCCAGCACCATCAGAGCCAAATGTACCGGTAGGGGCAGTAAACACTGCGCTCGTGAAGAGCAAAGAGAAGGTCGATGCGGCAATGGAGAAGCGCATGTTGAGAACGACGGATTGCGAAGACACCGAGGTCTTCTAAAGGAGATTTTAGGAGGCGTTGGACCTCTGAAGAGAAAGGAGCGTGAAGTCTGCGAGTCAGACAAGAAGAGCTCTGGAATCGGAGTGTCAGTAGAACGCTCTTCTCGGTTGGGACTTGTAGACGTAGATACAGCGAATGTGGAGACCAGACCGGTCTTATAGACAACGAATGGACAGCGGTGAGCCACAAGACAATGCTGGGAAGAGAGAGTGTAGAGAGAAGAGAAGAGTAAGGAGGGAGGTAGTGTTGGCAGCAATGGTGCAGTCACGGTAGCATTGTGCAGGCAAGTGCGAACTTGACTAGATTGGCGGGGTGAATATCTCGCCAGGCACGACATTGTGCAACGACACGAGGTATGTTATAGACAGATACAGCCACAGCAGACATAATACAATAGAGATAGAAAGTAATAGAAAATAGAGTACACACCTTCGAGGTTAAGTGCGATTTTGTGGTCGTAGCGGTCAAGAACAGTGATTTAATTTGAACGGAGTGATACGACGGGAACCAGAATGAAGGCTAAACGGAAGAGTATAGCAGATTATCTAGTTAAGGCGAAGTATACTCGAATATAGGCGCTCGCGGAGGCCAGGAGTTTGAAGAGAATATCAAAAAGAAAGAGAGAGAGAGAGCGAGAGTAAACAATGAAGTGGAATGGGAGCTAGTCCGTTCTAGGCAATGCCAAAGGAATAGTCGAAACCTGCGCAGGCAAAGATTCGAAGAAAAGAAGAAGTGTGTAGAGAGAGTGTGGAACAGAAAAAGGCCGGGTGCGAGAACTTGTACCAGCAAGGAAAACGAGTTGGTCGATAGCAGAAATGAAGAGAAGTAATAAGGGAGGACAAACAAAAGGGTTTAAGATGCGGCCCACTACGCACCACCAATGCTGGAGCTACACACGACTCTCATCTCTGGATGACCCACAGGCCGCTGAAACATGTCGGCGGCCACCACGCGAAAGCCAAACCGTGGTTCTCTTATGCCCTTACACGCCCAGCCAACGATGATTACCGCAGATCTGTACCAAGGTAGTCCGTGGCGGTGGGCGGTTGCGTACCTCGAATCATGCCGTGGCCCACTCCCGAAGCTGCTGCTTCTTGGACGTACTTCTTACAACTAATTACCATCTGAGCGTGTATTGTGGGAGAAGGTATGACAGCGGGTGATTGGGTGTTACAGGCACGGTTTCCGCAAGGGCGCTGTGGACTGCGGCATCTGCAACGACAAAGGACCCGAGGAGGATTCGGTAATCTGGAGACGTGAGGAGGTTAGAGTATGAGGAACCTCCAGAGTGAGTGCTGTGTTGCTGTGTTGCTGTGCCTGTCGTTTGACACCCGACAGTGCGCGCCCGGAGAAATTAGAGACCCGCACGAGGAGGCGGCCATGATTGGCTGCCACGTGCTGAAACAAGGGACTCTCCTACTTATTAATTGTTAATTAATCACTTGAACAATCCAGTCCTCATGGATTCCAGCACAATGAATGGGATGGGATGGACGGACGATGGATCGATCAAGTGGGCCCGTCAACCCTGGAGATTCTGCATCTACCGCTCGCTGGTCGCGTATCCTCAACCGCCGCCCACAAAACAGCCTCCCTCACCCACTCATCCACAATCCCTCTCCTCATCCACAACACAAGACTGTGTGACTCCTCCCAGTCACACTAATCCTTTGTATCACACCTCCTGCAGAATACCAAACCATAACGCGCCACCACTTTTCCATTCTCCGACTTCTCCATTCTCTCTATCTCTCTCCCTTGCATCGCCCGTTGGCCGCAATCATAACATCCACGTGACGCGATTCCTTGTCTGTGGCATTTACACTTGTGGCACATGCAGGTGGGGCCCGTCCGTTTGAACTTTGCCTCAGCTTTCGGCGCAGCCCCCTGATCACCTCCACCTTGGCCGCCCTGTCGGTCCTATAGAGGTCCTAGCCATGTAGATACTCCAAAACAGCCGCCGAAAGTTTGTATTAGTTAGTAGTTTATCGTTGCTATATCTCCGGCCTGGGCCTAATATCTTGTGTGGAGCCGCGTATTTCTCCCACAGCACAGACGGACAATAGCCAACGATCACAAAGGAGTCTAGCACTGCATCCTACGCTAATAACTACCCGCCCGGCATTCATGTTTTGACTGTTTGACATATAGAGGTGTAGGATTCACTATTATCGTCATCGTCATGATCAATTTATCGTAGTCAAATACTTTTCGTAGATACATCCTTTGGCAATATTGTCTATACCTCAGGAGACTCTCTGCGTGCCCGTGCATGTTCTGTCTTCGGAAAAAATTCAGAACTCGCCTGGGCTCCCCCTCCCGACGACATACGTCATCACGAATTTTGTGTTGGGTCGGAGGTGCTAGAGGGGAAACGTGCGCTCGCTCTAACTTAACGCATGAATCTGGGCTGCCCGTGGGATGGGCGTGCATGAATGTCTGGGAAACAGTGGTCAGACAGACTGCTGGCTACGAACTCTGTTAATGTATGTCAGATAGATTGCCATGACAAAGGAGTCCTGTTTGTTTTGTTTTTTTGAGTTTTTTTCGTCTTCGGTGGCGTATGTATGTATGTGTATTTGCAAGTTTGCAGGTTTCGCTTCTACGTGTCGTCGCATCGACCGTCTGCTCTGTATCGCTCGTTGGCATAATATGAATTTGTTAATATACGGTAGTATTGCGCGGCTGTGTCACTTCGGACTCTCATACGTTTTCGAAACAGTTTCGTAGATCCTGCTCCGATCTAACTACATGTCATTGGGCAGTCCAACTGTTTACCTACCTACCTACTCCTCCTCATCCTCCTCGTCCAAGTCGAGCCACTTACTTCTGCATCTCACCGCTTCGCTCCGGACCGATCGCTTGCCGTCATCCAGCGCTGCCGTCAGCCGCTTGACCACCTGTCTGCGAAGCGGGATTGTCGTCTCTTGCTTTAGACTGCCCGGAATTGTGGCCAGGCATATGAGCGCCACAGCCCGCACCTGAGTCGGGTTGCTCTTCTGGTCCGTCGTACTCAGCAGTCGTGTGATGACGCTGTTTGCATGTTCCTCAATGGCGGCTGGGTTGTGCGTCAGGATGTCGATTATGTTGCCGATGCTGGCTTCTTTGACATACGCTTCCTCTACCGGTAGGTCGAGGGACTGCAGAAGGAGAGGCGTGAGCGATGAGAGGTCGTGCGAGAGGATGTTGTAGGGCAGATAGCGAAGCAGTCCGGCGACGGCGATGAGGTAGTTAGTCTTCGTCGCGGCGTTTGCGGCGCGGAAGGACGCTGCGATTGGAGGGACGAGCATGTTGAACGTCTTTTGCTTGTGCAGGCCAGATACGGTGCAATAATTCTCCTTGGTGAGCAGGTCGTCTGGTTGCAGAAGAGTGCTGAAGCCTCGCGCGATCGTTCGTCCATAGTCGATGTTCGACAGAGCTTCTAACAGTGACGGCAGTGTTTTGTTCAGTAAGCTGCTATTGCGCAGTATCAGACCTTTGACAATAGCAAACACAACACGAATGGACTGGCTATTCAACTTCGCAGAAGTTAGAAGCTCCATTGGAGCATATAGTACCGGTTCTAAAGTTTTTGCAAGTTCTGCATTCGGTATGAACTTGTTAATAACGAGTGACAGCTGCTTCAGTGCTGCGGCTCTCACCCCGCTCGTAACACTCTCTGCTAAGCAGAACTTTACTAGTGCCGTCACCATATCATCGAGCTTAATCGGCGGTGATGCTTCCTTGCACAAAGAAGCCAGCACTTGTGTCGTTACGATCATATATCTTTGTTCAGCGCCGAATGTAGACGAGAAGGGAGGGACTGATTCGTTAGTGACACCCCGGAATAGAGTGAAGGCCTCCTTAGACATCGAGATATGCACTGTCAATGGTAATGGTCGTATGATGGTACCGCAAATACGTCCCACCAGATCCAGTACAGGCTCCGATTGGAGAGAGGAGTTGTGTTGATCTTGAGAGTCTGTTATCTGTGAGAGGAGAGGGAGAACCAGATCGGTATAATGTGTCGCGTTGACTTCGATGTCCATTTTCTTGGCTCGATGGGTAAATGCAAAAAAGACTGCAGTCAGAAGATCGCAGAGGAACTTCGTCGATGCTTGTTGATGAACTGCAGCCTTCAATTTACTCTTCAGCCGTATTATGACCGTCTGAAACAGCTTGTCCTCATCTGCAAGTTTCGCGAAAGCTTCGAGGACTGGAACATATTTCGTTGTCGCTCCAGTATCGGTGTCGGGCAGGTTTGCCAAGAATGTAGGAAATGCTTTGTCAATGACGAGTTGGGGTTTCTGATGAGCGATCTCAACGAGAGCACTAATGGCGGCGGTTTTGAGCTCATCTTTGCCGTACGACTCCTCAGTGACAACAACGTTAGAAAAGTCAATAACCAATGAAGATATCTGATCGTCACTCAACATCTCCCGGATCCTACTGAGCTGCAGGAGGCCATCGAGAGCTGTAAGCCGGAACGATACTTCTTTGACAGGTGCGGACGATAGATCACTGCTCATGAGATGCAGAGCTTGCTCGCCATATTCTACAAATGCATTTGGGGGTTTCTCAGCGATGTCATCGCCAAAACGCAGACTATGCATGGAGCGCCAATCTCCATACACTTCGATGTCGGCTTTCATGATACTACCGAAAACTTCCAACAGCCCCCTCCGCTTCGGGAAGTTGTCAGCAGTATGATATAGGCTGAAGAAAGTCGGTACAATGCCTGAGATGACTGTGTTGGTTGCTTGTGGAGTCGTAGCCGCTACGCTCTTGACTATCCGCCCGGAGGATGAAGACTGCTTTGTAGGGGCGTCCTCCAGGTGTTGGTTACATTCTTTGATGATTGGGCCCAGATAAGCATTCAGCTGCGACTGTGTTCCTAGTGAAAGCTGCCTGGCAATACCAGCCAGACAATTCAATGACTCTGTAGCGAGATCCTCTTCCTGGACATTCAGTATCTCGAATTTGAGCGCGTCCCATAGAGTGATTGCATATAATGATATTGTCTGGAAACCATAGTTTGATATGCAAGCACGCAGTGTCGACAAGACATCTCGCTACAAATATGTCAGTCGGACTTTCGCCTTGGACTTTCAAGCTTCATACCTTTGTGTTCAATGAGGTGGAATCCAATTTGTCCAGTAAGGCCGGGAAAGAATAAGGAGCAAATACAGATGTGGAAGCTATACAATCTCGCAACCGGTCTTTCAAATCCTGGGCCGTGATGCCATAAGGATCATCGGGCGGTGGCTTGAAAGTGATAGGAAAATAATTGAATACGGCGTCAAACAAATCCTGTCCTATATTAGCCAGAAAAAGACCAAAGAATACCTTCATATCGCACCTGAGTATCTTTTCCAGTATCCCATTCCGTCATCGGAACCTTCAAAATTGAGAAAACTATCATGAGATTTCGTGGGTCTTTTTCGCCATCAAAGTATGAAATAAACCGGGACAGGAAATCGGGGGTAGTTGAATGAACGTTTTTAATCGCTATATCCTATTAGCAGGTCGTCGGCGCCAACAATAAAGGCGAAAGTTACCATCTCTATATTTCGCCATCAGTCTATCTACTAATTGCACTATAGGGTATCTCTCGCTCTGTGTTCGAAATTGCCGTACCGGGTTTGTATGGTCTATGAGTCTGACCAAGTGTTAGCACAATGCCGACAGATTCTATCGTATCACATACGTCGTCATCACTCCAGAAGCTCTTGCACTGTCCCATTGTCCTCGTTCTTCAAGAGCAAGCAGTCCTTTGGCACACGATCCTATGCCCTCAGTATCATCTACGATGCGCGACAGGATGAAGTCGCACAAAAGGCCCCCTATACATCCTTAGCATCTTGGTATCCCTGTTCGAGAGTAGCACGCGTTTCGTGTACGTACGTTGTTGCAACGAAAGGACTTTTGGAGGCATGGCTTCGAGCACCTCGGCGAGGTAGGACATAGCTGGCGATGCGATCAGTCAAAAGACCTCTTATCAAGTTCTGGACGCAAGTAGAACATACTCCTGCCCCTCGTAGCCGGCTCATCATTGTTGATATATTCTGCGAGGCTTTCGATCAAATCTATAAGTTTCAATTGCTTGTTCTGCAACTCTTTTCTCAATCAGCCCTATGGACGCGGGGGTTTGGCGGGGTATTTGCATACTCTCAGCAGATCCTTGGGCTACGCGGTTGGCTTCCTTCTTGCTCTTGTCATACTCTAGGAGGTAGAGTTGGATATCGGACATGCTGAGTCTTGTCGCAGCTGGCGCATGGCTGTGGACATAGAGCAGCACGTTTGAGCAGAAAACCACAAAACGCGACCTGCGGATGACGCACAGCGCACGGACATTTTTTGGACTTAGTATGAGGGCAATTTTTGACGAGGGAAAAAAGCTGATAATCATAATCTGGGCATCGATGAGATTTGGCATTCGCGCGGACAAATGAAAACTTTTTGAGCGAGACGTTCGCCTCAATTTGATTGATCTCTAGCAAGTCGGGATCATTGTTCTGCATCATGTCCGCAGCAGCGGAGGCCACGCCGAACTGCAAAGTTGTATCCGCAAACGTCGTCGCCAAAAAGCTGATCGCAGAAGTTAACGATGGCCTAAAGGGGCTGGGAAAAGCTCCGCTGCTCGTGGGGTTTCTGTCAAGTGCAGACCCAGCAGCACGAACATACGCGGACTGGACAGCAAAGACATTCAAAGACAATGGCTTTGCATTCGAGCTCCGCGAAATTGACCGCGACCTCCTCGAAGACGCCATTATTGAGGCCAACCACGACTCGAATGTCGGCGGCATCATCGTCTACTACCCTATCTTTGGCAACCGTCAGGACCAGTATCTGCAGCAGATTGTAGACATCTCTAAGGATGTCGAAGGGCTCTCTCACCGCTACTTGTTCAACATGTACCAGAATATCCGCTATCTGGACGGGGCAGAGCACAAGAAAAGTGTGCTGCCCTGTACGCCCCTAGCTGTAATCAAAATTCTCGAGCATCTGCAGGTGTACAACACTATCCTGCCCTATGGAAACCGACTTCATGGCCACACCATCACAGTGATCAATCGAAGTGAAGTCGTAGGCCGTCCGCTCGCAGCACTGCTCGCAAACGACGGCGCAAACGTGTACTCCGTCGACATCAATGACGTGCAGCAATTCACTCGTGGGGAAGGATTGCGCAAGAAAAGACACGAGGTGACTGAGCTTCCAGGCTGGACAGTGGCAGATTGCCTTCCCAAGAGCGACGTCGTAATCAGTGGTGTGCCGGGAGATAAGTTCAAGGTACCCCTGAACTACCTTCGTGAAGGTGCAGTGTGCATCAATTTCTCGAGCGACAAGGTAAGGCCATGCCTTCGTGACACGTACCAATATCACTGACCGAGCTAGAACTTTGCTCCTGAGGTGAAACAAAAGGCCTCTATCTATGTTCCGGCCATTGGAAAAGTCACAATAGTTGTGCTTATGAGGAACCTCCTGGTTGGTGTTTCTGTGTGGACCAGCCAATAGTTTTTGCGTGCTAACGGCTCATAGAGGATCATCCAGAACCGGCAAGAGTCTGAGACACGACCTGCTGACGCTGTAGAGAAGAGCGGGACCATAGAGGAAGCAGCTCCTGCTTGATCAACTCAGATTTGGAATGTAGAGATCTGTTCATACCCACCTGCAAATCACAGGAATACGACAAAAAGCCTATTGACAGCCGTTATAGACGATAATTTCACATCTACCACCTTGTTCATCAGCAGCCGCTCTGTCGACTGCGAAGACTATACATTGACCTTACTGACACGCTTCACATATCCATAAAAAAGATCGCGGCAAAGAATACACAATTATGACCGTACATGTACACGTAGTATCTTGACTGCGTCATGCTGAACATATATCCTTCCCATGCAGCCTTTCTGTGTCCACCAAGATGCTGGTGTCTTCTTGAAATATTCTCATCCGTATACCACTACCCATTAGTTGGCATCGGGACACCTGAAGATCGTCTGAGATTGCAATCACTACTTTAGTGAATACCGTGATATATAAGATAAAGATAGTTCGATTTTACCAATGTATTAAGCATTAGATTAGACATGATAAAAGTAAGCGACAGTCATTGAAGATATGTTTTGCCCGAACATTCAACCTTATTTCTATCCAACTCGTCTATCTTACCCAACAACTCCGATATAGCATTCTCTCGCTTGCCCCCAAACCGTCTAGTAGTAGATCGGATTGTTAGGATCCGTCAAATCAAACACAACAGCCGAGTGCGGCCAGCCACCGCCACGGTTCGCGAACTCATCCAAGAAATTGATCGAGCGATTAAAGCTCAAGCTACCATCATCATTGATATCAATGAACTGCGCCTTGAAGTCTGCCGGGGTGTTGATAACCCCAATGCTGCCAGTCTGCACAAAGTAATCAGTGACAAGCAAGTTCTTCTTGTCGGGCGTGACCTTGAGGTAATGCGGGCCGACGATGCCTTGGTCCTCATCCGGGTCATCGAGACGCTTGATATTGTTCAGATCCGAGATATCGAGCGCCGCAACATGGTTAGCCGTGGTGAGGGTGAAGTAGGCGAACTTGCCGTCGTCGGTGATGTCCGAGTAGATGGCAATGGTATCACGCGCCTTGGGGCCCAGATCGAAAAGCATCTCGGCGACGCCCTGCACACCCTGTGCGTTCTTGCGGAATGGGTAGATGATCCACACCTGGCCGAGATGCACGGCCGTTGCGAGAGCGGCAGATTCTTTGTTGCCCGGGATGAACTTGACGTCCTGGATGCCGCCGCCGTTGGGGATGGTGATGGTCGAGATGATCTTGCGTGTGTCGAGCTCCCACAGACGCAGCGTGTTTGCGCGCTGGATGCCGAGCAAAGAGGCTGGCTTGAGGATGGTGACGGGTACGACGAAGTCGGAAGTGAGCATGACGTTGTTGTCCCAGTCGACGGACAGGCCATGGGGAGAGAATTGCTCGCCGAGGATGTTGAGGGTGGACTCGACATCGGTGAGTGCGGGCCATTCGGCGATGATGTCGAAGTTCTTGTCAGTCTCGATCAGGCGGCCAGGGCTGGTGCCGACAGCAGAGCCCATGTAGGTGATGAAGAAGCCGCCATCAGGCTTTGCGCGGATCTCATCAGTGATGGAGCCGAGGATGGCACGATTTGACTTCTTGAATGTTGGGCGGTAAGGGTTGGTAGTGTCAAAGTAGAAGGCGGTGTCTTGGGTCTTCAATAGGGATAGAAGGCCGCCACCAACGAGAGTCTTGCCGTCGAGAGAGGGCCCCAAGTGGTGAGGAGAATTGCCAGAACTGGGGACGTCAGTGACCCAGATCAGAGTACCAAAGGTATCATCATCCAGTGAGTAGGTGGCAAGAAAATCTGTGAAATTGTGTCAGAGGTGAGTCCAAGCTTCGGAAACTTTTGATAGGGCATACCGGCATGTTGATTGTCACCGGCAGCAGTCCAGAAGTATCCGATCTTCTTGGGCCTGATGTTGCTTCCTGTAAAAGGAGGTGAAGGTAGGGGAGGAGTTGGGATCTGCAGAATGGGCAAAGGAGGTGCGTTGGAGGCCAAGGGCTCAGTGACTCCTGGGATAGAGGGTATGAGTGGAGGAAGAGAAAGAGCGGAGGAGGTAGCGAAAACAGCCGCAACTACGGCAGCACTATAGAGTGAGAGCATTATGAGCAAGTTTTAGCAAAGAAGCCCCAGGAGTGGTCGGAATGACTGGAGCTTGGTAGTCTCAGTTGATCTCTGGATGATGAGCAGAAATGAGCAGAATATGCTTCGTTTATATATTCACAATCCTCAAGCCTTTCGTCTCCTCAATCTTCGCCTCTCTCTTGCCGCCGCTTGCGATCTTCCACAATCTTCTCCAGACTATCGCGGGCATGCAAAGCCAGCACATCACCTTTCCGTCCCATTGTCGAATAATACCTTCGACAAATCGCATCATCGTACTATAATGATGCCAAATAAGCGGCTGACTCGTTTGGACGGTGTCAATATCCTTTGAGCAGGCTTTGCCCGTCTACTCTTCCGGCCAAATCTCAATTTGATGCTCCATTGAGGTTGCTAGAGAAGCTAGAAAAAGAAGTCGGTGGACTTGGCAGCATATCAAGATCGACCGTATATGTGCCCATTTGGAACGACAGGGTACACCTGACAGTCGAAAAGAGCTGTGGCGGATGTGTGGAGCTCATCTTCAGGAGGCGATATACTCTGCATGCATCCATCCGTCAATGCGGGAAGAGAAGTCGAGATCCTACCGCGGATGTGTATTCGGCCCTTCGTACGTACGGTTGGAAGCTAACGGGAGCATCCCGAGATGAGGAGAGCAAGGATAAACATATGAAGGTTTTAACATACGGGTGAAGATTAGTATGTATATCGGCTTGAGTTCAGGGGATCTTTCGCCTCTGAGGAAGAGTCGAACAGTGATATGTTGTTCGCTGCCGTGACGGCATCGTCTGGTCGGAAACCTCGACGTTCATACAAGCTCCTTCACATGAAGTCGATATAGAGTCGAGCATGTGGAGTACCTGAAGATCTGAACAGCAGCGTACCAGGATCCTCCCACATCCGAGGAGCCAAAGTGAGAAGCCATACCCATGGACAGACCAGTTTAGGAAAACACGATGCCGAAAGCGGAACACAACCCCAGTCGGACTGAGAAATTGCATCAAACGATATTTCTTCATTTGATGGCGACATAGGCTTGGCGACGAAAGTTTGGTGATGAAGCAGAAGCCAGACGTGCATTGTGTTTGTGACAGCCTGGTAATGAGTTCGCCCCTACTAGGTATGTACAAGAGGCGAACATGGGCATCAAAACAAGCTTAGCCCAGGAAACAAGCCCGAACTAAGAGATCTACGCAGCCAGACCCCAGCGGGCCGCAAACGCCCAAACGGGCAGATGATCGACAAGCTAAGAGATGCGGGAATGCAGACCAGTTCTCTAAGCACCAGAAAAGATGCCTGCCAAGCATCACGTTATTTCACCCAGAGATGGCGAAGTGTCCACCCTCCTTCTCACCCTTCTCCCATCATCATCTGCCATGGCGTATTGTGATATGCCCGTGGAACACATGGTAGATCTGATCGCCACGCGTAACTCCTGCATCTCGTTACCTCGCTAGTGGTGGCCCCTGGGCTCGGGACCATTTCGACTGGTCGATATGCAGACTGCGAGAATGGACGATTTGACTTTTCGTTGCTTGCTCAGCGTGTTCAAGTCGATCAGAGCTTCATACAGCCCAGCAAGGCCAGCTGATGAGGGGCGTTACATGCAATTTCCAATTGCTGCTAAGCCATGTGCCGCTTGTAGGACGTATCCCGTAACTCTAGTTCAGTGTATATTCACTAGTATGTTGATCCTCAGACGGTGCTAGGCCGATGGCGAGCTGGATTCCACTTATGTCGACACTCCTCTCACGGGAGCCAATGTGCAAGCCAATTGTAGCTGCAAACGCGTCAGAGGCGCGACTGAAGCTTGTCAGCGCTCCATCTGGCGCGTGTATAAGTAAGCTTCACGTCCTCCCGCGTGTGAAGCTTGTGCCTTCTTGTCAATCACACCGTCGAAGATGCAGCTCCCCTTGTTCACAGCGGTACTCGCTGCGACAGCATCAGTCTGCAGTGCAGCAACCATTGACAAGCGTCAGAACGGCTTCAATAATCCTCAGTTCGAGAATGGCCAGCCCATCAATGGTCAAGGAAAAGGAGGCATCATCTCAGGTGCGTATCCGACACAGCAATCGATGCAGTGACTGACAGCAGACCAGGCGGCACAAACAAAGAGCTGGACCTGCAAAATCCTTCCAACCTAGGACAACAAAGTACCGATGCTGGCTTCGTGCCAAACCTCAAATGGTCGTTCTCAGACTCCAAGACCCGTATCTTCAATGGCGGCTGGGTGCGCGAGCAGGTCATCAACGACTTGCCCGCGAGTCATGACATTGCCGGTGCCCAGGTGCATTTGAACAAGGGTGCTATTCGCGAGTTGCATTGGCACCGCACCGCGGAATGGGGCTACGTTTACGCAGGGAGCTTCATAATCTCTGCTGTCAACGAGGAGGGCAAGTATGAGGTCGATACGCTTGAGGTCGGCGATATCTGGTATTTCCCCAAGGGCCAGGCGCACTCGATTCAGGGACTGGAAGATGCGAATGAGTTTCTGGTTATTTTCGACGATGGGGACTTTGAGAAAGTCGGGTATGCAGTTTTCGTTACAGCCCGAGCTGAATATATTGTCGCGAGTCGTCCTAACTGACACGCTGTAGAACAACGTTCATGATCGATGACTGGATCAGTCACACACCCAAGTCGATCCTCGCGAAGAACTTCGGCGTTAACGAGACCGTTTTTAACAGTGTGCCAAGTCCCTTCCCGTACATCACCAACGGTACCGTGAGCACGCAGCAGAACATCACTGGTCCCGCTGGCGCGCTTGTCGGGAACAGCTCGTACGTGTACCACTCACAGGACCACGAGCTGGAGGCCGTGCCGGGCCAAGGAGGTACCTTCCGCAAGGTTGACAGTACGACTTTTCCTATTGCAAAGACAATCGCCGCGGCTATTGTCACATTGGAGCCGGGTGGTCTCCGTGAGTTGCATTGGCATCCGAATGTAAGTCTCCTGTCTCCAGATGTGGCCGTGAACAATCACTAAGGGTAACAGGCTGAGGAATGGTTGTATTTCCACCAAGGCCACGCGCGGGCCTCGGTGTTCATTGGAAACTCGAATGCTCGTACGTTCGACTTCTCGGCTGGTGACACGGCTGTGTTCCCGGACAACAGTGGGCATTACATTGAGAACACGTCCGACACTGAGGAGCTGGTCTGGATTGAGATCTACAAGAGCGAGCGAGTTGCTGATATTTCGTTGACGCAATGGCTTGCGCTGACGCCTCATGATATAGCGGCGACGGTATTGAAGGTGCCTGTCGAGGTGATTGAAAATTTGAAGAAAGAGAAGCAGCTATTGCTGAAGGGCAGCTAAGAGAGCCTAATGTTGATCGTTAGTAAGTGATAGTTTCGCAATCATGTGTCAGTGTAGCCACAAGATCAGACAAACAGTAGTAATAGCTGCGCATTATAGCCTTTTTAATAACTCAAGATATATTCGAATTGTTGACCATTCGAGCTTCAGTCCTCAAATCATACGGAATAGAGAGAACTTCATGGACATCGTCTATCAATCAGTCATGTATTGGTCGTTACCATGGCGAATAGAGGTAGACTCTTTGAAGTTTATGAGATGCCGAGTGCCGTTGACGCATCCACCAGACCAACAAAACCCTATGCCATGCCACACGAGTTGTTCAGCCACGAAATTTTCTGGTTATATCCGGAACCTTGAAGTTCTACTAATTACGTGTAAAATCTAGACACTGATTCGTGCGCTAAGACATGCATGCCTATGCAGGGAACATTAGCATAGCCGTTCACACTAATGGAAGATACCAAGGGCCGAGCATGTGTGTCTGATGGTGGTCTGAGAAAACATAGTCGCTATGGTGCAATCTATGCCAGGATTCCGTGTGAAATACCACGCTCGATGCGGCATGGCGGTATGCAAAATTGTTAGTGCATTTGGCTAATATGTTACACCGTGATGTGGCAATGTCTGTGTTGTTGTCTTGCTCTGGTTCTTTCCTTGACTGGCCACACTCGAACTATCTGAATGGGGCCTTTGTTCGGTGATTGGACTTTTGTCCGAGTCCAACTTCGAATTTAGTGGTAATGATCCCGGGTTGGCTAGCTCTGGCTTCATCTATTTGCATATTGATACTGGTATCCATGGAATGCCCCAGTCGAGCCGCGGGAAATGAGACATTGGAGAGGAACTCGTCATGGCCTGACAAAGCACAATTTTGCAGTCACTATCAGTTGCGTTAGAATGAACAGCTTAAAACGTACAGCTATCATGGAGCGGAATTGGTAATAATGTTTGGACATGGGGTCGATACAGTCTGCATATGATAAACAACAGCGTCGATCATAATTCATCCTTTTTAGTATGTTTGTCGTCTTCCACGTTGGCCTCGAACATACGCTTCTTAGGATTCCTGGGCTTGTCAGTGTCCTCGAGGGATTGTCCATCGCCTCTCTCTGCTTGCTTTGGCTGCGGGTCGTCTGGTTTATTTTCCTGGCTGTTACTACTGACGGCCGCTTTAGCAGCCTCGGCCATCTGTCCTACTTTCTGTGACATGCTTCCGTCTGGACTGGGATCACTGGGGGCTACTTTTGCTCCTCGACCTCCTGCACCTACAGCTATACCACCGTTTCCCCTTCGATAGTACTCTATGTTCTGTTGGTCCTGCACTCGTCGCGGCGGGCGATCCGTAGCGCTTGGCTTGATAATGAGTGGTTTGCGTGTCGATGTTGATACTATCGCCGTTGTTGTTGCACTGCCTACCAATCCCAGCGACGATCCCCCAAAATAAAAAACTTTGTATACTAGCTTCACCGGAAGCCAGACAAACCACCAGAGAGGACCGTATAGAAAGCGTCGGAAGACTAGCCAAACAATAGTTGTAATGAGAATGTAAAGAGCTGTTTCAAGATACCAAGTGTCGCTCTTTTGTGATTTGAGAAGAGTTACGACAAGGTTCTTTGAAGTCGAGAGAAGGTCGTCGAGAGATCCGTACCGCTCACCAAGATCCTGAAGTGCCGCTGTTGATTCTTCCAACGTCTCTTGTGCAAATCTAGAGCGTGAGAGTTCCGATCTCATCAACTGATGTGTTCGCCGCAGTGCTGTTGTCACGTCGCTGGACGAGCCTACAAGAAGATCGTCTGCAGATAGTTTTTCTTGTCCTCGCTTTCGGCTACCTTTAGGCGTTATATTGCCTTCCTTGATTCCTGAAAATAGTAGTTGGCGCTCCTTCTGTTTAGCTTGCTCCGCGTTCCTCTTTGCTTGAAGCTGTGCCTGTCTGAATTGGCTCCTTAGACTATATGGTTGATTAGTACGGTTACTCAGATACTATGCAGCGTATTTACATACTTCTTGAGATCCTCTTCGAGTCTTGCAACTTGCACCACCAGTCGGGCTTTGTCACGGTTCTTTTCACTATCTCTTCGTTTATTAGGGGCTCTCGAACCTGCTGATACGTCTTCTACTTCTTGTTTCAGAAGCTCGAGTTCCTCTTCTTGTTGCTTTAAGTTGTCGTGGATTTCTGAACTTAATTCAACCCGGACGTCACCTTCGTCTCCGTGTAGTGGAGTTGAGCCAGGTTGGAAGTTGAGTTTGCCAAGGCGATGTACGAGTGTGCTGATCGTTTTGTTTGATTCCGAGAGGGTCGTGAGCTTAGAGGAGAGAGTCGATGTCATTTCGAAGTGGGTAAAAAAATTATGACGACAGCCAAAACTGGGGGAAACGATAATCACGATCGTGTGGCGTCAGAAGTGGCTGTCTGTCGACTAAAACTAATTAGCACACTCCCCGATGTTCGGCCGCAGCGCCACTGAAGCACTGAGGCATGCAACTGTATTTCCTTTCAGTATCAAATTCACATTGCTCGCCTTGTCTCAAGCTCGCAATACTTGTTCGCCACTCGTGAGTTTCATTTGGACCCGAATCATAGATGCAACCAAATCTGAAACTAAGCAGCCCAATACCTCCAGCATTCACACAAAATATGTTGACCGCATACATAACCTCTGTTACTACGCGTTTCAACCCCTTCTACCCGACATCGCGAGCGGCACGAAACTTTCTCACATTGCTCCCTCCTACTGCGCACTCGAGGATGAAAATCAACATGACCGTATTGCCGAGACTGAGCAAAGAGAAGCCCACGCTGTCCGTCACCTTCAGTACGTGATGTTCCGTTCACACATAGTAACCATGAAGCTTATCATAGCTGCAGAGGATGGGAAGACGATAGATCTTGACTTATCAAAGCTTAAGGCCAATGATGTGGTTGCGGAGCTTGACAGACATTCACGGACACTTGCAAGAAAGGACGAACTGGCTGGGTAAATATAAAGTGGCGGAAGGGTACATTCCACCAGCAGGTATTTTCACGGTCATGGCAGGAGTTTGGATCTGGTTGCAATGCATTTTATTTTGTCTATACCATGCGTACACTTATTTTAGTACGGGCCAACAAGAGGTCGTGAAATATTGAAGCTCGCCAATGCTTGACTTCTAAAGCCGCGTTGTGTGATCAATATTGTGCTAACTGGTCGACATACCATTGCGTGTCCTTTAAGCCGAGGGAGCTCCAGAAATGAAGAACCACTTGTCAATACTTGGGTCTATTGGGGCTGGAGCCTTGTTCTCGCCTGCGGCAATTGGACTCTTCGTGGTATCTGTGCGGTCGGGGGAGTGAGGAACGGTACTGTTTGCGCTTTGATAGTAGCATTAGTATTCATATCAGAGACGTAAGGGTGGAACGCTTACAGAGAGATCTCTCCTCGGTTAGTCTTTCCGGTGATAAGTCGCTCCCAAGCCTCAGCACATTCCCGAACAATGTCTGTAGCGTATCTGCGCTTGATTAGCGACTGTAGGTTGCCTCCAGATATGATGTCTCACTTCATATTCTTGCATTCACCGGAAAAGGCAAACTGGTTCTCGGGCTTGCCATCGGGGATCTTGTAGATGCGGAACCACTCGTTGGTGGCACGGAGCAGGCCTGGAAGGTGTCTTTCGACATCCTCAATGTCGTTGAGCTTTGGTGCCAATGGGTCGTTGACATCAATGACGATAATCTTCCAGTCAGTCTCGCCTTCGTCCAACAAGGCCATGACACCGAGAATCTTGACCTGCTTGATGTCACCTGGCTTGGCGACAAGTTCACCGATCTCGCAAACGTCCAAGGGATCATTATCGCCTTTAGCCTTAGTCTCAGGGTGTGTGACATTGGGGTCTTCCCAGGTCTGTACATTGATCAGCCTTGCCGACTCTTGGTAATCTCCCGCCAAGGCTCCGTACCTGAGGAAATGCACCGTAGTTCCAAAGGTAGCCCTTGTGAGGGAAGCAGTTGCGAACAAATCGAAGTTTGCCCTTCTTGGTGTCTTGCTTGATGGGGTTCAAGTGCTCTTCCTTGGAGATCTGTACACAAGCGGCATTAGCTATTGTACGATATGGAGCATTATTAGAGTAGGAACAGGTGCTATCAGAGAGTCAGGGACGTGTGAACTTACTTCCATCTTCGCATTGGTCCATCGAGGGACCTCAACGATCATGTTCAGTACGGTCTGTTGCTCATTGGCGTACAGTGGAATATCATGGAAAGGAGAGACTGGGACGCCATCTTTTTCGAGGTAGATGCGGTGCTCCAATGTATTTGGAGCCCCAATCTTGCGGGTAGTGAAGCCTGAATTAGCCATACTAGCGATAGAGTGTGATTGTTTGAAGTGGCCAGCTATTTGGGATGATCGGTGTTGAAATTTGGTGGGCGTTGAGCTGGCCGTAGTGGGGTTGGCCGATTCCCGGGATGAAGTGGCGGCCAGCGTAGTAATCGTCACGGTCGGCAGTCTGTGTAAGACTACCCGACGCCTGAATGGACAAATTGAGAAGAGGCCTCCTTTGGCTTTGTTGCTGTCAATTGCTCGAAGGATCCTCATCAGCTCCTGGTTAGAGCTCCTGGTCAAACCCCTAAGCCCTCTCGTCCACGATAATCACGAGACACACTGTAACCAGTGATGGAGGGACCTCGGGAAAGATTTGTTGCGTCCGGAACTGCTTCAGGGATGCGCTACGACATATGGAGTAAGTCTCGTGCCAAGCTTAGTAAGCCACACGAACTGTTTTCAAGTCATTGTGAATTGGCAACGAGCTTCTTCGCTTTTCAGTTTGCGGTGCAGACTCGACTTATATCTATATCATTCAATACAGCCTATTTGGGCGTCGAAGTCCTTCATATACTATATTCTCATCCCGTTTGGTCTCGCTCCGATCACAATATTCTTCGTCAAACTCGTCAGAATTCCCTTTTTCAATATCGAATAGGTCAATCCCACCTTGTACAAACGTCGAGCCTAGAGTCTCGAAAGCAGGTCCCTGTACAGACCCTTCAACATATTCCTCCGGTAGATCTTCGCCATCTCCTTCGATTTCAGGTATCCAAGGGGCTTGAACTGACCTATGTTCCCAATTCCATTGATCCGCCGACGCAAAGAAGGAATTCCGGGCCTCCAGTGGTCCTGCTTCAGACGACATGATGCCAAATGAGGGTGAACATGTTGCCGACTGGTCTGTATCAGGCAACATGCGTGCACCGGCTGTATGGTCTCTGAGCATATGCGCCGGCGCGCAACATCCCCTATATTCATTTCTCACTGTGCTAGATAAAGGCTTACTGGTGGCCCTTTCACACGTCATAAGAATTTTAGCTAGGGATGAAGAGCTTCTCGGTTCAATATCGCACATATCTCCATGTGAGGTGGTAAGAGTCGCGTCGGCACTTCTATGCAACTCCCTAGGAATGCCCGATTCATACTCCTCTTGCTGGGGATCTATTTTATGAGGTTCAAGCTCGATATTTGGCTGTTTGAGTGCATGTAATGGACTACATACTGTCCTGATGTTTCTCGTCGGAGTTGATGAAGCTTTAGCTGTAAACAAGCCTGAATCAATCATGATGGGCGTAAGCACGACTGGTCGACTAGGAAGGCTGCTGATGTCTCCCACCACAGGCTCACTTCTGGACCTAATTGGTGATCTGGGCTGGCCCTCTTCGGATGTTCTGACTGGCCTCATTTGCTCGAAAGCACGGTGAATAGGTTTGCAATGATCACCGACGACTCGAGGACGTATGGAGACACCTGACACAAGTTTCATCGAGGTTTCATCCTTGGCGATCTCGCCTGACGGTATTCCTACACTTGTTGCTCTGATCGATTCAGACCATAGTAAGTAGCTACTGCTAGGTGGCTGCATGCCTCGAGTCTCTCGAGCTGATGACGCCTTCTGCGAGGGCTCCACGTCAGGTTGTGTGAAACCGGATGTTTCGGCAGCTCTACATCTAGCACGTTCTGGAACTAGATGGCATGGCTCATGAAGCACCTGTCCTATATGGTCGATCTTTGATGATTGATCTCGCATTTTGAAGTACGCCGAAATCTCTTGCTCATTACTTCTGGTCTGGTCTTTGGTTTTCCTCCTTTTTGTTTGAGCTTCTCTCTTCTGCTGTTCCTCGGACGGCTTCTTTCGCTTTTGCAAGAAGCGCATTTCCGAGAAAACCAAATCAGGTACTGCACGAAGTCAGCCTCTTGTCGAGCTGTAGTGGCATCATTGTTACATCCACGACCCTTAGCAGGCGACGAGGCCTTCCCGCGCCCGAACAAGCCGACCGAATCCGACAATTTGAGCTGCAGTGATGGTCAGAGAAGGTCCTAGTCCTTGTAACAACGGCCGCACCGTGAGTCGCTCCTTTTTAACATTCTTTGCATGAAAAGACTGCACGATGCCCACGCCACGCTTCTCACGCCTCTCCCTGCCCTTTCGTTTCCGTTCGGCTTTACGATGGTGCTTTTCTTTCTTCCTGTTCTGGTCTCTGCAGTCCTTTGTTTCGCTTTCTTTGTACTCATATCGATCGGTCCGAGTCTTGCGCCTAGGCTTTCGATCATATCGGTCACTGGAAGTTTTAGAGCTCCGAGTCAAGCGGCTCGAACAGCTAGACGAACGCGTGGATGCTTCAGCCTTCTGTAGAACTCGATCGCGAGCATTTGTGGTTTCCTGGGGTGTAGCGAATGTGCAAAAAGCAGGCTGGATAATGGAGCTGTCAGACGGATGCCTGGGAGATTGTTTCCGCTTCTTCGTTTCGCTGGCTCCAGCTTGCTCAATGCTGTTGTTATCCTCCTCTACCAACCAGGTGTCATCCAGCCATCGCTTGATATCCATGCTTCTCCACGGATTTAGGTGTGGCTCGGAAGTAGCAGAAGTATCGTAAGTTGAGGTTTGTTCAAGATCATTTCGAGAAAGTGCAATCGTCTGGAGCGGCTGCCCCATGCTGATGGTACCAAAAGCCTAATTGTTTCTCTACACAGATGAAATACTTCTGCTATTCAACTTTCCTGCTGCATGACTTACACACGTCCGATCCTCTCGCTTTAGGTATGCAACACGATTGAACATGAAGAGAAACGTGAAGTGGCACGTGTACTGCTCAGATACAGTATCAAATGTTAAAAGGTCAAATGACCCAGACCATGAGAACATTCTGTAAGTCTTATTAAGCTCTGTAGTTAGGTGTCAGGATCTGAAAGAATTGATAGTGTAAAGACAGCCTTGCCGTCTGGTGTATAATACTACGACCAGTTGTGTTGACACCATAAGTCTTCCCTGGACCAAAGCTGCTACGCTCTTACAGCGAGTTGCAAATGGAGAACAAGTGATGTGTTAATAATACTTACAGTAGATGCGAAACTCCGAGACCACGTGACATACATATAACGGTCCGGCTTGTCGTATAATGATAGCACGTTAATACCATGTCATTAATCACAGCAACACCAGATCGAATAATTAGAATGCCAATCCATTGGTCCCGCGGGGCTTAGCCGAGGTGTCTAGCGTCCGCCAGCCGGAAGGAAAATCGCGCCGCCTCTTCTCATTCCCAGCATGGCATACGGCCCTGGTGCATGCATGGCGCATACCTGTGCATAATGCAGAATGCAGAATGCAGCAAACACATAACTCATACAGGCCTCTCTCACAAACACGGTCACGGTCCATAGGTAGGCTTGCGGGAAAGCCAGATGCTGCAGAGAATCCTTGCAATGGGTCTGCCTTGTATCAAGGTCAGGGGCCAGCTCCGATGATCTTGTCGACGCTTGATAGGAGGACCCGACCTGTGAGTACGAGACGGTAGCTTTGAAGCAGTCATCAGTGACAGAACAGAGCCAAGCCAGAACCATACATAATAGGCACTGGGCAAATCATAAAATAACTCTCGGGGAGTCGAGGGTACGTACCTTATGTAGCAGCACCTGTTACAATATTCTCCGCGCTTCACACTAGCGGACTGCCAATGATCACCAGGAGTCGACCAGAGCGACCATCGCCGGTTGACGCCATCGATTTTCGGCGAACAAGTTCATGCTCATGCTACTAATTGGTGTCAGTGACCCGCCGTCAGCGCTGGTGGCCAGATACAGCCAATGTACTGCGTCTGCCAACAATCCTGGTCCCTGCGTCTACCAGCACCTTTTTTGATGCCTCAACATGATTCGTGTCTACTACCAGCCACGCAGCCTGTGGAGTCCATGGAGATGTCCAGAATGCCCATGCCCTTTGGTTGATCTAGCAAGCTTCCGTTCATCGCCTCGCCTATCACGGCTTCAGGATTCCACTGGTGATGGCCCACTGAGCTGAGCTTTCTCGGCCGTTTGCTTTTATTGGTGCCCTATAAGGCCACATATGGTCCGTAATGAATGGCCCGCATGGTAGCCTGGTCCCGTGTCCACCTCTTGCATCTGAGCAGTTTAGACTATGCCGATGCGGACAAGACAGTCCATGCCATGGAGAATGACGCGCAGTTCACTTACACGGACAGTCTGGTCAATCTCTTCACCGGCTGCACATTCTCTCCATTCTCGCAGTCGTTGTTCTGAGAGTCTGAGCCCGAAGTTGCCATCATCGACGACCGTGGACTAATCAGCCGAAAGACTAGACCATTCATCATAATACCTACGCAGTTTCCGTGTACGAAAGATCAACCCTTCAGGTGGTAGTAAGTGAGTTGATTCCGTTAGCGCCTTTCTGACCCGACGGAAAGAGGGGTCGTTCTTTCTTCCACTCTTGCCTGACACTTAACATTCCTTCTTTCACCTTCGTAAACAGTCTCACTTTTCCAATTTTCACATCACCTTCTATCTCTCGTCGACTACGAGCTTATCACTCACTTTGTGAAGTCCCAAATTTACCTCACCTCATCCTCACCAAACAGCCTCGTACGTTGCGCGGCGCATCCAAGCGCACTCTCTATCCTTCTTCCACTTCCTGGCAAGATCTTGTCTACCACTTTTCTAATCGCATCGCACAGAGAAAGCCGCACGTCGGTCAAAAGCGCAACATGCAAGACTCCGGCGAACAGGATCGGGAAGCTACTCTCAAGCTCTTCGTTGGGTATGTCTCGGGCTAGCGTTCATCAGACAGACTATCTAATCAGCTCATGTAGTGGGCTTGCGTGGCACACCGATGATGCTACCCTTCGTCAGAAGTTCGAGGAATTTGGTTCTGTAGTCGAGGCTGTACGTTGCCGCTACTGCCTACAAACAAACCTGCGCGTCCTGACACAAGAGCAGACTGTCGTCAAAGATCGCGACACCGGCAGGAGCCGAGGTTTTGGCTTTGTGCGCTACGAAGAATTGAACGATTCCATCAAAGCCAAGCGAGCCTTCGAAGAGCCCACCGAGTAAGACCCCACCCGTCCAAAACTGCAGCGAGGAGTTGAATTACCTCGTATTTGCGAAATGCTCCAACAGTATTAATAACGAGACTCAGGTTTGATGGTCGTCAGATCCGTGTCGATTACGCAAAGGACAACACCGACAGGGCCGGTTCTGGAGGCGGCTACGGAGGTGGTCGAGGAGGCCGTGGTGGCTATGGTATGCTTGCATATTCCCCTTAACCCCATGTCCGCTAAAGAAGTTCAGGAGGTGGAGGTGGTTACGGTCGAGGAGGTGGCGGTGGTAAGCAACTTGCAACATCACTTGTATTCTTCGGCTGACTCGAAAACTCCCAGGCTGGGGCGGTGGTCAGCAGCAATATGGCCAACAATCCTATGGTCAACAATCCTCCTACAGCGGTGGTGGTGGTGGCGGCTACAACCAAGGTGGTTATGGGCAGTCTGGCCAGGGCTATGGCGGACAGCAAGGTGGTGGAGGCCAATATTGAAAGCTTAACGATGCATAGTCAGTATAATTCTCGCTCACATATTGAGGCCATCGATCGAAGTAAGAGACGGAGGGCAACACCAAAACGTGCTTTCTGAAAATCTGGCTTGCATATGGGGAGAGTGTTCGACAAGTTATTCTACACTGGTATCAATCTTGGAGACTTGGGAGGGTTTGCATCTCTTTACAGAACAGACATCTGGCGCATGATACCCAAAGCGGATCTTAGTCAAGACTATTTCGATTATACACACTCAATATCCACTCTCACAGCCACAGTTCCACTTTACGGAAACCTCCGAGCTGGCTAGGCGAGTTAGAGCTAGCGTGCACCAGGATCCATCCCCTCCATAGCACGAGCCGAGCGCCTCCACATGGGCCATTTCAACCCCAGATCAACACCTCACCTTGCTTGCCTCTTACCTACGCCAACAAGGATGCGTGCATGTGTACGACGAACCGCTGCAGCTACCATTGTCTTCTACTAGGTACAAATCGCGTAACCTCACGGTCGATACACTCAATCTCCGGCCTAGCATGTCTTTCGATTCCCAACCTGCTTGCCTTTCTCTTTCGAGACAGACGTTTCCCACCATTATAAGCCGCAGGCCACCCTAACATATTTTGACTATCGAGCAACAAATCTTTGTGCTTTGCTTTATCTACGACGGGTTCAATGATCCTTCGAAAGCGGAAAAGACATGCAGGTGACAACGCAAATGATGGTCAGGTTGCATACAGCTCAAGCGCCATATCTGCAACTAAGGCTTTACTGCACGACAGCCTCCAGTCTTGTAAGCGCAAATGCCGCCTCCTGAGTCTTACACGGGAGAGAAACAGAACCATTTACCTTCGTCGGGCCCGTGTCTTACGCGTCGCACAACAATATCCTCGTTTCCTCACATGCAACTCTCAATCCCTCTATCTAGATCTACCGTTGCATTTCAATGGACGGAAAGCGTATCCGGTCTCTCAAGGGCGCTGCTTTTAGTAACGACAAATGCATGACGCCTCCAGGTACCTCTTCTCGTGCCACTCATGTAGATCTGTATCTGTTCTTGCTTCTTTGCTATTATACTGTGCGATAGGCCTCATGAACGGCGCGAGGTGCGATAGGTTCCTTCGATAGTAGACCTATCTACGCGTATGTGTGTTATACCATCGAGACCGTTCCGAGGAAAATGATGAGTTTTCGATTATCATGAGCTCGTTGAGTGTTGCGGAGTCGATTCATATGCCTAATATCCGATCGGCGGAGAGGTATAGAAACGAACAACCTGGTTTGAAAGTCTAACAGAGACAAGGATAGAAGTGTGGTGTCTTACTATAGACCAGGATAGGTTAGTTGATGGGTAGCCCATTACGACTACTCATCGGCAGAGTACGCAATGCAGAACTACATTTGATTTATTCGATCAGGAACCCTTATATCATCGTAGCTATTATCCAAGCAAGCACTAGATTCATGTTTCATAGCTATATGAGTATAGTTGATATAATATAGTGTCGATACGGATATATATGTCGGAGTGATATCCGCGTCAAGGACCGCTAGGGTCTAGCACGTTTATCTACTGCATTATTTGACGATATCAGTCCTACCGAGTACTATAAACATCTACATCGTGATATCGGACATAGTCTACGTCTAATTCTCTATACATTCCGTAGTTCTTAGTAGACCATCGTCTGAGATATTGATGAAATTAGTGTCTTTCGTACAATGCAGCTTCGCGCTCTGACGAGACTATCTGGGTGATATAAGTGACCCGTTCTATCTGTATCTAAGTGACTGGATTGGGTATATATCGCATCTACTAGTGGAACTCCCAGGCACGATTCGCTCATGTGCACATACTAGGAGCTGCAGGGTTCTCCATTGATCTAGGTGTCTTTCAGGGTCTGTCGAAGTCTGTTGAGGAATATTATCATGGTTGTGACCAAACATCGTGCACACCAGCTCCGCAGACGCACAAACGGTGGCCTGTTCGCTATAGATGCCCACGAAGTATATGTAAAGTCGCGACCTGCACTGCCGAAGTAAGCTTAAGCATTGGTTCTCATCGATCGTGAGACTCGTAGGGTCCTTGACACGCTAGCATTCGATTAAGCTCGTAGGTCGCAAGTTCCCATAGTTTACTGAAATTTGAATCGCCAGACATGCGAATGTTGATATTGAACAACATCCGGAGAGTTATGTCTCGGGAATCTGGGCCCGAGAAAATTGTCGCAGAAAGCCTCGAGGAATGTGCAGCCGGTTAATAATTCTATCGAAATGATCTTTCTATCCGCCCCAAAAGTATGTCAAGCTTCCCAGAGTTGTGTTCATATGTTGAGACTACAGTACGAATGATGTGAACAGCCTTTATAAGATAGATAGGCTAGGTCACCAGAGACCTCGAGGATTCTACCATGAATCATATTATCAGAGCATGGCGAAAATGAGTTTACCATTTGTCTACTATGCAATCGTCTTCATCTATCTTTAGGTGAGCGTGCTTCATGACCTATAAACTCAATTCCTTAGATCAGAGCATTCTGAGGGCTGCATTGATCTCGAAAAAAAAGGGGGAGAAATTAGATGGTGCCATGCTCTCGCCTGGTGTTATGGTGAAATGTAGGTTAGAATTATCAACATATTGCGACCCCCTGTACTGATAGTTATATCATCCAGTGCTGTGATTCCGTACAACGTTCATCGCAGGGCATATGTCTTGAAGTGGCCATACGCATACTATGATCTCTATCCAGTTCGTACATAGCAGGAGCTTATGCTTATAAAGACGAATTCTTACCTCACCAATAGACTTTTAAACTTTTACCACAGACATAATTTTAGTCTAGCAGTTTATATTAATGGTGATCCAGGGCTAATTTGAAGCCTCTTAGATTCTCGTATCGTTCTTAGTTAAAATACCTGGACCCTATACAGGTCTGTTCTGTATGGATCTTTATATTTGGCTTTTGATGCAGTCGAACTGCTGTCGAACGAGCCAGTGTCTAGCCAGTTGATAGTCTGGCAAGCAAAGTTTACGGAATATCTACCCTGAGATTCAGCTAAGCGCCGCGCTCTTTAACATTACGTTGGTTGAAAAAGAGAATATCGATCTAGGAGCAGTTATTGGACTATCTTTGTGATCTTTATTATCGCCCCAAGGATATGAATTGACTTTTGAGCTTACGTGGAGTTCCTGTATCTAGCTGTAAGGTGAATACTGTGATGCAGACATCTCTTGACTCGGTTGGCGGTAGGAGTGTTGGTAGGTGGAGAACGCTCATACCACCAGTATCGAGTGGCGTATACACACGACTTGTGATTGAGAGTATCTGCCCAGTCGCGGCCCTTGAGCATATCAAATACCTTTTCTGTGGTTTATTAATGGCGCATGTTTGATGTTAGGGTCAGTCAGGCTAACGCTTGATAGAAGCGCCGTTTAGGCTCTCAGCCTCACCGTCGTCTAAACAGACCGATGATAGGTCCACGCGGTGGTCGCCTGAATCCTATTTGTCTTGGCCCTCGTTTATGCTCACATCTTATGTATCTACCTTTAAGATCAACGATATAAGAAATTTGAGCTAGAGAAGCAGAGAGGGGCAAACCCCCTCGCGTATGAGTGCTAGGAGTAATAGGATTCCGACAATGCATGGATTCTAGATTACCCTGCATGTCTACATGGTACCACAATGTCTACAGTCTTTGGAATGCCAGAAGCTGAGAGGCGTATTCCGTGGTGAACATTGCTGCCTGTTAAGGCCGAGCACCGGTTTGTCATCGTGAGGTGGTGGCCATAGGAAATACAGCATACTCAACTCGAAGCTGACGTCGTGTGTGACCATATCTTTCCAGCGACCTATTTTCAGACCAAGAAGATCTTATAAGGACCGAATAGAGCGATCCGGATAGATCAATTGTCAATGACCGATCTCTCGTGCGAGACCCACTTTCCGCAACGGACCGATCGCGGGGCGGGGTCCGTGCTACAAGCATCAGATTGACATATAAGCTCCAGATTGAATAACATTGATTCAGGTTATCGGTACATTCGCTTCTCATTCGAGAGTTTCAATTATCCCTCAAGAAGCACATTTTACACGTACAAGTCACATCACTCCTGGAGCAATGGCTGAGAAGATTATTACTATCGTTGGGATCACTGGCAATCAGGTTCGTACCATGTTGTCCAGTGCTCAACCAAACCACTGATCAACATACTCAAGGGCGCGTCAGTTGCTGAAGCGTTCCTAAACGAGCCAGGCTGGAAGATCCGCGGCATCAGCCGTGACCCAACTAAAGCATCCAGCAAAACATGGAGTGACAAAGGCGTCGAGATGGTCGGGGCCGACCTAGATGATGTCACGAGCTTGAAGACGGCATTCAAGGGCTCTAATGCCATCTTCGGAGTCACAGACTTCTGGCAGCAAATGCGAATCCCCGCTAATCAGCAGAAAGCCAAAGATACCGGCAAGCCCATCAATGTCATCTCCTACGATGCTGAGATCCAGCAAGGCAAGAATATTGTCGATGCAGCTCAGGCGACCGCGGATACTCTGGACATTCTCGTCTTGAGTGTCCTTAGCGACAGTAAGAAGTGGTCTGATGGAAAGATCACGTGGAACTACCATTTCGAGGGCAAATGGCGCGTAGTCGAGTATCTACAAACCACGTACCCTGAACTGTACCAGAAATCATCCTTCTTCCAACCTCCATTCTTCATGACCAACCTCGAGAATATGATGACGCCTAAGGAAGTGAGTTTCCTCTTTGCTCCTGAAATTGCTGTGCAAGTACACCACTGACTATGGTAGACCCCGAATGGCTACGTTCTGAGCTTTCCCACCGATGGTGACAAGCAGATTCCAATGTACCATCCCACGAAAGATACTGGTATCTGTGTGAAAGCCCTCGTGAAGTCCAGCCCAGGCAAGAATCTCATGGCATATGGCACTGAAATCAGCTTTGATGAGATAGCACAAATTTGGAGCCAGAATTTGGGTAAGCCGGTCAAATACCAGCGTTGTACGGTTGAGTTTATGGACAAGATTATGCCCGGTGGGATGGGTATGGAATTGGGTGAGATGATGGAATACATTAGCAGTCCCGGCTATTATGGTGGCGACAAAGCTGTCAAGGAGTTGGGGCTAATCACGCCGAAAGATGTGAGTATTGAATGGTATTGGCACTCTAACTTTCCCCATACTAACTGGAGAACAGCTTGGTATCTCAGGCCTTGCTGAAGTCAGGGATTTCCTCAAAGGGAAGACTCTGGGCTGATAAGAAGAACTGACAACACGTTCATAGCCTATCACTTTATAACTATCCTTCTTCGCCAATGTAGATGAGCTAGTTATTCAAAAATACATCATTCAAAACTTTCTCTCCCGTCTCACCACTCACACGATTAGGCTCCGAGCCAATCACGACACCTAGCGCACGCACCCACTCGTCCGTGTGATTCGAAATCCTGAACTCGTCAGCTACACAACCCACACAGTCTCCCAGTAACGACTGTACGTACGCATGCATCATGCCTCGTTGCACAATAACCTCCCCTTCTTTACACAACGTTTCCACAGGCTGGCTATAATCCGGCTTCCCATCTATGACAGAATACGCTTGCTCATCGGGCGTCGTGAGAGTGAGTGTGCCATTCAGAACTATTACATAGTCCGTAGACGTCGTGCGGTGCTATTGCTTATCAGTACAAATTTCTAATGCTTTGTGCAAACAAGGAAGCGAGCCTACCATCACACCAACCGTCCGAGGCGCAATGTCCAGATAGTAAATATTCAAACCACCCGGAAGCGCGATTCCGGCGCCCGGGATATCGTCGAGAGGCAGCTCGCCCCTTTCACTGTCAGTCAACGGAGCGATAACGCTTTTCGTCCTGTGCTGGACAGGGACACCTACGAGCCATCGTTGCTACTAGGCACTTGTCTATGTGTGCCAACGCGATGCCTGATCAGCGTGCCTCCAAAGAGACTCTCTGACGGCAATACCTCTGCTCGTACTTCGACGCCTGGCTCATTCTTCCCTTCTGCGTTTACGGACAGGGGTAAGTTTGATGCGATGACGCGACGGGGTCGTGGGAGGATGGCAGCGGTGGATGATGCCATGATATATGTATGCGAGCCTGAGAGAGACGGTTTGAAGGGCGATTCTACTGCTGTAATTGAGCGTGTGAGTCTGGTGCTTTATATGGATAAGATAGATAGAGTCATATTTGTAAGGCGCATCATGTTTAAGAGTGGCGTGTCCAGGTTTCTGCCCCAGGCTTACAAATGTCTAGCTGTTAACTCCGCCGGGTTATGCCGTGGGGCCAGGAGTACAGCAAGAGAATAGTGCATGCCTCATAGAATGCTCTGTATGGGAAGGATAATTAGTTATCGTGCGTGTAAGTGCTGCTTATATCCAGTGGCTATATGGGTTTAGGATGATACTCAGAAACCAAAGCTACCATTGGACGGCAGCGGCCAGACGAATAAGCAATTACATCTCCAATGCGAACGCATGTTCATCTGAAGTAAGAAACATTATAGGTGAACTGTGATTGGGAGCATAAAGCGTTGCATACGATCGCGTAGTTCATAATGAGAGTGTATCATGGATGTGTTCTGTCTTATGTTGACAGCTTATTCAACGTAAATGACACTAAGACATACTTCATTTACACATCATACAGTTCGTATAAGCATAGCGATGAAACATCTCCATCATAAGGAACTTCCCCTTTGGTAAGTCTCCACTACTTGCGTGAATCTTTCTAGAAGGCCGATCTGACTCCTGAACGAGCACTTGGCACTATCTGACTCTGCTATTCCATCTAACTTCATCCTAAAATGTGAGCTCAAACCTGAGTCATCAAGCTGTCCTTGACATGAGTAGTATGCAGTAACGCAAATGGAACAGAAATGCATATCTCGGTCTTGGAGAACAGCAGCTTGGAAAGTCTGACATGTCGCGATGGTCTTAAAGCTCAGAGTCATGAATTATTATGGTATGTTTTGTGACGAAGGAACGATTTATTGTGAATAGAGACGAGTGGAATATATGAGGAGTCTGTGCATCGAAGAACATTGAGTCTTGCTGAGTCGACGTGTGAGCCGGGCTGTTGACAGAGTATGTCTAAGAAAGCAATTTGATATATGGATTAGAGAGTTCAGACCTCTATATGACTTCAAGAGAATAATGAGTGCATGAGAAATGAAACATCCAAGCCTCTCATAAAGGTTACTAAGTCTCATACGCGACAGATTTCTTCGCTGTCGATGACGTAGTCAGTCAGAGCATTGTCCGAGCATCGCTAGTGCTTTACATACAAGTGAGGATAGACAGTATCAAGTGTGACACCATACCTGAAGACCTAGTTCGAAGATGTAATGACACAGTAAAATCATATCTTGACCACGAACTGTCAATTCCTAGTCCACTCGACTTGCGTGCACGCACCAGAACACAATGAGAAGACATAGTAATCCATCCGACCTCGAGTCAACTACGACTCATGCACATGATTCACACATTCACCTGAATCTTCCAATACCAACCGTCTCGCCTGACCCTGCATGCCAATACAGCTTGTCTCCCAAGCACTGCACCGTAAACATCAAAGTCACAGAAACACACTAATACCAATACATCCCCTGTCACCGCCCTAAACCGAGGACCTATAACCCCTAAACACCCATCCTCACATGTGCCTCCTCTCGCCACTCAGCCGCAGCCGCAGTCCCAGCACGACGGTCCACCCGTCCACCAGGACGCGATCGTAACCCACAAAATCGTTACCCTACGCCGCACTCTCGGGTCCTTCCTCATCACCGGCTTCCCGCGAGGATCAGGATCGCGCTAGAACCCGCCAGGATGTATGTTCTCAAAGGATATCGTTATCGCCAGGATAAGACAGACTGCGAAGCAAGGGGGATCCCAGCATTTCATCACAATCACACATGACTCTCCCTCCCACTCCAACTCCCAATCCAGCCAAGATGCGCGCGGCAGGCGCTTCTTGGAAGCGCGAGGTTGGCCAAGCTAAGAGTGCCAGTGCCGTAACTCGCTGCGCAGTAGTGATGAGAGATTCCGTATGCTTGAAAGGGAAGGTTTCACTGGGGGCTTGACTCGAGAGCGTTTGAGGGAAATGGATCGATGGGCGCGTGACCTGGTGGGACATGTGGTCAAGTGGAAGAGTGCGGCGTAGTAAATAAAGGATTAGGAGTGTGGTCTCGAGGCGGGGCTGATAGGGGGTTGGAGGACTGTGCGATAGAGGAGCAGAGGACTCGGTGTAGAGCAGCAGTGATTGACTTCGCGAGTGGAGTTAGGGCATTGGATGGATTGGTGTCTGAGCTGCTAGTAATCAAGCAGCGAGCAGCGTACGCATCGAGCAGAGGACGATGAGCGATGCTATCGTGAGCATTTCTACATTCACATCTCGCGAATAAAGGTCGTAAGGATGTATATGCACATGCCTATAAGTCCTCCTTATACACTTCCTCACTACCTTCCTGCCCATCTGCATCTTCATCTTCCTTGACATCTGCGGTTTCAATGATTCCCCTGAACTCTCTTCCTCGAGGAGTATCGACAAGGTCTAGCCTCCAGACCTGTCCCTTTGCTAGCCTACTTAGGTCGCGCTTCGCCTTCTCAATCTCTTTGACACGAATCTCATACTGCCGCATCTCGCGTTCACTCATCATGAATCCATCACTTGCAGCGAGGGTTCCAAGCAGAAACTCCTTCCCACCGCCTACAACAACACCTTTCTCGATTTCTCGGCCGGACTTGCCCACAAGATGTTGCGCGCCAACAGGGATACCGCCGATGACCGGGCGGAGAGGCACTGTAGGCTTAGATGCAGCAGCAGTCATCTCCTTGGAGACCTCATTGACTTGCTCGAGTCTAGAGGTGAGTTCGCTAAGGCCATCATCTGGAACAATGATTTCGCACGAGATAGTATTGGGCTTGTCTTTTTGAGGGGGAAGAAATGCGACATCATTACACAGACGTGGCGTTTGGATGACCATCAGGTATGAACAGGTGCTAACTTCCTTGATCATGCCAATGCGGTCGGATGCGCTTGGATGACAATGGAACTATGCTCGAATTTAGTAATGTCCCTACGACAGCAAGAGGTGAGTTGAGAAATGACAGACCTGCACTTCGATTCTTCTCTCTTTACCCGTGAGATCACATTCTGTCCCGTCTCCTAACCTTTGAACCATATACCTGCTCTCCCCTTTCGTCTCTAGCCGCGTAAGGCTTTTCTCTTCGCTTGGCTCATCCTTAATGTCGTCCACCTGTGCTCGCTTCTCCGTGCCTCCTTTTTGGGGAAATCTTCCTAGCACATAGCTGTGTACACTTGGGTCCTCTGTCGGTGGATATAAAGGTATTCCCTTGCTTGGAGGTAGATGGTGGAACTGCTTTATCTCTTTATTGTAGCAGAAACTGTAGCTCCACCACCCACTCATGTGGTATATGCAGTCACCTTGCATCCCTTGTAGTAACTCCCAGCCACGATCGTTCGCGCGTGCCAGCTCGTTCGCTTCCTCCTCTGCCGATGCTCGCGACTCAGTCTCGTTCAATTGAGCCGGTGGAGCTACGGTAGGGATTCGACATAAGAAGTCCTGGCCTTCAAGCTTCAGAAGCTCATGCGTCGCTGGGCTGTCAGAGGACTCGTCATTGTATGTGAAGTCTCCATCATCCGCTTGTTTGTCACGCGATAGTATTTGCGTGTCTCGCGAGTCGGCAGAAGTATCCGTAGTGTCTGCGGCGGATGAGAGATGCAATGCCGCCTGACTTTCTGCAACGTAGCGATCGGGAAACTTGATTCGGTACTGAAAGGTGTTAGCCTAGCTCCATGTATTTGAAACAGCGATTTTTGTTGGTAAGAGTGCATCATTTGACGTTGGGCGCGTGTTCGCGCTCCGTGGTTTATGACGTACCTGTGGGAATGCTAATAGATCATCCTGCACACTGAAGGCGTGTTGGCCGGCGAGAACCAGCTTGAGAACAGCGGGTAGCGCCCAGAGACCCGTCTTCATTATGCCATGAGCGAGACGGCTGTGGAACAAGATATATAGGATGTGAAGTTGTAGTCAAAGACGCGCATAAATGTCAGAGCTTGAAGCCAGATGGCAGTTGCACTTAAGCAAGTTGCCGCTGTGGGACCGCTAAGTAAGAATTACGATCACGTCCACTAGACCATTAACCCACCAAGGAAATAACACAGCACGCACCACAAACGCGATATAGCTGTTGAGATGCAGTACCTATAGGTCCTTCATAATTCGCAGGTCTCATGTATTACTAGCAGTGTCTTGATTGTCCCCAAACACCATCGTCTCAATGCTGCACAACAACTGGCTTCCCCGGCTGCCAATTGTCCAGCGCCTCTCTGATATTTGTCCAATATCGCAACTTGATACTCTCCTTCCTAACACCGTCCCAGTCTTGTTTGCTACACGCAGCAGCTATAGCCTCTTCACTAGCCTCGATCCTACCCTGATTGACCTTCCTCAGCGCGAGCACTTGATCGTCTTTCTCTGCCTCTTCAATCTCCTCCCTTGCCTCAAGCACCTCCAGTAGTGTATCTTGCCCCACTGCCTCAGCCCCGGCGTCCTCTGCAACTTCAATGCCGCGTTCTGCGAGTATGTATTGTGCGCGTAGAAGCGGGTTCTTTAGGGTCTTGTATGCCTCATTTATTCGCGAGGACAGGGCTTCAGCTTGTCGCTTTCGTTCTGGTGGCGCGAGGTCTGGATGCGCCTTTGCTTGTAGCTGGAGGAACTCTCTGCGGAGCGCACGTAGATCGACCGCGAAGGGGCCTGTCGGCGGAGGTCCAGTCGGGATGGCAGTAGGGAAGAAGTCGTAATGTGTTTGAGGAACGTTGCGCGTATCCTCCCGCTGAGGCGAACTAGTGCTATAAAGCCTCTTGTAACATAGTCGAGAATATATCTGACAAGAGAGACGGCTGGTGCATGTGTCTCGCTGTGGACGCCTTTGCACAAGAGCACGCGAGCCGACAAGTTCAGAGTCTACGGCTGTGCGAAGCCAGCAAAGCGCGGCCCGTGAACTGACGCGCATGGCGATAATTTCAAAGAAGATAGTCTGATGGGTGTATGTAGGTCGCAGCAATGTATGAGATGAGTTCAAACTATTGAGGTTGCGAAGTTCTCAGCACGTCTTGGTAGCGCAATGCAAAACAACGTCATAACCAGTCTATCTATTTGCCTCAGGTTGTCTAGATATTTGCGCTTCAGACTTCGAATCTTGAAGATGTCCAAGAAGTTCTCCCCAATTGATTTATATACCCTCGTGCCTCATAGCATCTAGCTTAAAAGAATTTTACTGCCTCGCTGTCCATCGAAAGTGCGACAAGGATATATATAACAGATACAATATCCAGTACGCCGGGGGTATATTATGCTTCGTGGGAAACCGCTACTAAACCAGGGTAAAAAATACAAAATTCAACCAAGGAAACTATACAGCGCTGAGCGGTGGTGCTAAGCCGATGCGGCGACTTCTAGAGGCTCGCTGCTCATCATAGGCTCCGCAATAGGGGTTGGCAGAGATGCCGGCGGTTCATCTGAAACTTTTTCTGGCGTTACTGGGAGCGGTCCGTCGCCTGATACAGTCTTATCCTGTTCGCGCTCCTGGGAAGACTCTGCACTCTTTGCTGAGGCATTGTTCCTTGATGTATCTTGTTCGTCCTCACAGATCTCTGCCAGCTGTCTCGCAGGCGATTTAGCGTCAATTGGTCGAGGTGGGCTTGCTGTCTCACTGGCACTAGGTTCTGCTTTCACGCCGTTTACACTGGTAAGTTTATGAGGTGATCCATTTTGCTGGAAGTACCTGTCGGCACCTTGACTGCTTCCTCTGTGACCGTTGGGGAACACTTTTTCCATTATCTGAGAGTGCCGCTCATGGGCGTGGGGATCCACTCCTTCTGACGCGGGCATCGGGCTTGGTGAACCCGGTGTGTGCGTCGTATTGTACGCCAGACCTGAAGGGGGAGAATCTCCTACAGATTCTTCGGCCCTCTCCTGTTCCTTTCTGGCATGAACTTTACGCAAGTTCGCCGCACTGCTTTGTGATCGCATGTCTGGCCTGCCATCTTTGCGAATAAGTATGCCGTCAGAGTTGCGAACAGGCTTGGTCCTTGTCTTTTTCGTGTGTGCGTACGGGTCCTGCATTCGCGAAGCATCCATGGATACGTGGCCTGCTACCGGTATGACATTGCCATTGGAGTCACGACGCACGGACAAAGCAGTACTCTTGGTGTCTGGTGATACGCTGTTGTAGTATCCGAAAGGCCCAACTGGGCCACCCGGCCCTTCAATGTTTTCCCATTGATGACCAGGTGTGTTGAATTCAGATGGAAGACTCTTCCGACCTCGTCCACGCCCTCCGCCACGTCTAAAGCCCGCATGCATGTCGTGTTCGGGAAGCGCAGTCCGATGTGAGTCTGGTCGCCATCGATCTTCTCCGGGATGCTCTTGTGTGGACTGATATGCGATGAAACGGGCTGGCGTAGATTCTCCATATGAATTATGTGCATGACCCCGCATACCTGATTGATCTCCTTCCATTCTGTCAAAGTGACCATGAGAGCGAGATTCGCGGCTTTCACTGCGTGGCTCCAGGGTAGCTAGCTTTGGTCGTTTTGGTGAGTGGCTATGACCTGGGAACTCTGTACGCCCTTCAGATCCAGTTGAAAGACCCCGCTTTGCGCTAGGATTTACGGTGACCCATCCACTTGCTTGGGCAGCTTGACTTCCCACAGATCGTGAATTTTCGGACTCAGTTCTGCGTAGCGGCTCGGCACTCGAAACATGACCATAACCGTGAGCTTGAAGTTGGGGAGGATGTGGTTGTGATTGTGATTGCTCGTGATTAGTAGATTGTGGTGGTGGACCCACTCGTTCATGTGATTGCATCGGTGGAAGCAATGGGACATGTTCACGAGGACCTGACTGGGGGGACAGCTGCGAATGCGATTGTACATGTGTGTGGAGCTGCGTCTGTGATGTTGGGGGTGGTGGACGATTATGTATATGTGTTGATTCAGTATGGTGATGAGATGATGGAGCCTGCGGGGCTGGTACGACTGTTGCTTGTGTGTGCGCTTGTCCATGCATCGACTGTCGCGTTGATGGCTGTAGATGGCTATGGCTATGTGCTGACTGTGACCGGTGCAGTGGGTGAGCTGCCTGAGATGTATGCTGTGATGTGGGCTGCGCTTGCTGATGAGGTTGATTTGAGTGCGAGTGTGGGTGGGCATGACCATTTGGATGCGGATGTGAGCTGGATTGAGAGTGTTGGTTGGAATGTGAATACACACGCGAATGAGGTTGCTCGCGGTTGTTTTCTCGTGGCTGATGTTGGTGATGGGATTGTGAATGCTGCTGCTGGTGTGGCAACAGATTATGGGAGCGTGGAGAGTCGCGAGAAGGGCCTGTAGGTGCTGGAGCTGAACTTGGTATTGGACGAGATTCCTGGCGAACCTCAGGTCTGGAGCCTGGTGTGTGTACTCTAGGAATGGGCTGTACGGGGTGGTAGACATCTCTTGCTAGCCCATGACCAACAGCTTCACGAGCTGGAACGTACTGTGGTGAAGAAGCACTATGTGCCAGGGGTTCGGGCTTCGGTGGTAGTCCTGCTGATGCAGATTTGTCCAACCGCGCGACTCGTTCCTTCATGATCTGCATCTGAATCTTCATATCCTCAATTTCGCCCAGTTTGGGCCTCATCTGCTCTAGACTTCTCGCGAACAGCTCGATGGTGGTAGCATCTAGTGACGTTGCCGGTGCTGATGTTACCGCTGCCGGAGCGTGTATGGGTCTATGACGCAATTCAGCTCGTGTTTGATCGAGCACTTCCTGCATAATGCGAAATTCTTCAGCAAACCTAGAGATGGCTGCGTCTATGCGTTGCACGTCGTGAGACCAGTTTTCTTGCTGCCTCTGCAACTTTTGCACGTCTCTACGCTGTTGATCTAATGCAGCCATGTTCATGTTGGTCTGACTCTGAATTCGGTTGTTGGCATCCATGAGAATAGCATACTGATTTTGGGTTACTGGACATGCTTGTCCTACGGGTAGTCCATTACTTTGTTGATGCCCGTTTGACAGTGGTACTTCCCGATAACGTTGATGAGGAGAGTGATATGCTTCATCATACTGTTGTATATCGCTGCTGGACATTGGATGCGGACGCGGAGGTGCCGCTGGATACGGCTGAGAACGTTCTCGTGGCGACTGTAAAGATATCTGTCGTGAGTTTGCACCCTTCTGGGATACAGAAGCTTGTGAGGGTGATCGTACATGACCTTGGGGATGCTGTTCTTGCGAAGTCTTCTGGTCTTGAGCCTGCGACGCCGGCCTCGTAGATGGCAGGGGCAGGGATTCCATGGTGGCTTCGCGCCTGGATGCTACCGAGTGGGCTTTCGGTTCGGAAAGTTGGTGCTGGCGGCGATCCTCCATGATGACGGGCTCTACAGATGCGTCGGAATCAGGGCATTGTAACTTAATATCACGAAGTTTAAAGAAACGCTGGCGACTAATCCGGACGGCAGGTTAGTCAATATTGCAGTCACAAAGGAAGCCGGAACGACAAAGCATTCTCTGTCTGGGGAAAGTGGTTGAAACCAAACCAATAGATGTTTCTTGCTGGTCTTATAGCCAGAACAAAGGATATAGATATGCATCTATTGGTCCAGTGACATATAGAAGATGCAGAGATCAAGGCACATGCTTGATCGGGGAAACTTACCGGCCGTATTTTTTGCGCTGTAAAGGAAGACACGTTACGAATAGGTGCTGGTCGTCTGTCGAATAGGATATACAGTTCTGATTGTTGCAAGCGTAGACTTCGAAGTTGGAGCTGCGCAAGAAGGGGGTCGGTTAGCACTTGAAAAGGAAAGAATGCTAGAAGGAGCGAAAAGGGAAAGAAGGCACTGATAAGGGTGGGCTGGGGTATAGTTATGTACAGAGTAGTAGAAAGGGATAAGGGCTGAGTGTTAGTCCCGACCTCAGAGCTTATTTTGTGCTATAGCGGCAAAGTCAAGTGCTAAGGTCAGGACCAGGAAGTGAAAAGTAGTGAAAGGAGTGGAGTGTGTGAAATTGGGACTAGTGAAATCAATCTAAAAGCGAAGTAATAGTAGAGCGATCCGTCCCAGACAAAATCACTTGGCTCAGGCTGAGGAACAGCCGGCGCTTGGACCGTACCGGGTACTCGAGGCGTGCCAGGGTAGGAATGGAAATGGGAAACGCAAATGGAAATGGAAACATGAGGCAAGCAATGCATCGTCTGCAGACTCGGTAGCCAAACATGCCATCGCCGTATGCTACAATGGGTGCATGAGAAGGAGAAGCTTGCTACCCAGGCCAGATCGCTCCCGCAACGCCGCTCCCGTGAATCGCACGTAGGGATTCAGGAAGCATGCGTACATTGGACGTGTGGATCTGTATCGTGATCTTGTACTGTGCCGCAAGCTCCTCATTCTCTGTACTCGATTTGGAGAACGTGTCCACGCCAGGTTGTTCCCAGAGTCATGGTTCTGATGGGCGGGAGTCAAGGAAACAACTTTCGTCAACTTACTAGTGGTTGAGCCCTGCAATCGACTCTGTGTCTCCTTGGATTTGGAGTATTTTCGATCCCCAAGATGGAGTCCATGAACCCGGTGCTGTTAGTTCGAAGTATTCATCGGCCATTCGGATCCATGAATTTTTTAAGGTTCCAATGGCTCCATTCTTACAGTGAGAGCAGATTACTTCGACGGATGATGGTGGTGCTGTAGTCGTTGTTGTCGTTATTCTTGCTGCTGACGATAATGTTGATGATGTTGATGTTGATGATGATGATGATGATGATGATGACGCCGTTGCTGCCGCTGGTGCTAATACAGGTGCTGGTGTCTCCGGGTATTCTGGGGCTGCTTTATGCCCATGAATAGCTTCACTTGCGCGCCTGGTTCTGGTTCGCGGCGCTACGGCGTAGTCATTACCGGCGGGAGAGTACGCAGAGTCATCAAGTATGGTGTTGACATTCTGCGTGTCCAGGGGGCTGACGATACCGTGTGCGGCACGTTGTTGTTCTGTGAGCGTCGACTTCCTCGTGCGCATGGCGACGAAACCGAACCAGAGACGGGAGCGAGGCGGAAAGCGGGAGTTGACAAGTATGGATACGCGAAGCCAGATCCAGATCCAATACCTAGTAAAAGGCAGCGGGAGTAAGGGAACGCAAAGCTATGGAGGAAGTTGAGTTGTGCATGCGTGGGACTGGTGGATGTGATGGGATGAACGATCGACCGGAAGAAAGAATGTTAGAGTAATACTTCCAAAAGGGAAAATAGCGAAGAGGGAAGCTAGTCAAGCAGCTCATTGTTCTAAATTTACCTAGCCCTAGAGATATCGGCTGTATTACTGTGCACCCAGGCGAGAAAAGGGAGAATATAGCAGCAGCAGACTAGAGCAGATTAGGCACATAGTAAGGATGACCGAGCGGATGCTGTATTTGGCACGACACACGATGATCAGGTCAGATAATACGGGCTGCACGGGCATGGATAATGTCGGTCTAGTGAGTGATTATGCGCTGGATAGGGTAAAAGGAAGGCAAAAAAGGATACATGAAATGATGAACGTTACCATTACCAGCCGACAGGGAGACCAAGGATAAGGACAAGGACAAGGGGCTTTACAGGCTATTACAGCGAGAGTCGGAAAGCCGCCAAGAGCAAGAGCAAGCAAGGCGCCGACCGATACAATTATTAGCAATTAGGGCCTTATTGGGGGCCCCTGTTGGCTTTAGTGTTTAGGATACTGTGTGCATGCAGGGATCAGCCCAACGGCGTCATCCTATTACAATTCATTAGTGCTACTACAGAGCATCTCCAGCTCTCGGCGCCACGGGACGAACACCTCTGTCGATTGCCGGACCAGGTTGTAGTTCGCGGGTATCAGCATGACATGTGTTTGTGTTCCAAGAATGCATCATTTTGTTGTATCTTGTTTTTCTTCTCCCTCACGCCGCGATCGCGATCGAGATCGCAGATGAGATAGCCTCCTTTTCTCATTGACTCGAGCACTCGAGCCGACAATTGTTTTGGTCTCGTGGCGTGGTTAGAGTGATTCACATCGCCGCCTTGCTAAAGGCAAAGGGCAACAAGGATCATCACCGTCGATACTGGATACAGTTGTACAGCGCTACAATGCTATGGCGATCCGATGCCTCACTAATGACATTATGTTCCAAGATACAGCTAGTCAATCCCCGTCATGTTCCGCAGAGCCTGCCCTGCTAGGGCATTCGCATTCTATTAAGGCGCAGGACTAATAAGTGTGGACCTGGGCACAATTAGCAGCCTCCACTTCGCGCCCAGCCCAAAGAGAGAAGCGAAGGGGCCTCAATCTAGACAGTGCTTGGTTTCGCAGATATAAGTCTATTAATCCTATCATCATCACGCTCACCCTTGCGGGTGCGAGCGTCGAAACCGCTCCTTGCCTCAGCCAATCCACACTCTCACCCCCAGCCCCCACATTGTGTTTACGTGTGGGAAAAGTATTCTTATTACAGCCTGGGTCTGCACGTATAATGTCGGTGTAACATAGTACAGACACAACGCATGACCGCGCAATTGGATAGACTTTGCTCCTCGACACTGCATCTGCAGCGGAATTCCAATCCAACTCCTTGAACATCCGACGCACAATTTAGTCGCCAATCCTATAATTGTTGCGTCGTATTATGACCAAGCCTTGGCTGCCTGAAACGCTCCAGGCCTATCTCATGTCTTATTTTTATACGCAATAACATGCAACATCTAAAACCTGACGGTGTTGTTGTCAGTCACGCCACATACCCGCCTGCGTGTTCAGCAAGCATCCCGATCAAAAGAACATCTATAAACGAGGCACCCTTGCAATGTATATGTCTCGTTGCAGAAATATGTCTCGTTTTCGCCTTCTGTGCCGCAGCACGGTCCAAGCAATGCATATACCGGCAATTCGACTCATTGGCAATAGACAAGGACACGTTATAACAGCACTCTATTAATCATAGATTGCGCGGGTCAACGCTGAAGCGCCGGTTGCGTGGCTTGTAGGAGACTACCTATACAAGGTAGTAGCACTATATTACTAGCGCCAGCCGGTAGTGCAAAAGTAAGACGTAAGTCCCGAGGTCATTTATCTTTCAGTCACCTTGAGATAATAGTAAACCAATGAGCGAACACAAACTTGCTGCAACGTCTCAGTTGCTGCAATGTGTCGACTATCGCCCATACCATACATGACGCCTGATATAGGTCATTCATGATTGGAATGTGAATTTATTTGATGCAGATGCTCCACTCTTAGCTGGCATTCTTCGTGGACAAAGACACGTTTCCGCTTTCGTGTATGATAAATAATTATTACCTTAGCCCTGTAAAAATAGATAGAGGCTTACGTAGCTAGGGAATGGTTTGATGCTAGTAACATTCTCTACTCTCTGATCTAACGTTACCTGCAACACTGACTCGATTCGCCAACATCTCTATTCGCTGCAGTAGTCTCTCTTAACTTCTCTTATTCGAAACTCCATGGACCGCCATGCTCAACCTCGCTTCTTATTTAGACTAGTAACAGTACTGGAGATCAACATCATGGTCCACACGGTCCACATCAACCACCGACTCGTGTTGCTATCACAAGATCAGGCATTGCTCCAATTACAAGTCTCATTCTTGATTATCCGTCTTGAGCATGCATCACTTTGTTGCCGCGCGTGCCAGCCATGACTGGGCATGCAGCGCGCTTGATGCGCCAATCTGAGGTTGAGTTACGGCATAGCCGCTGTGAAACTTCTGGACCAACGCCTCAGACGTAAGTTGGAGGGACGGTTTCACGACTAACGCTCGTCAGAGCTAGATCCCAAAAGCGCAAAATCTATCTTGAGGCAAACTAGCCGAGACTAGAAGCTTTGCAAGTAATAAGGGTCCCGCCGAAGAAGAGCCCTGTAGGACTCGTCAGTTAGATGCTTCATCCCGGCACATCCTCCGTTATGCAGAATGAATATGACTCGTACATTTTTCTTCCTAGGGATCTGACAATCCTGGCTCCACCACCTACCTAACTAAATTCCACGACTTTGTCTATAGCAGCCAACACCATGGGAGAAGTGATAAAGACTAAGACATATTGCCACGTTCATAATCGGACAAGATACTTTAAGCAATGGGCAAAGTCCCCCATAGAGCGTAATCATTCTGCGTAAGCCGTAAGAGCGACCGACGACTGTGGGCCTCAAGTGCAACGTCTTCACGATCTAGGATTTCCCAATGTGGCGTATAACATCAGGTGTGGCGTCAGGGTACTTCGTTAGCTGCAGCTCAAGTATATCCGCCAGTCAAAAAACTCACGATTCCAAGGACCTGGTGTGTGAGGCTTTTCTCTTCAAAGCCAGCATTCAGACCTCGCTACAAGGACGCTTTGGCCAGGGTTGACCGCCGTCGCACCTAAGGACTACAACTAAAGCATGACTGCATAAAGTCGTCTCGTCTAGCGAGTCTTTAACTTTGATGGCATTGGCCTATACTGCTTCCAGGGCTTATACATCGTTTCTTGATATATGTAATCCATGGAAGCACAGTAAATTTGAGTTTTTCGAGACTCAGGTGCGCCTGCTCTTGATAAGTAAGTAAGAGAAGAGGCTGTGCGTGGTTGGGTAATTAGTGCCGTGGGCAGACTCCAACTTTCCGGTAATCCTTCACGGCCCCACCCTACTTTCATATAGGGCAACAGATCCCTTCAAGCGTCGGACGAGCTAATACTTTAGACTCACTAACACATGACCCATCGCGTCTTGAGAATCGTTCCATCTAATCTCAGATTGCCCGGCTTTCGATTGGTGGAGAAGATAAGACATGGCAGGAGAGTTATGCAAGCAGAAGTCCCTGTCGTCAAAGCCATCAATTTCATTTACCTGCATCCTTGAGTTTTGCCTTCTCGCTTGAGAGACGGTAAGACAAATCTCTACGCGGAGTTGCACGGGGATCTCCGTAAGTCGTCCGGTTGCGTCACTTGTGTATTAGTTTATATTATAGAGCGAAATGGTCGTAACCCAAATCAATTAAAGTTTAGTAAAGTTTCGTCCACGCAGTGATTACTACTTCGGGGAGGGGGCTACAACGCTAGTTGTGATATAGCTCGTCTAAATAATACATTATTATGCACGTGCTTTGATATTAGACAGGATAAGCAAGCCCTTAATAGCTCTTCCCTCACTTTTCACTTTCCGAGCCGGCATCGTCTCCGCCCAACATCGTCAACACCGTAAGGTCTGTTACTCTAAGTGTGGTGGTCCAATTTTATTCCGCTTCGCTGCTGCTAACACCGACTTACATGTTACAGATGTCAGCCTATCTCAACTATACGGGATCATCGCCCCACATATAGCTAATGACCCCGAAACAGTCAGCTCTTGGCACATCATGCTATACGAACAAACAGGCCAATGCATCGCCTATCTTCCAATCTGACGCGGCCCCGCCGAATGGTTGGCGGAAGTACACAAGTACTACACATGAGTCTCCTCGTTGTTCATAGCCACCTGCAATCCAACTTTCATCACATCATTTAACAACATCAAATCATATTGGACTGGACTAACTTACCGAGGCACCGCATCGCCTCCATCCGTTTCCATTCGCTCACTATACATCCTACTACTTAGCCTGAATCCTCCGTCTTGAAATCAACTGCTTGAAACAAAGGCTACGGGACGAGGTAGCCTTCAGGATCTAATTAGTGTTTGACTTTGACCGACCGCAAATCGGTAACCTCGCCCCCATCTGCACAACCTCACGTCTCACGTATGTGAATTGCAATCAGAAAATATGCAAAGTGAAGCGCTAGAAATAATGTATGAACTTGTTACAGGCTGCGATCAATTCATGCGTTACCTCATATTCATCGGTCATCGCTTAGAATATAGACGATAGAGATTCTCCTACCTACGCATTTGCATCCAGAACGAACTTCACTTCCATCCCTATACTAGACTGTGATATTATTGTAGCTCGGATCAAGCCACTGGCTCCCAAGCTCATCTTTCATAGCGTGACAATGTACCGTTCCCATACAAGAAGAATCCATTTGTTCAACATTGTCTTTGGTTGAGCGAGCATCCATTCCAGCTGGGAACCGACGTCGACAACATCGGGCATATGCTCAATGCGCAAGATCTGACTCGCTTAGGCGATGTTCCCTACAAACCTATCTACGGGTCAAAGTGTTAGCATAGTTGCTTCCCTTCGCTATCAGAAGTATGTCAGCATCAAGTACTTCACCGCCAACATCAAATCAGCATGCTACTGAGTCGACGTCTAGATATATGTCCATGAAGAAGTCTGATACGCCCTGATTACCCATGCAGTCTGACAGCTGGAGAGTCAGATAGACTTGCATCTACACTCCCAGGCAAATGATTATTGAATATTCACACCCGACTCAGTTATCCCCTTCAACATACGTCCAACGTCCAGAAATTCTTACTCCTCACAAAATTTAGTTGGATAGGGAAGTTCTTATTGTAAATGAGTTCTCAAATTGCCGGTTTCTATTGCGCTGAGACGAACCGCTGCACCATCAAGCCCTTACGTCCTGTGTAATTGGTTTTGTTGTATAATATAACAGGTAACACTAGTTCCTAGCTCTGTATCTCTCGTTAAGCGTACGATAGTGTACTGGCGTTCGTTGACTACAGACGTGTCGCACACGTAAGCTCTATCGCCCATATGACTACTTCAAGTGTAGGTGCCACCGTATGTATATGCTAAAGCCTCAAGCCTATCCGTAATGGTTTGAGAGGTCGAGTGGCCGGAAAAATAATGCGCGCGCAAGTGAATGCACGCTGATTATGCATTCATAGACATAGGAGTAATCTTAGAAGAGGCGTATGGCGTAAGCTGATTTCGGAACTGTATCGCATTCGTATACGCAGACATCTCGTGGGTATAGCAGTAGGCACAGAGCGCTCGCTCAATGCAGTGCAAGATCGTCCCATGCTCGAAAAGCTCACCAGGGCAATCGTGACTACATTCTAGCGACTGGAAGCTGTAATATGGCAAAGTCACCTCTTCTAAAACAATGCCATCCAGCCGGTCTCAATGACCAGAATCAAATGGACATGCAGCATATCCCGTGCAGCGATTCTCATGCAGATGCAAGGACTAATATATGCAGCTGGCCCCGGATGGAATCTGTTCAGTCACACATACGGTCGATGGACAGGGCTCTTGTAAGTCCAACCTGCTGTTTGAACTCACTGCACACCATCACCTGTCGAAGATTATCATTCATACAATACTTACGACCCTGGTGAGCCTCTACGAACACTACTGGTTATGCTCACCCCGTGACGGAGAAACTTCTGCTATCTCCCTTCTCTCCTCGTGACGGTGCAAGCTCATATCGCCCTGCGTCCTCCATAGACATACCGCTATCCTTAGCATGCACGTCTCGGTGAAATATTACTAGGCACAGCTCGAGTCACAAGATCGCCGAAGAAGTTGCGGATGACAGATCAACAGGATTCTAAGCATACGATTCTGGTACCTTTTACTCATACACTAGACAATGGTCCTTTTTTCTGTCACGTTAAACCATATCCCTACTAAATCAGGCGTATTCTGGCATGTGACATCGGGGAGCATCCGTCATGTATCATAGACTTCATTTCTGTGTCATGGGCCTTGCAGCAGACACAGTATTGGGCAGGAGTTTGTAAGCCCGCGGGTATGCACATGTGACGGACCGATCGTAATGACCCTTAAGATTGATTGCCACCAAAGATAGCATACATTTTAGAGTGCCGGACAAAAGTTTTTCATGTCGGAGATTCAGGACGCCAGATGAACCAAGGCTATTTTTGAGCAATGTTTGTTCAAATTCTTGCAGAAACATTTAAAGTAGTTGCCAAGCTGCTAATCATGATTGTTTCTGTCTGTAATTACATTCAATTCCAATAATTCTTGCCTGACCGTGTTTATATTGCTGGCTCGACAGATGTATCTACGAGGGAGATGGTCGATCAAGCTCCAGTCAACTTCGGGCATGGTTCCTATCATGAGCAGTGGAATCCTATTATGGCTCTTTGATTAAACCTTATGACGTATATTTATTTGATGCTGAATGTGGCGTATCTAGACGTGCCTATACACTGGCACAACTACAAGCCTCGTTAGCTACAGCGATTACAAGGACAATATATGCTTTCCCTTCCCTTTACCTTGTTCGGGATGATGGATATTATCTTTAGGTCGAATACTGATACTCCTTAACGTGTAAGACAGATAATCATCATCAGCGCAGCAATAATGAGCCAGCAGGGACAATATTGTGGACTACAACAGAAGGCGCCATGCGTGTACTTAGTCATGATCAAGACACATACATCATATCACCATCTATGTCCGAAATGGGAGCCACCATCCATTTCCGTGTGCTTCGAAGTCTATCATTTCGAGACTAAGAGAATGCTGGATGCATAGAAGAAAAGGTCAGAGGAGGAGAGGAAGGAGTGGTATATATACTGCCTAGCGCAGCTCTGATGACGCGCCGGGTAATCACGTACGTATCATCGTATCTGGACTTTCACTTTTCATTCACTAAGGTGGGCATTAGGTGGCTAAAACTGACTTTCCCATCCGAGGCACAAGCGTCTCTTTAAATATTCATAGTTCCGTGGATTTGTTGATGATCTTTATTATCACACCGAATACTGTTAAGCTACAATCACTGGACATGCTGCACAGCATCAGCATAACCTCCATCGAGCGCAAAAGCATGGACTACCGCACTTTTCGGCGTGCCAAACAACATAATGTGGTTTCGTGTTTGATGCTAAGTACACCTGAGCGCAGCATAGATCTGGAGGCAAGCATCAACAACGTCCCAAATTATATCGACCTCCAACAGGATGCAATCAAGCACCTTCAATGGCGCTTAGTTTGTTTGCTTGAGGCCTTTGAGCTTACTTCGAGGGGAAGGAAGAGACAGTGGCCTGCTTAAATAGTGGTCTGAGGAGCCGTAGAGTGCCGGGTCGACTTCTGAGAATCACGTCCATGACCACCTGCCTTCATCACACGGTCACCGCGTCACCTTACAAGGCTGGGTAAACAAATGAGTGAAGCAAACAGTAGGTCACGTACAGGCACAAGTGAACAACGGTTGACTTATAGTGTACTTTATATAGATGATCGACACGGTGGACATGTGGAGTAAAACTGTAGAAATAAACAGCTTAGCTTACGTGGTAGATAGAAATCCTCAGAAGCGTTATATAGTCTCCAATTAGACGAGTGTAAAGGCTAAGTCAAACAGCATCTACCACAGACCGCTTAACGGAAACACATGGTCGTGGTTAAGCTCATTTCCTGCTAATGGATGATTGTAGTATTATAATCATAGGGTTTTGTAATGATGAGCGTTACTGCAAGAGGTTTCAAGGAGATGGATAAGGGGTGTCGTTGGAAGTTTGCCCCCTGGGCGATGTGTGACGTATCGAGTGATGCCATCGAGCCAGATCTGAGAATCTTGGTTTTGTAAAAAGTGAACTTGTCTACATATTGAATCGCGTATAAGCCAGACTATATGAATATTTCCGGTCACGATAGCTTAGTAGATTCTCAAGTCGTACTTGACGCATCACTTATGATTCGCATTATGATTCGCAATCAGAAAATCCCAAATTTGAAATGATCACTCATCAGAAACCTTTGACATCCTTGTAATAGCTCGGGGAGTGTAGGTTTGTCGTATATACTGAGCAAAACCTTGAAATTGATCTCTAGCTACAACTGAATTTGGGAACGGAAATTTCAAGTCTCAGTTTGGTGCTTCCAGTACCCAGCTGTCCGGTGCAGAGGATATTATAGACTGTATACTAAAACTAAGATGAGATTCGTCTATAGATCTTTTAGTAGTATGAAGAAGTATACAACTGCTTCAAATATTCCCTATACTTACTAGTCTATCTACTTGATATATATCTAAAATATGCAGATAAATAGCTAAGACTTAAAGTGCTCATCTACCATTAGTAAACTGAGCCCTTATATCATAATTTACCCGACTAGGGGTTATACCATAGAAGTTGTAGATGACATCATTGCTCGTAACCTGAATTCATATACAGAGAGAGGGATAAAGTGGTACTTATAATGTACCTATTCAACAAGATTCTCACGGGAACTTGTTTCAAGGGCTACTCTGCAGAGAACTAGTAGCAATCAAAGACACTATATGCGTACTACACCAAGTTCAAAGACTCATTAGCCCATTAAGGAGACCTTGTATATAGCGATACTATAGGCCATTCCGCGCTGAGTAATATGCACATTCTATTCTAAAAGGTTTGTTTGCCGAGCTAGTCACTCAGAATGGAGACGTGCGTGCCGAGGGAAGAGATTGAGGACCTGTGGTACACCAGGCTGATATGACTGTCTTAAGTTTCTAGAAAGCCAGAGCGATCAGTTTTTGATTGCTTAGGCAGAGGGTGGACAAGGCAGTAAAGGGGATCTTATGATGGTTGGCATGTCCCTTAATGGGTGTAAACACATCTAGCTTCGGTGCTGAATACTTGAGTAATGAGTGGGCTTCGTGAAACATTTCTGCGAATGTAAAGCATGCTATGCACTTATGGGCTTGCTTGAGATGAAGTGGAATTATAGGATGTGTGGATACAACGAGGTCCCTAGCGCCTATCTACTCCTGCGCTTATAGAAAGAATTATCCGGACAGAAACGTTAAGAGGAGAATATTGCCTGGGTCATGACGGTCATTGAGGACTGGAGAGCAGCGAACAGCAAGCATCACGCGCACAGCGTGGTAAGACATCATCACCTCGCACTCCCACAAGAACCTGGAAACAAAGCCCGAAATCCCTCTTCCTCCTCACTTCATCGTCGGCCACGCCAATCATGGTGCCTAGGATGACATCCACCTTCGTCTCCGCTGGAAAGGGCAACTCGGGAAACTCTTTGATCGACAGCAATGCTTTCACATGACGCGACTTCCCATATGCGCGCCGATCTACACGATTCCACAGCACCTCAGCGAAAGCGGATGAAGGGTCATCAAAGTGGTGCGCGTACGTGCGCGAGCATATAGCCTGCTGTGGATGCTTGAAGCGAGCCAGGAAACAGGAGATCATAGAGTCGGGGAAGATGGTCCAGGCGTTGCCATGCAGCTTGGAGAGAGACACAGTGCGGCAGAGCTGTTCAAGAGCAGCCATGCCTACGAAGTAAAGATGATTTCCTTTGTTGAAATTGCGCTGCTTAAGGAGAGCAGCTTCATCGTAGCTGCGTTGATCGTCAGCACTCATGAATGTCTTTGGGGCAGTCGGGATCTTGGGCGACGTACATTGCTCGACAAGTCAGCAGCAAGGCAAGGATAGACTGGCCTCTGTCAAAAAGATGAGGCTCGGTGTTGAGACGCTTGGCAATGTTCCAGACGTGGAACGGATCATCTGATACAGGGACCTGACCCAGATATGTCGACTTCAGCGGATAGTAGTGGTAGGCGCGCTTTCCAGGCTCTTTACGCTCCAGCAAGACAGGCGCTTTGGTTTGAGTGACAAGTAAGTCATTGCCTGTTAGCACATATTCCCAGATCATCAAACGGACTTCTCGTGGTACTTTAGACAATAGATAACTGTCAGTCTGCGGGTGGTACCAGCCTGGACTTCGATTACGGCTTCTTTTTGAACTTGACGACATCTCTGATGACGGTGAGAGTGGAAGATGGCATGAAAGAACTCAGGGAACGCCCTCGACAAGAGTGCGTTGGAGAGTAGGATGTTACGCACCCTGGTTGTTCCATGCGGGGTGGGTGAATGATATGCTTCCAACCAAACCGGAGCAAAGACGTATGTAGAAAGTCCAGGCGGAGTGCTGAATAGTCCTGTAGCATGCTGAAAAGTGCTGAGTAGGTGGAGTGCAACGCGCTAAGATAGATACAGACATGCCACCTGTCTTATCTAATTAATGATACTGTACTATAATGTAACTTTCATTCCTTCTTGGCCGGTTTCGAGCTCAGGCTCTGTCGACATCAAAGACCCTTGACTCTTGACTCTTGACCCTTGATCCTTGGGCTTCGGACCTCTTCACTCGCAGCTGCAGCCGGCCCGGACCGGGTTGATGCTTTAATGCCTGAAATCTCTCTACCTCGATCGGGCTTGGCACTGACGACGTCCGGGTCCGTGTCCGTCAAAATAGGCGCTAGGCGGTCCGCCTAGTATTTTCCCAAATAGGAAGCAATTCTCGAAGTACTCATCGAAAAGACCTCAATTACCGCCCCAAGTCTTGTAATCACGCAAATACCAACGGCTAGTCAGCCGATTATCGAGAGTCGTAACGTCATGCTATGTCCGTTCTCGCTCGCTGCTGTTGATGAGAAATTCGACTCGAATCGGTATGAATGTTGGTCCGATGTGTAGTATAAGTAGTAGTAGGGCCCATCAGAATGTGGAATGAATTTGCACCGCTTAAATCATCTCATCTTTTTATGATATATTGAGACTACAGCACTTCAAGATGTCTCTACAACCACTGAAGTATCTCAACAAGCTTGCCGGCAAGCACGTACTTGTGTTCGGGGCAACATCTGGCATTGGCTTCTGTATCGCCGAAGCGGCTGTCGAGCATGGGGCCAAGGTTGTTATCTCAGGCTCGAACCAGGACCGCATTAATAAGACAATCGAACGAATCAAGAAGTCTTACCCGAATACCCAGTCAGGTCAGATCACGGGCCATGTTGTCGATTTATCCGATACCGCCAACCTGGAGTCGAACCTAAACAAATTGTTTGCCTCTGTATCGACTGATAGCAAGATCAATCATATTGCTTTCACCACTGGAGACGCGCTTCGGGTTCCACCACTTTCGGATACCACGCCTGAAGACTTCCAAGCAAGTGGAAATGTACGCACACTTGCTCCACTCATGCTCGCCAAGGTCCTGCCCAAATACATGGACCTGAGCCCGGGTAATTCATTTACTCTGACAGGGGGAACCAACTCTGATCGACCCATGCCAGGAGCTACCCTGATGGCCTTGCGTGGTGCTTCCAACGAAGGTCTCATGAGGGCCCTTGCCGTGGACCTTGCGCCGATGCGAGTAAATTTAGTCTCACCTGGTGCGATACAGACAGAACTGTGGTCATCATTCAAGTCATCGGAGGCGGAAGAAGGATTCGTCAAGAAGATGACTACTGAGACGCTTCTGAAGGAGGTCGGAAAGCCAGAGGACACGGCTGAGGCGTACATATACGCTATGAAGGATCGATTTGTGACTGGGGTCGTTCTGCATACCAACGGAGGAAGGCTGCTGGCGAACAGTTAGGTAGTTTCCCATCATGTTCCAATCAAGGGTGCTGCATTTTTGTTATAACTAAACAGCCCCTGGGGTCCTAAGTTTGTTCGACAGTGAGTAGGTTTGTGGGTTAGCAAAACAGACTCTGCTAATCAATACGTGATCCCCGGGAGCTCGTCAGGATCGCTGTATCGCTATTGCAAACATGATCTTGTAACCATGTGATCTCTCAAACATCCAAATTTCAGAGTTCGATTTTGCTTAGGGTTTGCTCATCTGTATCTTGCCTGGCACAAATGAGTCGCTGTTTAACTTAGACCGCTCAAACCATACACTGCAGAATGCAAGGTTCGTTTTGGCGCCGGACTTGCGCATTTCCTGTATCCCGAATTCATCTTCACCCAGACAAAACTCGATACCAGCCTTGAACTTCTTTCCGAGGGGAGGGAATTCAGCCGCGAGGCAATCGCAAAAGTGTAAGAACGTGCTGATACCCCGCCGGTAAATAGAGTCCTGCGTTTCGTGCCAAGTGATCAGCAAAGGGCGACTACAGATGTATATAGCTGCTGCGATGTGTGGATTGAGGAGGATATCAGGTGAGGAAGTTTCAAATATGTGGTTGACCATCTCTGCTGCATCCGTAGCTGCTGCAACACATTTAGAGAAGCATGTGTTTGATGACAGACGTTCTTTTTCGGGTATTGATGAGTCTCTCATCATCTCCCAATCTTCTTCGCTAAGGTGATTCAAAAGGATAATCGTAGCGGAATTTATGAGGCTTGCCCAAACAACGTAGCAAAGCTGTAAATATTGATGCCGCTCATTAAGTGACAACTGTAACGACTCCTTAATCAAGTCTGATTGCCGCACTAACTGTTTCATTTTCAAAAAGTGATCATATAAGTCATCTGGACGTTGCAGTACGTATACGTGCTGAACTGCCTTGCCTAAAGTCTCGTAGGCTTTTAAAACTTGTTGAAGCATGTCGCCGTTTTCTCGAGGTAGTGAGGACTCGGAACTCATAAGGTTGAATGCTACGTCGCTTATAGGCTTGTGTACTACCACTTGTCTTACATCAATCGCGGTAGGCCATCCCGATGGATAGGAATGATCACCATCAAGCAACATCAAAGTCCACATAGTTCGTCGCCGTTCCTCTTGCTCACGGGAATTAAGGGGTCCTGGCGATAAGACCAACGGTCCTGTTGATGTAGCATCAATGCGATTAAACCCCATTGCACAAGCTTGTCGCCAGGCTTTACCCAAGGTAAGCCACGCTTTCGAGTAGTCTGTCCTAGATATTGATAGGAAGACAATGCAAACGGCGGCTTGCAGAACTCGTAGCGGCGGTACAGCATCATGGCTCGTAGAATCATACAATGAACTTGCAGTAGAAGCCCAGATAGCTTGAGAGGCTTTAACCTTTCGTTCCGAGTGCTGCGGTGCCGCAATAGCAAGTATGGCGAATAACAATGATGAAGAGAACCTTTGTAGCTCGCCGCTCTTCACATCAGCTTTCAGAGACTCGAGGTGAAAGCAAGGGAGAAATCTTGTGTATTTGATAACGAAAATATCCAACAATTCCAATACTAGGCTCAGTGGTGGTATCATAGGCTCCTTATCTGCGGGCGAATTGCTCAAATAGTCCAGGGATTCTGGACTTGTATGCGATACGGTGGAGCTCTCTGTACTCATGCTATCTTGCGACCCGGGAAGTGACGAACTAGTACTCCCAGTGTGTTGATGATAGTTATGAGAGAAGTCTGTGAAAACTGTGAAACCTGGCATGCCTAGTGCGATGTCGGGTCGTGTTGGTCCTCCATTCCTGACCGTTGGAAACTCATTGTAGTCACAGACTACGTTCCAGCGTTTGCATGGAGTACAGGACGGGCGTTGACCGTCACACTTTTTTTTTCTTGTCCGACATCCTAGACATGCTTGCTTCCGCTTCGTGACCCCTGGGTAGATGGGCTTGTGCATCATGCCTGTAATAGATCACCGAAAGCGGACAGACCCTATCAGAGTTCGTATGGTGCGATAGTGTTCCAGTGCACCGGTTCGAGTAGATCGAATATGTGTAGCTAGTCGTCAACATGAAGATTGTGAGTGTGTCGCTTTCCGGCTCGGCTTCCGTGCTCCGACACACGTCTGTCCGGCTTTGAAGTGTATGCCTGGGCAGAAACAGTGCTAATTCGTGTTGAAATGCACCATTTCACCAACGAAGAACGTGCAAGCCCGACGGGCCGGCCTGCGCAACGGAAATCTGAGATGAGATCGAACACTTTTGATGAAGAGTGAAGACGGGTTCATAGCTATACATAGAGAAGGTGTGCGTAGCAAGAGAGGTGGCCTGTGCGCACATCTCACGCGGCGATTACGATGAAAGCGGAGATTGCCACTGACTCTTCCAAGCGGACATTTTCGAAGGGTGTGCAGACTCAAACTGAACGTCTTCTCTATCCCGACGTACTTATCAGCTTCTAAACTACTGAACGTCTCCAATACTCCTTCACATTCGTGCGGCAGCCAAGCAAGATACACCGGTGACCGAGATCTGGAATTAGTCGAAATTACTACTGAGACAGTACGCAACTTCTGGACTCGAAACATGTTTGATGAGAACCCGACAAGCATCCAGGAAGCAAGTCCTGGTACGAATGCTATACCACTGGTGCTCATGCACGATGGTGGGGGAACAACGTTCGACTATCATTTCTTAGACGACCTAGAACGAGATGTGTGGGGTATTCACAATCCGCGCTTCAATTCAGGCGAACCTTGGATAGGAGGACTAGCGGAAATGAGTACTCACTATATTGAATTAATCAAGAAAGTCATACCCTCAGGTCCAGTTATCCTAGGAGGGTGGTCATTAGGAGGGATGCTTGCGCTCGAAATGGCTCGGCAACTAGTTGACGATCCAGAAATTGATGTCAAGGGCATGGTCATGGTTGATACAATATATCCATTTCAGGCCCCGGGTCAAGACAAGAAATTTGTTGCACAGTACAAGCCTACTTTCAACTCGTACACATCAGCAGCGACCCAGAAGTCCGTAACGGCTTCATTCGCGAACACTTTCGAGATGCTGAAAACATGGAAGATCCCAGAATGGAACGAAACGGCAGACATTGTACCTCCACCGACTGCTCTCATCCGTGTCGAGGAGTCCGTGCCTGTTCCGGCGGACGCGGACAAGGACACAGTCATGAGGGTTGATGTGCATCGTCAGCGCAGACTTTTAGGATGGGAGCTGTACGATTATCATCTGATAGACGCGGTTACAGAGATCACTGGCCATCATTACACGCCTTTCAAACCCGAAAATGTCGAGCTCACATCGGAGAAGATCAAAGTGGCATGCAGTATGATCCAGAGACGCGTGTTGAAAAAAGCTCGAGACGAGAGTTCTGTCAAGCAATTCTGATCTGGAGAAAGTGTGCAAACCTTTCGAGAGGCCTACAAATCCTTCATATCAAATGTGATGGAATGAGCTCTGACTTTGCCAACTTTGTTTACGCTTTCCAGCGTAGCCTCGTGTCCGCTACACGACACGGAGTCGCAACGGCAAGCACGCAGCAGCACGTAGATCGCTCGCACGTCTTATCACCGTCCCATACTACTTATAACATCTCGATGCGCGGCTCGATCGCGATTTGTCTCACTTAGCGGAGCAATACCTGAGTTCATGATGAGCATTATGATTGACGACAGCGGAGAATGGCTTACTTCGCAGATCACCAACGATATCCTTGGCTTTGCCGAAATAGACTTCCTCTGTACATGTTTTAGTAGCTGCTACGATGGGCCATGGATAGATAGACTTACGTAGAGAATTCCGCATCTTCAGTTCCATCTCTTCAACCATCTTCCCTATATTGGCGACATGACCGCCATCATCCTCCACAGCTCTATCTTCCTGGATTTGTCTGACCATATTTCCACTGAGGTCTAGCGTCCCAAGATTCTCTGAGTCGGTTCCTAGTGTTAGAATTACTGTGCTCGTCTGTTTATACTGTGCGGATCGCGCTCGGTCATGGACTTCGAATACGTGGATGCTGTCCCAACTACCGGAACCTTTAGCGGAGGGCGAGACAGCTAGACAGATCAGTGAATGCGCACAAAGTCTGGGAAGGGAACTCACACTTCTTGAGCAGCACACAGCCCGCGAAACCATCATCGATATCCCAGAAGTATACACTTGAGATGCCACCTTCATAGTACCTGTATTCCTCACATTAGCCAGTGATTGGGGAATTGGCCTCTGGTTGTGTGGCATACAGCTCACGATAGACGTCGAAAGCTTCGTTGGCCTTCACCTCCATCTTCCTGACCCTATCGCTAGGCACAACTCCTTCTCCATCTGCAACTGGGGGTTCAAACTCATTACTCCAAGGACTCCTCCAGCTGTCCCCATCCCGATTGTAGTCACAACAGAGGAAGTCTCGCTTTGTTTTCCGGCACTTCTTGACAGCGAGCGGTACGTCGACAGATTCGAGAAGGTCTTCTGTGAGCGAAGGCGCCAGCTGGCAGAGAAGGTCTACATGCTTTGCGGTGTCTTTGGGATTGAGGCGTCGGAGGAGGTCCCTGAGATGTACTGTTAGGAAGTGGAGAGTCTGAATAGGAAGGGAACCACATACAGAGCACTATCGAAGGCTTGGTCCGACATCTTTGTGTGCAGTTATTTACTGTGAAGATGAAAGCGCAGTGCCAACGGCAATGAATGTATGATACACCAGCTTCAATTGTCTCGGTATCTGGTGCTGCCTCAGGCATCAACGTGGGGTGGGGCCGTCATAATGGATCCGAAACACCTGGGAGAACAAGGGGAAGAGTCTCGTTCAATACTCGCGCTTCTCTGTTATCAACAGCTGTTTCCATTCACTCGAAATCCAGAGACTTTGTATCTAATCAATCTTGCATCTACCTAGCTCAGCCTCGTATTGCTTTTTACTTTGCTTCGCGCTTATCGAAACCCCAATGCCACGTTGTCATGTTAAAGATCATCATGCTGCTAAGAGAAAGCTCACCATAGCCTTCGGAGGCACTGCACCGTACGCCATTCCATTGAGGACCAAAATTCTTATGTCGACCATGTCGCGCGAGTTATCAGTAAGCCAGGCATTACCGGTGGTCGGGACAAAGCCGTCAAAGGCAATATTGATTGCTGCGGAGAGCACTCCTGGGTTGATGATGTTCACAGCAACTTGCCCATCGATGTTCTGGAAGGCCGTAACCTTCAATTCACCTCCCGATGCTCCGATTCGAACGGCGCCAGGACGGACAGTTCGCGAGAATTGAGCGAATGCCCAGAGTCTTTTAGATACCTCGAAGGACTCGCCGTCGATGAGAACCAGCTTTTCGTTATTGTTGTTATTAGTGGCTGTGTCTTGGATACATTCCCAGTAAAGATACGCACTTAGGCTTGCCTTTGTCAATGCGTCATAGACGGTATTGGCCCACGTGTATCCATCACCTGCTCCACCGTTGCTATACCATCCAGTCGACCAACTGCCACTGAGATCTGAATACTCCGTCTGCCATATCTTCCTCGTAGTATCCAATGGACCGGTCACTCGACTAGAGTATTCGTGCGAGGAGATCGTATTGACCAATTCTTCCGCTCCCTCTGTCTTCAATTCAGAAAGATATCTTTCGGTGATGTTCCATCCAGTGGCTTCACAACAAGTGATGCCAACGTTAGAAAGACCATTACTCTGCAGAGTCGGTGCGAGTATTTTGATAAATTCAGCTGCCTGTGCTCCAGACGACAACATCGATGCATAGCTGGTGCTTAGATCCGGCTCATTCAAGAAGCCTACATCCGTTATATTCACACCCGCATCGGCATAGAGCTGAATATATTTAACAAGGTAGTTGGCATAGGCTTGCCTCCAGTCTCCACTGCTACAGCTTGTACCTGTCACCTGGAATTGTCAGTTTACATCCAGTTTACATCTTTTCACCTCTACTGGACACGGAGCTCGACTCACACCGCAGAGATATCCCCCGTTCCGATCATCTCCATTAGTTTTCATGAACCCTGGCGCGCTCCAGGCATTCGCGTAGAATCGATCCACTCCGTATCTTGCTGCCTCCCGAGAGAGCCACAGTTGTCCAGAATCCTTTCCATCCCAGACATACTGTGGCTCAACCCCAGGGCCGCCTGGTGAAATCGGCAGGATCGAGTTCATGTAGTCGTTGCTGCTGTCCGGCGATGATCCAATACCATTTCTTAAGATCGAGAAGCCCGCACCTGAAGTCGAATTGAAGAGCAGATTGACAAGCTCTGATCGCCTCGGCTCAGGCAAAGCTACGATCAGGTTTGCCCTCTGGAAAGCTGCAGAAAACCCGAACCCATCAATGGTCTGGTACTTTGTATCCAAGTCCACTATGACGGTTGCGGCATATTGGCGTGAGAACAGAGTTGACCATGCTGATGCCAGAGTTGCTACGGCCAACGCAGGCAAGTAAAGACCAGAAGAAATCATCATGACTGTCTACTGACCAGAATTCAAAACCTATGCCGTACCTCATTAGAATGAACCGACGACAATGTACCGTTTATAACAGCAAACGACTTCACGGGCCTGTAATATACAGCCCCTGTCTCTTTTCTGTATAGGCAGGGACAAGGGTGAAGCGGACCGACGGATACATTGGGAATCTCGCAATCTGAATTCACCGCCAAGGGCTCTGACAATTGCGTTTCGCGAATAAACGCCCAGTACAGTCCCTTTTCCATTACCCCCAACTCTCAGGCAAGCCGCTCTCCAAATACCCAGCTCTTTGTTCAGCCGAGTACTAGAAGACACCTATGACTACTTACAGTGCACACATCGTTCTTCTAGATGTATGATACCCGCCAAGCAATGCAATGCGCATCGAGACCTTGCGCCCGTCGAACCCTAGTCGTTGCACCAACGTCTACTACGGCGTACACAGGATCGTTACACGGTATCATCAGAGCGTTGCTCCGGAGTCATAAATTAAGGAAACCGAGCTCGAAGAGTGTCTGCATCGCACTTGGCGAACGCTTTTTCTTGCACGTTCGTTACATTCTCTTCCAGCTAGACACTGATCTTCCCAAGTTGCAAGGACACCTTTCACTCTCATCAGGCTCATTCCAGGTCTGTACTTTCACTGTAAAATTAACCATCGCAATGCCTCTTCCCGCTTTCAAGTGGCAGCGGCCGTACTTAGTACACCATCAAGTTGCGATAGAGTCGCTGTACTCGCCTTGTTGTCGGGATTTTAGCTGAACTCTCGTAGGTATGGAACCTGCATCTACGCTTACCGACAGATTGAGAGGACTGATATACCGTTGCTTCGAAGCACACCTCCAACTTAACCGTTCACCGTTTCTCCCTAGCTGAAAAAGCATCCGTATACAGCAAGACTGGCACTCGAGATCTCTCCGAAACGTGTTTCCGTAACTAAGACAATGCTTGAGGAAAGCGATACTATAGTCACCACTGATGTTGTCCTTTCAGCGTGTGGTCTTCGTGATGCTGGACAGAGTATCATGCACGACTCGATAGCCAGCGTTTATGAGACATGGATCGGAAGGATTACCAAGGAACTTTGGTAGTGGAGCAGAAAACTAAGGTCAAGTTTATAATATCTATCGCTCGATACCTCCAAATTCGCCAGCATTTCCGCTACTAGATTAGGATCTCGCTGAAGACATGGAAACTTACATGTTATTGACCGAAAAGTGCTACAAGTGATAGTGGTAGGCGCGCATCCAGAATAAACCAAGAGCACTTCCGACAGTGCTGAGTTATCTAAAACGTCTCAAGCCCGTGGTCAGCAGTTAAGTCCCTCTATATCCATCAAACTCCATGATATCTGGTTATCAAACGGCACAGCTTCGCCATCTCACTCAAAAGCTCGAGTTAGCAACTTTCCAGCTTCTCGTGCGTCTACATCTGACTACTTGCCTCATCGCTCCAGTCAATAAACTATAAGAGACATACATCATATTATTATAAGATCTAGAAGTTGTCCGCGATATAATGGATAATGGCATGAAAAGCTCAAGACCTGCTGGTGGTTCAGGGGCAGACTCGACGACATAGCAATAGTATAAGTAGTTGGTCTGCCAGATCTTTTGTAAACACTTGTTACTTTCCGAGAAATGTACCGCTTGTACACGGGGCAAAATACTATACTGGGAACGTGCTTGATTCCTATAGGACAGTGCCTGGCGACCGTCTAATTAGTTCCTAGAATGCCAGCCTAGTACTTTGTCCTGCAAAGATTCAGACTTGAGTTAGCTAACAGCCATATGATTGGACTTTTACGTTATGTATTGCGTTCTATTCTAAATTCTGTATAGCTGAACATGGTTCGGACGAAAAGATGTAATACGCTATCCATTGCTCATCCGAGATATCGCTCAGCCCATGTAACCCACAAGAAAATTCGAAACGTCTATAGCAGACTCTCGACAACAAGAGCACTGGCGCCTCCACCTCCATTGCAGATCCCCACACATCCAATCTTACCCTTCTTTTCTTTTAGTACACCGAGCAAAGTGGTTACGATCCGGGCACCGGAGGCACCGAGCGGGTGGCCGAGAGCGACGGCTCCACCGTGAAGGTTAACCTTGTCCTCAGTAATACCGAGAAGCTTCATGTTTGACAAGGCAACTACAGAGAATGCCTCGTTCACTTCGAAAGCGTCAACAGAGTTAATATCCACAGCAGCATGCTTGAGAGCCTTTGGCACGGCAAGAGCAGGAGCAGTGGTGAATTTAGCGGGGGTCTGTTCAGCGTCGCCCCAGCCTAGAATCTTAGCAAGAGGCTTGAGGTTAAGCTTCTTAAGAGCGGCTTCAGAGACCAAGACGACGGCTGAGGCACCATCCGAGAGAGGCGAAGCATTAGCGGCGGTGACAGTACCATCGCCAGGCTTGAATGAAGGCTTTAACGTCTTGGTCTTGGCCTCGTTAAAGTTCTTTGGCTCGTCGTCCTCAGATATGGTGACAGGAGGCTTCCCACGACCACCAGAAACCTCGATAGGGGCTATTTCCTCGGCAAACCAGCCATTCTTTTGTGCCTCTTGTGCCTTCTTGTATGATCTGATGGCATAGTCGTCTTGTTGCTCACGGCTGAAGCCATGGTCGTTTGCGCAGAGCTCGCCCTGAAGGCCCATGTGTTCCTTCTTGTATGCGTCGGTGAGGCCATCCTTCAGGACACCATCTACGAGAGAGATATCACCGAACTTGGAGCCGGTTCTTGAGGTAGGGAGATAATGTGGGACATTCGACATGGACTCGGTGCCACCAGCGACGACGATGTCCGCATTGCCGGTCATGATCGTCTGAGCGCCGATAATGATGGCCTTGGTGCCCGAAGCACAAACTTTGTTTATGGTGGTCGCGATAGTAGACTCGGGGAGACCAGCACCGATTACGCACTGGCGAGCTGGGTTCTGGCCAAGACTAGGTCAAAGTATCAGTGTATGTCCGCTCCGTAATGGTCAATGGTCTATATACTTGGCAGAGAGCACATTACCAAAGAGAACCTCCTCAACGTCTTCGGGCTTAATGCCAGCCCGCTGGACAGCAGCTATGCAAAATTTCAGCGGCAACATAGCTTTCAGAGACGATTGGAAGCTTACACTTAATGGCGTGAGCACCTAGCTGCACTGCACTCAAGCTCGAGAGTGACCTGTTGTGGCGTCAGAAAAAATGTTGAAGAGAGGGAAGAGGGGCAGTATTCACCCAAGGAACATTCCCATGGGTGTGCGGACGGCAGAGACAATGTAGACTGGAGGGCGTGAGTCGGCCATGTTGAGTACAGTTTTCGAGGATTTTGTAAGTGTTGAAGAGCTGGACGAGATTCGGGGGACAAAAAAACAAAACGTCGGGGAGCAAACGCGGAGTGTATATATATCTGCTTTGGGGTAAACAGGTCGGCAGCAGCTCCTCTGGGAAAAGCACCGCATGATCCCCGAAAAGATTAGTGAGGTGAGGTGGGGCAGGAGCTGTTCCTGCCAAGGCCCGACTATTAACTGCCCTTTGTCACCGCCCACAGCGGATTATCTCATCGCCGTGTGAACTTCAAGTTTATCTTAGGTTCACGCGCGACGTGAAGTCGGGTATTAGCGCGTTTACGTTCTGCACTTTGCAACGTCACTATAGAGAGCTTCACCTCTCTACGTGCGACCCGTCGAGATGGATGATCTATATGATGAGTATGTCCCGCAGTGTCTGCTAAGTCTCCTAAAATACTAATCTGTGCAGGTTTGGCAATTTTATTGGGGAAGCCGAGTCCGACGACGAATCCGAACATGAAGTGCAGGTGGCTGACCCTTATCTGAACTATGACGATGATGAGGTGGCAGAGGTCAATGACCAACAGCTCATGGAGGTTGACGAAGATGGGCCATCAAATGCGGTCATTTTACATGAAGACAAGCAGTATTACCCTACTGCCCAACAAGTGTATGGCACCGATGTAGAAACGATGGTACAAGAAGAGGATACGCAGCCTCTGACGCAGCCAATCATCGAACCAGTCGTACAGAAAAAGTTCATCGTAGAAGAAACCGATCTACCCTCCGTCCGGTTTTCGCGTGAGTTTATGAGCGATCTCATGAACTTTCCAGAACAAACTCGGAACGTAGCCCTGGCTGGGCACCTTCACCACGGCAAGACTGCCTTTATGGACATGCTAGTATTTGAGACACACGACATTGAGCAGAAGCTAGAAAAGAGAAGAGGCAAGAAACGAGATGAGCAATTGAGGTATACGGATACACATACTCTGGAGCGCGAAAGAGGTGTCTCAATAAAGGCATCACCAATGACCTTGGTCTTACAGACCAGCAAGGGCAAGTCGCATCTGGTGAACGTCCTGGATACACCGGGGCACGTGAACTTTGCCGACGAGATGGCCGCGTCACTCCGACTCGTGGACGGAGTTGTACTGATCGTGGATGTAGTAGAGGGTGTTCAAGTTACTACTGAGCACACGATCAAGCATGCGATTCTCGAAGGACTCCCATTAACGTTGGTCATCAACAAGATGGACCGACTGATCCTGGAACTCAAACTTCCTGCGTCGGACGCATACTTCAAACTGAAGCATGTTGTGGAACAAGTAAATACCTTCATTGAAGAAGTGGTTCCAGGTCAGGGTGAAAAATACCGTGTCAGCCCGGAGAAAGGCAACGTTGCATTTGCATCAAGCGATATGAGGTGGTGCATAACGCTTCAGTCGTTTGCACGGATATATGCTCAAAGCTATCCCGGAGTCGATGTCGAGGAGTTCAGTCGCCGGTTATGGGGCGATATCTTCTTCAATCCCGGTAGCCGCAAGTTCACACGAAGGGCCGCGGAAGACAAGGCAAAACGTAGTTTTGTTAGCTTCGTGCTGGAGCCTATATATAAGCTCTATGCTCACACTATCAGCAAAGATCCGGATGAGCTCAAGACATTCCTTGGAAGACACGGTATCTACTTGAAGCCGAATGAATTGAAGCGAGATGCAAAGGATCTACTGCGCTTAGCTTGTGCACAATTCTTCGGACCTGCTACCGGCTTTGTAGATATGATTGTCAATCATGTACCATCACCAGTCGACGGGGCTAGGAGGATGCTTGAGCGCTATTACACTGGACCTCTAGATACAAAAACTGTGGCATCTATGGAGAAATGCGATCCAGACGGCCCGCTAGTAGTGCATGTCACCAAGCTTTACAATACTGCGGATGCAAAGAGCTTCCATTGTCTTGGCCGTGTGATGAGTGGGACCGCTCGTCCCTCAACAACAGTTCGAGTACTGGGTGAGGGTTATACACCGGACGATGAAGAAGATATGGTGGCTGTTACAGTCACTGACACCTGGATTGCCGAATCGAGGTACAATGTGCCAACTAGTGGTGTACCTGCTGGGAGTTGGGTGCTGCTTGGTGGAGTCGACAACTCCATTGTCAAGACCGCAACAATTATCGCTCAAAAGCTACCGGATGACGAGGAACCGTACATTTTCAGTCCAGTGAAACATTTCTTTGAATCTGTGTTCAAGGTCGCCGTGGAGCCCATTAATCCATCTGAACTCCCAAAGATGTTGGACGGTCTTCGTAAGGTCAATAAGAGTTACCCATTAGTAACGACCAAGGTCGAGGAATCAGGCGAGCATATTATCTTGGGTACTGGGGAACTATACATGGACTGCGTTCTGCATGACCTCCGACGACTTTACGCCGAGATGGAAATCAAGGTATCAGATCCAGTCACAAGGTTCTGCGAGACTGTACAGGAGGCTTCAGCGATCAAATGCTACGCGCTTTCGCCAAATAAAAAAAACAAGCTGACCATGGTCGCAGAGCCACTTGACACCGGTATCGCAGGGGATATCGAAAGTGGTAAAGTAAACATCAAAGATCCAGTTCGCAAGGTTGGGAAGTTCTTCGAGAACAATTATGGCTATGATCTGCTTTCTTCCCGCAACATTTGGGCATTTGGACCAGACGATATGGGTCCAAATATACTTCAGAATGACACTCTTCCCTCCGACGTGGATCAGAAACTGCTCAAGTCGGTACGCGACACGATTCGCCAAGGCTTCTCTTGGGCAACCCGAGAGGGTCCACTTTGCGACGAACCAATTCGCAACACGAAGTTTCGAATAATGGACGTCAATGTAGCCCCAGAAGCAATCTTCCGTGGTGGCGCGCAGATAATACCTACATCAAGACGGGCTTGCTACTCATCATTCCTCATGGCGAGCCCGCGACTGATGGAGCCAGTGTACTCTTGCTCGATGGTGGGACCAGCAGATGCAGTCACAGCGGCTTACACCGTGCTTGGACGGAGGCGAGGTCATATCCTGTCCGATGGACCGATTGCAGGAACTCCTCTCTACCAAGTCAAAGGACTCCTCCCCGTAATTGATAGCTTTGGCTTCGAGACAGATTTAAGGATTCATACACAAGGTCAAGCTATAGTCTCTCTGGTGTTCGATAACTGGCAAATTGTTCCCGGCGACCCACTTGATAAAGAAGCCAAGACCCGTCCACTACAGCCTGCCACAGCGCAAGCCACAGCCCGAGATTTTGTTCTCAAGACAAGGAGAAGGAAGGGGCTTGCTGAAGATGTCACTATAAGTAAATTCCTCGAGCCTGAGTTATTCAGGAATTTGAAAGAGAGCGGTATTCTGGACTGAGGAGGCCGTGAGTGGAAGGCAGCAACTATAGAGCGAGCTGTACAAATGCAGGTGGCAAGTAAGCCAAGTACACAGATGCACTAGCTGGACGACATGCCTTGTCCCCTGTCACGGGCAGAGTGATTTGTGAGACTTGGATAAGCAACACCACACACGAAATCTCGCTCCGTTGCATAGGCATGGTCCAGGATAATGGAAGGAGACGTCAGTCTTCTAATCACGAGCATCGACAAAAGAACTCGGCAGCCATGAATGTGGAGGCTATGGAAAAGAAAGTCTTTACCATCTCGGACAAGGTCATAATCTCGATGCTCGACTGCTCCTGCACGGACAGTCGGCAGATTAGATACTTTTGTAAAGACAGAAGATCTGCGCTGCTAATTGGCCGCAGGAGATAGATAGGCTTAATTACAAAGCAAAGTCCTAATCCTACATATTTTCGTGCAGGTTAAAACGATGCTTCAGGTTCTTTGTGCCTTTGAGCATGCAGTCCTGCAAATTATGCTACCACGGACACGGTTCTAGAGATCCTCTAGCCTATTCATGGGAATAATGGCATCTAAACGTCGACTGTACGCATCATCTCTAGGCCTCGCCATGAGAGCTGCAATGGTCTACTCAACTGCTCCACGAGTCAGCCGCGCGTCGCAGAACCATCCTAGTCTGCAAGGAAGATGATCTCCCGTCTAGCCTTTAATACGGGACGAACCCGTTTGATAGTCAAACGTGAAGTCGAGCTTGCGTGCGGATCGTAACTTGGGGTCACAAGTACTTCATCCAATCAACAAGACGAGCAGCTATTATGTTGTTGTGTGTGATGTATGTAGCCCGTGGCGAATCGGATGTCGTCGACCAATCTAATTTATGGTCTGGCCAATGATGAATCTTGGTTGCCCTCTTTATATGCTGTGACGATCTCGGTTAGAGATGCCCGCCTGTGGATAAGAGATCCAATATTCCTTTTTTAGAGAGGATTTCCAGGATGCAGATAGTATCATGTTTGTTGACCTTTGTTCGAATGGGACTGTTCTACGTAGAGAGAGATCCTTGTCACAATTTTTGCCGTGGTGAGTACAACATCCAACAATCAGCGGCTAACGATCATAGACTAGATTTCAGTTTGTACAACAAACCCATATATATACTTTGTCACTTTGTCCTTCGTTCGCTTGCAGTAAGATGTTCCGTCCGGCGGCTGCAATCGAAGAAGGGGGCGCGGACATTTAAACCCCATTCACGTCTAGCGCCCCCCGGAGCAAAGCTTAGGTGCACGTCAACTCACGAATCATCGTCCTGCACATGACTTTGTCACACAAACGCCCTTGAGAGCTGCACTCGTGGTGTCGACGACGAGGCCCTTCTGCGCGTGCTCATTGCTCCGCTGTTCGAAGCCACGGTGGCCGGGACCTGGTTCCGGGAGGAGGCTATCCTCGCTTTTCCTCGTCAGACTGGTGCCAGGATCGAGTGTCTCAGGGCGGCCTTGTGAGTGGCTCGCACGACAGTTTCTGGTGTCAAACGATGAACACGCGTTTTCACGATGCCAGTCAGACAATGGGTATCTGAGAGTCAGGCTGCTAAACCGCATGCTCTTGCTTGCCAGGCGTGACGGATGATATCTTGGTCGCCCCTCGTCATGCCCAAAGTGATGCATACATGTGGACTCTTTGTATTCATCACTCTAGGTAATCTCTCAAGCTTCGGGAGCTGGTAGTTCAGACAAGGCGTCTCTACTACGAGTACTATCAGCGTCAGCTGAAGGCTTTTTTATGGTCCTCTAGACCTCGAGATACAACGGCTCTAAAACAGATGACCTGTACTGACACCCTGCGAACAGCAACCTGTTCAGAAAGGCTGACTGCTCTACACTTTTTGAGATACTTTTGCTCTTTGGTACTCCGCCAGTGTTCTCAAACCGGGTACCCAGTCTAGTATTATGGACGTGGCTACTGCTGAGCATTGCACGACTTTTTGTTGACAGAACTCGAGCCGCTTTGGATGTTTCAAGACACTCACACAAGCTCCTTTCTACCCACTGTGGAGGTGGAAACAGCTGGCTGTACCGTTGCAGTCAGGGCGCATATCGTTCGCAGTGTATGATTCCCTTGTGGACCCTCCCATCGCCCCACCTAACCCGTGGTATGGTAATCTCTCCAGTCCCCCATTCAGGAACGCTATAATCCTTGCTACGACACATCTGCCCTTGAGATGGATGAAACAGACCTTCATATGTCCTGCCTTGTGGGGCTGCCCCGAGACCGCAGCTTCTGACCTAGCATCTGGCACCGTTGCACCATCGTCGAATTAAACGCCTACAGGGAGAGATGGGCCCTCGACGCCGCAGAAGCAAAGAGGTAAATCATCGAGCAGCATAAAGACCTAGCATGTAGCCGTCTTGTAGTCTTCTTCTTACTACCCTTATCTCTTTTTACAGAATCTTGAACATCTCTGGTAGAAGTCGCTCTTTTGTTGCACCTTGTTTCGTTTCTTATAGTACTACCTCGTACACCCGTCCCTTGTACACCATGCTCTACCACACCGTCCTCGCCTCTCTGGCGCTTGTACGCCTGAGCGTAGCTGGCTACGTCCTGCAAGATGACTATAGTGGTGGCAACTTCTTCAACATGTTCAACTTCTATACGGGTGGTGACCCGACACATGGTCAGTCGACACGATCAATATCGAGTGTCGTATCATACATATCATACTCACGTAGCATACAGGTTTCGTCCGATATGTCGATCAAGGGACAGCCTCAAGCACCGGCCTCATTAACACTAATGGTCCAGCCTATATCGGGGTCGACCATAACAATGTTACACCCAAGGGGCGCCCTAGTGTCCGTCTGGAAAGCAAGAACTCGTACAATGACGGTCTCATCATCATCGACCTTGCTCACATGCCCGCATCGACTTGTGGCACATGGCCTGCTTTCTGGATGTTTGGCCCCAACTGGCCCAACAAGTAAGTAGGGTTAGCGAAACATTGCGAAGCACATTACTAACCAAAGCAGTGGTGAGATCGATATTATCGAGGGTGTCAACGACCAGACACAGAACAAGATGACATTACACACCGCCCCTGGCTGCACCATCGAGAACAGAGGTGGCATGCTCGGCTCCATAGCCACCGGAAACTGCGACGCCAATGTCGACGGAAACACCGGCTGCGGAATTACGGACCAGTCTACCGGAAGCTATGGTACTCCGTTGAACAATGCAGGAGGGGCCGTCTTCGCTACTGAAATCCGTAGCGACGCCATTGCCATCTGGCGCTTTGCTCGAGGCTCTGTCCCCGGTGATATCAACAGTGCCACCCCGAATCCTTCTACTTGGGGAACGCCACAGGCTCTGTTCCAAGGTGGTTGCGACATTGACAAGTCTTTCAACAGCCTCAACATCATCTTCGACACCACCTTCTGTGAGCCCCCTATCTCACCACCCAAACAGCTGATGAGAATATGCTAACAACTACTACAGGCGGTGACTGGGCCGGCGCCGTCTGGGGCGGGTCTTCGTGCGCTGCAAAAGCAGGTACGTGCAACGACTACGTCGCCAACAACCCGGGTGCATTTTCCGACTCGTATTGGAGCGTCAACTCGCTCAAGGTCTTCAAGAGCGTCGCCGCTGTTAGGGCCCAGGACGAGGCTGTGCCCGTTGCGGCTCCGTCTGCTGTCGTGGTTTCTCTACCTGTCGCCTCGCCTATCGTAAGTGACGTCCCGCATCACGAGGAGCTTTAGATCTGTCTTGCTACGACGTTTCATGGACACACTACATTCTCCCTCCTCCGTCCACCTCACATGAATCCCCTCCCTCCTATGCATCACACTAGCATTTTGTTTCCTGGCGTCCGGCGTCCGGCGTCCGGCGTTCTGGCGTTCTGGCGTTCTGGCTTACTGGTCTCTCTGCTTTCATTCCATCCTTCTTTTAAGTTTCTTATCTCCTTCCTCCCCTCCCGTCCCGATTCCACCCCCCCTCCGACCAACTTCACCTCACCTCCCTCCCCGACCGTCCGTCTTGCACCACCAACCCACCAACCTCCCCATCCCCATCTTCAGCCCCCCGAACCTCAGCCCCCCGAACCTCAGACCACCCACCCTCCTCTCCACAAATCTAACATCCTTCGCTGCACCAACAGAACGCGCCCTCCCCCGCCGAAACCCACGCCACAACATCCAGTGCCCCGCCTCTCCTCCAAGCCAACGACTTCGGCACCACACAGCCCGCTACCAACACCAACGACAAAGACACAGTCCACCTACTTCAATTCGGCGATTTCGGGCATAACAAAAACAGGCGCGGTCTGGATCGTGGTGTGCCGTCTCCCATCAATAATGACAACAACAAAAACGACAACGACAGGAGTCCAAGCGGTGGCTATTCTAAGCGTCACAGACACTTGAGGAGACACATTCATACGAGGAGGATGTAAAATTGGGGCGGCATCGAAGGGTTTGAGGTTTTCCTTTCTTTGTATATATCTTTTCCTTCTACCCCTTTTTTTTTCTGACTCCCTCTTCCTGTGCCCCTTTCCCCAACATTACACTCTTCTTCTTTCCTTACACCCAACACACACCCCATTACGTTCAACTGTCAATATTACACACCTCTTCTTCTTCTCTTACACGGTTTGTCACATCATCACAAATTCCATCTCCCACAATCCCCACATTCTCCATGTACCTTCGCACCCCCTCCCGCACCTTATACCCACATACCCCTCCCCCTCCCCCTTATGTCCCGCATATCCATCCCACCTTCTCGAATTCCCAATCCATATGATTTGTTGTACATACTATTTCTTTTTCTTGTTTTCTCCTACGTTATGTCATGCCCCCATACCTATCACAGCCTATCACAATTCCTCCTTTTCCCCCAATACCCAATATCGTACCCTTTCAAATGTCATATATTCTCCCGCACCGCCCCCCCCCCCAACTTTCCCACTTATCCCTTTATACATCCAAAGCGTGTATCATCTGGGCGATGGGGTATATATATATAACCATGTATATAGCAAGACTAAGATCAAGAGCACAACTAGAAATAGTTTGGGAGTCAGGTCACGGGAAGTTTCTGGGGCACTTTTGCATGGACTGGATACCTGCGTGCATACATACATACATACATACATACATACATTACAGCTATGCACCGAAAGAAATCAATAGGAATAGGTGGTGGTACAGGTACACAACTAGATAAACAAACGAATAGACAAATCGAAACCCACGCTCATGTTTCATTCTTCGCAGGATGGAGAATGGTGGGGTGGTGGAATACAGGTCTCTACCCTTTTCAGCCTTTTACATCTAGTTCGACATAACGGAGACGCGTGTATGTGTGTGGGTAATTAGGCGCTGATATATGCTTCCATATCAGTTCTCAGCTCTCAGTGAACCAAGAAAGACGACAAAGGGGGCACACGAAATGACACGTCACGACGCGACCATAGCAGCACAGCACGACACGACATCTCCGGAGAAAACCAACAAGCTCACAATCAAAGCATCACAAGCAAACAAGCAAGCAAGCAGCAAAAGCTAACAGCTCGCATGAAAATCGGTATAAGATATGATTCTTGATGCGTCAGATCGCACACACACTCTCGCACACCCTGCCTTTTATATCCTTTCCTTTGCCCCTGATCGCAGACCAGACCAGGTTTGCTAACCAACCAAGAGCAGATAACATATATATATATATATGGATATATATCGACAGACACCCAGACAAGACAAGAGAACAGTGCTATCCCTGACGAGCGAGTGTACAGATGTGAGACAAAAAATTGATTGATGCACAAGAGCAAGATAAGACGGGTCGTGAAAAAGAGTCGCTAAAACATGGTCGTACACAACAAGCGTTAAAACATTTGATTTGGTATACAAAAAAATTTGGGTCGGAGGACGACGGACGGGCGAGAATTGCAGAGTGAGAAAGTTGGGACAAAACAGTGTGTAACTGTGCCGCTTTCAGTGTTTCGTGACCGGAGGCGGGGGCGTAGTACGTATCGTCGTGAGATTTGCGGCAGTATTGCGCTTTTTGAGGGGCTCGTGTCATCCGGTTGGTCGAAGTGACTGTTGTGATGTTGGATGTCAAAGGAGATGGTAGTAGTGATGGATTTGGCGGCGGAGAAGGACGGAGTTTGAGGGGGGGGCGTTCGTTGTGTGATGGGCCTTTGTGGCGTCGAACGGGGGGAACTAAAGGGTTGGGTTTAGCGCGCGGCCCAGCATGTTCGCGCTGTGTTGGGCTCTAGGCCGAACCGCTTGGCTGACAGCGAAGGACCCGCCACGCATGCACTCAACGTTTGGCGTTTTTTTCCAAGCAGAGATCATTGGTGCGTTATGGTGCGCTCGCTCGAGGCATGCCTTGAAGAGTCATCTCGTGGTCATCCTATATTGCCCATATTCGCCCGGGAAGAGTTGGTTATCCCGGGGATTTTCAAGTCCAAGGTGCGCAATTATCATTTTGCATATAAAGTAAACAGACCCGGAGTGGATGCGCACTACCAGAAACCGTCATATGTCGACGATATTGGTCCCACAGCCTGCAGGTAGCGCGGCTTTCAAAGCCAACGGTGTCTTTACTAACATCACCGGACGCTCATTTGCTTATGAAGACTTTAGTGACCTGGTAGCTTAACCATGGTTTCCTCGCTGCTGACGCTTCGACATGTTGCCGTGGTCAATAACTCCTTGGTTCCCGCTATAGTCCCATCGTCGCTTGAGATCAGGAAAGGAGCTTGCGACCGCATCTTGCCACATACTTGGCGTGACAAAAGCAGATGACTGGGTTGCGTAGCTGACGGGTGGTGGAAGCTGAGCTTGCACATTGGGTGGTGGATGAGCTTGGGGTGAGACACTGGCGATTTGCGGAAATGCCGGAGGATGCGAGTCTTGGGGAGTTCGCACCTCAAACGAGCCTGGTGGTGGTGGTCTTAATGGAGGGGACGGTTGGGAAGAGGTACTTTGAGGGGGCGTACCAAAGGCTGCATTCCATTGACTACGATGTATGTTAGTGCTTTGCTACTTGAGTCTCATGGATTCATCTTACTCAAAAATTCTATTGGGATTCCACTGCACGGCCTCTTGAGGCACTTGATGAATAGGCGTCGAGACGGTTGGTTGGGGCGTTTGACCTTGTGCCATCATCACCAATGACTGGGCTATGGGAGAGTCAGTCTTGGGGTCGTGGTCGTGTGCGGACACCGGCGGAGTGATAGGGTGGATTTGTGCGTTGTAGTGGACTTGACCTGGTTGCTCTAGTGACGGGTTGTGCGTAAGATCTCGAGATCTAAACGGCTCGATAGGGCTTGTATTTGTTTGTGAAATCGGACTTCCAAAGGGGAACGATGGCTTAAGCTCGAATGGTTTGTCTGTGTTCACTGAAAATGCTTGCCGTAGTCCAGCAATTTGCTCTTGCATTTCTGGAACTGGCCAGTGTGGTGTGACTTGCTCGAGTATACGCATGTGTCTAACAAAGAAATCACGAGCATCGGCGTTGATGTCCGGATCAGGAGAGGTAATCGCAACCTATTTTGTAAGCATTCGACTCGCTCGATCTCAAACTTCACTCACCAGGTGTAACATCGTGCACGTCAGGACCGCATAGATGTGAAAGCTGATACCTCTCTGCATAAAGAACAACCCCGTTAAGCCAAAGTTGTGGATTATGGCTTCTTGGAGTCTACACATATTCTTTGCTGCATCGTAGACTTGCATCATCGTCTGTTTCCAAGTTCCATCAAACGTGTCCGTGACTTGGTGCAGCCGCACACGATTATGCATGATGATCGCGAGGTAGTAGTAGCAATGAATGTTGGCGACGAAGTGGGAGGGAATCCAAGGTAGGGACCCGTCCGGAGGGAGACCTACTTGGAGGTCTTGCGGTAGATCTCGCATCCATGCCAAGTAATTTTGCCCCTGAGCCAGAAATTCTGGTTCGTTGGCCCAGTCCTTTCGAAACTTCCGTAGCTTGAAGTGCAGAATGGTAGTACGAGTAACCTCCCTGATGACCCGTGTGAAGTAGGTGAAGTGCCTCGATACTTGGCTCTCGGACTCGTCGTGCCCTGGGATGACTGGACAGATTTCGAAACTGACCGTGTCGGTCGTCGTGCCGAAGTCGCGAGGGTTTCGGCCTTGATGCTGATTAGTAGGGCTCCCAGCCACGTTTCGTGTACAATGCTCACCTTGCGGGCCTCCAACAACTATCTCAAGAATATAAAGTGTTTGCCAGACTCTTGTCTTCGTGATACAGTCAGCTCCGGTGGATCCGCAAGACTTGCCAAGCTGATGGATCTCATAGTGGTCCTGTAAGTCTAGCTCTTTTGCCATTTGCACACAGCTTTGCACGGTGACCCACGAACGATAGAAATAGCCTCGCTTTGGTACAGACTCTCGTGCCTTGAGTATTAGTAGCATAGCCTGTATCGTACTCAACCGAGGCACATCTTTGAAGCTTTCTTCGTGCTCTGAGGCTTCATTAGCGTCTGCATATCGTGCAACGTCCACTGAGCGACTCACTAGAGGCAAGCGCTAGCCACTTATTGCCTTGTTGCCGTTCCCCTAGTATCAGGCTTGAGCAGGCAAAAATAGCCTCTAGCATTAATGGAGAGATCGAGTCACGATTGCTCTGCCATTGTTGATAGAAATAAGTTCGACTGATGACCGGGATGTATGGATGGATGTTCACAAAGAAGTAGTCAAAGTAATGTAATGCTTGCGCATCTGATGGCATCATCTCTGGGGGTATGCGAACGGTATGATCGGGACCTGTGACAGGTGGGAGAATGAATTCGTATTCTTCGACAGCCGGCGCCTCCGCAAGGCTCTTCTTTTGGTTCGTGATATAACCAGCTACATTCGATTTAAGTAATGCAAGCAGGGGGCAAAACATTCGGGCATCTTACCTATGGCTGTGTGGTCAATCTTCAACTCTCCCAAGGCTTCGACTAGACTGGAAGACTGATCGTTTTGTGGCCACGGGGCCTCGGAACTTGGGGTCGCCAAATTTGGAGCTTGAGAATGGGCAGAGTAGATAGGCCCTGACTTGTAGCTTAGATCTGTATTGAGCACTGGAGGAGGCTGCATAGAGCCGTAAGAATGAAGGTCTTGCGCTGCTGGGTCGACATAATGGGTTGCCGGGTACATGCGCATAGATTCTGCATACGAAGTCGGAGCAGACTGCGAAAGTAGATGACTCGAGTCGCCACTCATCTGCCGTATGGGCGGTGGTCTTTGATAGTTATCTATAGTGATAGCTGCTGATGTCGAGTGATACTCATTGCTCTGGTCAAGGTCAAACGATTGAGAAGCATTGCCATCGTAACTGACGGTTGGGGGTACACAGTTGAGTTTTAATCTTATACAGGCAGCACAGGGCCATGAGTTCGTGGTCGCTGCATCACATTTGATCTTCCTTCTTCGACATCCTTCACAGGCACGCATGACTTGACTATAGTCAGCAAAGCACAACCAGCCACACGACACATTTGGACATGGAACGTACCCTTTAGTCGTTTATGTCGATTGTGCTCGTCAACGAAGACATAGTCTAAATGGAAAAACAATCAGCAAACGCATTGATCTTCACCAGGAGACCCATGTCATACTCCGCTGGTTCTCGCGGGGAGCCGCGGTAGGCGGCGCAAACGAGAAGCTTTGCATTTGCGCAGTCTGGGGCAGCAATGGTCGCCTTACGCCTTCCCCAGTCATGGCGGCTCTCGCGCAAGGAATTAACGCAGAGACAGCGGAGATCTCTATACAGTCTCGCGTGGAAAGGTGAAATAGGGAATGAGTCCGAGGTGGTGGAGGCGGTGGTGTAGTAAGGCGGGGCGCGCCAATCGGCCAGGATACACCGAGAAGAGCAAAGACGACCGATCCGAGAAGCAAAGGAAACGTTGGAAGAGCCGGGAGTGCTTATATCTCCGCCCAAGTCCGAAAAGGAGAGGTCGAAGAAGTAATAATAGTCGGAATGAGAGGAGTGGTCGTGATAGTCGTGGTAGTGGTCCTCGTAGTAATAATAGCAGTAGCAGTACTAGCGGTGGTAGTACCAGGTAGAGCAGATGAGTGCGAACAGCAACGACAATACATCCAAGCGGCGCGCATTGGAGACAGTCGAAGGGGGTAGTTAGTAGTAACCGCGCGAATGGTAAGAAGCCCGAAACGTTATAAAAGAGGCGCCGAGGGAATGGCGCAGAGGTGTCCGAGTGTAGGCGCAATTGGCAGGGCGATGCCACGATGGTGGTGACGGGCCGGACGATCGTGGTGTAGTCGCGGTCGTTGTGTCTTGAAGGGGCGAAGGTGAGGTTTCGAAAAGGACAGGAGAGTTACGGGTACGGATAAAGACCAGACGGTAGTAGTAATGGTCTTCTTGGTGGAGGTCCTCTTTGTGGTGATGGTGAGGGTGGTGGTGGTGGTGTTGGTAGTAGTAATAGCAGTGAATAGTGGTAAGTTAGTAGTAGTTGGAACTTCAAGTTCGGGCTGGGCCTGCTGAGTGGTGCGTGCTGCAAGCCTCTCCGTCTCGTCTCCGTCTCCAGAATCGGCAAACGTAACAGTCTCAGGATGGTGATCCGCGACAAGAGAGACGGCGGAAAGAAAGTCAACGTTAATTCTAGTTGGACTTCTTGGAATGATATTTGCTAGTCTTGGGGTAAGAGTCAGGGTCATGCACAGAGCAGCAGACCACTTCGGCTGCCAACCTGCTACCTGCTTCCTGCTCCCAGCGACCCTGCGGCGTCAAAAAGGAAGACGACTGGGCTGCTGTGTAAGAACAGTGGGAGTGCGGGTGGGGCGAATGGCAAATGGCGAATGTGTAATGGGTGTTTGTGTGGATAATAATGAATGATCAGAAGAGAGAGGGGGAGGGGGGGGGAGTGGGTTGAGGTTGAGGGGTGGCAAGAGTCTAGAGGGGCCAGAAAGTGTCGTCGACTGTTGAAGCATCACCACGGTCTATAAACTGTTGTTGGGGTATTATCAGTGTTGATTATGCATCATTTTGGTCTTGAGCATTCTTATTGGTACGACAAGCATTTTATTCTTTATGGCGGCAGCAGCAGCAGCAGCAGCAGCATCAACATCATCCGTGGGACAGACATGGTGATAGCTTTGCCTTGCCTCGCCTTACGTTACGTCCACCCTCTACCCTCCCCTGTCACATCCAATTCCATTTGCAATCAATCGAGCAAGTCCACATTCCAGAGTCAGTACAGCGCTTACGATTCCAATCTCTTTCCTTTGGCCATCTATGCACATGCCTATCTACCAATGCTGCCGTGCGTGGTGGTGCCTACGTCAGCTCAGTTACGCGACTGCTCGAAACCGAATTAATGACTCCACGTATGGGTTTCCAGGGTTGGGCCTTGCCATGTCAGAGAATAGGAGAACAGAGTGCCTCTCACAAGAATGTCCAGTTTGGTGGTCGTTGTGGAACTACAAACATCCAAGTGATGGCCTCTGTGAACTCCTTGCTCATCAGGCAGACTTCAAGGGCGTGGATGGAGCGGCGCCTCCAGCCGTTGGACCTGAACGGCGCGCGTCCGTCTGCCCGAGATTATTCGACTCCACCAGAATATCATCCTACCTTATTCCTGTACCGTAGTACTTCCATTTCCACTGATAGCGGTATCGCTGCTATCATTGATCATCTTGTCTGCATAGGCCGCGGCTATTGTCGTCTCGCTTGCACATCATTCGTCCAAAGCACGATTCATAACGCTGTATATAGCACGCAGTAGTCTGTCGCACGACCAAAGGACGTGATGCAAAAGCGCTCTGTGGGGCGCCACATGCCGATGCCTGCGTGGTGGTGGTCCATACCTCGCTCACGGGTACACATAACCGTGGAACAAAGTGCCGGTCGGACAGACTGTCAAGCGCCCAGATGCTCGAAATGTGCCATCCAGCATCCTGCAGCAACCCTGAAACAGACTGGTCTAACAGCCACAATAGACCCCTCGTATGTATTCGACATCGTGGAAGCCGCTCCTTCAGAGCCGCAAATGGAAGCTCTAGAGAACGTCTCGTGGCGCTTCACGTTGCGAGGCCATGCGTCTGACATATAGCATCCATCTCGGTCCATTTTCATACTGGTCGGGTAGCCGAATATCCGTCGATTCCCGCCATACTGAAAGTTCAATCGTAATCATTCAAGCTGTTGGAGTCCCTGGCCTACTCGAGCAAGATTTACGAAGCAGCGAGTGACATCCTCTAGGACCAGGCATGTTCACTCGTAAACTTTCCCCAAGCCGTTCAAAATTTCAAACTCAAAATCTGGAAAGATTGAATTGAGCTTGATGATACAACTTCTTGAATGATGAATCAAGCAGTCCTCACACGTGTAGCGTACCCCGGACTCCGTTACTCCACCTTGAACATGGGCTACAACATTGACACTAGGAGCTGGCAGGTCTAATCTGTCAACACCTTGTATGACCTTCGAGGTGTGTCGCTAGGACGACATCGTCAGTCAACGAATTTGGTAATCTGGTAAGCATTCAAAAATCTAATGCATGGGATAAGATCAGCTTGGTAAGTCGTCTCTTGCTATGATATCTGGATACGATTTAAACTAGCAATGAGCATCGAGACAGAATGTATCTGTCAAGACCTGTCCCATGGTGCTGGGATATAGTTCATGAGAGAGAAATGTCTCGGTCACGTGATAGATAAGATAGCGCAAGGTGGGGCAGCGATTTTCTCAAGTTCGCTGAAGGGCCAGCGGAGGGTTGATAATATACAACGATCAAAGAACCGCTCACAAACGCCCAACATGGATCCTAACAAGGACAATGCCAATCCCACAATCTTAAACCCTTCAGATCTACCCTCGCGTCGGAAAGGAGATGCGATTTCGAATCGCGAGGATGGAGGAACAGGGCTGTTTGACGGCCTCGTCCCTACTTACTCGTACTTGAGCGATCCGTTCGATGTTCCTCCATCTCCAACTTCTTCAGAAGAAGACTCCCCCGAAGCTATCGACGAGCAAGAGATATACGGTCAGTACAATCTGTAGCGAGGACAAGCTTCGTCGTAGCGTCTACCATTGTGGACTGCACATTGCCACCGCCAGCGGCTGATTCACAATCGTAGACCTCATATCTACTATATCAGATCCTGAGCATCCATTGTCACTCGGCTCCTTGGCTGTCGTGAATCTTCCTGACATCCACATCACTCCTCCTACCTCATCCAGATCTCTAATCAGTACCGTCACGGTCGAAATCACACCAACCATCACACATTGTTCACTTGCCACGGTAATAGGACTCGGCGTTCGTGTGAGACTGGAACAGGCTCTACCGCCACGCTTCAGAGTCGATGTTCGGATTAAGAAAGGCACGCACAGCACAGATGAAGCTGTCAACAAGCAATTAGGCGACAAAGAGCGCGTGGCAGCGGCTTTGGAGAATGGAACGCTGATGGGTGTCTTGCGAAAAATGCTCGCGACTTGTGAGTAGACGTGGTCATGGGTTCAGACAGAATTGTTGTTCCACGTCCGATCGGGCAAGTGGTGGCATGACCACGGACGAAATGTTCCTCCAGGTCCCACCAACGCAAGCCATTTTACGACACTTTGACTGGCTCATTAGGACGGTGCAGTCAAGAGGATTGTTCCTGGTCAATTATCACATGCAAGAGGGGCTGTCAGAGGAAGGTAAAGGCTGACAGGGCTACGCGCGTTATACGGCGTAGCCTCTACGTGGGTGTCTGTACCCGCAAGATCCAAAATGTCTCTGGGATGAGCTGATCGTCTGGTGTGCATATTCGGCCACGCCGATTGGGATGCAGAGGCTATTCTCAAGTCGCATGGCCTACCACAACCCTAGTTCCATTTTACCGTACCGCACCGGACACGGAGACGTTCAACTAGCTAAATTTCCCGATCCGGCGACCTAGAGGGAGTTCACAACATGAAACACGTTTCATTATTGCCAAACCATTCCTACTGTGTTCACCTGTTCCGTGCAAAACGCCGGCGCAAAGTCAGTACAAATTTAGGATGGCTGTCGTTAAGCGAGCTGCCTGGAGTCAAGGTTTGCAAATTCGCAACCCGTATGCTCAAGCTTGTTCGCTGGTCTGATGCACCGTCCGCAGACTGGATGATGCCAATGCGAATAACCAGGCCCATAATTACTACCCATTCGCTCCGCTCTAGTTCTTCCTGAGTTGCCATTACGCCACCGAATATGCTTACCAAACTGTAGAAGAGTCCCATGCTCAAATGAGACGTGGCAGAGATGTCACCCGCACGCTCCCGTGCCCGAGGCAATCGGTCCGACTTGACTATCGTTCCTGACTAGAAAGACACTAGAACCACGAACAGTCCATCCACCAGGGAGGCTTCGAAGATCATCCATACCCAAGACCACTACTTCCAAGCTCTTTGGACTGTCCGAAAGAGGTTATGGACAAACATCGGAATATATATCTGTGATGGACCATGACCGGCACGTCCCCGCCAAGGCATACGTCATATGAAAAACGCAACTTTGCTATTTTATTGGGAACCATGTATATCCTCATTCGCATATGATCAAACGGGTCCGCGACTGGCCATCGGGTAGGTGATTTTGCGCCATGATCCTCTTAGGTATTGGCACCCGACACCTTCACTATACCCAATAGCCCAACTTCAACCAGTCAAAATACTTGGTCTGTGGCGTTCTTCACGCTGTCCTTCCTTTTTCTCTACAATATTTCACGTTTCTTGACCACATGACATCAAGCACGAAATTAGGCAGCATCTACAGCTCCCGGATCAATCTAACTCATACCATTATGCTCTTTCACCATATCGACTTAAAAGTTCTAAGTCTAATACGCCATCCAAACACGTACCCATCGGTAGACCCCGATCTCGCCAAGACCTATATAGGAAGGTTCCTGTGTGCAAGCACACCGTTCATAGAGCACATGAAAGTCATCCTTGAGCTTTCGCATTCTCCACCCATGCTTTACTTGCTCACACACCGGGCATACTTGAGTCACTTACAACTTGAATGGTTCAAGTGGAGCTTTGCGACGGCAACACCCAGCCCGTATCCGCAGAACCTACCAGGGCTATGTATCGTCCTCTTCTCTACCTTTAACGACCCATATCTGTATTTGCCCCTTTGGGTACACGCGCCAGGAGCGTGCATATATCGAGATCCTGATGGTTGTATTACCTGTATGTGTCCTGCCGGTGCCTCGTATGCAGGACCCGATCGAGCGGTTGTGCTGTATTTTAGACACAATTTGCATCCTCTCTCCAGCACTTCCCCTTCGCAAGGTCTATCCCAGGCCAGCTGAATGGCTCGGACATTCCACCGACGTGTGCATCGCTTGCTTGCCTGCTTGCCAGGACCCATGCATGAGTCATGTCTGAACAGGCCATATCCCTGGATACAGGCCACCAAATGAGCGTCCTGGCATTCATTTGCCTTGGCGAGTCCTAACTTGCCCTCGGGCTATTGTCGTGCGCGCACTCAGCTTTTCATCACCCCAGATCAAGCGTCCAGTCCAGCCTCCAGGCTCCTGTGCATCATGGCTCGGCTCGCATTACCCCTGACCGGCTACACTTGCAACACGCCTGATCGACGTGCTCGCAGCACGGATGGAATTGTCGTCGTCTGCATGTACGACATGCGTATGTATGTATGTATGCGTGCAGAATCATGCGGACAGGGCAGGACAGGGCTCGTAATCGGCAAATTACTGGTTTTTCGGTGCGTTCCGGCTGGTCCTCTCAGTATATGCCCGGGTCCCGGGCAATATGACGCCTGTGAAATGCTGGCCATCTTGCCGTATTTCTCGTTTTGGGATGCTGCTCGCTACATGTTTGATGCGAAAAGAATGCCATATGCTCTGTGCGTGACCGTCAGCATGCTGTCAGCCTGTCAGGACTACAGCCAAGACATAAACGCCTGGATCCTGCATCCTACGGTGAAGAGGAACGAGGCTACTACACTGCGTGGCCCCCTTTCTCCCCCCGTCAATCGACACACACACACACATATCACCTTTTACGACTCAGGTCTCCCATTCGTCGTGCTAACTCCCCCCTGTGTGTCCTTGTCCCTACGTCACCCGATGGCCCCCTGCATACGTTCACAGGCCGGCAGAATCGCGAAATGCATTCCCTTGTTCAGTGTGCAGGCATGCTCAGATCTAGAGCCTAGGCTCGTGAAAACTGGCATGTGCAGAAAAGGCGTTTCTTATCACTTGCGATGAATTTTGGGGTCCCTTTGAATCGTTTCTTCTTGCATGGGGTCGGGTCTTATTGTGTGTCTCGCTAGGGAAGGCCGGTTCTGTTCTGAAAGGAACGTGCTTTTTATCTCTCTCCGCATTGATAGCTGGTCTGTGTGGGGATGGATAATGCGTTGAAGTTCGGGTGCTGGGATTGAGTGTTGCCTTATCGACCGATTATGGAATATCGAGTGCGACAATTCAAAGGCAAACCGTTTACGGGTGGGGGAGGGGGGACTGAATATGCAATGTTTACCGTACATGATGATAGGTAATCATCAAGGACAGGGACCGATTGTGATGTTAAAGAATAAATTCATGCCAAAATGAGTAATAACAATTTACCACTGATTTCGGCTTGTGCGACACGAGTACATTCGACCCCCTGAGATCCCTTACGACGAACTCGAAAACCCATCACGTTCCACACGATATTTGCAGCGACAAAAGAAGAAGAAGAGAGGGAACGTATTATTATTGCCAATAAATTCGTTATTCCAAGTTATCCCCTACTTAGAATCCTCTTCCAGATTTTGGTCTAATCGGCTTTCTCACGACGCCCTGCCTCTGCACCACCGTTGACGCCGACGCCGCTGAGGCCTTCTTCAGCGGCACCGTCGCTACCGTCGACGGTGTGAGCAGACTGTTTTCGTGTTCCAGCCTCTTCGCCTCGCGCTCGCGGTCGAGTGCCATCTGAGCTTCCAGCTCAGCCTTCTTGTTGAACTCCGTCTCAGTGACGCGCTTGTCGCGCGCCGAATAGCCCTTTTCTTTAATGGAGTAAAACACACCGCCAAGGTCGGCAAGCCAGTGCGGATCAACGGCGGTGACACAGGACATGTATTCCTTGGAAGTGAGGATAAGCTCGTGATAGACGACGTAGTCAGGCAGGAAGCCCAGGCCGTAGAGAGCGCTGGTGGGATGCAGCTGGATAGTGACGCTGGTGCGCAGATTGATGTATTCGCCGATGCCCTTCGCCTTTGCAGCCTGGTGGTAGTAGCCGGAGCAGATGCATTTGCGGATGATGTCCCAGTCCGTGCCGCAGCTGAGAGTGGCCATTTTCTGGAGCTTCATGATGTCGGCGATCTGGTCGCGGATCTCCTTTGCGCGGCGGAGGGCTTTGGGGTGAAGGAAGTGGCGGATGCACCAGCCGTCTGAGAAGCCGTTGCTGCGCCATTGGCTGTACACGTGTAGGAGGGTGAGGTGGTCGGATTCGGGAACGAAGAACTTTTCGCGGGCGGCGTCGGATTCTTCGAGGCGTTCTTTGGGTCGGTAGAAGACGCTGGGAACGGAAAGCATGGCCACGATGGTTAGGACTTCTTCGCTACAACCGTACTCCACAGAGGTGATGATGAGCTTGGCTAGAGAAGGATCCATAGGGAATGCCGTCATACGTTTGCCAATTTCGGTGAGATCGCCAATGTTGTCGACAGCGCCCAAAGCCCAAAGGTCGAATAGCGAGGTTGATATAGTTTCTTGAGGTGGTGGGTCCATGAAGTCGAAGTCTAGTAGATCTCTGACCCCTAGTGACTTCAAGAGAAGTACTGTATTGGCCAGATTTGTTCTTTGAATCTCAGGTATGGTCTGGATATAGAATTCATCACGGAAAGCCCGTTCTGTATAAAGGAAGAAACATTTCCCGGGTCCTGTTCTTCCAGCGCGACCAGCTCTTTGTGAGGCGTTTGCTTGGGAGATAGGGGTAATCTGTAAAGCGTCCATGCCCATCCGCGGATTGTAAACCTTTAGCTTAGAGAACCCTGTGTCAACAACATACATAATACCATCGACTGTTAGACTCGTCTCAGCGATATTAGTAGCTACAATGACTTTCCGCACACCTGGAGCTGCCTTTTCGAAGATCTTCGCTTGCAAGTCTGCCGGCATCTGGCTGTATATAGGGAGGATACTGAGCTCTGGAGGATCATTCAGAAGCTTCAGCCTCTCTCCTACTAGCTCACAGGTGATCTCGATGTCTTCCTGGCCCGTCATGAACACAAGGATATCGCCTGGGCCTTGTGAGACATGGATGGCCAACACTTGTCGTACAGCCGCGTCGACGTAGTCCTCACATGGTGATCTCGAAAATTGCTTATCTACGGGAAATGTTCTTCCAGGTATGATAAATTCGGGCGCTCCGCTGTAAAAGTTCGAGAATCGAGCAGAGTTCATTGTGGCAGAAGTGACGATGAGCTTGAGATCGCGGCGCCTCGAAAGCAGCTTTTTGAACAATCCCATGAGAACGTCCGTATTCAACGCACGCTCGTGTGCTTCGTCCATGATGATGCAGGAGTATTTGTCGAGATCGGGATCCACAAGCGATTCTCGAAGTAAGACTCCGTCAGTCATGTACTTGATCTTTGTGTCTTTTGACGTGCAATCCTCAAACCGGATGGCATATCCGACTAAGCCTCCTAGCTTTACCTCCATCTCTTCACTGACACGTTTCGCTACACTCATGGCAGCAACACGTCGAGGTTGCGTACATCCAATGAGACCTTTCTGGCCATATCCAGCCTCAAGCAGGAACTGCGTTAGTTGAGTTGTTTTACCAGAACCTGTCTCACCAACTACAATAATGACCTGGTTGTCGTGGATAACCTCCAGTAAACGTTCTCGGACTGCGAAAGCTGGGAGGTATTGTCGCTGTTCTCGCATCGTCTTGCTTTGACTGAAATTACTTTGTCCCGCATTGCTCTTCAGATGCTCAGCGAATCTGCTGCCTCCTTTCCTTTGGTGCTCTTCTTCCTGGACAACAGGAGCCGCACTATCCCCTTCATCGTCTTTGACTCCCATGACGTTGCCCAGCGCGGTGCCAGAAACCTTTACGGCCTCTTGTGCTTGTTTCTGTCGCTCTTTCTGTTGTCTCTTTTCCTTGACTACGCGGCTTCCTTTGCGACTGAAGACCGCCATATCACTTTGCGGGTCTCTGACAGCCGGTACCGGGTCTAGTTGCTTTGTGAAGATAGTTCTGCCATCCAGAAATGGTGGCTTGAGATCATGTACGATAACATGCACTCGTGTCGAGTCATCGTCATCTTCAAAATCTGCGCCCAGATCTCTCCGTTGGGCAATGCCAGACGTCAGCATACGATTTGTCTCCCAAGCATCATTGTCTTTCTGTCTCTGTACCAATCTTGCATTCACCCGCGTGTTCTTTTTCTTCTCTGCCATAGCGGCTTCCCGCTCTTGCTCAAGCCATGTGCTGTCTGCTCCTCCGAAAGGGTTGTGGGAGTCATCACCTAGAGTGTGACCCTCCTCATCGCCGCCGTACCAGTCTCTATCCAGTGCATTGGAATCATCTATGTCTACTGATGGCTCCGGGCCATCAAATTCTTTCTGCCTGGGGGTCGAGACACCGCTTCTACCGTCGAAGCGAGGGGTTACTGCTCGCGATGAGTTTGATGAGTCCCGCCACTGTGATCCATTAAGTGCTGGGCGTGAGGTCCAAGGACGTGAAGGCATCGAGGTACGGTCATTGTCAAGCTTGCGCCTCTTTGGGCTATGCTCCCGCGACATTCTTCAAGCTCGATGGCCAGAATTAACAGGCGCGTGTCGTCGATTCTGTTACTGGACTAACATACTCTTATGCAATAAGCCTGCACAACGAGCGTCTAAGGTCAGTAACGTTGCGGCCACCAAGATATTACTCCGTCGGTATAACTTCGGGAACTGTGAAGTGAAAGCGCGGCAAGGGTAGCTCCCCGCCGCAAACAAAACTGTCGCAACGATTCTAGTTGCTAATTATCCCACAGGCTACCTTACTTCCTTTGTGGAAATGTCCTTTCCTCACTCATATGAATTGAGATAATTGTCATTCGAGAGGGAGAGCGCGCACCATGTCGCCTCAACAGCTCCACAATGCTCTCCTCCGTCCCGCTGTCCTCCATATTTTGCGCGCAACAGGCTATCACGCAGCGCGACCCTCTGTCATTGATACCCTCACCGACATAGCTGTACGCTATCTCATTTTGCTCGCCTCTCGGACACAACAAAATGCTTACTCAAACCACAATACACCCGAACCTGATATCACGGATGTGCGGATGGCTATGCAGGAATGCGGCTTGCTGATACCCAGTATGACCGCTGCTGAGGAAGAGTGGTCTGAAAGACTGCGTAAACCTTTACAGGAATACCCTGATAGGATTAGAGACAAAGAAAGGCAAAGACGAGATGCTGAAGACACGCGCGATGTTAGAGCTTTCATTGAATGGGTCGGTGGGAAGAAAAATATGGAGATAAGGCGAATAGCAGGCCTGTCGTCCGAAGGAGAAGGAGGCCCCACTGTTGAACAAGAAGTGCAAGAAGAGCTCGAGGATTACCTAACAGGTAAGCATTTTCATGATAGGAGCGTTTCAAAGTAATTGCGGACTGAATCTATCTCTAGCCCTCAAGAAGAAGCACAGCAAGACTGGCGAAGAAACACGTTTCCAGGGTACAATCCTAGGCAAGCCCGCGGACGAGAAGCCTATCAAGATCGAAGGCGGACCTATCGAATCGATCCGCGATTGGATCGCCCAAGTGCAAGAGCAAGCAGCTCGACAGTCTGTTGCTACGGGCAAAATAGCTGAAACGGATGCCAGCGAGGACGTAGATATGGACGATGAATCTGTCGATTTTATTCGGAATACGGGACCAATGGAGGGCGATGTCGCGGGGACAACAAGTCCCACGGCTAATGGTCGTTTGTCGAGCTCACCACTTTCGTCAGAATCAGAAGATGTACCTTTGAAAGATCGGGATATGACTGTGTCATGATGCGGTTAGTCGAATGGTGTTCAAGCATAGCGGTGGCGTTTCAAGCGAGCAAAAAGCTCTGGAGTTCAGGATAGCATTGGGCAGATTCCGGTATTGAGCTTGCCATATTTGCGTTCGGAGCTCAAGCACAGCTCGACACTACATGGACTGAGAATAGCTGTGCTGAGTGGAGCTCCAATAGCGGGCTCGTTAAATTATAAGAAAGATCATTGAACATACTGGAGTTCAGGACGCGATTGGGCATGCTGTTTGCAGATCAGCGTTCCTGACACATGACAATACCACTAACCTCCGAATGCCATACATCTTGATGACGCGTAGTCGCTGTATCCACACATCTCGAGTGGCTACATACACAAGAATATGTCATGACTAGTCGTACCATCCATGTCTGCGTCTCCTCCAACCTGCCCCGCCGACGTCATCGTGTTGAAATGCACATTGGTATGCCAATTGACATTTCCCATACCTAACCCAAAGCTCCTGTCCACTTCGCCAAATCCTCTCTACTTCACGCAAAGCTCGAATTCTATTTACTATAATGTCCTCCAACGCCCTCGACCCCTCCGGCTCCTCGCAACCCACCCTCGATCAAGCCTATAGCACCTCTGGTAATCCCGCCACCACATCCAAGAGCGAAGACTCACACGCTGCTCACCAGAAGAGCGCCGCAAACGAATCCACGGTCACAGAAGAGCGCGATGCGCATGACCAACCGCGCGGGAACCCAACAAGCAGCAGTCTGGGCCGCGGCATCCACGGTGCGCCAGCTGGCGAAGAGAAATATGGGCGTACAGAGGAGGATGTAGGCAGACATAATGAGCTTGATGGCGAGCAGATGAGTGCTCCGGGGGAGGGTAGAGTCAGAGATGCAGTAGTGGGTAATGCGAAGGGGAAGGGAGGCAGTGGAGAGCAGATTGATTTGGCGAGTGGTCTTGATCGGTAGGTCTGCGGTTGTGATGGGCTGTGGCATTGCTAATGGTAGAACAGGAAGAAAGCTGAGCAGGCGCCGGCGAGGGAGGCCATGAAGGAGCAGAGAGCGGAGGGTGTCGATGTTGGTGGTGTGTTGGGCCAGACAGGAGGACCTGCGAACCCGGTCGACTAGAGCAATCATTCTGACTCCGACATTCGGTTCATGTACAGATTTTCAACTACGTAAGCCCCCTCTTACTTCACAACTGGCACAAATTCGCGGAGTATAAAAAGCACGATTGGTACTAGCCATTTCGCAAAAGAATTCGACGGGATTGATCGAACGTTGCAATATTAAGCCAACGGGCCACAGCTTTTCCAAATGAGGAAGACATCAACTCGACGAGGAATAGACGACCAGATAAGTGATAGCGAGATTATTGTAGGGGCACCGCATACTACTATACAATCAAGTATATGAAGCCAATGTTAAAATACCACGTTTACCCAAAGTGCGCTGACATGCATGTACCGTACACCTTGAAATGCGAAAAGGCCGAGAGAAACACCTCACCGAAGACGTACCCTAGCATCAATCTGTGCCTTAGGAACGGGTTGGTCAACTTTGAGCCATTCGCCATTGAAGGCATTGACGAGCCAGTTGCTGAGTTCTGTGACTTTGTTAATAAGGTCAAATGAAAGTCACAGATATCACTTACTATCGTACACCATTCTGTTAGCATTGTGGAAGTAAATACTATGATCCGAGTCAGGAAAGAAGTGCACGTCATAGTTCTCGACGCCCTTCATGTCAAGCTTGTCGAGTAACGTCAACGTGTTCTGCAGGTGTACGTTATCATCGGATGCACCATGCATAACAAGGAAACGGATATTCTGGCCCAATGCTTCCGGGTTGTGGATGGATGAGTTGTCAAATCCTTGCGCGTTGTTCTGGGGAGTGTGCATATACCGCTCAGTGTATATTGAGTCTGTCTGACATTAGCACAAGTGGCAATAATAGTATGCGAGTAGCCGTACCGTAAAACCTCCAGTCGACCACAGGTGCTACGGCCATGCCGTAATGAAAGGTCTCTCCAGCATCGACTTCCAATGTTTTCAATGTCTGGAAGCCACCATAACTCCACCCCCACATCGCAATACGGTCTTCGTCAATGTACTTCCTCTTCGCAAATTCTTTAGCCACCGCAATGTGGTCGTGTGCTTCCCATTGTCCAAGATCGCCTCTGGTTATGCATCTAAATTTTCTACCTTTAAAGCCAGTACCTCTAGGGTCAACGGTGACCACAATATAGCCCAGGCTGGAGGCAACGTATGACTGAAAGTCGACTGCGAATTTTTTATGAACGGACTGGGACCCTGGACCGCTATATTGTTGAAACAAGACTGGGTATTTCCTCTTCTTATCAAAATGGGCCGGACGTCTTTCTAAGACATTCACCTCAACGTCATCCACAGCCACGCTCGAGTATACTAGAAGTGGGAGCTCGTGTGATCGTGCAAGTTTTTCAAGGTCTTCGTTACTCTCAATCTTCAACTCTAAGCTGTCCTCGTTGCTAGGGGTGTTGATGATCTTCTGCCAGGGGATGTTCGGCCCGTCATATGAGAGAAGCGCATAACCGGCACCTTTCGAGAAAGACACTTCGTAGTAGCCTTCTTTTCCTGTATCTGTGATCGCTGCGAGGCCAGTCCCATCGAATTTTACACGGTATACATGGCGCTCCATTGAGCTGACTTGTGTGGAGACAAAGTAAACGAAATTATTCTTCAAATCAACTGCTGAGGGCGCGTCCACGACCTCCCAATCTCCAGAGGTGAGCAGGATAGGGTCTGGATTGTCAAGCGGAGTAAAGTAGCCCAAGTGATCATACCCGTCATGTACAACTGTGTCGATATAACCATCGTGTTCTCGGCCGTTCTTTGGATCAGCAGGTATAAAGGTAGTGTCTTGAGACACTTCCATCCAACCCCCATCAAGTGCATTGATGTCTTGAGTTCTTATCGTCTTACCACTACGTCCTACTACGTCAATCAAAACTAGCTTGAGAAGGTCACTTTCGCGATTCGTTTCTCTTACGAGGACTTGCTTCGTGCGGCCTGCCCAGACAACCTCAGTGATGAGGCGAGTATCATCTGCAAAATCTTCCGTGATGTTAACAGAGAATACCTCATTCTTTGCAACATCGTAGAACTGCATGTTGACGATTGGATTGGGGGCACCGGCCTTCGGATACTTGATATCGCGCACTTCGGGATAGTTCTCTAGGCCTTCTGGTGGGTTATGGCCGCTTGGTCGAGAGAGGAAATATTGTACTGGGAATGTAGGTACAGCTGATTCGTTGGTCCGTAGGAATGCGACATATTCACCATCTTCAGACCACCAGGTCGCGCTGTTACCAGAGAAGACTTCTTCCTCGTATACCCAATCAGGTACTCCATAAAACAGCTCCGGACCGCCATCTTGAGTTATTTGAATGGGTATGTCCGAGGGTCCGGTGAGCTTGCGGATGTACATATTGTTTTCCCGGGTAAATACCAGGGCATCGGACTGTGGTGACCACGAGACTAGTTGCATCTTCTGATCTGGGGTAGAAGGATCTACAGGCTCGCCACTTTGCTTCTCGACGTCGAATATCCAGAACAACCCTTGGGAAGAATGTCTCCAGTTCTTCTCCCTGTCCGACATGATAAGAACCTTTGTGAGATCGGGACTTGGCCAAAGATCGTTCGGATATACCCATTTCTCGCCAACCATGAATCCACCCTGCTTCATCAGGACCTTGCCCTTATCTGATACTTCTTTCATTCCAATGTTCTTGACATCTTCAACTACGAGGAATGGCTTGCCAGGAATTGATTCTTCTAGAACATAACCATCCTCGCCTTGTGCGCCAGCGATCCATGAAATACCTTTCTTCTTAGCCCTCCACGCCCCGCCCTGGACCTCATCAAGTGTGACTTTCTTCCCAGACCCCCGGGACGCGGTGGCTAGAGGATCGTGTGGCCTCGTCGAGGAGTGTTTGTAAGACCCTCCCCAAACGAACATGAGTAGAGCGAGGGCCCATCCTACGAGGCAGACCACTCCCAGCATCCATAGAACACTCCGAGCTTTCTTATCTACCGGCTTACTTGTGCCATAGTATCCCCTTCCCTCTTCAACATCAATTTCTTCCTTGTGTGGTGACGTACCATCCTCATCTCGATATCGACTTCCTTCCGTCTTAGCTTTAGGCATATTGGTCTGGTCATTTATGTGTTCCAGTATGAGTGACGTGGTAGATGCGGAGGAGAAGGAGAGGCAGCCGTCGTCCAATGAAGAGCGCGACTCAATATCATCATTGGTCAGGGGTTCAGTCTCATCTTGGATGAGTCGTTCCTTAGGTGCCATTGTGGACGTGGTTGTGAAGAATAATCAGCCGGCGGGCGTTTAGGAGCAGTCTGAAAATTGCTTGGGATTTACTGTAGCATTATGGTGTTCTCGATCGCCTCGTCTGATATTGCAATCATTGTCAACTTGGATGTACGAACGTATTCGCGGTTCGGGATGCAGTTGGGGACCCTGTCCGTTCATTGCATGTCGATCTACACCGGGGTGGAGCTTGGCACTACACCTACCAATCACAATGAATTCGGTTCCACATAATTCGTCACTCCGATAGATGTACATATTCCGTACTATCTTATGGACATGGTCTTTTGTCTTCGTATCGCCCTGTTAAAAGGTTTGATTGTATAGTTACGTCATTGCCATTGATTTCAGCTTATGCTATAAGGAATGACAACCTTACATGTAGTACTACGTGAACCTTCATCAAGGTAGATCCATATGGCGAAGAACAGCTTCGCATTATATTTGCTATTTTACACATGTAGATGCTTGCTTCGAGCATTCAAATTTTGGTTAGACCAAGTCACACTTCCATTAAGGTATTTCAAGGCTTCATGCTTGCCTGAACCTATGAGCCCCTTGTTGCATCAAGCCAATGCACACTGGATTCAGTAGTTGTGCGCAACAAATGTGACTTTCTAGTCTGGGGGCTGTGAAAGCGTCCTGCCTGTGACAGAAGCCATGCGGCTGATGTTTCACCTGAAAATTAGCATGAACTGTTTATGTTCCGGGATTGGCGGTATATCCTGTCTTCCTATACTGCCGGTAGTGGTCTAGGATGTTCAGTCAGCTGTGAACGTATGTGATCAAGAGCCTACATACCCCAGATAATCCTAGATTGTTATTTAGCATTCGTAACGAAATTGCAATGATGACCAAGCTTACCTCTTTTATCGTTGCAATCGCGAACATTTTTTCGGCCTCCCCTCTTGTGCCCTTCACTTTCAGTCTTACTTGAGTACCTTTCTCGATGACTTGGTCACCGTTGTCCGTCCACTGAGCTGGCGTTGCATTTCCGTCGTACTTGATCTCCTTGGGAATCATCTAAAAAGTGCTCAGCATGAACCACAGCAAAATCGCTTCTAGCTTACTTGCTGGGAGATGAAGACGCTCAACGGTCCTACATCCACAAAAAACCCGGCTTCTGTAACTGTTTCTACAAGACCGTCGAGCTTTGAGATGAATTAAAAATAATATTTCTGGTATTTGGCAGCAGCATATACATACCACTTCTCCTCGAAATGGTCTCCACACGACAGCTTTGTAGTGTACAGTGTATTCAGCTTGGGCGGTTCCAGGTACAACACGGCCCTCTGACATTTCGAAAGCACTCAGAATGCACACTATGAAGTATCGACCGTTGAAAGTACCCTCCAGATCATTGATGAGTTGGCGCTCAATGTAGTCATTGATTCGAGGACCGAAGAAGGAAGGATGAAGGAATATCGTCTGCTCGAGTTCATGTAGGAAAAACATTATGGGCAAAGGCCACTCTAGGCAAACTGTGATAGCTTCTTATTTGTTTGCAAGCCTCGCGCGCACCTCTTCCACTCTCTTTCTGTCTTGCGCCGACACAGTATCCAATGTTTCGTCGCCACTCGCTATGAAGGAATGGTGCCAATCAAGCAACTAGCTGGCATTCGAGCGTCGGTGCTTGGGACAGAATCGTTCGTTTGTGTTGCGACAGGATCTTTTCGAATCCGAAGTCGCCCGCACTGACAGCTGCAGGTCGCATGCTACTAGACGCGTCGACGTAGCTTATGATTAATCACACGGCTCCGACGTGACGCCGGGCGCACGTACAGGATCCCAGGCAGCAACAGCGACCGGATAAGGCCAATAAAATCCATCCTCGGCAGGCGGCCCCCACCGTCCTCGGTGGCAGCTCCTGTTCTTATGATCCATTCAGACGTCCACTGCCAGCTCAACTTTTGAGCGGGGCGCATCTCGCTTCTTGTCAAATAACGCGTTACCTGTACATCGAACTTCACTGGTTGACGAAGGATGGTTCTGTCTCCATTGCAACATCCTGCTTGAACGTTTCAACGCCGTCTTCTGTAACAAGCTATGGCGCTCAACCTAGAACACCATTTGCGCTTTGTACGTACCTCAACATTGCTCTAGTATCGATCTCAAAATGCTGACTGTCCTAGTACGGTGCTTACCATAGGGATCCTGTAAGTGTCCGAAGACACCCTGCTACCTTGATCTGACACCCACACCTACAGGTGAATATCGGGATCCATATCGTATGCGTACCAATGATCCTATTGTCTGCATTGGTCTTGGTAAGCTAAACTTCATGGAAATTGATACTGCTTGCTGATACTACAAAGGCGACCAACTCACCCAACCTCGAAATTCCTGCTGCCTTCTCGATACCGTATTTCCCGATCAATATCGGGACTATCGCAGCATTTCTCTATGCTATTCTGTTTATACTGCTGGAACCAGTGGCTGGAGGTCTCATCGCCCCTCTCATCTTGGGCTGTACCGCATATGGAGCTCATCTGGTGGAGAGATTGGGACAACCAGTCAACAACTGGGCGATAGGGATCCATGTGTTCTCTTGGATTGCTCAATTTATTGGTCACGGGAAATTCGAGGGACGTGCTCCCGCATTGCTGGATAATCTCGTTCAAGCTCTGTTCTTTGCGCCGCTCTTCGTCTGGCTCGAGGTCCTCTTTGCTTTTGGTTACCGCCCTGAACTGAAGGCACGCATGGAACAAGGTGTCAAGGAAGAGGTTGCCAAGTTCAAGAACAAAGGTGCACAAACCAATGGCGACACGAAAAAAGAGTCGTGATACCATATTTTTCAAAGGCAATGGCAAGCAGTGCGACAATAACTTTCACTGACCAATAATTTGCCATCATAATTCTGAAACTGAGCGTGTGCAGGAAGCAAGGCGTTATTCGTATGGAGTTCTTTGATTTACATTGGACCTGTTCATAATATATCTATCGCTCTCACACACAATTCACACGACATAGTTAGGCCCAAGTGTATTTGCGTACGTACATTAGGTAGCCCAAAGCAGTAGGATGACCGGTCAACAACTGGCCCAAAGATAAAGTGGTATCATCGCAATGGACTCTTATTCCACTCGAAGACTTCTTCTCCACGTGAAGGACGGGATTCTCGCACGTTCGCATCAGGCCATTCACATAAGCAATAAAGTTCGAGGCGATGACGACGAAGGATATTTTACATTATTGCTCAAAGTCTGCCTTTAGACATGAGATCTCTGCACCTTTTCGAGGCGGTTTGGTAGCAGGTATAATTACCATGATATCTACCCATATGTGAGGGCTAAGCTAAATTCGAAAGGGTTGAGTGCACGGGCGTTTAGTCAGCACCGGCGAGGTGCAAGTCTGTCGAACTTGCCAAACTCCTCTTCTCTCCCCGAGCTTTCATCGCATCAATCACCAATCTCCCCTCCTCTCTTCAGCTTTGATATCAATTGATAGCAAAGCTATCTCATAAAGCTCTTGAGCATAAGAACCATGTTCTCAAGAGCCATCCGCCAGTCCGGCCGCCGGGTCGCGGCAATTTCTGCATCCAGCAGAATCGCATCTGTCAGTCAACCCAATCAGTCCGGCACAGCATCAATTCCATCAATTGCTTCATTCCGAAGCTGCTCTCTAGACTTTCCAAGGCTTTCAGAGTCGTGGTGATGCAGGTTTCGAGCTTTGTTGAGCTTCGTCCTGGTTGTACCAGGCCTATTCATACCGAGGGCTAACATTTTTTCAACCACGCAGACTCGGTCAACACCGGCAACTTTCAACACCGCATCAAAGCAACTTCGATCCTATGCCTCCGACGCGAAGGCTGCCCCTACTGAGGTCTCCTCTATCCTCGAACAGCGGATTCGTGGTGTCCAGGAGGAGGCTTCCCTCGCCGAAACTGGCCGTGTCCTCTCAGTCGGGTAATTAGAAACATGGACATTACTTGTGAAGGCAGAGCCTCGCTAACAGTCGATAAACAGTGATGGTATCGCTCGTGTCCATGGTATGGCCAACGTACAAGCCGAGGAGCTAGTCGAGTATGTAGTCTCGAGAGAATAGTGTTTCAAGGATGCGCGTAATAACGATCAACAGGTTCGCCTCAGGGGTGAAGGGCATGTGTATGAACTTGGAAGCCGGCCAGGTCGGTGTCGTGCTCTTCGGTTCTGATCGTTTGGTCAAGGAAGGCGAGACGGTCAAGCGTACCGGTGAGATTGTAAGTTGAGACCATTTTTGCTTGTCAAAGACAGTTCTAAAACAAAACCAGGTCGACGTTGGTGTCGGTCCAGAGCTTCTTGGCCGCGTTGTCGATGCTCTCGGTAACCCCATCGACGGAAAGGGTCCCATCAAGACCACTGAGCGCCGCCGTGCTCAAGTCAAGGCCCCTGGTATTCTGCCTCGTCGCTCAGTGAACCAGCCTGTGCAGACTGGATTGAAATCCGTCGACGCCATGGTACCCATTGGTCGTGGACAACGTGAACTGATTATTGGTGATCGTCAAACTGGAAAGACCGCCGTTGCTCTTGACGCCATGTTGAACCAGAAGCGATGGAATGATGGCAACGACGAGAGCAAGAAGCTGTACTGTGTGTACGTTGCTGTTGGTCAGAAGCGTTCCACCGTCGCGCAGCTCGTCAAGACTCTTGAGGAGAATGACGCCATGAAGTACACCATTGTCGTTGCCGCCACTGCCTCTGAAGCCGCTCCTCTGCAATACATCGCGCCATTCACTGGTACCTCCATGGGAGAGTGTAAGTGCGCCCCTTTCATAAAGCGCTCCACGGCTCAGTAAATACACCTATGTGCTCTCTGACACTGACTTTTCCCAGGGTTCCGCGACAACGGAAAGCACGCCGTCATCATCTTTGATGATTTGTCCAAGCAGGCCGTCGCCTACCGTCAAATGTCGCTTCTGCTCCGTCGTCCTCCTGGTCGTGAGGCCTACCCCGGTGACGTCTTCTACCTCCACTCTCGTCTGCTGGAGCGTGCCGCCAAGATGAATGACAAGCACGGTGGCGGATCTCTCACTGCTCTGCCCATCATTGAGACTCAGGGTGGTGACGTGTCCGCTTACATTCCTACCAACGTCATCTCCATCACCGACGGTCAAATCTTCTTGGAGGCTGAGCTCTTCTACAAGGGTATCCGACCAGCCATCAACGTCGGTCTGTCTGTCTCACGTGTCGGTTCCTCGGCCCAATTGAAGGCCATGAAGCAGGTCGCTGGTAGCTTGAAGCTTTTCTTGGCTCAATACCGTGAAGTCGCTGCCTTCGCTCAATTCGGTTCTGATCTCGATGCTGCAACCAAACAGACTCTGTCTCGTGGTGAGCGTTTGACCGAGCTCCTCAAGCAGAAGCAATATTCTCCTATGGCCGTTAACGAGATGGTGCCACTCATCTATGCTGGTATCAACGGTTACTTGGACAACATACCCGTTAACAAGATTCTGCAGTGGGAGTCCGACTTCTTGGCCCATCTCAAGAGCAACGAATCTGACTTTTTGGCCACGATTGACAAGGAGGGTGCCTTGAGCAAGGATCTGGAAGGCAAGCTGAAGGAACTCATCACAAGCTTCACCAAGAGCTTCCAGTAAATTTCCGAAAGAAAACTATAGGAGTATGTTTCGTGTATGACATGTATTGTGCCGAAGCTTACCAATACCTTAGATGTAATATAGAACATCCCTCTCTCCAAAGCGCATGTTAGAGGGAGCTGCCGATACCTGCGGAAACGATCTTTCTTCAGATCCTGATCCTTGACTAAATCTCACTCTACTGTACGAGCGTGCGACTCTCTATGTTGCTTGGCAGTAGTAACTAGCTAGATGCGATGGCTTTGGCCGTGTATTTATCTTGCAAATGCATTTCCTTGTTGTCCAAATTCGACCTCGTTACCCGTGACAACAATGTTCGCACTTATTCACTCGACGTTCACGCGCCGAGGACACATCCGCACTGCAAATGTTGATCTCTGTAACAGACAAGACCTCTTCTTTCTATTCACTAATACAATAGGCACCCACCACAACTGACTACAATATGGGTCTCCATAAAACTGTACCATTCAAATGTCCTGAACTTACTTCTCCAACTCGCGCGAGTACGCAAAATTTCGGCTTATCGTTAGGATGATGATTCCCGATAGGTCTCCCGAAATACCACTACTTGCCTTATCCACTTTTTCATTCCCGGCCTCATCTACTTCGTCTGACCTGCGGCATGTTGAAACATTCCGTTACAGTCCTATTGATGACAGCTTGGGCAATCCGAGCGTAGGTGCTGCAAGACGGTATGCCGAGCTGTACCACCTTGCTCTCACTAGCAATGGGGAAATCAGTCCCAAAACGAAAGTTTCGTTCACGGAAGACGAGACCATAACAGAGAGGCCAAAGTTGAGGAGAATCTCTGCGAGAGTCGGTGGCTACCGCGATCAAGACATTGCTGCCGAAGCAGCATCGAGCTCCCTGGAGTTGGATCAAGTCGCAGAAAAGTCGGAAATGCCGCCTTCGGCGGCCCTTGAGTCTTCTACAGCAAGCCAGTATGAATCGAACAATAAATCCAGGGATGAGGTCGAGCTCGACTGTGATGATACGACACACCAGCGTGACCCATGCACGGACGCAATATACCACGGCCTGTCACAAGCTTCACCTCTCATCCTAAGTAGACCAAGCAGTACTATTACCTTCTCTGACGCCACATCTGAATACCACGAACGTGGACCGACATCTTCGCTCGACTCGACATCTAGCTGCTGTATCGAACTTGAGCACACGCTCACGCTCGCCAATGCGCTCATCGGATCTCTTCATGCGGATATCGATATGCTGCGCCTATATATGCGCCGCAGCGACGCCGAGATACAGAAGCTCAGGCAGACGGTGGATTACTCAAACGAGGTGCTAGGAGAAACATACAATATTATTCATTCGTTGGAGAAGGAAATCAGTGAGGTGGTGAGGAAGCTCGAAGACGGGCAGGCATCGGGCAAGAAAGGGGCTTCTGGTAGCGTGTCTGGTAGGTGGTCGAGAAAGTTTGGAAAGGCCATGAGGGGAACGGATCTGCTCCAAAAGCTGCGAGATGATCAAAATATGACTGCGTGGTCAATGACCAATCTCGAAAGCAGTCTACATTTCGGGACAGAACGAACAGAGTCGGTGTCGTTCATGGCATTGAGAGGCTTTCATGGCAAGGTACGGGAAAATGCAAAGGACTTGAAGAGCAAGATTGAGCAATTCATTGAGAAGGTGCGATTGTGTCAGCGACTGCAGACACGTTGAAAGTAGTATTCCCGGTCTAAGATCTGGCCTTGGAGCAGTGGACGTAGGAGTCAATTCTTGAGAAATCGACGATTTGGAAATTTGGACGTAGAGCAAAATAGGCGTGTGCATTGCTCTAAGTTGTTGACAATGGGAGTTACCTTGGGAGGCATAGGTATGGAGTTTCGATTGCCAGGTTCTTGGAGGTGCCACTACCCTTTCTGTCTCTGTACTTACTCCTGCTTGACAGCACATCATCCTTGATAGCCTCCTTCACTTTATGGAATATAACGCAGCATACAGTGGTTTGTTCGGTGCTTTCTCGGTTGCTGTGGTAATCGTAAAGATCATACTCCTCAGGAGCTATGATGGGTGTTGGGACCTACCTTAGATCCCCAATACTACTTGAACATACCATACATACCCTGAACGCTCCGAGGCCATTGAATCAATGAAATCACCAGAAGCAAATCATTTAAAACTCTCGTTCGATGCGAACGAAATGTTCCATTGTAGTGTTCTCTCTGGTGAGGACGATTTGGACGACTTTCAAGGCCATAAGTATGGCAGGCCACCATCTGAATGAACAAAACTTGTGAGCGGGACTTCAAATTCAGATACCACATTGCACGGGCATTCTTCTATTTAGATACATGATGAGAGCCTGTCATTTCTTTTGGTTAGAAGCTTAGCTTTCCACACATTCTCACTTCTCACCTCCCTTAGGCGACAACTGACCCATCATACGTTGCCTGTGTGTCCTCAAGGCCGTCTGAGATGACATCTTTGCCACATATCACCATTACGTCTTTGTATTGCTCCTATTGTTGGAGTGGCCATGCTTATAGAATGTGCTTGTATCTTCTCAGTTGTAGATAGCTAAAGCGTAAACAGGCACAATGCAGTGTCAGAGTGACTATGAACGGACCTGGACTAGAGACCATATTACGGAATACTAAGGACCTACCAAAGTAGTGGAGCAGGTCGAATTTTCAGCCGTTACAATCTTGGTAATGAAGACAAACTTCTGAATCTAGAATGGACGATGTAGGTGTCTTCCTGGCGAGGTGAGAAATGGCACTTGGGCCACGAGATCTACAGATACCACCAATTTATGGCCCTGATCCACTTTCAATCCTTATATGGCAACTTCGAAACTCACTTTTACCGTAGAGTTTCTTTTGTCCTCCAAGTCATTTTTATCTGCTAGTGCTATATACGTCGTTGTTCGACTGACTCTTGCGTTACTCCTCTCTGGTGCATAGTTTACAGATGAGCATGGGTATCGGGTTTGATACTGCTGTACTCGCAGTTTTGTTCCTCTCCGCTGCTATTGTCAATCGATCGGAAGGGCATTTCAACAGACGATTTGGAAGGAAGGCAGCTCCTGGTATATTTCGAGCCGGGACGGCAGTGACGAAGCGCTGTTGCGGTAGTCACCATGAACGAAGCCATATAAACAGTCCACTCGTGCCATAGTCTCTTCTCGGCCTCAACAACTTACCACCGCGCACGTCTGCTTCCAACTTTGTTTTACTCCATTCAACCTCGTTGATTTTCTTCAATATAAGAAACAAAGTCTCTGATTTCTCCTTACAGCAAACATGAGCTCTTTCCTCCCACTGGTATCAGAAACCAGCGTTGATGTTGGCCATGACTTCAAGGCCGAGCCCAAGGTCTCCCAAGGCATCAAAGTGGTAGTGCACGAGATAGATGATGATTCTGGCAACGAGACCCAGGTCGAGCCCAATCTTTCGGAGAATCTCAACCCGCTTGATCGGGAGGTCGACAGTGCTGTCCCGGATACCTATGCTGAGTACAAGCCCCCAGTATATTCCAAACCAGGCCTAGGATGCCCATGGAAGAAGAATACTCTCAAAGACACCGTACCCCACTCTGTCAAGGATCGAGAGATCATGTGGAGCACAGATGACATTGCCGAGCTCGAAGCCAATGGACCTGTCATGACTCCTGCAATGGTTTCGGACCTGGCGCTGCGTATCATGAAGTCCGGAGAGAAGTTGAAAGAGTCTGTCAAGGAAATTGAGATTCTGGAAGAGACAGCCAAGGCACTGGGTGCTGTGGTGGCCAGATCAGTTTGTGTGGATGATGTTCCAAACGCTCCTGTCGATGCGGATGCTAGCAATAAGCAGCATGTCTCGAAGGTCGATGTGGCGCTAATTAGTGAACGCCCTTGCGATGCTCCTTGTTCATCGTGTGAGAAGATGAAGTGTGTTCCGAAGGGAGATTTGCCTGTCGAATCGATTCTTACATCTGCTGAAGAGCCCTACTTTGACAAAGTCCGTGAGGTCCAGCACGACTTGGAAAGGGTAACACTTGAAGATGTAAAAATCTTGGCCAAGCTCGAGACTCAAGCCCATGGCCATATCGAGAAGGGTGGAGAGACAGCCAAGCTCCAATCAATTGTCGACTCCCGTCACAGATTTGAGAAATCGTTCGAGGATCGAGAGGCAAATTTTGAGAGAGTCAAGCACGAGATCGAGGAAAAGGAGGAGCATGATCCATCCAGTGTTACAAAGAGTGATGCTGCCAAGCTCGCCCACTATGAAGCTCGCGCACATGGGACCCTCGAGGCAGGAGGTCCTGCTGGTATGTTACGTCCTGCATCTCTCTGAAAGACTTGCTGATGTTGATACTTGACAAGCACATGCCCAAAGCTTGGCGCGCAAGAATGAGACGGCTTCAGTGGCTCATTAGCCAGCAAAATCAATGGGGAGAGTACCAAGATGACGGCACGACCGTGAGCCAGCTTGTGAAACAGCTAGAGGAAGTCAACAGTATGTCCTAATGGAAACATGTGTGTATCAAGCATTCTTTAAGTCGCAGACGAGATGAGGGGGCGGGAAACATTGGTATGATGGACGCGTGCTTCATCAAACAGCAGGTATCACTGAAGATACATCATCTGAGAAGTGCTGGCTGCTAGCTTTTGCGTCGAGAATTATGCACTTCTACTTTCACATCCACCTTTATCGGCTTCTTTTGAGAGCTTTAGCGTGGTGGCGGTGGTACATCACGGAGGCTTCCACTTCGAGTACCGATGGTCAAATTTTGCGTTGTGTACCGTTGCATTCAACAACGTACTTCAGTGAGTTAATGATGTAGTGTTATAATAACACTTGTCGTGATGCTCTATCTCGAGAACTTCTTGTGGATGTTTTGTGGGGGACACGTGATCTAGTGGGACCAAAACACAACAACCCCACATCTTAGGGACGGCGCCAATATCCACACCGCTCTTCAGCCTCGACATTGACCAGCTCAGCTGCACTCCTGAACTTCTATCGAGAACCAATTCCTTGCTCCAAAGTCACACCGGCTGTCCATCATGAGAGGAGAGGTGTGTAACCCCCAATTGCTTCAATATCGACGCGTCTTGATGCATGGCGAAGCTTCCAGACAGCCCCTGACTACAATCTCCGAATCCCATCGCTAACACAATCCTCCTCAATTCTAGATCTGCCACCTTCACATCGGCCAGGCTGGTACCCAGCTTGGTAACAGCGCCTGGGAGCTGTAAGACGCCCTAAGATACACCTACAATCGTCTCAAACCCTCGCTACGAACGTTCTGAGATACAATTACTGATGCCCAAGTCCTCAGGTACCTCCTCGAGCACGGCCTCAAGCAGGATGGTCGCCCAGATCCCGAGAAGAAGGATACCGTCGATCCTGGATCGTATGAGACATTCTTTACCGAGACTGGAAGCGGAAAATACGTCCCTCGTTCAATCTTCGTCGACTTGGACCCATCGGTACGTTTGCGTCCTGCAATGCTTCGAAGCAACGATCACCACTGAACATGGATAGCCTATTGATGAGATTCGCACCGGCGCCTACCGCCAATTGTTTCACCCTGAGCTTTTGATCAGCGGCAAGGAAGATGCTGCAAACAACTGTATGCTACAATGAAGGGCTGGAAAGGCAAGATGCTAAGGGACGTACAGATGCTCGTGGCCACTACACAATTGGAAAGGAGCTTGTCGACAGCGTTATCGACCGCATCCGTCGCGTTGCTGGTAAGCTGCCAAGCCGACTGAGAGTCGTCAATGAAGCTAATGTCTACACAGACAACTGCTCCTCCCTCCAGGGCTTCCTCATCTTTCACTCGTTTGGTGGAGGTACCGGTTCCGGTTTCGGCGCCCTTCTCCTGGAGCGCCTGTCGACTGACTACGGGAAGAAGTGCAAGCTTGAGTTTGCAGTTTACCCGGCTCCCCGTGTGTCTACCGCCGTAGTCGAGCCTTACAATGCCGTTCTGTCCACCCACAGTACCATTGAGAACTCCGACTGCACGTTCCTCGTCGACAATGAGGCTGTCTACGATATCTGCCGTCGCAGCCTAGACATTACCCGTCCCAGCTACGAGCACCTCAATCGACTCATTGCTCAGGTCGTCAGCTCCATTACTTCATCTCTGCGTTTCGATGGTGCTCTCAACGTTGATTTGAACGAGTTCCAGACCAATTTGGTACCGTACCCGCGTATTCACTACCCGCTCATCAGCTACGCACCTGTCATCTCCAGCCAGAAGAGCACCCACGAGAGCTTTAAGGTCCATGATCTTACCTTCCAATGTACGTAATTGAAAGGCAGGATCCTCATGGGTATAGTGAAAGCTGACTATCACAAGGTTTCGAGCCAAACAACCAGATGGTGGTCTGCGACCCCCGCAACGGCAAGTATATGGCTGTCGCTCTACTGTACCGCGGTGATGTAGTCCCACGTGATTGCAACGCTGCTGTTGCTGCTCTGAAGGCTAAGGCCTCATTTAACCTTGTTGAGTGGTGCCCAACTGGTTTCAAGCTCGGTATCAATTACACGTAAGCAGTTCGGCATTATTTCCATGCTCCGTACTGACATCTTACTAGTAAGCCAATGGCTGTTCCCGGCAGCGAGCTTGCCGCTGTCGACCGTAGTGTGTCTATGCTTAGCAACACAACCGCTATTGCCGAAGCCTGGTCTCGTCTTGACCACAAGTTCGACCTCATGTACAGCAAGCGTGCCTTCGTTCACTGGTACGTTGGAGAAGGTATGGAGGAAGGTGAATTCTCCGAGGCTCGTGAGGATCTTGCTGCTCTCGAGAAAGATTACGAGGAGGTGGCCTCTGACAGCCTTGAGGAAGGTGGTGAGGAGGGCGAGTACTAGTAACCTGATATTGTTAAATACCCCGGCTGTCTCTCTTCCGGGCAAAATCTGGTGTGGACGCCGATTTGGAGCTCGGTCTATGCACCAGGGGGTAATGTGTTATTCTCACGCGGGATTAGCGAGTGTCTGGAGTAGCAGAAACTTTTTCGAGATTTAGGTAGAGAAACATGGTATACTCTCCATGACGTACTTTGTGCCATGATAACCTGTATGATTGTCACGGACCAGTGAGGTTACTTGCATGGATGGCTGCACGACCAAATGAAGTCTAGCTTAGCGTCCCCACCTCCCATAGCATCATTCTTCCAGTCAAACCAAACGAAACACCTCAACACACAAGCCGGTTGATGGAGCATGTTCTCATCACACTTCACAAAGCTTGCAAATAAGTTGCCGACGCTCAGCAGCTTCGGCTGGGGAGCACGGCCAGAGGCCATTGACATACCAAGTGTGCAAATCTTCGACACGGAAACGGGAACGGAGAAGCGGATGCGTACGCTGAAGCACCTGATCAAAGCCAATCATGCCAACCACTCGATAATATACAACGAGCTCCGATTCCATAACCACACACCTCATGTGAGTTGGGCAACGTAGTTTTAGATTTTAGGCATGAGCGAAATGTTTCTGATAAAAAGGGCCACTAGATTCTCGGATCGGCGTTCTGTCTAGGAGGCACATCCGAGCATCTCCATGAGATATACGAAAAGGAGACGAAGAATCTCGAGCCATGGCAAGAGTCACCAGGCGAGATTTCGCTGTCGGACTGGCGGGATTTTCTAGGCAAGCGAGAGTATGTACTGATAGCATAGTTCAGACCTGTCAAGAGCCTGTTTAGAAACATGCAATTCTCACAATACTCGAACTAGGTATCAGCGCGCCTTCATCGACTTCTTCGAGGACCAACTTGTGCTCAACGGCTACGACTGGCATCAATTGCTCTCTGACTTCCTCTTCGCCGGGCCCGCGCCACTAATTCACGAAATGCTCGTCAGCGGCCGTACGCACTCCCTCTCTCCTTTTCTCTATCATAGCAACCAAGACACGCGACACACTAGATATATATACATATACTGACACATGCAACCTACCACGCAGTCGGCCATCCATTAATCCACCTTGCATACGCATACGAACTCTCCAGCTCCACCCTCGCCATCGAAGCCCTCGCTCTCGGCACATGTTTCTATACGCCTGCGCACGCCAAGTACCTCGACGACCCGGCATACACGCAGCCGCCCGCCAACCCGTCCGCCGACCCCCTTGTCATCCTCGCGCGGGTGCGCACAGATGCGCGCTTCGATGGCCTTTTCGATTCACGTAAGCCAAAGAATGTGGATGTTGTGTTCGAGCAGGCGGAAGAGGCGCTGTTGGAGCACTGGAATGCGTGGACGTGGACGGCAGCGACTGATGCTGATGCAGGTGCGGATGTAGATGGTGCGCGGGGGGCGTTTGAGCGTGCGCAGAGGGCAGCTATGGGGTTACTGGTCGCGAGTCGAACACACGGCCAGAGGTTTGATTTCTTCTTGTGTCACTTGTTGACGAGCAGCCATGCGGTGCGGGTGTTGCTAGGGGTTGTACCGGCGCGGTGGCATGTGGTGCTTGTGCGGCAATGGTGGCTATTTGTGCTCGCGGTGTATGTGGCGCAGATGAGGCCTGGGGTTGAGATGGAGCGGATCGCGGAGGTGGATGTTGCAGGGAGGGGATGGGGCCATGTGCAGAAGGAGGCATTAGGGAGTGCGTGGAGTGCGGATGCGCATTTTGTCAAAGGTGAGCTTTTTGTCTTCTCTTTGTTTTTCTTGAAGTTTGTGTTCTATATGAGAGAGTTAGGACTGACATTTGTTGTGCGTCTGTATAGCACTGCGAGCGATGAAGGTTGCGGCTGAGACGTGGGGTGGTGATGAGGAGGAGCAGTTCTATCTCAAGGCCGCTCTGAAGTTTGCGGATGAGTTTGATGATTGGGGTGGGTTTGATGTGATGATAAATTAGGAGTGTTGTTTGTACCTATATATGCATCGTGATATTTGCTGACTGCTGTTTACATCAAATTCCTGTATCTGATACTGACCGAATGCGGCTAGACTGTGAGGGCATCTGCCACTTGCTCCTTGCCCGGGTGGCAAGAATAGTCGCTGCCGAGCTTATTGTTGATACAGTACTTTTGAGGATTACTGGCTTATGTCAGTAATAGCAGTAGGCTACTGTCAGAGATTGAAGCAAGCTCATGGACACGTGCGGCATGCCTGCTCGCGTACTTGCATACATACCTGCACATTTAATCATGCCCAATGCTGACCAATGACCTGCATATCGTTGTGAAGAAGCTTTGAGGCTATCAGAAGGCTAGACGAGCAACTGAAGGTCTGGATGCATGAGTAATGCTATATATCGTCTACTGTGTACGTGCAATTGAAATGGACGGTCGAGACGAGGTTGGTGGCGGTGGTGGTGGTGGTGATAGTGGCCGGTGATAGTAGTGATATCAGTGGTAGTTAGTTGTAGTTGGTAGTAGCTAGCGGTGATTAGTCAAGGAAGGCACGCTCGTGAGTCGTCCTTGCCGAAGCGAACCGTGACGAGGCTTTGCTTACTCAGCGCAAGGGTTATCGACCTCGGGAGATGACATGTATTACCTTATGATGCTTCGTCCCTATCTATCTATCCCAGCCAGGATATGTGGACGGCTTCTTAGAATGCATAACAAGTATTGAGTCAAAGACTCCTTGGCAGCAGAGGCAGTAGTATTTGTATTTAGATCTTAGCTAGCTTGGCGGTGGAGGTGTACAGGAGGAATGCCATGTTATTGACAACGGGCATTTCGCAGGGATTCAGGGAATGCGATCATGGGCAGCAGCAAGCTTTTCCGGCAACCGGCTGGGCACTCGGCTGGCGGAACAGCGAGAGAACGCCACGGGTTGCAAGGGCACAATACACGATAATGATAATGTTCATGCGATGAATTGGTGACTGTAAATTGAAAGAGTTGGGGGCGTGTCTGTGACTCTGTAGATCTGTATTCTTTCTTTGTGTTCACCTGCTGCTGCCCAGTGCTGAAAGACGCACACGCACGTTACGTCATAATGAGCAACCCCAGCTGCCATCGATATCTGACCTCGCTCCACTCAACCTTGTCAACAACCGAGTCACCGAGCTATCCCGGCCTTTGACGCCTCCTTCGGGCACGGAGACGCACAAACTGCGCGCTCTGTTTTGTCCTTTTGCTTGCTTATTAGCATCCTTCACACGTCTTGTCTGTTGTCTCCATCGCTTCAATATTGGCCATAATACCACACATACACCTACGTACGCATACGCATACACATACATACACACGCTACCACTCGGCAGCCTTTACCATTCAACCTGCAGCTAGTATCCATTCCGTATATCGCGTACATTACTAGCTCCAGCCTCTGTCGCTAGCCAGCTTCCGCTCGTCATTTCTTTCCTCTTAGACTTGCCCCACCAGCCGGATACACAAACAATACTATCGGTGCATGACCCAACATCTCTACGCGTCTGCCGTCTTTGTTCGTTCTTTGTTACTCCTCACTAGAGCTTGGGATACTTCACCATGCCTGAACCAGCGGCTCAGAAACGCATGAGCTCGCTCAAGCAGGCCCTCAACAAGCTCAAGATTGGTGGCAGCAGCAGCAACAGCCAATCTGCCAGCGACGACGAAACAGTGAGATCTGGCATCATCCACTCTTCTACCGATCAAGTCAAGTCTCCAGAGGCTGCAACTCCTAATGGCGCCTCGCCAATAGGTGTTGCCTCGCCTCCTGTCAGAGGCGTTAACCGTGGCCAGTCACCACGCAACAGTGGTGTCTTTCCTCGAAGCAGTGGCACATTTTCTCGCAACAGTCTAGGCTCCCACAGTCCGATTCGCGCTTTGAAAGGGAAGCTTGGCCTTGGCGACGCCGACGACTCCTCCGCCGACGAATTGCCCCTCAATCGCGATGGTGAGCCCATGAGCAAGAACCAATTAAAGAAGCACGAAAAGCAAGAACACCAAGAGTTGAGGAAAAAGCTCAGAGAAGAAGCCCAACAGCAAGCAGAAAAGAAACGGAAAGACATGGAGGAACGTGCAAAGACTGAGGAGAGCGCTGAAGCAAGAGCAAAATATGGTGTCAAGGGTGCCAATATCTATGCAGGCGAATGGAAACACGAAGATAGGGTCGATGTCACCACTCTCACACCCAACGATGTGGGCAAGACTGTTTTCTTCAGAGCTCGTGTCCATCACCTCCGTAAGATGAGCGCCAAGCTGGTCTTCTTGGTTTTCCGCCAGGGCGTCTCGACGATTCAGGGAGTCCTGACAGAACACGCTCATGTTTCCGAGTTTTTCGTGTACTGGGCCGAGCATTTGGATGTCGAGAGCGTTGTCCTAGTTGGGGGCGTCGTGCAGGAGCCCAAAGTCAGTCAGGGTCAGGTTACCGGTACGACCATACACAATATTGAGATCTCAGTCCACTCTCTGCACGTCGAGGGCCAAGTGACTGAAGTCCTACCCTTCAGTGTCAATGAAGCAGAGATACCTACCCCTGAAACACAGCATGATGGAGACCATCGAGTCAAGGTGTCCGACAGAACGAGGCTGGCAAACAGGGTCATCGATCTCCGTACCACTACTTCGCAGAGTATCTTCCGCGTTCAATCAGGCATTTGCAATCTGTTCCGCGGCTACCTGGATACTCAAGGCTTCATCGAAATCCACACACCAAAACTACAAGGCGGTGCTACTGAATCTGGTGCGAGTGTCTTCAAGATTGACTACTTCGGTAGGCCTGCCTTCCTGGCACAAAGCCCTCAACTGGCTAAACAGATGTCGATTGCCGGTGACTTTGGTCGTGTTTACGAAATCGGCGCTGTATTTAGAGCAGAGAACAGTAATACCCATCGCCACTTGACCGAGTACACTGGTCTCGATATTGAGATGGCCATCGACGAACATTACCATGAGGTGCTCAGAGTCCTCGATGGTACTTTCAAGCATATCTTCGAAGGGTTGTACAAGAACTATCGCCGCGAAATTGATGTCGTCAAGAAGCAATATCCGCACGAAGACTTGGTATGGCTAGATAAAACACCAATAATCCCTTTTAAAGATGCCATCAAGCTCTTGAATGAGTCTGGTTGGAGAGACGAAGAAGGGAATGAGTTACCGATTGATGAAGATCTGGGTACTCGAGACGAGATACAGCTTGGTAAGGTCATCAAGCAGACCTACGGAACCGACTATTACGTCCTGGACAAATTCCCGGCGTCTGCACGGCCTTTTTATGCCATGGTAGATCCTAATGACGAGACCTGGACAAACTCCTTCGACATTTTTGTGCGCGGGCAGGAGATTCTTAGCGGTGGTCAGCGTATCCATGACGCAACCATGCTATTGAAGAAGATGGAGAAGCTAAAAATCGATCGTGGGTCCATGGATGACTATATCCAAGGTTTCGAATGGGGTGCGCCGCCCCATGGTGGCGGCGGTATCGGTTTAGAGCGCATTCTGATGCTTATCCTAAACCTTGGTGACATTCGACATGCCTCAATGTATCCTCGTGATCCAAAGAGCCTGCCAGAGAAGCCAATCGTCAAGCAGCTACGCCACCCAGAAGCCAGCACGATGCACCCTCCGTGGGAAGGATCCGATCGAGTCACGGCACATCTGGACTTTCAACCAATTGAGAAGCTGATAGCAAATTATGGAGACGCTACGAACACATCCTGGCTGGAGCCTCGAATGGAGATCTGGCGAGACAACGAGACTGGGGCTGCGGTCGGTTTCCAGCAAATCGACAGCTACGCCATAATCACCGGCGACCCACTCTGTCACCAGTCTCAATACATCAAGATCGCGACCGCGTTCCTAAAATATATCACAAAAGAGCGTCACTTGAAACCCATATGGCTGCTTGTGGGTGCCCCGATGGAGGAGATTCTCGCAAACAGATTCAACTGGCGTACCTTTTCCGTAGTCGCCGAGCAACGTCTCGATACCTCAAAGAATGCTGCCGCGCATGACAATGACCTTCAGCGCAAGATCAGACACGCAGAGAAGGAAGGTGTCAAGATCCATGACTATCTACTAGGCGCAGAAATACCACAGGAAATCAAGGACAGGATTGATAAGCGAGTCGAAGACTGGCTCAAGGGTCGCAAAGGCAAGCAAATGCATCTTACTGACATTCATCCATGGCAAGACCAGGAGCATCGTCAATATCACTACGCGCAAGACAAAGACGGCGAGATTTGTTGCTTGCTCGTCCTGTGCCAGCTCTCCCCTGACCATGGCTGGCAAGTCAAGTACGCGCTCGATTTCCCTGGTGCCCCTTCAGGTTCGATCGAGTACATTGTCTCGCACGGGCTTAAGGCTCTTGCAGCCAAGGGCTGCGAAAGTGTCACGTTCGGTAGTGGTGCCAGCTCCGAGTTCACGCCCGGCCACAATCTGAAGAAGACGAGAGTCAAGGTCCTGAGCAAGGCGTACAAAGCCATCACTTCTGAGCTCAAGCTCACGAACAAGTCGGAGTTTAGAGAGAAGCTGGGTGCCGAGGGCGATCCGTCGTATCTGTGCTACCCACCTCACGGGCTTGGCCCAATGGCCGTGAAGGCCATTCTAAACTTCTTCGAGGATGAGGAATAATAAAAGGGGTGTAATGACATCGCAAGGGATAGAACGGGATATGGATTGGAGTGGATAGGTGCGGAGATGATGGACTGGGATGGATGTCTGTTGTCGTAGGTTCGTCATTATTCTTGACTTGATCAGGCTTGAGATACCTCTATTGTTTACTGTAGTTTTGTTTCGCTCGCTGTTGAAGTGCGTTGCATGATAGTTTGAAAGCATCGGAGAATTGAAATAGTGCTTACTGCTTATCATCACCATCATCACCATCATCACCATCATCACCATCATCACCATCATCACCATCATCACCATCATCACCATCATCACCATCATCACCATCAT